AGTTAACCATAGGTTTCATGCAAATGTTAACCACCAACATGCAAAGACAGAAGAGTGAAAAGAAAATCAACAACTTATTTGCTTGCTTGTAATTCTTTGTGCAAAGAGGATAGAGAAGGCCGACAGGCGTATAATATGCCTGAAAAGCCTTAGAAAGACCTATTTATAAGCTTAGACAAGCCTTAGAAACGAATGGTACTAAAGCATATGAACTCATAAACCTGCCCAAATGGATAAAAACAGAGAACTGTTATAAAAGTTGATCTCCTGCCAACTGGTTTGAGATTTGATCATGCCAAAAAGAAACTAAGAAATGGAGGCCCAAAACATAAAATCAACAGAAAAACCAAAAACAAAACAGTGCAAATGCCTTAGAGCAGCGGAGCAGTGTAGATGAGCAAGTTTACTTCAGCCGCACGATCGGTTCTCCTTGTTCATTTTTGTATCAACGACAGTGCAAAAGGATCATTGGGAAAGCAGATTGGTTTCCTTGGACTTGTTGGATCGTTTTGACCATATCTTGCGGTGTAATATTTGTTACCAATAAGATCAGAGGGCCAAAGTTGAAATAATCCAATGTAAGCCAATACAGTCAATGTCAATATCCACAAACTAAAAGGAACCTCCAAAAGCTCAATTTCTTTAGAGGACCAAAGTTGAAACCTTCATGCACTTTATTACCAAGGAAAACATTTGTAAGAGCGGTTTTTGACTCAAATGATGCCTTCACCAACTTCAAACCCTAAGAAGCAAAAGCAAAAACAAAATATGTTGTATCAATCAATAGACACAGATAGAGAACACTATTATATATAAAAATTGTCTTGGGTTTCAGCAGGGAGTCTTTGTTAAGATTGGGTTGCATGTATGTGTCACTGAGATTTTCGAGACTCTCGTAAAGTTTGCCTAAGCAACCAACCATGCCACCATTAGAGAGGAGGAGCCTAGTCACAGTTGCAACATGCAAGGACATAAGAGTGAAGAGAAAATCCACAACTGCCTTGCTTGCTTCAGCAAACAGTACTTCAGCAAGCAAAAACATGTTTAAATGCAGGAGATGGAACAAAATCAAGTGAAATGGCCTAAGGTTGCATGCACCCTATTAGTTAGTATTTCAGTACAAGATCATCAGACTAGGAAGGTTGATTCACTAGTGACCTGCCACATGACTGTGAAAACAAAAGCTCATTATCTTTCAGTTTCGAACCAACTTAAGTCAGTTCCGGTACACCAAGAGGTACCCTTCCAGGATGTGGCATCCAGGGGTAGGCGCCAGGGAGCTAGGCGGCGTCTGGGCTCCCGCCTAGGCGGCTCTAGGCGGCCTAGGCGTCTCTAGGTGGCGTCTGGGCGGCCTAGGCGGCTCTAGGCGGTTCTAGGCGGCCCTAGGAGGGTCTAGGCGGGCTCTAGGCGTCCCTAGTCGGATGTAGGCGGTCCTAGGCGGCTCTAGGCACTCAAGGAAGGTCTAGGCGGCCCTAGGTGGCTCTAGGCACTCAAGGAAGGTCTAGGTAGCCCTAGGCGGCCCTAGGCGGCTCTAGGAGGGTCTGGGCCGGCGTTTTGCCTTTGAGGCCTGGAGGAAGGGCGGTTGAAGTTCGCAGGATCCGCTGCTTGTTCGGAAGAAAGACGGAGAGGGAGAGACAGAGACAGAGACAAAGACAGAGAGAGGAAGGAGAAGGCGCTGGGGAGAAGAAGATATCCGACCTAATTTTTATATTTGAAAAGTATAGCCGCGCGGCTAGACTATTAATTTTTTTTTAAAGAAAAAAACACGGAGTATAAAGGCGTGGCCATACTATGTTTTAGATATTATATTTAACCCAGTATAGCCGTCCGGCTATACTATTCATTGGAATAATTTTTTTAAAAAAATGGATTATCGCTGCCCGGCTATACTATCTTTTGATATATCATATTTAAATAGTATAGCCGCTCGGCTGTACTATTAATTGGAATAAATTTAAAAAAACACGCGCGGCTATACTATTAATTTTAAAAGCAATTTAAAAAACACTCATTTAATATGAATTTACACAAACCAGGCCAAATTGTTTGAGTTCAATTCTAAAATATACTCAGTAGCTGCATCATTTGATATGTTGTGAAATTAGAGTTAAAATGCAATCGTAGAGAAACGGCTGCACTCAGATGACCCCTTGTGTCAATCAGCAGGATAGGCTTTGACAATTCATCAGTTTCTTCCGATGTTTTGAATCAGTATATATAGATGAGCTTGATTTCTTCAACCTCCCTCAGTAAAAATTGGCCTCCTTATTTGTTTTGGATCAACGATAAAGTTGAATGATTGTTGCGATGGCGGATGAGTTTTCTTGAGATATAATGAATGAAACCAAAAGAATCAATGGACCAAAGTTTACATGATCCAGAGTAATAGAATAGAAATCCCAATCCACAAACCAAAATGAAACCCCAAAAGCTCAATGTCTCTAGAGGACCAAAGTTGAAAAGTTTTTGCTGTTTCTTTCCAAGGAAGACATTGGTAAGAGCGGTATTTGACTCCAATGATCGATGCCTTCACCAACTTCAAACCCTACAAGAGAGAGAGAAATATACAAGTAAGACATTTAGCTCTATCAACAAGCCATTGATAAGAGTTAGAGAAATATATAGGATATGAAACCTCCTTAACTTGAAGTGCATCAATCCCCTTCACATTGAACTTTTGTAGCAGCCTTGAGATTTAGTTGGGTATAATCTACAACATCCTATTCAGGCAGAGAAAATATGCCTCCAGGGAAAATATGCCGGCATACTATTTCTGCCTTCAATGCAGTTAAATTTGCAGGAACTAGTCAATTCAACAATCTACGATGGTTATACAGGACGGGTATCGAAAATAGGAACAAGATGAAATAAATCAGACTATCAGAGCCATCAAGTTTCCTCAAGAAGCAAAGGATATAAAGACGAAGAGGCAAATATTAAGAGAATCGTCAAATTTTCATAGAGAAATGTATTACTAAGGACATAAAGAAGATTAGGCATTGTGAATCATATCATACCATGATGGGAGTAATAGATCATTTAGACAATTTAAATCCCAAATCCCTGATTAAGAACAATGTATCGTTAATGAAATTATTTAATAATTTTGATGTTCATGAGGCTAAAAAGAACCTCTGCTACAGATCTAGAACATAACATATAGTAGCTGGCTGGACTCTCTCTATAACTCTCTCTAAAAATAAAAGAAGTAAACTTTTGAACCGAGCAATCACAAGCCACCTTAGAAATCTCTGCCTTTGAATTCATCTTTCTACTGCTGAACGACCAAAACAACTGTGACAATCTGCGTCCCCTTTCTCTCTCTTCATCTGCAAAATCATCATAATTAGATATATATATACACACACACAATACACAATAACGAGATGCTTTAGTTTATGATTACAAATACACAGACAGGAATCTATACCTTCACGGAAAACAGCTAAATCTCTCTGTCCAAATCCAAAGCTTTCATGGCATCCCCGACTTCTTCCATCTTCCTCTTATGTTTTTTTTTGCCCCAGCTGAAATGGGAATACAAGTATAAATATATGAATTGAGTACAAGGCAATCTAAAACCTGATATATATAACAAGTACAAATTTAAGGTAAGGCATCTACCATGAAAATCCGTTGGGCTAAGATCTCGTCTCTGTTCTCATGCCAGTTTGACTCTTGAGTCATCATTAGTTAAGCAATGTGATAACAGTAAAAGGCAATCTAAAAACAGGAAAACATGATGCATGCATGCATCATATATAGTTGTATGTCTATATATGTATGTATTTAGTTCCTTTTTTTTACCTCCTCAAGCCCATACGGAAGACGTCCGGGAAGTGATTCAGCAACTTCAAAGATAAAAAGTGCAGAAGCAAAAACATGTTTAAATGCAGGAGATGGAACAAAATCAAGTGAAATGGCCTAAGGTTGCATGCACCCTATTAGTTAGTATTTCAGTACAAGATCATCAGACTAGGAAGGTTGATTCACTAGTGACCTGCCACATGACTGTGAAAACAGTGTAACCCTAATTCCACGCCAACCAAAAGCTCATTATCTTTCAATTTCGAACCAACTTAAGTCAGTTCCGGTACACCAAGAGGTACCCTTCGAGGATGTGGCATCCAGGGAGCTAGGCGGCGTCTGGGCGCCCGCCTAGGCGGCTCTAGGCGGCCTAGGCGGTTCTAGGCGGCCCTAGGAGGGTCTAGGCGGCTCTAGGCGTCCCTAGGCGGATCTAGGCGGCCCTTGGTGGCTCTAGGCACTCAAGGAAGGTCTAGGGGTCCCTAGGCGGATCTAGGCGGCCCTTGGTGGCTCTAGGCACTCAAGGAAGGTCTAGGCGGCCCTAGGCGGCTCTAGGAGGGTCTGGGCTGGCGTTTTGCCGTCGAGGCGTGAACGAAGGGCGATGGAAGTGCGCAGGATCCGCTGCTTGTTAGGAAGAAAGACGGAGAGACGGAGAGAGAGATCGAGACAGAGAGAGGAAGGAGAAGGCGACGCTGGGAAGAAGAAGATATCTGACCTAATTTTTATATTTGAAAAGTATAGCCGCTCGGCTAGACTATTAATTTGGAAAAAAAAACCAGAGTATAAAGGCGTGGCCATACTATTTTTATATTTTATATTTAACCAGTATAGCCGACCGGCTATACTATTAATTTCAGGAAAAAAAAAAGAAAAATGGAGTATAACCGCTAGGCTGTACTCTTTTAATATGGGTTTAGATATGCAATTATGAAGATCAATTAATTTGATATGGGTTTAATAGTTGGTATAGATATGCAATTATGAAGATCAATTAATTTGATGTTGCTTGAGAATTGCCGTTCCTAAGTGATGACATCATTGCTTTTTTAAGTGAAAAGACATCATTGCTTTTTTAAGAGAGAAGAAGAAAGCAGAAGAATCTGATCTCTTTGTATTAGTTTGAAGTCCAATACGTACCCAATCCAATTCATTCATCCATATTCAAAAACAAACATTACAAAAGAAGCTTCAAAATGTCAACTTGAAATGCTGCTTAAAGGAACACATTTGTCATAACTGCATTTGACTGCAATGATGTCCTTCAACAATTTCAAACCCTAACAAGGAAATTAAACAAAAATGCTCTTCACCATAACTTCTTATAGAATACCAAGTGCAATATTTGAATATATAGAATGGTAATTTATCACGTTAGAAAAAATTAATAAACACAAACCTTATCCTTATCGAGAGGAACCACAATCTCTTCAAGTGAACGAACATCCCTAACATCGAAGTTTTGAAGCAGAGCGATACTTGAAATGGCAGACATAGGCTTCACTTCCATATCATCCGTTATCATGTAAGTCACAGCCTCTCTCACAAACCCACCTCCCTTGCCGCTGGTTGCAATTGCCAGCCGAGCAACATAAGTCGTGGGTTTGGAAATGAAGTTATGGAACTTTGGACAAATAGCCTTAGGGTCATCAGCCACATAGCATACCTCCCCAGAGTAGGAGTAGCTTGACGGCTAACATGACCGACACGTATACAACTTTTTACCTTTTGATTCACCGTCAGTCAAGCTGGAAGAAGTTGATGGGCACCACCAATTGGCATTGGCAGCTTCTTAGGTTTTAGAAGGACATCCTTGTTGAGGTTGGGTTGCAAGTATGTGTCATTTAAGTTTTCTAAGCTGCCGTAGAGTTTGCCTAAACAACAGATCATGCGTTTTCTAGAGAGGAGCATAATCACAATGCTGACAGGTAGAGACAGAAGGGTGAAGAGAAAGTCAACAAAATCCTTGCCAGCTTCGGCGAAGAGAACTTTTTTATGTTTTTTGTCGATGAGGAGCTTCAAACTAACTGGAGAAGCAGAGATTGAACGGTTTGCAATAAAATTCTTCCGCCCCCTCCCTATACATGAATTGGAGATGAAATGGGGCCAAATTTTGAGATTTTTTTTGGGTTTTAGCCCCAAGGTTGGAGAAGGCCTTACAAAAGGTGCAAAGCAACCGCATATATACATAGAGATAGCGATAGAAAGAGAGATTTTTTTTAGTTGGTAACTAAGTAAAGAATTATAAATGTAGAACTGTTTGGCATTGGAGTTAGAGTAATGCTACACTTACCACATTTTTATCCCACATTTCTATACCACATGATGTGGCATGTCCATATTATATGCCACATCAATTAAATCAATTAAGTGTATTTTAATTAAGACAATTAGAAAAACAAATACTGGAATAAATCATAAAAGAAAAGAAAATATTAAATAATTTTAATTGATATGGCTGTCCACCTCAGCTGCCACATAAGATGGTATAAGGATGTGGTATACAAATGTGATAAGAGTAGCATTATTATTATTGGTCAGCAAATGATGACTTGGGTTTGAGCAACGTGTCCTTGCCAAGATTGGGCTGCAAATCTTATAAAGTTGGCCTAAGCAGCCAACCATGCTGTTCTTGGAGAGGAGCCTAATGATGGTGCCAACATGCAGAGACAGAATAGTTAAGAAACAATCAACAATTTCTTTGCTCACTTCAGCAAACAAAACTTTGTGGCTTTTTGTGTCTATTAGGAGCTTCAAGCTCACACTAGGGTTGGAGGTTGCTGCCATATTGAACTAGTGATGAAGAAGACATAGCTTATTGTCTACAGCATATGCCAATATTTGTTTCGTATTGCATAGATTCATAATTGAAGCACTCAGACATTGCCTTTATTGCAGTGAACCTCAACATTTGTATCATGGTACAGGCATTGTGCCAATGAAACTCAACATTGGAACTTGGTCTTCATCAACATGCATCTAGAGCTTGATCTCTATTTCTCTCACCCTTTTAGGACTTTAGGGAGCCACTTAGCAGACTCTTTGGGAATGCGCTTGAGATTGTTTCTGTAATCGATGTAGTAAAGTCCGAATCGTAAGGTATAGACATATCTTGAGGCTTCTTTGGAGCTAAAGGATCATTGCGGTAGCAGATTGGCTTCATTAGACTTGCAGGGTTGTTTTTACCATATCTTGAGGTGTAATAGTTGATGCCAACAAAATCAAAGGAATCCTTCAACAATCTCCTCTCTTCCTTGGTGAAAATGGGCAGCCTTTCCTTGACCAAATGTACTCATGCTCTTTGGATAATCTCCATATACCAATGGCTCTGTGTACCATCCAAGTTCAAAGTCCAAATTTCTCTTTACTGCAGCTCTGTCTTCTGTTGATTCTGAGTAAGGCTCCACATATTCTCCTATAAGACTAATTCCAATTTGTCCACCTTGTTTCTCTGTAAAGCTCAACAACAGTGGCATGGGCTAGGACTCCTAGGAGAGAGCTATGGCTCACAATGTAAGGTTCAGTGACTGAATTGCCTTCCCTGCATGGAAACCCTGCTGGAACAGAAAGCCTTCCCAGCGCATAAATTCCAAGGTCATATCCCAATTTGACAATGATCAACGGCTTGTTGTTTGCGATCCAATTTTTTACCCTGTCTCCAAATGTTCTAAAACAGATTTCAGTGTAAGCCTTGAAATCATCCACAAAGGAACTTCAATGGGCTGAAAAGGATATGGTGTTAACTGCCCACAAAGGAACACATTGGTGAGAACTGCATTGGATTCCAATGATGCCTTCAGCAATTTCAGACCCTAAGAATTCATGAAAAGAAAATCATCATTTTGAATAAGATAAAAATACCTCCAAACAAAACAAAACAAAAACAAAAAGAACGCAAACCTCGTCCATGGCTAGATGAACGATCCTCTCTTCAAGGGTACCAACTTCCTTAACATTGAACTTGTTCAGCATCACGATATGGTAGACATAGGCTATAAGAACTCACTTCAATTTCTGATGGCCGCTATAAGAAAACTGGTGTTTGATTATGTGTTTTGCATCCTGAAAACACAAAGATGTGACCGAAAAGTTATTGCTAGAGAGAGCAATAGAGATTTTAGCCTGTAAAAGTAGTATGTAATTTATAAAAGCTTTTTGTATTTTGTATTTTGGTTTTTACCTATAATGACAATTTTTTTTAATTAATGCCTGAATTTTCTGGTGGATATATATTGTCAGATAGGAAAGCTGATGAAGGGGCTTAATCCAATGTCCTTTGGAGTCCTTGTGTTTGTGTCTCCTTATCTGTGACAACAGCTTTCAAAACTGGAGTCATAGCTCTCGCTGTAAGTAATTAACATAATTCTTTAATTACTGATGTTGGTTAGGCCAGTTGATCACGAGAAAGAACATGTTGTATTGCAAACCATTCTTAATTATAACAATTAATGGATTGTGGGTTTTCCTAATTGCTATGTGCAGGAAGGAATAGCAGTAGGGACAGGGAGAAGCTTTTCCATGTTCAAGAATTACCACATTGATGGGAACAAAGAAATGATTGCCATTGGGATGATGAACATTGCTGGTTCTTGCACTTCTTGCTACCTCACCACAGGTTAATCACTAATCGTACACATTTAGGGTTTATTCTTAATTAGATTCATTTCATGTTGCTAATTAAGCGAAATTTTTTCATCAATATTCAAGGCCATTTTCCAGATCAGCAGTTAACTACAATGCAGGATGCAAGATGGCAATGTCAAACGTTGTCATGGCAATTGCGGTTATGTTCACATTGTTGTTCCTCACTCCTCTGTTCCATTACACTCCCCTGGTTGTTCTGTGTTCTGTCTGCTATTATAATAGCTGCCATGCTTGGCCTCATAGACTATGAAGCCGCAATTCTCCTCTCGAAGGTTGACACGTTTGACTTTGTTCTGCATGAGTGCCTGTATCCGTGTCGTTTTTGGCAGCGTTGAAATCGGCCTAGTCTTAGTGGTACGTACGACTATATGTCACACCAGTAAAAAGTTATTGTGTGTGACAATAACACCATATCAACAACTTAACTTTACTTATTAGAACTAATATTTCTTTTTTCTTGTGTGTAGGTTGCAATATCTACTTTCGTTTGTGGCAGGTGGTTTACAGAAATGTTGAGCAGTATCCCAATGCAAGCAATGTTCCTGGAATTCTCATACTTGAGATTGATGCTCCCATTTACTTTGCAAATACCAACTACTTAAGAGAAAGGTACTAATTAATTAAACCTGAACACACTCTTGCATGTTATAATCAAATTTAAAAATAATAATTTGAAAGTTGATCCAAAGTCCTACCTGTTTTCAGGATTACAAGGTGGATAAATGATGAGGAAGATGGGACCAAATCTGCAGGGGAAAGTAGCTTGCAATATGTGATATTGGATATGACTGGTAATTAAGGGAAACAAATAGTGCACACATATATATATATATATAATATTATTGTGACATTTTTTACCCTGAAATTAATTTGTTTTCTGGTTTAATTTGCAGCTGTTGGTAACATAGACACAAGTGGGATAAGCATGTTTGAAGTGGTCAAAAAGCTTGTTGACAGAAGGGGGCTCCAGGTTCAAAAATCTGCAACAGTCTCTTTCAATTTATCAAATATTTCCTTCCAAATTTTTATTTCATCTGTTTATATAACTCTGTAATTTTGTTCCCATCTGTGTTTAGCTTGTACTGGCGAACCCGGGAAGCGAGGTGATGAAGAAGATGAACAAGTCAGAGTTGATTGAGAATACATGTCAAGAATGGATTTATCTCACAGTTGCAGAGGCTGTTGCAGCATGCAACCTCATGCTTCACTCCACCAAGCCCAACCCCGGCAAAGATCAAGAACCAGCTGCATGGAACAACGTTGATGGCTTTGGCTGGCTACAATGTGAATTTATGTATCAGAAAGCAATATCAACATAAATATGAAGACTCATTTGAATTAAGGAGAAATGAATTTCAGGAAACGACGTTTGATGGCTTGGGCGGCTATACTATTAATTTCAGGAAAAAAATTTTAAAAAAACATAAAGGAGTATAGCCGTACAGCAATACTCTTTCAATATATTATATTTAAACACTATAGCCGATCGGCTATACTATTTACTTCAAAAAAAACAGCGTATAGGCATTCGGCTATACTATTAATTTCAAAAACACCGTGTATAGCCGGTTAGCCGTACTCTTTTAATATATTATATTTAAACCATATAGCCGCGCGGCGATACTATTTATTTAAAAAAAGGGAAAAATAGTACAGCCGCTCGGCGATACTACTTAAAAATAAAGGAAAACGGAGTATAGCCGTCCGGCTATACTATTAATTTAGGAAAAAAAATTAGAAAGGTGGTATAGCCGTTTGGCTATACTCTTTTTTATATTTTATTTAAAGAGTACAGCCGCCCGGCTATACGCTGTGTCTTTTTTCAAATTTTTAGTCCAATTAATAGTATAGCAAAACATGAAGAAGAAACATTCAACAGCAAAAGAGTAATACATGAGTCTCAAAAACATCTTGGAGTCACAAGCTCCAAAGTTCTAGCAAAAGTCAGCTCAGCTACCTTAACAGAAGAAACAATCCTCTGAAGGAGCATGGTGAAGTCGATTTCATCAATTTACAACTGACCGATTACCACAAAAAACCTCCAAAATAACAGTGTAAGACACTCTTTATGAATCCCTAGTCCGATTTCAGATGCACAACAGTCAAACAAGCTCTAAAATTCCATTTCCAGAATTGATCAAGTGCAAAGTTGACATGTTTACTCCTCTTTCTTCTCAAGGAAGACATTGGTGAGAAACTGCGTTAGACTCCAATGATGCCTTCAGCAATTTCAGACCCTAAAAAATTAATGAAAAGAAAATGATCATTTTGAACAAAATAACAATTCCTCCAACCAAAACAAAAAAACAAAAGAATATAATAGCAGATGAACTGTGGCAAATTAGCTTTGATTAAAAGCCTACATGATAATGTATGATGGTTGTATCGTCTATTGATCGAGTGCGTAGAGTAGAAATCAAAGCATAAAAAGTGTATCTATCCTATCCTTCCCAACTTGAATCAATTAAGAAAAGAATAAAAAGTGGGGTTTGTAATTGATGTGCATATATATTTTGCATATTCAAGATGCACATATATTCACAGTTCAAAATGTTGAGAGAAGTTTAGGAATGCACACATCATCCATGCCTAGAAGAACCATCCTCTCTTCAAGGGTACCAACCTCCTTAACATTGAACCTGTTCAACATAGCTATACACGATATGGTAGACATAGGCTTCACTTCCAAATTATCCATTATCATGTATGTAACAACATCTTTCACATACCCTCCTCCACCACCAGACTATCCTTCCGTGATAGCCTGTGCTGCAACATAAGGCACCTCGGTAGAGAGAGTATATTTGCACTGTGGGCAAATGGCTCTAGGATCGTCAGCTATAAAGCGGTGGTAGCTCCCACACATGTACACCTTTTTAGCCAATGATTCATCATTGGTCAACAGATGAGGAACATTAGCACCACCAATTGGTGCCTCGGGTTTCAGCAATGTGTCCCTGTTGAGATTAGGTAACATATACGTGTCATTAAGAAGTGTCAAGACTATCATAAAGCTTGCCTAAGCTGCTCACCATGTTATCCTTAGAGAGGAGCCTAATCACAGTTCCAACAGGTAAAGCCAGCAGCGTGAAAACGAAATCCACAAAGTCCTTGCCTGCTTCAGCAAACAGAACCTTGTGGCCCTTTGTGTCAATCAAGAGCTTCAAGCTTACAGTGTTGGTTGCCATTGATGCAGTTACAAGGGGAATTGGGACCAACAGGCCTTATAAAGAAATTAGGGAACTGTAATAAAATAAGTGAGTAAATAAGCCCCAACCCAGAACGCACACGCCTAAACAAGTAGGTTAAAGGAGGCACCTTTAGGCTTTAGCAGGAAAAACAGCAATTATATTATATTTATATATAATAAAACTAAAGAAAAAAGTATCAAAAACTAATAATCATAAATACATATTCCCCCTTTTTCTATTTAGAAACTGGAAAATTTAACTCAAAATACATTCTTCTAAATACTTTGCATGGACCTTCAACACAAAAATAAATAAAAAATAAGAAGAAATATGGAAGGTTTTAAGGGATTCCATAGCTCTCAGAAATACGGTTACTGCACATCACACAAATGTAGAACAATTTAGAAAGATTCTAGTCTATTGGTCGGCAATGGCAATTGAAGGATATTGGCCGCAGAAATTGTTGGGTTGGGTTTGAGCAGGGTGTCCTTAAGATTGATTAGCAACAAGGCAGTTAGAGACCAGCATCATCCTCCACCTGTACACAGTAAAGTCCAAAACACATTATGTCAGGATTTGAAGAACACAGCAAAGTAAAGACTTGTCAAGGAAAATAAAGGTCAACAATCCTGATTGGAATTAATATGGACCCAGCTATTCAAAATCCTTATTTGATTTCTTTTTTTTAATTTACTGAGGAAAGATGACATCAAGGAAAATATTATGAAGCATTTTCAAATGGAAACTTTTCCAAGACAACGTTAGCATTTCTCAATTCATTTACCTCAGCTCTTTCTATATTACTTGGTTTCGGTTTTGATGATTTGCTAGCAGTATCAGACACAACCATCCAATCAAAATTCACTTCTAATTAGGGATTTTTAATATAAATGGAGACATTAATAGACTTTTCAAGGGGCACCTACTGCAGCTGGCCCAAAATAATAGCAAATAAGGTCTGGTTCCATAGCAAGTGATTCAGCAACTTCAAAGATAAAAAGTGCATACGCAAAAACATGTTTAAATGCAGGAGATGGAACAAAATCAAGTGAAATGGCCTAAGGTTGCATGCGCCCTATCAGTTAGTATTTCAGTACAAGATCATCAGACTAGGAAGGTTGATTCACTAGTGACCTGCCACATTATCTTTCAGTTTCGAACCAACTTAAGTCAGTTCCGGTACACCAAGAGGTACCCTTCCAGGATGTGGCATCCAGGGGTAGGCGCCAGGGAGCTAGGCGGCGTCTGGGCTCCCGCCTAGGCGGCTCTAGGCGGCCTAGGCGTCTCTAGGTGGCGTCTGGGCGGCCTAGGCGGCTCTAGGCGGTTCTAGGCGGCCCTAGGAGGGTCTAGGCGGGTCTAGGCGTCCCTAGTCGGATGTAGGCGGTCCTAGGCGGCTCTAGGCACTCAAGGAAGGTCTAGGCGGCCCTAGGTGGCTTTAGGCACTCAAGGAAGGTCTAGGTAGCCCTTGGCGGCCCTAGGCGGCTCTAGGCGGCCTAGGCGGCTCTAGGAGGGTCTGGGCCGGCGTTTTGCCTTTGAGGCCTGGAGGAAGGGCGGTTGAAGTTCGCAGGATCCGCTCCCTGTTCGGAAGAAAGACGGAGAGGGAGACAGAGACAGAGACAGAGAGAGGAAGGAGAAGGCGCTGGGGAGAAGAAGATATCCGACCTAATTTTTATATTTGAAAAGTATAGCCGCGCGGCTAGACTATTATTATTTTATTTTTTTTTAATGAAAAAAACAGGGAGTATAAAGGCGTTGCCATACTATGTTTAGATATTATATTTAACCAGTATAGCCGCCCGGCTATACTATTCATTGGAATAATTTAAAAATAAAAATGGATTATCGCTGCCCGGCTATACTATCTTTTGATATATCATATTTAAATAGTATAGCCGCACGGCTGTACTATTAATTGGAATAAATTTAATAAAAACACCTCGCGGCTATACTATTAATTTTAAAAGCAATTTAAAAAACACTCATTTAATATGAATTTACACAAACCAGGCCAAATTGTTTGAGTTCAATTCTAAAATATACTCAGTAGCTGCATCATTTGATATGTTGTGAAATTAGAGTTAAAATGCAATCGTAGAGAAACGGCTGCACTCAGATGACCCCTTGTGTCAATCAGCAGGATAGGCTTTGACAATTCATCAGTTTCTTCCGATGTTTTGAATCAGTATATATAGATGAGCTTGATTTCTTCAACCTCCCTCAGTACAAATTGGCCTCCTTATTTGTTTTGGATCAACGATAAAGTTGAATGATTGTTGCGATGGCGGATGAGTTTTCTTGAGATATAATGAATGAAACCAAAAGAATCAATGGACCAAAGTTTACATGATCCAGAGTAATAGAATAGAAATCCCAATCCACAAACCAAAATGAAACCCCAAAAGCTCAATGTCTCTAGAGGACCAAAGTTGAAAAGTTTTTGCTGTTTCTTTCCAAGGAAGACATTGGTAAGAGCGGTATTTGACTCCAATGATCGATGCCTTCACCAACTTCAAACCCTACAAGAGAGAGAGAAATATACAAGTAAGACATTTAGCTCTATCAACAAGCCATTGATAAGAGTTAGAGAAATATATAGGATATGAAACCTCCTTAACTTGAAGTGCATCAATCCCCTTCACATTGAACTTTTGTAGCAGCCTTGAGATTTAGTTGGGTATAATCTACAACATCCTATTCAGGCAGAGAAAATATGCCTCCAGGGAAAATATGCCGGCATACTATTTCTGCCTTCAATGCAGTTAAATTTGCAGGAACTAGTCAATTCAACAATCTACGATGGTTATACAGGACGGGTATCGAAAATAGGAACAAGATGAAATAAATCAGACTATCAGAGCCATCAAGTTTCCTCAAGAAGCAAAGGATATAAAGACGAAGAGGCAAATATTAAGAGAATCGTCAAATTTTCATAGAGAAATGTATTACTAAGGACATAAAGAAGATTAGGCATTGTGAATCATATCATACCATGATGGGAGTAATAGATCATTTAGACAATTTACTTGTATTGGAATACATTCACCTATATCATAGGTACATTTTGTTTTTATGAGATTATTTTTGCCTATATGATAGGTACATTTGGGTTTAATACCTGTCGTATAGGTAACCAATTGCCACCAACATGCCAATTTACCTGTAACACAGATATAGGTATTTTGTTGAAAATGAAACACTTTGTTATCAACTTTATCTTTCTAATTTTCAGTTGGTTTTGGTGTCTTTTTTGCCTTTTTGTTAACATATAAATAAAAGGGAGATTTTGGAAAAACACAAAGGAGAGAGAAATTTTGTAAAAGAAGCCAAAATAGACTAAATTGCCCTTATTTATTTTTGGATTTCCTAAGGAATCCTTTACATTTACATGTTTTTGATTTGAAAGTTGAGAGGTTTTTCTGTCTTTTTTGAAAAAGTGTAGCATCGGACTCACAAAGAACGCGTGACAATTGTGGGTTTGTCCTTAAGACGATCCCAGCCGAGCACTGGGTACAACTGAAGTGAAATCTGGTGTTTTTAATCCCCAAATACTCCTGTAAACAAGAAAGAAATAGAGAACACCAAAGCTTTCAGAAACTAGAGCGAGCGAGCATGAGCATCCAACATTAACAAAAATAAACAAACCCTAGAACTAGAAGAAAGAGAAAGCAAGAACGAGATACGAACTGGGCAATTAAAGCTTCAAAACCCAAACGAGATTATTATAACAACCCAAGTACGTACCAAGTTGCCGGAGGATTTTTCTTTGCGGGAATTGATCTTGGTGTCTTTGGCCATGGTATTCCTACACTTGTTGCACCGAATGTTCCTAGGAAGGTTCAAAACAACATTCTCAATCTGCAGGTTCTTAGGCTGGGCTGCCAATGCCATCACAACTATTGGGTGTGTATGATGAATTCCGATATGAGGAGAGAACGGAAGAGGTTTAAGAGTCCGGAAGGTAATTTGAGTTGCAGAAAGGTGTCACGTGTTTTAAATATAGCCAGTTTGATAATTTTAGGGCTTGTCCAATATAGATCCCTACATTTTCTATTTCCTAGACATATACCCATCACTCTATAAATCTATGTGTAAAACCCAATTTCAAATTTAAATGACTAGTAGGATATAAGAGGTCGTAGTATTTCTATGTTTTTACATCATTGCCACCAAACTTCATATTTTATTTATAATTTATTTCAAGCATTTCATTAACTGCCATAATTGTAATTAATATACTCCCTATTAATAGCATATCAATCACCCCATTTCTTTTAGTTGTCATTCCCTCTCAAATCTCGCCCCCTAAAATTACAACAACAAAAAAAAATCTGTAAATTACATATCCAATAATGTACCTATGAAAAATATAATATAAATATATACATATAAAATATAGGTATATTATTTACCCAAAAAAAAAAACAAAGTCAGTTACTTTGTAATTGCGTATATTTTTCATAATTAAAAATAGGTACACAATAATTTATATAAAATATAGGTACATTATTTACCCACAGGTAAATTATTTTACAATATACCTGTAAATGTGTATAGGTACATTATTTGGAATAGATAATTATGTACACTTTTCATACTAGGTAAATTATGTTTTTCATAAAACAAACAAGTAATAGGTACATTATTTTTTCAACATAATTAGTATGTACAGTTTTATTCATAAACAATTATAAAGTGGATTATTAGTCATGTATAATTCATAAAAAGAAAATAACATAAACATTTTATTAAACAAACCGATTACCTAAATTTGAATTTATTGTTAAATTTTTTTAAAATGTTTCAAAATTAATTCCTACATCCATTACAACCATTTGGAGATCTTTCCAAATTCAACATCTGTCATTATATACAATTCAATTAAAAATTGTTTCCATATTGATTCCTACATTAATATACAAAATGCAATAATGGCTTAGTTGGGGGTATTTTTGGAATATGAAAAGTACAATAAATCAAATTTTATGCTTAATTAGGTAACTTGCTGAGTTGGATCCTAGTCATGGAGAAATTATAGAGTAGTACCGTATCACCACGTTAGCTGGTGATACTTCCACTCAAAATATGCCATGTGTCTTTATTTTTTAACAACTCAAACTTTATTTTACAACTGGACATTAACCTAATTTTTACCCTCTAAAATAAAATTAAGAAAATAAACAATGGAAAAAAAAAAGAAAAAAAAAAGGATAGCCACAGCCCACCCCAACACGCCTACCCCGCACCGCCGCTCTGGTCGCCACCCCCCTCCCTCTCTTTTATCTCTCTCTCTCTCTCTCTCTCTGTTGCCGTTCTTCAACTCAACCTTTTGGTGACTACCCCAAGATCCATATATATTTTATCATTGATGAAGGTCTCACTAGCAGATGTGAAGAAGGTTGGGATGGGAGGTGGGTCTATAACAAACAGGCTACAAATCGACCAACATGAAATTGATATGGAAAGGGTTGATTGTGTTGGGTATTATATTGGATCTAATAAACTCCATCAGATATTAAGATTCATTGACAATGAAGATGAAGTTTCCTGGTTGTAAAAATTTATTAGGCTATGGGGATTTGGCTCTCTTACTTGTGTGACTAATGACTGTTGATGGCAGTCGGAAGAAGACGACAGAAGGGTGGTGTGGGGGTAAGGGTTGGGTTCTGTTGCTAGGATATTCTCTTTTCTTTTTTCTTTTTTCTTAAGTTTTTTATTTTCCTAATTTATTTCAGCGGATAAAAATTAAATCCAGCTGTAACAAAAAATAATTAATTTATAAAAAAAATTACAAATGGCATATTTTGAGTTGGAGTATCACCAGCTGACTGTGGTAGTACGGTACTATTCTATAATTTATCCTAGTCATGGGTTTTTACTTATATACCCCAAAAAAAAAAAAAAAAAAAAAAAAAAAAAAAAAAAAAAAAAAAAAAAAAAAAAAAAAAAAAAAAAAAAAAAAAAAAAAAAAAAAAAAAAAAAAAAAAAAAAAAAAAAAAAAAAAAAAAAAAAAAAAAAAAAAAAAAAAAAAAAAAAAAAAAAAAAAAAAAAAAAAAAAAAAAAAAAAAAAAAAAAAAAAAAAAAAAAAAAAAAAAAAAAAAAAAAAAAAAAAAAAAAAAAAAAAAAAAAAAAAAAAAAAAAAAAAAAAAAAAAAAAAAAAAAAAAAAAAAAAAAAAAAAAAAAAAAAAAAAAAAAAAAAAAAAAAAAAAAAAAAAAAAAAAAAAAAAAAAAAAAAAAAAAAAAAAAAAAAAAAAAAAAAAAAAAAAAAAAAAAAAAAAATACAGACGTATATCTATGGATACTCTATTTACCTATAAGCATGAATTACCAACGTGTTTTCTACCTAGAGGCTGGAATGATGGAAACATGAAAATATAGTTGGGTTCCTCTACCTATACCATAGGAAAAAGATGAAGAAACCAGTTCATCTTTGTTTTCTGTTCCTTCTATGCCACACACCGAATTTCTTTTTCTTTTCCTTCTATAGCCCCCCTTGCTTCATAATTGATATATGACAAATTTATTCTAAGAAAAGAATACCTATGAATCAGTAAACTAGACCAACGGAGTTCGCCCAAGCCTATACCTAAGAATCAGTCCAATTAATCATAACGAAACCCCCTAACTATTCCTCTTCTCTAGGTACACAAAACAAAAATGGTTCCCTTCCTATTTAAAATTAAAACCATAAAACAGAATTGGAATGGTTGAAACAATCGTTCAATGCAACTGACGCCAAATCATACAATCGTTCTCCATTGGTATGTATGAGGAACTAAGGGCATGTTTACGTATCAATAATGGAGGAACTAAGGGCATGTTTACGTATCAATAATGGAGAAACTAAGGAATCAAATAATTTAGGAATCGGAGAACTACTGAATCGGTATGGGAAGAATCATTCTCATTAAGCTGTTTACTAAACATATGGAATTAGCAATGGAATGAGATTGATTCCCATTGTTATTGTTTACTAATTTGCATGAATCAGAATCCAAATTAATTTTAGAATTATGGTAAAGTGATAAGGGTATTTTTGGAAGTTAGTAAGAGAAAACAGGAATGGGAATCGTATCGACTACTCCCCCCTAGTTGATCTGATTCCTAGTTTTGAGGGAATGTGATTACGGATTTTGAGGTGGGGCCCACTTATTTTTTCATTTCTGATTGCAAGTAAACGCAGAGAAGTCAGGAATGGAAATCATATTCCCTTTCCTTCCATACCCATTACTGATACGTAAACATGCCCTAAGGGTAATAGAAAAGTAGGAACCTCAATCATACAATTTACCTGTAGAACAGACCAACAACTGACGTTTAGTGGCAGAGGAAATTTGCTACTGTAATAGTGAATCACACATAGAAACCCACAAATCTCTCCATTAAAGAACCAAGAAATCAGAGGAAATTTTCTTGGAAAGAGCATGACATTTTGAGGAAATGTAAATTCTGCGATTTGTCGATTTGTTTGTACTTTCCGTGTTTCTACGTAGTGGCAGCAATTGTAATTACATTAAAATTTGTGGACATACTGTTTGCTTAGGTGGCTAAACACTTGGTCTTGTGGACTGGAATTAAGAGGTAACAACTCTTGTCCTGCATTCATTATATATTTGTAAAATTGGACCTATTTACCTCCTCAAGCCCATATGGAAGACGCCGGAAGTTGATCACCACAAAATAGTGTAGCATCGGACTCACAAAGACGCGTGACAATTGTGGGTTTGTCCTTAAGACGATCCAGCCGAGCACTGGGTACAACTGAAGTGAAATCTGGGTGTTTTTAATCCCCAAATACTCCCTGTAAACAAGAAAGAAATAGAGAACACAAAGCTTTTCAGAAACTAGAGCGCGCGAGCATGAGCATCCAACATTAACAAATAAACAAACCCTAGAACTAGAAGAAAGAGAAAGCAAGAACGAGATACGAATTGGGCAATTTAAGCTTCTCAAAACCCAAACGAGATTATTATCAACACCAAGTACGTACCAAGTTGCCGGAGGATTTTTCTTTGCGGGAATTGATCTTGGTGTCTTTGGCCATGGTATTCCTACACTTGTTGCACCGAATGTTCCTAGGAAGGTTCAAAACAACATTCTCAATCTGCAAGTTCTTAGGCTGGGCTGCCAATGCCATCACAACTATTGGGTGTGTATGATGAATTCCGATATGAGGACAGAAGGGAAGAGGTTTAAGAGTCCGGAAGGTAATTTGAGTTGCAGCAAGGTGTCACGTGTTTTAAATATAGCCAGTTTGATCGTTTATTTTATTTTTTGCCAAAGTCAGAAAAGGATAGTAGGAGATTAAGCCTTAAATGAGATCCATCAAAATCTTACAAACAAGGAAAGGATTGTAGGAGATTAAGCATTATCATCAATAACATAATGGAGTATATATGGCTAAAAATAAGAGTAATAAATACATCATCTCAACGACAAGTCATGCAAATATCAGAGCCATCAATTTGGATCCCGATCCAACGTTTTTCTTAATTAAAATTTGATGAACCAATAAGATCCAAATTGGACCATTGAGGGGAGTGATCATTGCTAAATCTCGAGCTCAACTTGTTATTAAGAAAATGCTAGGGAAAATCATTTTGGTGGATTAGGGTTTATTCCATAACAAATAAAATGTCTCAGCTTCTAGCCTAGTAGAAAAAGATCTTAACTTGCAGACCACGGTCTCAGGTTCGAACGTCCATGGCATCTTAATTGTGTGTGCGACTATCTCTTGTACTAAAAAATAAGTCTATTTTAACTTTATTGTTTGGTTATGTGATAATTATTGAGGAGGTGAATTCGAACTTGAGTGCAAAAGGGCATGCACATCAGCCTCAGGCATGTACTGGTCAGTGTCACTAAGGTAATCATTGCTAAATCTCGAGCTCAGCTTGCGTACCTCTTGCGCCTCTTTTGGTTCTCTCCCGCGACATGGTTTCAGTTTCTGTTCAAAGTAAACAAAGATGGTGAACTCAAACTGAAAAAACACAAAACAAATCCGGGTTGCATATAGGAGTCTCTGCCCGTACCCGTTTGCCCGGCCCATTCGCGTGGGTTGAATAAAACGGGCAATATTTATATGGGTTTATCTGTTTATTCAGGACCCGCTTATAGCAAGCCCAAAAAGTAAGTACATTTTGACCCTGCAACAACCAGAGACCTCTACAGTCTTTCAAATCCTTACTGGCTTCCTCCACAGGTTAGTGGGTTTTTGGGTTTTTCGTTCCGAGTTTTTGTTTCACACTTTTCCCAATTGAATGTGGTCTTTTTGTAAACTTTCTGCATTTACGCTTTTGGCTGGATGAGGTTAGTGTGATATTGGTATATTGCAGACCACCCATATGTGATAATTCCTGAAAGAACTTGCTATAGAATGGTGAAAGCTTATGGTAGATAGTAGTAGCAGCTTGGTTTGCGCCCTTTCTTAATTTGGTTTAGCCATTAGCCTAGAATACGTAGAGCCCTTTTCATGGACACAGGTAGCAGTTGGTATTTGATGGGGCTTTGTTTGTATTGCTGCTCTGTTATCAATTGGTAGCGGCAGCAGCATTTTGGGTTTTTTGCTCTGAAATTATGCAGCCATTCAGTTAGTACTGGCTGTACCTCTCGTCTCTTTTGTCTTTATCCACCGTAAACCTTGCTATATAGACAATACAAGGCACTTTGATGGAAATGACTGAAACTTGCCAGCTAAAAGCTCTTGTTCTATCAGCTTAAGTGAAGTTGTGGTGCCACTCATTTTATTTTTCATGGTTCATGTTGCTTTAACTGTTAAATTATGGCCAAGTTTCATGCTCATTTCCTTTTCACCCCAAACCCCTCTTTCCTAATCAAATCCTTTTTAACGTGCCAGTAGTTGTATTTGGCCTGCCCGTTTGCTTCTGTTATATTGACAGCAGCTTAATGTTTCTACTAGTTTTGTATTTTGTTCTTTTTTGTACCTTATGTAGATCTATAAGAGATATTCTTGTTGAATTTATACTTTTTTATTAGCTTTGTTCAATTTTTACCGTCTTTCCCTTATGAATAAGTTTCTCAAATATATGTTTTTGTCATGGAGTTTGCTTCTGATCGTGCATCAAACCTTCAATTCCTGAGGCAGGGTGGTGGAGAAATAGAACAAATTTAGAAGAAGCTCTGACATAAAGGTTGAAAATGAGTGCTGAAGCTTTGCAAGTTGCTAAGGTGTACCGCCACCTTCTCAGGGCTGTCAAGAAACACGTTGCCAAAGAAGACAGGGCGAGGCATTTCAAAGAATACGTAACTGAAGAATTCAGGAACAACTGCAAACTGTCAGATCCATCTTCCATTCAGCAGAAGATTAAGCTTGCCCATAACTACACTTTTCTTCTTAACAGTGTGCACCATCACCAGGTACGGATGTAATTCATTGCTCTGTCTGATCAAAGTTTTTTTCTTTTTGCAAATTGTAAGGTCCCTGTCATGTTCCATTATGTTGGTTTTCTTTTTAATCTCCATCAAGCATCTAACTTTGTATAATGGATGTGCAGGACCTGTTGTTTCTCTTACAACATTGCTGTGGATAGATCAGATGAGATGAAAAAGTACTTGGAAAATCGGCTGCAAGTGTTGGGTCTTCAACTTCCTGAGGTTTATCAGCCTTGATATTTAGTCGGCTATAATCTGCTACATCCTATTCTGGCAGAGAAAAGAAAATCAACAACTTATTTGGATAGGTCAGCCACATAGCATACCTCGCCAGAGTAGAAGTAGCTTGACGGCTGACACGACCGACACGTGTACAACTTTTTACCGTTTGATTCACCATTGGTCAAGCAGGAAGAAGTTGATGGGCACCACCAATTGGCATTGGCAGCTTCTTAGAGAGGAGCCCGATCACAATGCTGACGGGTAGAGACAAAAGGGTGAAGAGAAAGTCAACAAAATCCTTGCCAGCTTCGGCGAAGAGAACTTTTTTATGCTTTTTGTCAATGAGGAGCTTCAAACTAACTGGAGAAGCAGAGACTGATTTGGTTTTGGGTTTGGATTTGGAGGGGGCCATTGAGGAAGAGTGAGTAAGAAACAAGATTATTAAGGACCTATTTATTTGTAGACCCACTACTTTGAGAAATTGAAACGTTTTTCAATGGTCATTTGGATGGACCTTATCCAAATTATACGTTTTTTCAATTGTCATTTTGGGGGAAATCCTCTTCTTTTTTTGGGATAGATTATTCAATTATCTTTATGACATAACCTAGCATGACATTTCATATTTTTATTCATGGGCTTACGAGATGTTGCAGGATATTCATTCTCGTACCTTGGGGGTGAAGGCTAACCAATCAAATTAAGCAAACAATTTCTTCATCCAAAGGGAAATGATCCGAAATAGTCATTACATAAATCCAAAATAAGGAAAACCTCCAAATTGACATCATAGAATACAAATCTCATTTCACGAAGCACAAGTGTTTAGGCCTTCTTATTACGAATCTCATCATAGAATACGAATCTCATTAGTAAGGACTGTAATAGAATAGAAATCCCAATCCACAAACCAAAATGAAACCCCAAAAGCTCAATGTCTCTAGAGGACCAAAGTTGAAAAGTTTGTGCTGTTTCTTTCCAAGGAAGACATTGGTAAGAGCGGTATTTGACTCCAGTGATGCCTTCACCAACTTCAAACCCTACAAGAGAGAGAAATATACACGTAAGACATTTAGCTATCTAAATAGATCAACAAGCCTCTGATAAGAGTTAGAGAAATATATAGGACATGAAACCTCTTGCATGCCAAGATCAACCTCCTTAACTTGAAGTGCATCAATCCCCTTCACGTTGAACTTTTGAAGCACTGCAACATTTTATTCGGTGGTCATTGGCTTCACTTCCAAATTATCCATTATCATGTAAATAACACCACCCTTGACATAGCCAGCCTTAATATTGCTCGAGTCATTGTTGGTCGGCAATGGCAATTGAAGGATATTGGCCGCAGAAATTGTTGTTTTTTGGGTTTTGAGCAGGGTGTCCTTAAGATTGAGTGGCAAGTATGAGTCGACACTAAGAGTTTCGGCACTTTCGTAAAGGTTGCCTAAGCAACCAACCATACCATCAGTTGAGAGGAGCCTAGTATAACAGTTGCAACATGCAAAGACAGAAAACTGAAAAGGAAATCAACAACTTCCTTGCTTGCTTCAGCTTCAGCAAACAGAACTTTGTGGCTTTTTGTGTCAACCAGAAGCTTCAAACTCGTGCTAGCCCTGTTGGTGGTAGCCATTGAGGGGATATTAAGGACAGAAAAGAAGGAGCATGTGCTTAAGCATTCAAAGACCTATTTAAGCTTCACAAAAGAAGTTATCCCAAATTCAAAATTATTCAAAAAGGCAATGGTGAATGGATCCAGAAGGTGGAGGGTCACCTTGGACTCTGCATCATCAGTCGATCAGAAAACAACTCTACATATACAAATCTGTCATTACCTATACATAGGTAATATATTCTACGGATGAGTGAAAAATATGTATTTATTTCCACTAGTTGGCATCCATTAACTAAACCAACAGCCGGATTTACAATTCGTTTTGTTTTGTATTTGCTTTTTCATATTAGTTGTATTGTATCTTCAGGCTTACTAGTTTAGAGGCAAAAGACAGTGAAAAAGCCAACTAACAGGTCTATGCTCCCTTCAGCAAACGGAATTTTGTGGCTTTTTTACATGGACTAGGAGTTTCACCTTAGTTTTGGTGAACGCCATTGATGACTTCAAGAAGACTGATCCATAATTACATGGATGAGTTTATTCTTTGGAATGGATGATGAACTTCATAGATCAAGTAAGAGGAGAGAAATTTGATAGGTAAAGAGAGAGAGAAGATAATAGATCACTAGAACATGTAATTTTGTCACACGTACGCGTGAGTGTGGATTAATCTGGTGTGAAAAGTAGGAGGAGCTGTAATGCAAGGCATCAAAAAGCTTTTATAACCTTGCAAACTGCCACTTTAGAAACAAAACTACATTTGATGTATTTAGAAATTGAAGTAAGAATTTGTGTGACATGACAAGGGTTTGAGTTGCAAGGTGTCCGTTTTAGTTAACCATAGGTTTCATGCAAATGTTAACCACCAACATGCAAAGACAGAAGAGTGAAAAGAAAATCAACAACTTATTTGCTTGCTTGTAACTCTTTGTGCAAAGAGGATAGAGAAGGACGACAGGCGTATAATATGCCTGAAAAGCCTTAGAAAGACCTATTTATAAGCTTAGACAAGCCTTAGAAACGAATGGTACTAAAGCATATGAACTCATAAACCTGCCCAAATGGATAAAAACAGAGAACTGTTATAAAAGTTGATCTCCTGCCAGCTGGTTTGAGATTTGATCATGCCAAAAAGAAACTAAGAAATGGAGGTCCAAAACATAAAATCAACAGAAAAACCAATAGAAAAACCAAAAACAAAACAGTGCATATGCCTTAGAGCAGCGGAGCAGTGTAGATGAGCAAGTTTACTTCAGCCGCACGATCGGTTCTCCTTGTTCATTTTTGTATCAACGACAGTGCAAAAGGATCATTGGGAAAGCAGATTGGTTTCCTTGGACTTGTTGGATCGTTTTGACCATATCTTGCGGTGTAATATTTGTTACCAATAAGATCAGAGGGCCAAAGTTGAAATAATCCAATGTAAGCCAATACAGTCAATGTCAATATCCACAAACTAAAAGGAACCTCCAAAAGCTCAATTTCTTTAGAGGACCAAAGTTGAAACCTTCATGCACTTTATTACCAAGGAAAACATTTGTAAGAGCGGTTTTTGACTCAAATGATGCCTTCACCAACTTCAAACCCTAAGAAGCAAAAGCAAAAACAAAATATGTTGTATCAATCAATAGACACAGATAGAGAACACTATTTATTGTAAACAAAACAAAACTATTTATTGTTGTCTTGGGTTTCAGCAGGGAGTCTTTGTTAAGATTGGGTTGCATGTATGTGTCACTGAGATTTTCGAGACTCTCGTAAAGTTTGCCTAAGCAACCAACCATGCCACCATTAGAGAGGAGGAGCCTAGTCACGGTTGCAACATGCAAGGACATAAGAGTGAAGAGAAAATCCACAACTGCCTTGCTTGCTTCAGCAAGCAAGCAAAAACATGTTTAAATGCAGGAGATGGAACAAAATCAAGTGAAATGGCCTAAGGTTGCATGCACCCTATTAGTTAGTATTTCAGTACAAGATCATCAGACTAGGAAGGTTGATTCACTAGTGACCTGCCACATGACTGTGAAAACAGTGTAACCCTAATTCCACGCCAACCAAAAGCTCATTATCTTTCAATTTCGAACCAACTTAAGTCAGTTCCGGTACACCCAGAGGTACCCTTCGAGGATGTGGCATCCAGGGAGCTAGGCGGCGTCTGGGCGCCCGCCTAGGCGGCTCTAGGCGGCCTAGGCGTCTCTAGGCGGCCCTAGGATGGTCTAGGCGGCTCTAGGCGTCCCTAGGCGGCCCTTGGTGGCTCTAGGCACTCAAGGAAGGTCTAGGCGTCCCTAGGCGGATCTAGGCGGCCCTTGGTGGCTCTAGGCACTCAAGGAAGGTCTAGGCGGCTCTAGGAGGGTCTGGGCCGGCGTTTTGCAGTCGAGGCGTGAACGAAGGGCGATGGAAGTGTGCAGGATCCGCTGCTTGTTAGGAAGAAAGACGGATAGACGGAGAGAGAGATCGAGACAGAGAGAGGAAGGAGAAGGCGACGCTGGGAAGAAGAAGATATCTGACCTAATTTTAATATTTGAAAAGTATAGCCGATCGGCTAGACTATTAATTTGAAAAAAAAACCAGAGTATAAAGGCGTGGCCATACTATTTTTATATTTTATATTTAACCAGTATAGCCGCCCGGCTATACGATTAATTTCAGGAAAAAAAAATTGAAAAATGGAGTATAACCGCTAGGCTGTACTCTTTTAATATGGGTTTAGATATGCAATTATGAAGATCAATTAATTTGATGTTGCTTGAGAATTGCCGTTCCTAAGTGATGACATCATTGCTTTTTTAAGTGAAAAGACATCATTGCTTTTTTAAGAGAGAAGAAGAAAGCAGAAGAATCTGATCTCTTTGTATTAGTTTGAAGTCCAATACGTACCCAATCCAATTCATTCATCCATATTCAAAAACAAACATTACAAAAGAAGCTTCAAAATGTCAACTTGAAATGCTGCTTAAAGGAACACATTTGTCATAACTGCATTTGACTGCAATGATGTCCTTCAACAATTTCAAACCCTAACAAGGAAATTAAACAAAAATGCTCTTCGCCATAACTTCTTATAGAATACCAAGTGCAATATTTGAATATATAGAATGGTAATTTATCAGGTTAGAAAAATTAATAAACACAAACCTTATCCTTATCGAGAGGAACCACAATCTCTTCAAGTGAACGAACATCCCTAACATCGAAGTTTTGAAGCAGAGCGATACTTGAAATGGCAGACATAGGCTTCACTTCCATATCATCCGTTATCATGTAAGTCACAGCCTCTCTCACAAACCCACCTCCCTTGCCGCTGGTTGCAATTGCCAGCCGAGCAACATAAGTCGTGGGTTTGGAAATGAAGTTATGGCACTTTGGACAAATGGCCTTAGGGTCATCAGCCACATAGCATACCTCCCCAGAGTAGGAGTAGCTTGACGGCTAACATGACCGACACGTATACAACTTTTTACCTTTTGATTCACCGTCAGTCAAGCAGGAAGAAGTTGATGGGCACCACCAATTGGCATTGGCAGCTTCTTAGGTTTTAGAAGGACATCCTTGTTGAGGTTGGGTTGCAAGTATGTGTCATTTAAGTTTTCTAAGCTGCCTTAGAGTTTGCCTAAACAACAGATCATGCGTTTTCTAGAGAGGAGCCCAATCACAATGCTGACAGGTAGAGACAGAAGGGTGAAGAGAAAGTCAACAAAATCCTTGCCAGCTTCGGCGAAGAGAACTTTTTTATGTTTTTTGTCGATGAGGAGCTTCAAACTAACTGGAGAAGCAGAGATTGAACGGTTTGCAATAAAATTCTTCCGCCCCCTCCCTATACATGAATTGGAGATGAAATGGGGCCAAATTTTGAGATTTTTTTTGGGTTTAGCCCCAAGGTTGGAGAAGGCCTTACAAAAGGTGCAAAGCAACCGCATATATACATAGAGATAGCCATAGAAAGAGAGATTTTTTTAGTTGGTAACTAAGTAAAGAATTATAAATGTAGAACTGTTTGGCATTGGAGTTAGAGTAATGCTACACTTACCACATTTTTATCCCACATTTCTATACCACATGATGTGGCATGTCCATATTATATGCCACATCAATTAAATCAATTAAGTGTATTTTAATTAAGACAATTAGAAAAACAAATACTGGAATAAATCATAAAAGAAAAGAAAATATTAAATAATTTTAATTGATATGGCTGTCCACCTCAGCTGCCACATAAGATGGTATAAGGATGTGGTATACAATGTGATAAGAGTAGCATTATTATTATTGGTCAGCAAATGATGACTTGGGTTTGAGCAACGTGTCCTTGCCAAGATTGGGCTGCAAATCTTATAAAGTTGGCCTAAGCAGCCAACCATGCTGTTCTTGGAGAGGAGCCTAATGATGGTGCCAACATGCAGAGACAGAATAGTTAAGAAACAATCAACAATTTCTTTGCTCACTTCAGCAAACAAAACTTTGTGGCTTTTTGTGTCTATTAGGAGCTTCAACCTCACACTAGGGTTGGAGGTTGCTGCCATATTGAACTAGTGATGAAGAAGACATAGCTTATTGTCTACAGCATATGCCAATATTTGTTTCGTATTGCATAGATTCATAATTGAAGCACTCAGACATTGCCTTTATTGCAGTGAACCTCAACATTTGTATCATGGTACAGGGATTGTGCCAATGAAACTCAACATTGGAACTTGGTCTTCATCAACATGCATCTAGAGCTTGATCTCTATTTCTCTCACCCTTTTAGGACTTTAGGGAGCCACTTAGCAGACTCTTTGGGAATGCGCTTGAGATTGTTTCTGTAATCGATGTAGTAAAGTCCGAATCGTAAGGTATAGACATATCTTGAGGCTTCTTTGGAGCTAAAGGATCATTGCGGTAGCAGATTGGCTTCATTAGACTTGCAGGGTTGTTTTTACCATATCTTGAGGTGTAATAGTTGATGCCAACAAAATCAAAGGAATCCTTCAACAATCTCCTTTCTTCCTTGGTGAAAATGGGCAGCCTTTCCTTGACCAAATGTACTCATGCTCTTTGGATAATCTCCATATACCAATGGCTCTGTGTACCATCCAAGTTCAAAGTCCAAATTTCTCTTTACTGCAGCTCTGTCTTCTGTTGATTCTGAGTAAGGCTCCACATATTCTCCTATAAGACTAATTCCAATTTGTCCACCTTGTTTCTCTGTAAAGCTCAACAACAGTGGCATGGGCTAGGACTCCTAGGAGAGATCTATGGCTCACAATGTAAGGTTCAGTGACTGAATTTCCTTCCCTGCATGGAAACCCTGCTGGAACAGAAAGCCTTCCCAGCGCATAAATTCCAAGGTCATATCCCAATTTGACAATGATCAACGGCTTGTTGTTTGCGATCCAATTTTTTACCCTGTCTCCAAATGTTCTAAAACAGATTTCAGTGTAAGCCTTGAAATCATCCACAAAGGAACTTCAATGGGCTGAAAAGGATATGGTGTTAACTGCCCACAAAGGAACACATTGGTGAGAACTGCATTGGATTCCAATGATGCCTTCAGCAATTTCAGACCCTAAGAATTCATGAAAAGAAAATCATCATTTTGAATAAGATAAAAATACCTCCAAACAAAACAAAAACAAAAAGAACGCAAACCTCATCCATGCCTAGATGAACGATCCTCTCTTCAAGGGTACCAACTTCCTTAACATTGAACTTGCTCAGCATCACGATATGGTAGACATAGGCTATAAGAACTCACTTCAATTTCTGATGGCCGCTATAAGAAAACTGGTGTTTGATTATGTGTTTTGCATCCTGAAAACACAAAGATGTGACCGAAAAGTTATTGCTAGAGAGAGCAATAGAGATTTTAGCCTGTAAAAGTAGTATGTAATTTATAAAAGCTTTTTGTATTTTGTATTTTGGTTTTTACCTATAATGACAATTTTTTTTAATTAATGCCTGAATTTTCTGGTGGATATATATTGTCAGATAGGAAAGCTGATGAAGGGGCTTAATCCAATGTCCTTTGGAGTCCTTGTGTTTGTGTCTCCTTATCTGTGACAACAGCTTTCAAAACTGGAGTCGTAGCTCTCGCTGTAAGTAATTAACATAATTCTTTAATTACTGATGTTGGTTAGGCCTGTTGATCACGAGAAAGAACATGTTGTATTGCAAACCATTCTTAATTATAACAATTAATGGATTGTGGGTTTTCCTAATTGCTATGTGCAGGAAGGAATAGCAGTAGGGACAGGGAGAAGCTTTTCCATGTTCAAGAATTACCACATTGATGGGAACAAAGAAATGATTGCCATTGGGATGATGAACATTGCTGGTTCTTGCACTTCTTGCCACCTCACCACAGGTTAATCACTAATCGTACACATTTAGGGTTTATTCTTAATTAGATTCATTTCATGTTGCTAATTAAGCGAAATTTTTTCATCAATATTCAAGGCCATTTTCCAGATCAGCAGTTAACTACAATGCAGGATGGCAATGTCAACGTTGTCATGGCAATTGCGGTTATGTCACATTGTTGTTCCTCACTCCTCTGTTCCATTACACTCCCCGGTTGTTCGGTGTCACCCCGACCCCAATTATCCCATGTTTTTAATTTATTTAAGTGAATTGAGAAATACCCGTGGGATAGGGGTATTTTAGTCATTTTCTTATCCGGAAGGAATTTGGGAATTCCGGTTGTACCGTTGCGTAGAGCACGGTGAGATGAGTCCGTAGACACGTAGTGGGCTCGAATCGGAGTTGTAACGAGAGAGATATGATCAAATGAAGCTCAGTGGCATAATCGTAAATATTTTGAAAGTGGGATTTTTGGTTAAAAGACGGAATTGCCCCCGTCTCTCTCACACTCTCTCTCTCCCGCGCGTCGCCTCTCTCTCTCCTCTGGTTCGCGACAGCCACCGTGGCCGACCACGTTTTGGCCGGCCGTTCGCTCGTCCGGCCACCAAAGTCGACGGGGCCGGTACCAAAATGACCGGGCCGCCGTCCTCTTCCTACCCCAGCCAGGTCTCGCCGTCAGCCGTCGAGATTTCGCCGGAAAATCGAAGAGAAAAGCTCGGTTTCGCCCGAAACTTCGCCGGCTTCGTTCTCCGTCGTCCGGCCGCCATTTTTGGCGATCAAGGTATGGAAATTCATCCCTTCTGCATGATCTAGCTGATGGTTGGGTAGGATTGTATCGATTTTGAGCCTAGATTATCTGATTTTCGAGTTAGGGTTCGGCCGGATTTCGGGATGAGATTCCGGCCACTTCCGGTCAGTTTTTGGGGTACGTCCAAGAACAAAAGTGACTCCAAATTAGGTGTATTACCTAGGGTAGGAGTCTGGGCTCCGATTTGGAAGTTTTCCGGCGATGGGTATCGCTTTGGACACCCACGCGCTGCCGGCGCGTGTGGCGGCGCGTGGGCACTGTAGCTGAGGGGCATTTTTGTCCCAATGTGATCCTCAGGTTGTCACGAGCGCGTAGGTGTGCTCGGATCTCAATTTGGATATCGTTAGAGTCCCGAACGGATATCGCATATCGCGTGTTTTCCGGGTTCGCTGGGTTTGGACCGTTGGATGGTCCTGAGATTATATATGTTGATCTAGGTATTACCAAGATCGTGTAGGATTCGACGGATCGTAAAACGGAGTCCCGGATACTCCGGAAATGCCAACCCTGGGGTTAGGGTTTTAGTAACCGTCCGATCGTGTGATCGTGAGCGATCCGACCGTCCGATCAGACCAAACTTGCAGGACGTGCATCCTAGAGCTTGTAGAACCTATAGGAACTTTCGGATCGGAAATTGGAGGTCGTGGGCCCCGCGGGCCCGTTGGACCAAGGTTGGGTATTTGACCCTGGTTTGTCTGTGGGACTTCCTTGGTAGTATTACATTCCTAGGAAGATTAAAATGACCGTGTTGACAGGCCCCGTACTGGCCGGGTACGTCCCGACGTATGAGTGGGTGATATGATGGTATAAGGGCTGGTGAGAATGTAGCCAGGCCCAGTGTGAGGTCGCACGCGTCTTTGGGTTAGCCGGCGTGTTGACAGCCCCGTACGTGGCCGGGTACGTCCCGACGTATGAGTGGGTGATATGATGGTATAGGGCTGGTGAGAATGTAGCCAGGCCCAGTGTGAGGTCGCACGCGTCTTTGGGTTAGCCGGCGTGTTGACAGGCCCCGTACGTGGCCGGGTACGTCCCGACGTATGAGTGGGTGATATGATGGTATAAGGGCTGGTGAGAATGTAGCCAGGCCCAGTGTGAGGTCGCACGCGTCTTTGGGTTAGCCGGCGTGTTGACACCCCGTACGTGGCCGGGTACGTCCCGACGTATGAGTGGGTGATATGATGGTATAAGGGCTGGTGAGAATGTAGCCAGGCCCAGTGTGAGGTCGCACGCGTCTTTGGGTTAGCCGGCGTGTTGACAGGCCCCGTACGTGGCCGGGTACGTCCCGACGTATGAGTGGGTGTTATGATGGTATAAGGGCTGGTGAGAATGTAGCCAGGCCCAGTGTGAGGTCGCACGCGTCTTTGGGTTAGCCGGCGTGTTGACAGGCCCCGTACGTGGCCGGGTACGTCCCGACGTATGAGTGGGTGATATGATGGTATCAGGGCTGGTGAGAATGTAGCCAGGCCCAGTGTGAGGTCGCACGCGTCTTTGGATTAGCCGGCGTGTTGACAGACCCCGTACGTGGCCGGGTACGTCCCGACGTATGAGTGGGAGATATGATGGTATGATGGCTGGTGAGAATGTAGCCAGGCCCAGTGTGAGGTCGCACGCGTCTTTGGGTTAGCCGGCGTGTTGACAGACCCCGTACGTGGCCGGGTACGTCCCGACGTATGAGTGGGAGCTATGCGATTATGTTTGGTGTGTTGTGATGGATAAATCCTAGAATGTATGAATTTGTATGGCTGTAATGATTTATTGATGTCAGGAGCCAGGATTGATAGGAAAGAGCTACGTGTGGCTTGATCCCTTAGTAGGGTACGTAGGCAGCCTGGGATAGCGCCTAGGTGCAGCCACGACTTAGACACCACTTAGGTGGTTTCATTGTGTATGATGCGGACCTCGTGGTTGGTCCCGAAACTTGGTTGAATTGAGACTGGTCCGGTGAACTGAGTGAGCGAAGGTGTGCATAGTTAGATTTTGAATTGGTTCTGTGCATGTTTGATGCATGGAGTTATTTTAAAAGCAGTGTGAGTAGTTCTGCTAGAATCATTTGAAGGCTGGAGGCCATTTATGTAAATTGCCTGAGATTATATTGTGCGTGCTGCTGGTTGGGTTATAAAATGTGTTTTATGCAGGTGGAAATTTTGGGGAATGTTTAATTTACAGGGGAGACTCTGCCGAAATTTTGGCAGAAAGTCTCGTGCCCTAAATCCTCTTGGTAAACGAGGACGTAGATTTAAGGAGTAAACCCGGCGTGGGTGTGATGCCGGGGTCTCCGCAGGGTTCGTCTCGGGTTCCGGGAAATTCGGGACGGGTCCTGTCAGCTTGGTATCAGAGCTTAGGTTCAATTTCTTGTGGACCCCACACCTTGTGTGCATCCTTAAGTTGTGGGATCATGATGGGTTCCGTCACGGGACGTCATCATTTTGATGCGGAGGATTCTTTGACATGGATGGATTTAGGGTATTGATGAGTACACTTAAGGGTGCCACGTTCCTTGAAACGTGTCTATCCAAATTGTCGTATCTCAATATCCTATGGAAGGAAACGGAAGAGCCGAAAGTATTGAATCCGCTGAGATGAGACGAAATTGTCAGAGGTAGTTGATGGACAAGTTACATGGGAATGGTGGAGTTGTGAGTCCGACCAAGGAGGGTCGTGACAAATTAAATTGAGAAGTAGTAGTGTTGGATGAAGTTTGTAGAGTTCTTATGGGCAGGAGGACATGGAGTTGATCAATCTACTTCTAGAGATCCTCCATTGCCTGAACATGTTGCTAATTCTCGATTGTGTGCAGTGAGCACGTTTGAGCAGAAATCTTTCATCGGAATCAGAAATGGGTCATGGTAGAGAGAGGAAGATGATGATTACAATTCGGTAAAAATGATCCTTTCTGACATTCCTCTCAAAGAATCGTGTTGGCAATGTTGCTTATCGATTCTAGAGAAAGAAGAAAGATATCAACAAGTCAAGGAGTTTGGACTTCTCTTCATGGGAGAGCTAGAAGAGAATCAAATCACAAATGGAAGCGTTTAGCTTTCAGAGGAAGATTAAGCATTACCGCAGTTATTGAAGGATATTCTTAGTGGAAGAAAGAGACTTCTCTTCTTCTGCTTGTTTGGATAGAGCGAATGGCTTAACTGCCAACCTGGTTGTGGAGGATGAAGCATGGGAACCCGAGTAGTAGATGCGGGCCCAGCACCCACACCCTTTGGAGTGGCAGGTATGAAATTTCGGGGACGAAATTTTTATAAGGGGGGTAGTCTGTAACACCCCGACTCCAAATTTATCCCCTGTTTTAATTAATTTGAGTGAAATTAAGAATTTACCCGAGGGATGGGTATTTTAGTCATTTTCTTACCCGGAATGAATTTGGGAATTTCGGATGTACCGTTGCGTAGAGCACGGCGAGATGAGTTCGTAGACACGTAGTGGGCTCGAATCGGAGTTGTAACGAGAGAGATATGATCAAAAGAAGCTCAGTGGCATAATTGTAAATATTTGGAAAATGGATTTTTGGTTAAAAGACGGAATTGCCCCCGTCTCTCACACTCTCTCTCTCTCCCGCGCGCGTCTCTCCCTCTGGTTTTCGCGACAGCCACTGTGGCCGGCCACGTTTTGGCCGGCCGTGCTCTCGTCCGGCCACCAAAGTCGACGGGGCCGGTACCAAAATGACCGGGCCGCCGTCCTCTTCCTACCCCAGCCAGGTCTCGCCGTCAGCCGTCGAGATTTCGCCGGAAAATCGAAGAGAAAAGCTCCGGTTTTGACAGAAACTTCGCCGGCTTCGTTCTCCGTCGTCCGGCCACCGATTCCGGCAAGTGAGGTATGGTTTCTCACCTATTTTCCGAGCTCTAGCTGCCTGTTGGGTAGGAATTGATCGATTTGTAGCGTAGACAACTCGATTTACGAATTGGGTTTTGGCCGGATTTCGGGAAGAGATTCCGGCCACTTCCGGTCAGTTTTTGGGGTACGTCCAAGAACAAAAGTGACTCCAAATTAGGTGTATTACCTAGGGTAGGAGTCTGGGCTCACGATTTGGAAGTTTTCCGGCGATGGGTATCGCTTTGGACACCCACGCGCTGCCGGCGCGTGTGGCGGCGCGTGGGCACTGTAGCTGAGGGGCATTTTTGTCCCATTGTGATCCTCTCGATGTCACGAGCGCGCAGGTGTGCTCGGATCTCAATTTGGATATCGTTAGAGTCCCGAACGGATATCGCATATCGCGTATTTTCCGGGTTCGCTGGGTTTGGACCGTTGGATGGTCCTAATATTGTAATATGTTGATCTAGGTATTACCAGGATCGTATAGGATTCGACGGATCGTAAAACGGAGTCCCGGATACTCCGAAAATGCCAACCCTGGGGTTAGGGTTTTAGTAACTGTCCGATTGTGTGATCGTGAGCAATCCGACCGTCCGATCTGGACCAAACTTGCAGGACATGTGTTCTAGAGCCTATAGAACCTATAGGAACTTTCGGATTGGAGTTTGGAGGTTGTGGGCCCCGCAGGCCCGTTTGACCCTAGGTTGACCGTGAGACTTCCGAGATAGTCTTACCTTTCCTTGAGGGTTAGGATGACCTTAGTGACAGGTCTTGAGCGTTGTTGAGTTAAATGGATATTGTGGGTTAGGATATAAATTGGTGAATTTAAATGTTGGAGTTTATGGAATATTTTATTGGTGGATGAAATTATATGATATATTTAATTAATTGTGTGGACGTGTAATGATATATAAAGAGATTGAATGTTAGTTTACAGTGCTATACGCACTACCCCACGTACCCCCTTATGGTGATTATGTTGAGGCCCAAGTGACAGTGTGAGGCCCCGTACGTGGCCGGGTACGTCCCGACGTATGAGTGGGTGTTATGATGGTATAAGGGCTGGTGAGAATGTAGCCAGGCCCAGTGTGAGGTCGCACGCGTCTTTGGGTTAGCCGGCGTGTTGACAGGCCCCGTACGTGGCCGGGTACGTCCCGACGTATGAGTGGGTGATATGATGGTATCAGGGCTGGTGAGAATGTAGCCAGGCCCAGTGTGAGGTCGCACGCGTCTTTGGGTTAGCCGGCGTGTTGACAGGCCCCGTACGTGGCCGGGTACGTCCCGACGTATGAGTGGGTGATATGATGGTATAAGGGCTGGTGAGAATGTAGCCAGGCCCAGTGTGAGGTCGCACGCGTCTTTGGGTTAGCCGGCGTGTTGACAGGCCCCGTACGTGGCCGGGTACGTCCCGACGTATGAGTGGGTGTTATGATGGTATAAGGGCTGGTGAGAATGTAGCCAGGCCCAGTGTGAGGTCGCACGCGTCTTTGGGTTAGCCGGCGTGTTGACAGGCCCCGTACGTGGCCGGGTACGTCCCGACGTATGAGTGGGTGTTATGATGGTATAAGGGCTGGTGAGAATGTAGCCAGGCCCAGTGTGAGGTCGCACGCGTCTTTGGGTTAGCCGGCGTGTTGACAGGCCCCGTACGTGGCCGGGTACGTCCCGACGTATGAGTGGGTGATATGATGGTATCAGGGCTGGTGAGAATGTAGCCAGGCCCAGTGTGAGGTCGCACGCGTCTTTGGATTAGCCGGCGTGTTGACAGACCCCGTACGTGGCCGGGTACGTCCCGACGTATGAGTGGGAGATATGATGGTATGATGGCTGGTGAGAATGTAGCCAGGCCCAGTGTGAGGTCGCACGCGTCTTTGGGTTAGCCGGCGTGTTGACAGACCCCGTACGTGGCCGGGTACGTCCCGACGTATGAGTGGGAGCTATGCGATTATGTTTGGTGTGTTGTGATGGATAAATCCTAGAATGTATGAATTTGTATGGCCGTAATGATTTAATTGATGTCAGGAGCCAGGATTGATAGGAAAGAGCTACGTGTGGCTTGATCCCTTAGTAGGGTACGTAGGCAGCCTGGGATAGCGCCTAGGTGCAGCCACGACTTAGACACCACTTAGGTGGTTTCATTGTGTATGATGCGGACCTCGTGGTTGGTCCCGAAACTTGGTTGAATTGAGACTGGTCCGGTGAACTGAGTGAGCGAAGGTGTGCATAGTTAGATTTTGAATTGGTTCTGTGCATGTTTGATGCATGGAGTTATTTTAAAAGCAGTGTGAGTAGTTCTGCTAGAATCATTTGAAGGCTGGAGGCCATTTATGTAAATTGCCTGAGATTATATTGTGCGTGCTGCTGGTTGGGTTATAAAATGTGTTTTATGCAGGTGGAAATTTTGGGGAATGTTTAATTTACAGGGGAGACTCTGCCGAAATTTTGGCAGAAAGTCTCGTGCCCTAAATCCTCTTTGGTAAACGAGGACGTAGATTTAAGGAGTAAACCCGGCGTGGGTGTGATGCCGGGGTCTCCGCAGGGTTCGTCTCGGGTTCCGGGAAATTCGGGACGGGTCCTGTCATTCTGTCTGCTATTATAATAGCTGCCATGCTTGGCCTCATAGACTATGAAGCCGCAATTCTCCTCTCGAAGGTTGACACGTTTGACTTTGTTCTGCATGAGTGCCTGTATCGTGTCGTTTTTGGCAGCGTTGAAATCGGCCTAGTCTTAGTGGTACGTACCACTATATGTCACACCAGTAAAAAGTTATTGTGTGTGACAATAACACCATATCAACAACTTAACATTACTTATTAGAACTAATATTTCTTTTTTCTTGTGTGTAGGTTGCAATATCTACTTTCGTTTGTGGCAGTTTTGTTCAAGGAAACCTTCCGAATTCCACAGAAATGTTGAGCAGTATCCCAATGCAAGCAATGTTCCTGGAATTCTCATACTTGAGATTGATGCTCCCATTTACTTTGCAAATACCAACTACTTAAGAGAAAGGTACTAATTAATTAAACCTGAACACACTCTTGCATGTTATAATCAAATTTAAAAATAATAATTTGAAAGTTGATCCAAAGTCCTACCTGTTTTCAGGATTACAAGGTGGATAAATGATGAGGAAGATGGGACCAAATCTGCAGGGGAAAGTAGCTTGCAATATGTGATATTGGATATGACTGGTAATTAAGGGAAACAAATAGTGCACATATATATATATATATATAATTATTGTGACATTTTTTACCCTGAAATTAATTTGTTTTCTGGTTTAATTTGCAGCTGTTGGTAACATAGACACAAGTGGGATAAGCATGTTTGAAGTGGTCAAAAAGCTTGTTGACAGAAGGGGGCTCCAGGTTCAAAAATCTGCAACAGTCTCTTTCAATTTATCAAATATTTCCTTCCAAATTTTTATTTCATCTGTTTATATAACTCTGTAATTTTGTTCCCATCTGTGTTTAGCTTGTACTGGCGAACCCGGGAAGCGAGGTGATGAAGAAGATGAACAAGTCAGAGTTGATTGAGAATACATGTCAAGAATGGATTTATCTCACAGTTGCAGAGGCTGTTGCAGCATCCAACCTCATGCTTCACTCCACCAAGCCCAACCCCGGCAAAGATCAAGAACCAGCTGCATGGAACAACGTTGATGGCTTTGGCTGTGAATTTATGTATCAGAAAGCAATATCAACATAAATATGAAGACTCATTTGAATTAAGGAGAAATGAATTTCAGGAAACGACGTTTGATGGCTTTGGCGGCTATACTATTAATTTCAGGAAAAAAATTTAAAAAAACATAAAGGAGTATAGCCGTACAGCGATACTCTTTTAATATATTATATTTAAACACTATAGCCGATCGGCTATACTATTTACTTCAAAAAAAACAGCGTATAGCCATTCGGCTATACTATTAATTTCAAAAACACCGTGTATAGCCGTATAGCCGGTTAGCCGTACTCTTTTAATATATTATATTTAAACCATATAGCCGCGCGGTGATACTATTTATTTAAAAAAGGGAAAAATAGTACAGCCTCTCGGCGATACTACTAATTTTTTAAAAATAAAGAAAAACGGAGTATAGCCGTCCGGCTATACTATTAATTTGGGAAAAAATTAAAAAGGTGGTATAGCCGTGTGGCTATACTCTTTTTATATATTTTATTTAAAGAGTACAGCCGCCCGGCTATACGCTGTGTCTTTTTTCAAATTTTTAGTCCAATTAATAGTATAGCAAAACATGAAGAAGAAACATTCAACAGCAAAAGAGTAATACATGAGTCTCAAAAACATCTTGGAGTCACAAGCTCCAAAGTTCTAGCAAAAGTCAGCTCAGCTACCTTAACAGAAGAAACAATCCTCTGAAGGAGCATGGTGAAGTCGATTTCATCAATTTACAACTGACTGATTACCACAAAAAACCTCCAAAATAACAGTGTAAGACACTCTTTATGAATCCCTAGTCCGATTTCAGATGCACAACAGTCAAACAAGCTCTAAAATTCCATTTCCAGAATTGATCAAGTTAGCTTTGATTAAAAGCCTACATGATAATGTATGATGGTTGTATCGTCTATTGATCGAGTGCGTAGAGTAGAAATCAAAGCATAAAAAGTGTATCTATCCTATCCTTCCCAACTTGAATCAATTAAGAAAAGAATAAAAAGTGGGGTTTGTAATTGATGTGCATATATATTTTGCATATTCAAGATGCACATATATTCACAGTTCAAAATGTTGAGAGAAGTTTAGGAATGCACACATCATCCATGCCTAGAAGAACCATCCTCTCTTCAAGGGTACCAACCTCCTTAACATTGAACCTGTTCAACATAGCTATACACGATATGGTAGACATAGGCTTCACTTCCAAATTATCCATTATCATGTATGTAACAACATCTTTCACATACCCTCCTCCACCACCAGACGATCCTTCCGTGATAGCCTGTGCTGCAACATAAGGCACCTCGGTAGAGAGAGTATATTTGCACTGTGGGCAAATGGCTCTAGGATCGTCAGAAATACAGTTACTGCACATCACACAAATGTAGAACAATTTAGAAAGATTCTAGTCTATTGGTCGGCAATGGCAATTGAAGGATATTGGCCTCAGAAATTGTTGGGTTGGGTTTGAGCAGGGTGTCCTTAAGATTGAGTGGCAAGTATGAGTTGACACTAAGGCTTTCGGCACTCTGGTAAACGTTGCCTAAGTAACCCGCCATACCATCCGTTGAGAGGAGCCTAGTAACAGTTGCAACATGCAAAGACAGAAAACTTAAAAAGGAAATCAACAACTTCCTTGCTTGCTTCAGCAAACAGAACTTTGTGGCTTTTTGTGTCAATCAGAAGCTTCAAACTCACGCTAGCGCTGCTGGTGGTAGCCATTGAGGGGATATTAAGGACAGACCTTCACAAAAAAGTATCCTAAATTCAAAATTATTCAAAAATGGCAATGGTGAACGGATCTAAAAGGTGGAGGGTCACCTTGGACTCTAGGCGGCCCTAGGCGGCCCTAGGCGGCTCTAGGCGGGTCTGGGCCGGCATTTTGCCGTTGAGGCGTGGACGACGGGCGGCTGAAGCGCGCAGGATCCGCTGCTTGTTAGGAAAGACGGAGAGAGAGAGAGAGAGATCGAGACAGAGAGGAAGGAGAGGGCGACGCTGGGAATATCTGACCTAATTTTTAAGATAACTAATGGGTTGGGTTTTGTAAAATGGCCTTAAACATTGTATTAAAATGGGCCTTTTTTTTTGAAGCTTCAAACTCACGCTAGCGTGAGTATGGATTAATCTGGTGTGAAAATTAGGAGGAGCTGTAATGCAAGGCATCAAGAAGCTTTTATAAGCTTGCAAACTGCCACTTTAGAAACAAAACTACATTTGATGTGTTTAGAAATTGAAGTAAGAATTTGTGTGACATGACAAGGGTTTGAGTTGCAAGGTGTCCGTGTTAGTTAACCATAGGTTTCATGCAAATGTTAACCACCAATATGCAAAGACAGAAGAGTGAAAAGAAAATCAACGACTTATTTGCTTGCTTGTAACTCTTTGTGCAAAGAGGACAGAGAACTGCCCAAATGGACAAAAGAAAAAACACAGAGAACTGTTATAAAAGTTGGTCTCCTGCCAACTGGTTTGAGATTTGATCGTGCCGAAAAGAAACTAAGAAATGGAGGCCCAAAACATAAAATCAACAGAAAAACCAAAAACAAAACAGTGCAAATGCCGTAGAGAATCAGTGCTTCATAAAGTCCACATTTATCCTTGCGGAGCAGTGTAGATGAGCAAGTTTACTTCAGCCGCACGATCGGTTCTCCTTGTTCATTTTTGTATCAACGACAGTGCAAAAGGATCATTGGGATAGCAGATTGGTTTCCTTGGACTCGTCGGGTCGTTTTTACCATATTTTGCGGTATAATATTTGTTACCAATAAGATCAGAGGGCCAAAGTTGAAATAATCCAATGTAAACCAATACAGTTAATGCCAATCCACAAACTAAAATGAACCTCCAAAAGCTCAATTTCTTTAGAGGACCAAAGTTGAAACCTTCATGCACTTTATTACCAAGGAAAACATTTGTAAGAGATGTTTTTGACTCCAATGATGCCTTCACCAGCTTCAAGCCCCAAGAAGCAAAAGCACAAACAAAATATGTAGTGTCAATCAATAGACACAGATAGAGAACATTCTGTATTGTAAACAAAACAAATTTTACAAAAATATCAAACCTCTTCAATGTCAAGATCAACCACCTTCTCTTCAAAAGCATCAACCGTCTTAAAGTTCAACGTTATAAGCAATGTGATACTTGATACAGTAGACATACCAGCAACTGGTCGCACAACAGAACTGTTCGGCAGGCCTTTGGATCATCGTCGGTCAAAATCCGAAGGACATTAGCTCCAGCAGAAAGTGTCGTAGGTTTCAGCAAGGCCTCGTCCTTGTTAGTAGCAGGTTGTATGTATGTGTCACTGAGATTTTCAACGCTCTTGTAAAGTTTGACTAAGCTTCCACCCATGTCATCCTTGTTAGAGACGAGTTTAGAGGCAATGCCTTGAGGCAAAAGACAATACTAAGCAAATCCACAGAAAGTGTTTTCCCCCTTCAGCAAACAAAAATTTGTGTCCTTTTTACATGTACTTAATTTTGGTGATTGCCATTGATGCCGTCAAGAAGACTGATCGATAATTTTATTAGAAAAGCCTGAAGTGAACTGGTCATGAATACTGGTTGATGGATAGTATATACAACTAGGATTGCTGTTTTTATCTCATTAATTATCATCCTCTGTTTCAGGATTTATCTTCAATAATTACATGATTAATAGATCATTATAAGGCTGCTTTTGAAGATGAGAATTCCTTATTTCACAAGTGATAATCCGTATAGACGAGAAAAGCTAGCTGGTTTATAAGATTTATTTCATTCATATGACTGGGATTATGATCTTGGACTGACTAAACATGGATCTTAATAGCTCAATTTAATTATAAATTGTATTGATCAAATCCATTCACGCATCCTAAACCAGACAAAACTGATTAATCAAATATTCTCCCTGAATTAGATGAGAGTGCTCAATTTGAATCTAAGCCCGCGTACATTATGAGAGAGAGAGAGAGAGAGAGAGAGAGAGAGAGAGAGAGCATTAAGAATAGAATGTTTAATATAAATTGCTTGGCCTGAAAAGGCATTCAGGAATTGGTCCTTGTATTAGTGAATATACAAGAAAAATCTGATTAAGAGTTACCAGGGTGTTACAGCACTGTACAACCAGTTGATTAGCAACAAGGCAGTTAGCAGTTAGAGACCAGCATCATCCTCCTCCTGTACACAGTAAAGTCCAAAACACATTATGTCAGGATTTGAAGAACACAGCAAAGTAAGACTTGTCAAGGAAAATAAAGGTCAACAATCCTGATTGGAATTAATATGGACCCAGCTATTCAAAATCTTTATTTGAAAACTCTATCTTCTTTTTTTTAATTTACTGAGGAAAGATGACATCAAGGAAAATATTATGAAGCATTTTCAAATGGAAACTTTTCCAAGACAACGTTAGCATTTCTCAATTCATTTACCTACTGCAGCTACTGCAGCAAGTGATTCACCTACTGCAGCTGGCCCAAAATAATAGCAAATAAGTTCTGGTTCCATAGCAAGTGATTCAGCAACTTCAAAGATAAAAAGTGCAGAAGCAAAAACATGTTTAAATGCAGGAGATGGAACAAAATCAAGTGAAATGGCCTAAGGTTGCATGCACCCTATTAGTTAGTATTTCAGTACAAGATCATCAGACTAGGAAGGTTGATTCACTAGTGACCTGCCACATGACTGAAAACAAAAGCTCATTATCTTTCAATTTCGAACCAACTTAAGTCAGTTCCGGTACACCAAGAGGTACCCTTCCAGGATGTGGCATCCAGGGGTAGGCGCCAGGGAGCTAGGGCGCCCGCCTAGGCGGCTCTAGGCGGCCTAGGCGTCTCTAGGCGGCTCTAGGCGGCCTAGGCTCTCTAGGCGGCTCTAGGCGGTTCTAGGCGGCCCTAGGAGGGTCTAGGCGGCCCTAGGCGGTCCTAGGCGGCTCTAGGCACTCAAGGAAGGTCTAGGCGGCCCTAGGCGGCTCCAGGCACTCAAGGAAGGTCTAGGTAGCCCTAGGCGGCCCTAGGCGGCCTAGGCGGCTCTAGGAGGTCTGGGCCGGCGTTTTGCCTTTGAGGCCTGGAGGAAGGGCAGTTGAAGTTTGCAGGATCCGCTGCTTGTTCGGAAGAAAGACGGAGAGAGACGGAGAGACAGAGACAGAGACAAAGACAGAGAGAGGAAGGAGAAGGCGCTGGGGAGAAGAAGATATCCGACCTAATTTATATATTTGAAAAGTATAGCCGCGCGGCTAGCCTATTAATTTTTTTTAAAAAACAGAAAAAAACACGGAGTATAAAGGCGTGGCCTTACTATTTTTAGATATTATATTTAACCCGTATAGCCGTCCGGCTATACTATTCATTGGAATAAATTTTTTTTTAAAAATGGATTATCGCTGCCCGGCTATACTATCTTTGACATATCATATTTAAATAGTATAGCCGAGCGGCTGTACTATTAATTGGAATAAAATTTTAAAAAACACGGCGCGGCTATACTATTAATTTTAAAAGTAATTTAAAAAACACTCATTTAATATGAATTTACACAAACCAGGCCAAATTGTTTGAGTTCAATTCTAAAATATACTCAGTAGCTGCATCATTTGATATGTTGTGAAATTAGAGTTAAAATGCAATCGTAGAGAAACGGCTGCACTCAGATGACCCCTTGTGTCAATCAGCAGGATAGGCTTTGACAATTCATCAGTTTCTTCCGATGTTTTGAATCAGTATATATAGATGAGCTTGATTTCTTCAACCTCCCTCAGTAAAAAATTGGCCTCCTTATTTGTTTTGGATCAACGATAAAGTTGAATGATTGTTGCGATGGCGGATGAGTTTTCTTGAGATATAATGAATGAAACCAAAAGAATCAATGGACCAAAGTTTACATGATCCAGAGTAATAGAATAGAAATCCCAATCCACAAACCAAAATGAAACCCCAAAAGCTCAATGTCTCTAGAGGACCAAAGTTGAAAAGTTTTTGCTGTTTCTTTCCAAGGAAGACATTGGTAAGAGCGGTATTTGACTCCAATGATCGATGCCTTCACCAACTTCAAACCCTACAAGAGAGAGAGAAATATACAAGTAAGACATTTAGCTCTATCAACAAGCCATTGATAAGAGTTAGAGAAATATATAGGATATGAAACCTCCTTAACTTGAAGTGCATCAATCCCCTTCACATTGAACTTTTGTAGCAGCCTTGAGATTTAGTTGGGTATAATCTACAACATCCTATTCAGGCAGAGAAAATATGCCTCCAGGGAAAATATGCCGGCATACTATTTCTGCCTTCAATGCAGTTAAATTTGCAGGAACTAGTCAATTCAACAATCTACGATGGTTATACAGGACGGGTATCGAAAATAGGAACAAGATGAAATAAATCAGACTATCAGAGCCATCAAGTTTCCTCAAGAAGCAAGGGATATAAAGACAAAGAGGCAAATATTGAGAGAATCGTCAAATTTTCATAGAGAAATGTATTACTAAGGACATAAAGAAGATTAGGCATTGTGAATCATATCATACGATGATGGGAGTAATAGATCATTTAGACAATTTAAATCCCAAATCCCTGATTAAGAACAATGTATCGTTAATGAAATTATTTAATAATTTTGATGTTCATGAGGCTAAAAAGAACCTCTGCTACAGATCTAGAACATAACATATAGTAGCTGGCTGGACTCTCTCTATAACTCTCTCTAAAAATAAAAGAAGTAAACTTTTGAACCGAGCAATCACAAGCCACCTTAGAAATCTCTGCCTTTGAATTCATCTTTCTACTGCTGAACGACCAAAACAACTGTGACAATCTGCGTCCCCTTTCTCTCTCTTCATCTGCAAAATCATCATAATTAGATATATATATATATATATACACACACACAATACACAATAACGAGATGCTTTAGTTTATGATTACAAATACACAGACAGGAATCTATACCTTCACGGAAAACAGCTAAATCTCTCTGTCCAAATCCAAAGATTTCATGGCATCCCCACTTCTTCCATCTTCCTCTTATGTTTTTTTTTGCCCCAGCTGAAATGGGAATACAAGTATAAATATATGAATTGAGTACAAGGCAATCTAAAACCTGATATATATATATATATATATATATATAACAAGTACAAATTTAAGGTAAGGCATCTACCATGAAAATCCGTTGGGCTAAGATCTCGTCTCTGTTCTCATGCCAGTTTGACTCCTGAGTCATCATTAGTTAAGCAATGTGACAACAGTAAAAGGCAATCTAAAAACAGGAAAACATGATGCATGCATGCATCATATATAGTTGTATGTCTATATATGTATGTATTTAGTTCCTTTTTTTTATAAATAATTCGGTATAAGTCCAATTCTTATGACAGAATTTGGGTGCAATCCACACACTTATTGTTAGTAATTCAAGTCCTCTGACTTTTGTGCCACATAGGATTAGTTACCTTTTTTTAATTTCTGACATTTATATTTTTTCTTTTTTCTTTTTTTATTTATGTTGTCGTTCCAAATTTACCCCCATAAGATATAAATCAGGTAAGTAATGACAAAAATCCTCATATGGCAAGAACAAACGGCAAAATTAGCAAATTGCAAAAATCACGCCTTCCACAATAAATCATGGTCTTGTCAAGCCAATTTCTGCAGATTTCATACTTCTTAATTGGGTTTAATACCTGTTGTATAGGTAAACCTTCGACACATGTACCTATAGCACATGTCTATTTACTTGTATTGGAATACATTCACCTATATCATAGGTACATTTTGTTTTTATGAGATTATTTTTGCCTATATGATAGGTACATTTGGGTTTAATACCTGCCGTATAGGTAACCAATTGCCACCAGCATGCCAATTTACCTGTAACACAGATATAGGTATTTTGTTGAAAATGAAACACTTTGTTATCAACTTTATCTTTCTAATTTTCAGTTGGTTTTGGTGTCTTTTTTGCCTTTTTGTTAACATATAAATAAAAGGGAGATTTTGGAAAAACACAAAGGAGAGAGAAATTTTGTAAAAGAAGCCAAAATGGACTAAATTGCCCTTATTTATTTTTGGATTTCCTAAGGAATCCTTTACATTTACATGTTTTTGATTTGAAAGTTGAGAGGTTTTTCTGTCTTTTTTGAAAAAGTTTTGGCTTTTTCCAAAAGTAAAAATTTTTTATGGCTAAAACCTAAATTTACTTAAATTAAAACAAGACGTTGAATATCTATGGATACTCTATTTACCTATAAGCATGAATTACCAACGTGTTTTCTACCTAGAGGCTGGAATGATGGAAACATGAAAATATAGTTGGGGTCCTCTACCTATACCATAGGAAAAAGATGAAGAAACCAGTTCATCTTTGTTTTCTGTTCCTTCTATGCCACACACCGAATTTCTTTTTCTTTTCCTTCTATAGCCCCCCTTGCTTCATAATTGATATATGACAAATTTATTCTAAGAAAAGAATACCTATGAATCAGTAAACTAGACCAACGGAGTTCGCCCAAGCCTATACCTAAGAATCAGTCCAATTAATCATAACGAAACCCCCTAACTATTCCTCTTCTCTAGGTACACAAAACAAAAATGGTTCCCTTCCTATTTAAAATTAAAACCATAAAACAGAATTGGAATGGTTGAAACAATCGTTCAATGCAACTGACGCCAAATCATACAATCGTTCTCCTACCTATATGTATGAGGAACTAAGGGCATGTTTACGTATCAATAATGGAGGAACTAAGGGCATGTTTACGTATCAATAATGGAGAAACTAAGGAATCAAAGAATTTAGGAATCGGAGAACTACTGAATCGGTATGGGAAGAATCATTCTCATTAAGCTGTTTACTAAACATATGGAATTAGCAATGGAATGAGATTGATTCCCATTGTTATTGTTTACTAATTTGCATGAATCAGAATCCAAATTAATTTTAGAATTATGGTAAAGTGATAAGGGTATTTTTGGAAGTTATTAAGAGAAAAACAGGAATGGGAATCGTATCGACTACTCCCCCCTAGTTGATCTGATTCCTAGTTTTGAGGGAATGTGATTACGGATTTTGAGGTGGGGCCCACTTATTTTTTCATTTCTGATTGCAAGTAAACGCAAGAGAAGTCAGGAATGGAAATCATATTCCCTTTCCTTCCATACCCATTACTGATACGTAAACATGCCCTAAGGTTAATAGAAAAGTAGGAACCTCAATCATACAATTTACCTGTAGAACAGGACCAGCAACTGACGTTTAGTGGCAGAGGAAATTTGCTACTATAATAGTGAATCACACATAGAAACCCACAAATCTCTCCATTAAAGAACCAAGAAATCAGAGGAAATTTGCTTGGAAAGAGCATGACATTTTGAGGAAATGTAAATTCTGCGATTTGTCGATCTGTCTGTACTTTCCGTGTTTCTACGTAGTGGCAGCAATTGTAATTACATTAAAATTTGTGGACATATTGTTTGCTTAGGTGGCTAAACACTTGGTCTTGTGGACTGGAATTAAGAGGTAACAACTCTTGTCCTGCATTCATTATATATTTGTAAAATTGGACCTATATACCTCCTCAAGCCCATATGGAAGACTTCAGAGAAGTTGATCACCACAAAATAGTGTATCATCGGACTCACAAAGAACGCGTGACAATTGTGGGTTTGTCCTTAAGACGATCCCAGCCGAGCACTGGGTACAACTGAAGTGAAATTTGGTGTTTTTAATCCCCAAATACTCCTGTAAACAAGAAAGAAAATAGAGAACACCAAAGCTTTCAGAAACTAGAGCGAGCGAGCATAAGCATCCAACATTAACAAAAATAAACAAACCCTAGAACTAGAAGAAAGAGAAAGCAAGAACGAGATACGAACTAGGCAATTAAAGCTTCAAAACCCAAACAAGATTATTATAACAACCCAAGTACGTACCAAGTTGCCGGAGGATTTTTCTTTGCGGGAATTGATCTTGGTGTCTTTGGCCATGGTATTCCTACACTTGTTGCACCGAATGTTCCTAGGAAGGTTCAAAACAACATTCTCAATCTGCAGGTTCTTAGGCTGGGCTGCCAATGCCATCACAACTATTGGGTGTGTATGATGAATTCCGATATGAGGAGAGAACGGAAGAGGTTTAAGAGTTCGGAAGGTAATTTGAGTTGCAGAAAGGTGTCACGTGTTTTAAATATAGCCAGTTTGATAATTTTAGGGCTTGTCCAATATAGATCCCTACATTTTCTATTTCCTAGACATATACCCATCACTCTATAAATCTATGTGTAAAACCCAATTTCAAATTTAAATGACTAGTAGGATATAAGAGGTCGTAGTATTTCTATGTTTTTACATCATTGCCACCAAACTTCATATTTTATTTATAATTTATTTCAAGCATTTCATTAACTGCCATAATTGTAATTAATATACTCCCTATTAATAGCATATCAATCACCCCATTTCTTTTAGTTGTCATTCCCTCTCACATCTCGCCCCCTAAAATTACAACAAAAAAAAAAAAATCTGTAAATTACATATCCAATAATGTACCTATGAAAAATATAATATAAATATATACATATAAAATATAGTTATATTAAAAAAAAAAAAAAAAAAAAAAAAAAAAAAAACAAAGTTACTTTGTAATTGCGTATATTTTTCATAATTAAAAATAGGTACACAATAATTTATATAAAATATAGGTACATTATTTACCCACAGGTAAATTATTTTACAATATACCTGTAAATGTGTATAGGTACATTATTTGGAATAGATAATTATGTACACTTTTCATACTAGGTAAATTATGTTTTTCATAAAACAAACAAGTAATAGGTACATTATTTTTTCAACATAATTAGTATGTACAGTTTTATTCATAAACAATTATAAAGTGGATTATTAGTCATGTATAATTCATAAAAAGAAAATAACATAAACATTTTATTAAACAAACCGATTACCTAAATTTGAATTTATTGTTAAATTTTTTTAAAATGTTTCAAAATTAATTCCTACATCCATTACAACCATTTGGAGATCTTTCCAAATTCAACATCTGTCATTATATACAATTCAATTAAAAACTGTTTCCATATTGATTACTACATTAATATACAAAATGCAATAATGGCTTAGTTGGGGGTATTTTTGGAATCTGAAAAGTACAATAAATCAGATTTTATGCTTAATTAGGTAACTTGCTGAGTTGGATCCTAGTCATGGAGAAATTATAGAGTAGTACCGTATCACCACGTCAGCTGGTGATACTTCCACTCAAAATATGCCATGTGTCTTTATTTTTTAACAACTCAAACTTTATTTTACAACTGGACATTAACCTAATTTTTACCCTCTAAAATAAAATTAAGAAAATAAACAATGGAAAAAAAAAGAAAAAAAAAAGGATAGCCACAGCCCACCCCAACACGCCTACCCCGCACCGCCGCTCTGGTCGCCACCCCCTCCCTCTCTTTTATCTCTCTCTCTCTCTCTCTCTCTGTTGCCGTTCTTCAACTCAACCTTTTGGTGACTACCCCAAGATCCATATATATTTTATCATTGATGAAGGTCTCACTAGCAGATGTGAAGAAGGTTGGGATGGGAGGTGGGTCTATAACAAACAGGGTACAAATCGACCAACATGAAATTGATATGGAAAGGGTTGATTGTGTTGGGTATTATATTGGATCTAATAAACTCCATCAGATATTAAGATTCATTGACAATGAAGATGAAGTTTCCTGGTTGCAAAAATTTATTAGACTATGGGGATTTGGCTCTCTTACTTGTGTGACTAATGTCTGTTGATGGCAGTCGGAAGAAGACGACAGAAGGGTGGTGTGGGGGTAAGGGTTGGGTTCTGTTGCTAGGATATTCTCTTTTCTTTTTCTTTTTTCTTAAGTTTTTTATTTTCCTAATTTATTTCAGCGGATAAAAATTAAATCCAGCTGTAACAAAGAATAATTAATTTATAAAAAAATTACAAATGGCATATTTTGAGTTGGAGTATCACCAGCTGACGTGGTAGTACAGTACTATTCTATAATTTATCCTAGTCATGGGTTTTTACTTATACAAATTGGGTATTATTTATAGGAACAAAAAGTGAAGTGTTTTAGGTACGGCAAATTGAATTTGAAGGGTGTAAGCCAAATTTACTAATTTTATTTAGGAAAATTAGGAATTAGACATGATTAACTTTAGTAATTTGGATTTGAGACATTAGGTATTTTGGTTTGGGTTTTAATACCCATAAAAGAATATGTATTTTGGATTAGGCCAAAGAGGAGGCTCAGATTCATTGGCCCACCTTATATTAATCACTGAAAAGACAATTATACCCTTTTTATTAAAATATTTATTGGTCTCCCTTTTTTATTAGATTAGATCTCTCTCTCTCTCTCTCTCTCTCTCTCTCTATCTCTCTCTCTCTCGGACTTTTAGAAACTGGAAATTGCCCAGATGAGGAATTGGGTGGGCAAGAGAAGAGTAGAACTACCCAAGAGAAAAGGAACTCAAAATTGGACTTTTAGAAAATGGAAACTGCATTGCAGTATTGGAAACTGCATTGCAGTTTTTATTTAATTACAATTTGATTTTTGTTCTTTCCTTCGCCTTCAACCTCACCAATTTGAAGAGTAAAGGCTACCCAGATGAGGAATTGGGTGGGCAAGAGAAGAGTAGAACTACCCAAGAGAAAGGGAACTCAAAATTGGGCTTTTAGAAACTGGAAACTGCATTGCAGTTTTTATTTAATTACAATTTGATTTTGGTTCTTTCCTTCGCCTTCAACCTCACCAATTTGAAAGGTAAAGGCTACCTAGATGAGGAATTGGGTGGGCAAGAGAAGAGTAGAACTACCAGAAACTGAGATGCAAAAAACCAAATTGTATTTCTTTCTACCAAAACCACAAACTGAGATGCAGAAAACCAAAACCACAAACTGAGATGCAGAAAACTGCAGAAAACCAAAACCAGAAACTGAGATGTAGAAAACCAAAACCAAAACCAAAACCAGAAACTGAGATACCGAAAACTGCAGAAAACCAAAACAATAAACTGCGATGCAGAAAACCAAAACCAGAAACTGAGATGCAGAAAACCAAAACCAGAAACTGAGATGCAGAAAACTGCAGAAAACCAAAACCAGAAATTGAGATGCAGAAAACCAAAACCAGAAACTGAGATGCAGAAAACCAAAACCAGAAACTGAGATGAAGAATCGGCTTCGATCGTTGGTGGTCTTCGATGATGGTCGCGCGAATGGGTTGGTGGTCTTCGATGATCGTTGGTGGCTTCGATCGTTGGTGGTCTTCGATGATCGTTGGGGGTCTGGAGGTTGCTGGAGGTGAAGTTGAAAGGTCGCGCGAATGGGTTGTGATTCAATTTTGGTTTCGGTTGATGTCGTTTTGGTTCAGTTTTGGTTTGATGTCGTTTTTCAGCTTTGGTTTAAAACTAAATATAGAAAATGGCATATGTTGTAATTTTCATATTTTGTAATGGTATTTTTGTTACATTTTGGTTTTTGGCCTTTTGCTAATTAGACTAAATTGTATTTCTTTCTACTAAATTAGTAAACTATATTATGGTTTAAAACTAAAACTCCCTTAAAATTATTTAACATTTTCTTTTCTTTTATGATTTATTCCAATATTTGTTGTTCTAATTGTCTTAATTAAAATACACTTCATTGATTTAATTGATGTGGCATATAATATGGACATGCCACATCATGTGGTACAGAAATGTGGGATAAAAATGTGGTAAGTGTAGCATTACTCTAACTCCAATGCCAAACAGTTCTACATTTATAATTCTTTACTTAGTTACCAACTAAAAAAATCTCTCTTTCTATCGCTATCTCTATGTATATATGCGGTTGCATTGCACCTTTTGTAAGGCCTTCTCCAACCTTGGGGCTAAACCCAAAAAAAATCTCAAAATTTGGCCCCATTTCATCTCCAACGCATGTATAGGGAGGGGGAGGATTTTATTGCAAACCGTTCATCTCTACTTCTCCAGTTAGTTTGAAGCTCCTCATCGACAAAAAACATAAAAAAGTTCTCTTCGCCGAAGCTGCCAAGGATTTTATTGACTTTCTCTTCACCCTTCTGTCTCTACCTGTCAGCACTGTGATTGGGCTCCTCTCTAGAAAACGCATGATCGGTTGTTTAGGCAAACTCTACGGCAGCTTAGAAAACTTAAACGACACATACTTGCAACCCAACCTCAACAAGGATGTCCTTCTAAAACCTAAGAAGCTGCCAATGCCAATTGATGGCGCCCATCAACTTCTTCCTGCTTGATCGACGATGAATCAAAAGGTAAAAAGTTGTATACGTGTCGGTCATGTCAGCTGTCAAGCTACTCCTACTCTGGCGAGGTATGCTATGTGGCTGATGACCCTAAAGCCATTTGTCCAAAGTGCCATAACTTCATTTCCAAACCCACGACTTATGTTTCTCGGCCGGCAATTGCAACTAGCGGTAAGGGAGGTGGGTTTGTGAGAGAGGCTGTGACTTACATGATAACGGATGATATGGAAGTGAAGCCTATGTCTGCCATTTCAAGTATCGCTCTACTTAAAAACTTCGATGTTAGGGATGTTCATTCACTTGAAGAGATTGTGGTTCCTCTCGATAAGGATAAGGTTTGTGTTTATTAATTTTTTCTAACCTGATAAATTACCATTCTATATATTCAAATATTGCACTTCGTATTTTATAAGAATTTATGGTGAAGAGCATTTTTGTTTAATTTCCTTGTTAGGGTTTGAAATTGTTGAAGGGCATCATTGCAGTCAAATGCAGTTATGACAAATGTGTTCCTTTAAGCAGCATTTCAAGTTGACATTTTGAAGCTTCTTTTGGAATGTTTGTTTTTGAATATGGATGAATGAATTGGATTGGGTACGTATTGGACTTCAAACTAGTACAAAGAGATCAGATTCTTCTGCTTTCTTCTTCTCTCTTAAAAAAGCAATGATGTCTTTTCACTTAAAAAAGCAATGATGTCATCACTTAGGAACGGCAATTCTCAAGCAACATCAAATTAATTGATCTTCATAATTGCATATCTATACCGACTATTAAACCCATATCAAATTAACTGATCTTCATAATTGCATATTTAAACCCATATTAAAAGAGTACAGCCTAGCGGTTATACTCCATTTTTCAATTTTTTTTCCTGAAATTAATAGTATAGCCGGGCGGCTATACTGGTTAAATATAAAATATAAAAATAGTGTGGCCACGCCTTTATAATCCGGTTTTTTTCTTCAAATTAATAGTCTAGCCGAGCGGCTATACTTTTCAAATATTAAAATTAGGTCAGATATCTTCTTCCCAGCGTCGCCTTCTCCTTCCTCTCTCTGTCTCGATCTCTCTCTCTGTCTCTCCGTCTTTCTTCCTAACAAGCAGCGGATCCTGCGCACTTCCATTGCCCTTCGTTCACGCCTCGACGGCAAAACGCCAGCCCAGACCCTCCTAGAGCCGCCTAGAGCCGCCTAAGGCCGCCTAGACCTTCCTTGAGTGCCTAGAGCCACCAAGGGCCGCCTAGATCCGCCTAGGGACGCCTAGAGCCGCCTAGACCATCTAGGGCCGCCTAGAGACGCCTAGGCGCCTAGGCCGCCTAGAGCCGCCTAGGCGGGCGCCCAGACGCCGCCTAGCTCCCTGGATGCCACATCCTCGAAGGGTACCTCTGGTGTACCGGAACTGACTTAAGTTGGTTCGAAATTGAAAGATAATGAGCTTTTGGTTGGCGTGGAATTAGGGTTACACTGTTTTCACAGTCATGTGGCAGGTCACTAGTGAATCAACCTTCCTAGTCTGATGATCTTGTACTGAAATACTAACTAATAGGGTGCATGCAACCTTAGGCCATTTCACTTGATTTTGTTCCATCTCCTGCATTTAAACATGTTTTTTGCTTGCTGAAGCAAGCAAGGCAGTTGTGGATTTTCTCTTCACTCTTATGTCCTTGCATGTTGCAACTGTGACTAGGCTCCTCCTCTCTAATGGTGGCATGGTTGGTTGCTTAGGCAAACTTTACGAGAGCCTCGAAAATCTCAGTGACACATACATGCAACCCAATCTTAACAAAGACTCCCTGCTGAAACCCAAGACAACAATAAATAGTTTTGTTTTGTTTACAATAAATAGTGTTCTCTATCTGTGTCTATTGATTGATACAACATATTTTGTTTTTGCTTTTGCTTCTTAGGGTTTGAAGTTGGTGAAGGCATCATTTGAGTCAATCAAAAGGCATCAAATGTTTTCCTTGGTAATAAAGTGCATGAAGGTTTCAATAACTTTGGTCCTCTAAAGAAATTGAGCTTTTGGAGGTTCCTTTTAGTTTGTGGATATTGACATTGACTATATTGGCTTACATTGGATTATTTCAACTTTGGCCCTCTGATCTTATTGGTAACAAATATTATACCGCAAGATGACAGGACCCGCCCCGGAATTTTCCCCGAAACCGGGGCGGACCCCGTTTTGTTGCCGACATCATACCGATGCCGGGCCCACTTATTAAAAACCCAAAACATCCTACCAAAATTTTGGCAGAGTCTCCCCTGAAAAATGCTCAAGCCCAACAACACTCAACCTGCATAATTTACATAATATAAATCCCAACTGCCAGCATGCTTTCAACATACAACAATTCAAAGTAAAGTGGCCTCCGGCCTCCAGTAACAACCTAACATGGGCAATAACAGAGCATCTAACAGAATTTGTTTACAACAACAGTAGAGTAGAAGGAATTTACACGAATCCTATCTACGGATGGAATGTTTGGAGCTCGCAACTTGCTTGAGCGCTTCCAAAAGCCACTACTGCCTGGGGGGCGCAAAACGGAAATATGTGAGTGGACAAAAATAAAGTTTGCATTTAAAACAACATAGTAACCCCACCGTGTAAAAATAATGCTCAAGCATGCAGTTTCCACATCCATAAATCAAATACTCAAACATAAAATCTCAAAGTCCAATAACTCTCGAAAATCTCAAACCACCACTCCATTCCCAAAGTATGCAACTCTCACCAACCCATACATATGTATACATATATAAGTATATATATATATCTATAATATAACGTATACTTCTCTCCATACTAATGTACCGGGGAAGACAATCCAACCGGGGGATTGTTGGCTGGTACGCAGGATTTTCGAACATGAACCCGCGTCCAGGGATGAGTAGTCCAACCGGGGGACGGAACTCCATAGCTCACACGCCGGCACTGCCAACGCCACGTGTAGCTCACAAATCTCATATCAAGTCCTACGCGCGCAGACAGTATCATCACCCACACCGGCACTGCCAACGCCATGTGTGATGATACTAAGCAATATACATACTCTTCCCATACACCGGCACTGCCAACGCCATGTATGAGACCAGCAATCTCATGGCCTTCCCACCCACACCGGCACTGCCAACGCCATGTGTGGGAAGCCTAGTAACCAGGGAATGGTACTCACCTAACATACTCATACATCTCACAACCATCCCTCAAACTCATATCTTTCCACAATCTCATAACAACAACTCCTCATACTCCATACATAGGCAATATAGATAGACATCCCACAATCCATATAACATATCCATAATGCTCAAACATAGCCATACTCAAAATATATTGCCAATACGTATATGAATATCCAAAGTCATCAACCAAATACTTAATAAATCACATTTCCATTTAAAAACATATGCACAAATCTTTTATCAATAAAACCATGCAAATGCTTGAAAACAAAGTCCACTCACAGGTAATCCCACGCTGCCCGGCCCCGAGAGGGTCCTGCCTGCTGCGAACGATCGACCGAAGTACCTATTTCGAGATACGAACCCTTGATTAATATAATACACTTCGAAACGGGAATTCACAAAAGAGAATACTTAAATCCCCAAGATCCCGATGCGTGTACGTCCAATAGGATATCCTTACAGGTTTGGGAATCGCTTCCCATCCTATGGTTATCGTTAATCCCACAAACTTCGAATTATTGAATCGGAACATCCGGGGCTCCGATTCACGATCCACGAATTCCTATAGGATTTCTAAGAGTACCTAAATCAACATACTTCAGTTTGGAAACGATCCAACGGTTAGAACTTATCGAACCCGAATAACGCACAATATGCGAAATCCGTTCGATAGTCAAACGACATCCATATTGAGATCCGTAAAATCCTATGCACTCGTGACAACCTACTGATCTCATCAGGATAAAAAGCAACTTCACCAGCCATGCCCACGCGCCGCCACACGCGCCGGCAGCGCGTGGGTGTGTAGAGGAATTTCCGGCGACGGAAAATCTCCACACCAACGCTCACCCTTCCTACCCTAGCTTCTTCTCAAGGTCAGGATCACTTTATTCAACTACCACGAGGTCCAATTCGCACGGGAACTGGCCGGAATTTCAAATTGAAAACTGGCCAAAACCTAGGTTTCCAATTCGGTTCCCAAACTCAAAATCGATCCAAACCTACCCCACAATCAGCTAGAGCACGTAAAAAGGAGAAGAAAACTCACCAACTTTACCTGAAACAGACGGCGGAGGCGGCGGCGCAACGATCGGAAACTTCCGGTTCGAACCAGTCGATACCGTCGACGATTCTCCGGCTTTCCGGCAAGGAAATTGGGTGGGTCTTAATCGGGATTTCACGACGAGTCGAACGGGACTGATCTCGAGGGCTGAGGTGGACTGTGGCGGCGGCGGCACGGTGGTTTCCGTTCGGCTTGCACAGTGACGGGAGGGGGAAATCGCAGAGGGAGGAGACGCGGGAGAGAGAGAGAGAGAGAAAGTGAGGGGTAAAGTGAAAAATCTGATTTTACCCCAAACTCACTTTCGAAATAATTACGGTTCCGCCACCGAGCTTATTTTGCTCGCCAAAACTTCGTTACAACTCCGATTCAAGGCTACCGCCTGTCTACGGTTTCGTCTCAGTACCACCTACGCAACCAAACCACTCGTGGTCCCGAAATCCTTCTGGATAAGAAAATGACCAAAATTACCCTTAACCCAAGAGTAAATTAATAATTCTCTTAATTTAATTAAAATAGGAATAAATTTGGAGTCGGGGTGTTACACAAGATATGGTAAAAACGATCCAACAAGTCCAAGGAAACCAATCTGCTTTCCCAATGATCCTTTTGCACTGTCGTTGATACAAAAATGAACAAGGAGAACCGATCGTGCGGCTGAAGTAAACTTGCTCATCTACACTGCTCCGCTGCTCTAAGGCATTTGCACTGTTTTGTTTTTGGTTTTTCTGTTGATTTTATGTTTTGGGCCTCCATTTCTTAGTTTCTTTTTGGCATGATCAAATCTCAAACCAGTTGGCAGGAGATCAACTATTATAATAGTTCTCTGTTTTTATCCATTTGGGCAGGTTTATGAGTTCATATGCTTTAGTACCATTCGTTTCTAAGGCTTGTCTAAGCTTATAAATAGGTCTTTCTAAGGCTTTTCAGGCATATTATACGCCTGCCGTCCTTCTCTATCCTCTTTGCACAAAGAGTTACAAGCAAGCAAATAAGTTGTTGATTTTCTTTTCAGTCTTCTATCTTTGCATGTTGGTGGTTAACATTTGCATGAAACCTATGGTTAACTAAAACGGACACCTTGCAACTCAAACCCTTGTCATGTCACACAAATTCTTACTTCAATTTCTAAACACATCAAATGTAGTTTTGTTTCTAAAGTGGCAGTTTGCAAGGTTATAAAAGCTTTTTGATGCCTTGCATTACAGCTCCTCCTACTTTTCACACCAGATTAATCCATACTCACGCGTATGTGTGACAAAATTACATGTTCTAGTGATCTATTATCTTCTCTCTCTCTTTACCTATCAAATTTCTCTCCTCTTACTTGATCTATGAAGTTCATCATCCATGTAATTATGGATCAGTCTTCTTGAAGTCATCAATGGCATTCACCAAAACTAAGGTGAAACTCCTAGTCCATGTAAAAAAGCCACAAAATTCCGTTTGCTGAAGGGAGCATAGACCTGTTAGTTGGCTTTTTCACTGTCTTTTGCCTCTAAACTAGTAAGCCTGAAGATACAATACAACTAATATGAAAAAGCAAATACAAAACAAAACGAATTGTAAATCTGGCTGTTGGTTTAGTTAATGAATGCCAACTAGTGGAAATAAATACATATTTATTCACTCATCCGTATAATATATTACCTATGTATAGGTAATGACAGATTTGTATATGTAGAGTTGTTTTCTGGTCGACTGATGATGCAGAGTCCAAGGTGACCCTCCACCTTCTTGATCCATTCACCATTGCCTTTTTGAATAATTTTGAATTTGGGATAACTTCTTTTGTGAAGCTTATAATAGGTCTTTGAATGCTTAAGCACATGCTCCTTCTTCTCTGTCCTTAATATCCCCTACCACCAACAGGGCTAGCATGAGTTTGAAGCTTCTGGTTGACACAAAAAGCCACAAAGTTCTGTTTGCTGAAGCTGAAGCAAGCAAGGAAGTTGTTGATGTCCTTTTCAGTTTTCTGTCTTTGCATGTTGCAACTGTTACTAGGCTCCTCTCAACTGATGGTATGGTTGGTTGCTTAGGCAACCTTTACGAAAGTGCCGAAACTCTTAGTGTCGACTCATACTTGCCACTCAATCTTAAGGACACCCTGCTCAAACCCAAAACAACAATTTCTGCGGCCAATATCCTTCAATTGCCATTGCCGACCAACAATGACTCGAGCAATATTAAGGCTGGCTATGTCAAGGGTGGTGTTATTTACATGATAATGGATAATTTGGAAGTGAAGCCAATGACCACCGAATCAAATGTTGCAGTGCTTCAAAAGTTCAACGTGAAGGGGATTGATGCACTTCAAGTTAAGGAGGTTGATCTTGGCATGCAAGAGGTTTCATGTCCTATATATTTCTCTAACTCTTATCAGAGGCTTGTTGATCTACTTAGATAGCTAAATGTCTTACGTGTATATTTCTATGTCTTGTAGGGTTTGAAGTTGGTGAAGGCATCACTGGAGTCAAATACCGCTCTTACCAATGTCTTCCTTGGAAAGAAACAGCACAAACTTTTCAACTTTGGTCCTCTAGAGACATTGAGCTTTTGGGGTTTCATTTTGGTTTGTGGATTGGGATTTCTATTCTATTACAGTCCTTACTAATGAGATTCGTATTCTATGATGAGATTCGTAATTTAACAGTTAAAGCATTAAGCTGCTGTCAATATAACAGAAGCAACAGGCAGGCCAAATACAACTACTGGCACGTTAAAAAGGATTTGATTAGGAAAGAGGGGTTTTGGGTGAAAAGGAAATGAGCATGAAACTTGGCCATAATTTAACAGTTAAGGCAACATGAATCATGAAAAATAAAAATGAGTGGCACTACAACTTCACTTAAGCTGATAGAACAAGAGCTTTTAGCTGGCAAGTTTCAGTCATTTCCATCAAAGTGCCTTGTATTGTCTATATAGCAAGGTTTACGGTGGATAAAGACAAAAGAGACGAGAGGTACAGCCAGTACTAACTGAATGGCTGCATAATTTCAGAGCAAAAAACCCAAAATGCTGCTGCCGCTACCAATTGATAACAGAGCAGCAATACAAACAAAGCCCCATCAAATACCAACTGCTACCTGTGTCCATGAAAAGGGCTCTACGTATTCTAGGCTAATGGCTAAACCAAATTAAGAAAGGGCGCAAACCAAGCTGCTACTACTATCTACCATAAGCTTTCACCATTCTATAGCAAGTTCTTTCAGGAATTATCACATATGGGTGGTCTGCAATATACCAATATCACACTAACCTCATCCAGCCAAAAGCGTAAATGCAGAAAGTTTACAAAAAGACCACATTCAATTGGGAAAAGTGTGAAACAAAAACTCGGAACGAAAAACCCAAAAACCCACTAACCTGTGGAGGAAGCCAGTAAGGATTTGAAAGACTGTAGAGGTCTCTGGTTGTTGCAGGGTCAAAATGTACTTACTTTTTGGGCTTGCTATAAGCGGGTCCTGAATAAACAGATAAACCCATATAAATATTGCCCGTTTTATTCAACCCACGCGAATGGGCCGGGCAAACGGGTACGGGCAGAGACTCCTATATGCAACCCGGATTTGTTTTGTGTTTTTTTTCAGTTTGAGTTCACCATCTTTGTTTACTTTGAACAGAAACTGAAACCATGTCGCGGGAGAGAACCAAAAGAGGCGCAAGAGGTACGCAAGCTGAGCTCGAGATTTAGCAATGATTACCTTAGTGACACTGACAAGTACATGCCTGAGGCTGATGTGCATGCCCTTTTGCACTCAAGTTCGAATTCACCTCCTCAATAATTATCACATAACCAAACAATAAAGTTAAAATAGACTTATTTTTTAGTATAAGAGATAGTCGCACACACAATTAAGATGCCATGGACGTTGGAACCTGAGACCGTGGTCTGCTATACTGTTTGAATATAACATTTTTAAAGAGTACGGCCAACCGGCTATACTCGGTGTTTTTGAAATTAATAGTATAGCCGAATGGCTATACGCTGTGAAATTAATCACATTGCTTATAACGTTGAACTTTAAGACGGTTGATGCTTTTGAAGAGAAGGTGGTTGATCTTGACATTGAAGAGATTTGATATTTTTTGTAAAATTTGTTTTGTTTACAATACAGAATGTTCTCTATCTGTGTCTATTGATTGACACTACATATTTTGTTTGTTCTTTTGCTTCTGATTGACACAAAAAGCCACAAAGTTCTGTTTGCTGAAGCAAGCAAGGAAGTTGTTGATTTCCTTTTTAAGTTTTCTGTCTTTGCATGTTGCAACTGTTACTAGGCTCCATTTAAGTTGTTGATTTCCTAAACTTCTCTCAACATTTTGAACTGTGAATATATGTGCATCTTGAATATGCAAAATATATATGCACATCAATTACAAACCCCACTTTTTATTATTTTCTTAATTGATTCAAGTTGGGAAGGATAGGATAGTTACACTTTTTATGCTTTGATTTCTACTCTACACACTCGATCAATAGACGATACAACCATCATACATTATCATGTAGGCTTTTAATCAAAGCTAATTTGCCACCGTTCATCTGCTATTATATTCTTTTGTTTTTTTGTTTTGGTTGGAGGAATTGTTATTTTGTTCAAAATGATCATTTTCTTTTCATTAAATTTTTAGGGTCTGAAATTGCTCAAGGCATCATTCGAGTCTAACGCAGTTCTCACCAATGTCTTCCTTGAGAAGAAAGAGGAGTAAACATGTCAACTTTGCACTAGATCAATTCTGGAAATGGAATTTTAGAGCTTGTTTGACTGTTGTGCGTCTGAGTTCGGACTAGGGATTCATAAAGAGTGTCTTCCACTGTTATTTTGGAGGTTTTTTTGTGGTAATCAGTCAGTTGTAAATTGATGAAAGCGACTTCACCATGCTCCTTCAGAGGATTGTTTCTTCTGTTAAGGTAGCTGAACTGACTTTTGGAGCTTGTGACTCCAAGATGTTTTTGAGACTCGTGTATTACTCTTTTGCTGTTGAATGTATCGTGTTCTTCATTTTTGCTATACTATTAATTGGACTAAAAATTTGAAAAAAGACAGTGTATAGCCGGGCGGCTGTACTCTTGAAATAAAATATATAAAAAGAGTATAGCCATACGGCTATACCCCTTTTTAATTTTTTCCCTAAATTAATCGTATAGCCGCACGGCTATACTCCGTTTTTAATTAATAGTATCGCCGAACGGCTGTACTATTTTTTCTCTTTTTTAAATAAATAGTATAGCCGCGCGCCTATACTGTTTGAATATAACATTTTTAAAGAGTACGGCCAAGCGGCTATACTCGGTGTTTTTGGAATTAATAGTATAGCCGAATGGCTATACGCTGTTTTTAAATTTTTTTCTAAGTAAATAGTATGGCCGATCGTCTATAGGGCTTAAATATAATATATTAAAAGATTATAGCTGAACGGCTATACTCCTTTATTTTTTTAAAAAAATTTTTCCCGAAATTAATAGTATAGCCGCCAAAGCCATCAAACGTCGTTTCCTGAAATTCATTTCTCCTTAATTCAAATGAGTCTTCATATTTATGTGGATATTGCTTTCTGATACATAAATTCACAGCCAAAGCCATCAACGTTGTTCCATGCAGCTGGTTCTTGATCTTTGCCGGGGTTGGGCTTGGTGGAGTGAAGCATGAGGTTGCATGCTGCAACAGCCTCTGCAACTGTGAGATAAATCCATTCTTGACATGTATTCTCAATCAACTCTGACTTGTTCATCTTCTTCATCACCTCGCTTCCCGGGTTCGCCAGTACAAGCTAAACACAGATGGGAACAAAATTACAGAGTTATATAAACAGATGAAATAAAAATTTGGAAGGAAATATTTGATAAATTGAAAGAGACTGTTGCAGATTTTTGAACCTGGAGCCCCCTTCTGTCAACAAGCTTTTTGACCACTTCAAACATGCTTATCCCACTTGTGTCTATGTTACCAACAGCTCCAAATTAAACCAGAAAACAAATTAATTTCAGGGTAAAAAATGTCATAATAATTATATATATATATGTGCACTATTTGTTTCCCTTAATTACCAGTCATATCCAATATCACATATTGCAAGCTACTTTCCCCTGCAGATTTGGTCCCATCTTCCTCATCATTTATCCACCTTGTAATCCTGAAAACAGGTAGGACTTTGGATCAACTTTCAAATTATTATTTTTAAATTTGATTATAACATGCAAGAGTGTGTTCAGGTTTAATTAATTAGTACCTTTCTCTTAAGTAGTTGGTATTTGCAAAGTAAATGGGAGCATCAATCTCAAGTATGAGAATTCCAGGAACATTGCTTGCATTGGGATACTGCTCAACATTTATGTAAACCATATATGGAATTCGGAAGGTTTCCTTGAACAAAAGTCCTTGGCCCTGCCACAAACGAAAGTAGATATTGCAACCTACACACAAGAAAAAAGAAATATTAGTTCTAATAAGTAATGTTAAGTTGTTGATATGGTGTTATTGTCACACACAATAACTTTTTACTGGTGTGACATATAGTGGTACGTACCACTAAGACTAGGCCGATTTCAACGCTGCCAAAAACGACACCGATACAGGCACTCATGCAGACAACAAAGTCAAACGTGCCAACCTTCAAGAGGAGAATTGCGGCTTCATAGTCTATGAGGCCAAGCATGGCAGCTATTATAATAGCAGACAGAACAACCAGGGGAGTGTAATGGAACAGAGGAGTGAGGAACAACAATGTGAACATAACCGCAATTGCCATGACAACGTTTGACATTGCCGTCTTGCATCCTGCATTGTAGTCAACTGCTGATCTGGAAAATGGCCTTGAATATTGATGAAAAAATTTCGCTTAATTAGCAACATGAAATGAATCTAATTAAGAATAAACCCTAAATGTGTACGATTAGTGATTAACCTGTGGTGAGGTGGCAAGAAGTGCAAGAACCAGCAATGTTCATCATCTCACCTTATATTAATCACTGAAAAGATAATTATACCCTTTTTATTAAAATATTTATTGGTCTCCCTTTTTATCAGATTAGATCTCTCTCTCTCTCTCTCTCTCTCTCTCTCTCTCTCTCTCTCTCGGACTTTTAGAAACTAGAAACTGCCCAGATGAGGAATTGGGTGGGCAAGAGAAGAGTAGAACTACCCAAGAGAAAGGGAACTCAAAATTGGACTTTTAGAAAATGGAAAATGCATTGCAGTTTTATTTAATTACAATTTGATTTTTGTTCTTTCCTTCGCCTTCAACCTCACCAATTTGAAGAGTAAAGGCTACCTAGATGAGGAATTGGGTGGGCAAGAGAAGAGTAGAACTACCAGAAACTGAGATGCAGAAAACCAAAACCAAAACCAAAACCAGAAACTGAGATGCAGAAAACTGCAGAAAACCAAAACCAGAAACTGAGATGCAGAAAACCAAAACCACAAACTGAGATGCAAAAAACTGCAGAAAACCAAAACCAGAAACTGAGATGTAGAAAACCAAAACCAAAACCAAAACCGGAAACTGAGATGCAGAAAACTGCAGAAAAACAAAACCAGAAACTGCGATGCAAAAAACTGCAGTAAACCAAAACCAGAAACTGAGATGCAGAAAACCAAAACCAAAACCAAAACCAGAAATTGAGATGCAGAAAACCAAAACCAGAAATTGAGATGCAGAAAACCAAAACCAGAAACTGAGATGCAGAAAACCAAAACAAGAAACTGAGATGAAGAATCGGCTTCGATCGTTGGTGGTCTTCGATGATGGTCGCGCGAATGGGTTGGTGGTCTTGGATGATCGTTGGTGGCTTCGATCGTTGGTGGTCTTCGATGATCGTTGGGGGTTTGGAGGTTGCTGGAGGTGAAGTTGAAAGGTCGCGCGAATGGGTTATGATTCAATTTTGGTTTCGGTTGATGTCGTTTTGGTTCAGTTTTGGTTTGATGTCGTTTTTCAGCTTTGGTTTAAAACTAAATACTGAAAATGGCATATGTTGTAATTTTCATATTTTGTAATGGTATTTTTGTTACATTTTGGTTTTTGGCCCTTTGCTAATTAGACTAAATTGTATTTCTTTCTACTAAATTAGTAAACTATATTATGGTTTAAAACTAAAACTCCCTTTTATTTTTTTGCCAAAGTCCCCAAAAAAAAAAAAAAAAAAAAAAAAAAAAAAAAAAAAAAAAAAAAAAAAAAAAAAAAAAAAAAAAAAAAAAAAAAAAAAAAAAAAAAAAAAAAAAAAAAAAAAAAAAAAAAAAAAAAAAAAAAAAAAAAAAAAAAAAAAAAAAAAAAAAAAAAAAAAAAAAAAAAAAAAAAAAAAAAAAAAAAAAAAAAAAAAAAAAAAAAAAAAAAAAAAAAAAAAAAAAAAAAAAAAAAAAAAAAAAAAAAAAAAAAAAAAAAAAAAAAAAAAAAAAAAAAAAAAAAAAAAAAAAAAAAAAAAAAAAAAAAAAAAAAAAAAAAAAAAAAAAAAAAAAAAAAAAAAAAAAAAAAAAAAAAAAAAAAAAAAAAAAAAAAAAAAAAAAAAAAAAAAAAAATCAAGAGCTTCAAGCTTACAGTGTTGGTTGCCATTGATGCAGTTACAAGGGGAATTGGGACCAACAGACCTTATAAAGAAATTAGGGGACTGTAATAAAATAAGTGACTAAATAAGCAGAGCCATTGCTACAACCCAACCCAGAACGCACACGCCTAAACAAGTAGGTTAAAGGAGGCACCTTTAGGCTTTAGCAGGAAAAACAGCAATTATATTATTTTTAAATATAATAAAACTAAAGAAAAAAAGTATCAAAAACTAATAATCATAAATACATATTCCCCCTTTTTCTATTTACAAACTGGAAAATTTAACTCAAAATACTAATTCTTTCTAAATACTTTGCATGGGACCCTTCAAACAAAAAAAAAATAAAAAAAAAAAAAAAAAAAGAGCACATATACAAAAAGAAATCAGTGTAATATATTTTTTTCCACCACAGAGCCTAAATTTAAAATAAATAAAAAATAGTTTGGTCCACATACATATATATTATACATATTTTTTCCAAACAAACAAAAACATGAGAAAATTCAGAGATGGATAGAGAGTTTTGTAAGAGTTACCAAGAGGAGACCCAAGCACAGCTTTTTAGGCGTTGACGGTAAACGTAGAGCAGGGCTCTCTGGAGTGGAGAAGATGAAAATATACGTGCTCTGTTTTTATTAACTGCCCTTGCGTCCTTTTCTGGACCTCAATTTTGGGCTTGAGCTTGACTGAAAAAGCAAAATCAGGGATTCAATGGGCCCACCTCCTTTTTCAAGGATTCAATGGGCCCAACTCCGGGCCCACTTGATATGTTTTCTCGATAAGACACTCAGAAATGGAATTGAAGTTTGCAACATGGCATGCCGTAAATATGCAACGTGGCCTGCCCTGCCATAAACCACCTTTTATTTTGGGTCGAAAACCTGCCATAAACTTACTCAGAAGAAGACCTACTTCCTATGTATATACAATCCAACAATTTACAACCCTACATTTCCTGTGAAGAGAAAATTGTTCAATCTGTCAATCACTAATCTAAAGGATATTTTAAATTATTTTACTGCAAGGGGAGAGAATGATTAAACTTGAGTATAAAAAAGTGGGGGGATATTATCTTGACCAAACCATCTCTCTGCTTATGTTGTTTGCGATCAAGATTTGCCTCTCTCAATTGTATCTCCTTTCTACGAGGTTTTACTTTGTAATACTCTTCTTTCATTATAAAAAAGAAAACCAAAAACTCATCTCTACTGTGCATCTCTTCTTCACAAGGTCAAATATGGTCGCATATAAATCCGAACGGCAAAAATTTAACAGAAAAGAGTTCTTATACAACACACATTTGAAAGAACCACATCTATAAATTTTTCTCATTTGTAGTAGTGTGGCTCAGCCCAGTTGTCACAAGTTCTCAATGGGTTCTCTTTCAACTCTATGACAGACTGATGTGATGTGATTTCTGAATGAGTTGAGTGGTACGTTTACTCAAGTGGGAGAATTGAATGATTTCCAAAACAAGAGATACACAAGTTTCTGACCAAAACAGCAATTTGTGGAAATTTCTCTCTCACAGAACTAGTTGCTTGAGAATTGTCGTTCTCAAGCGACGCCATCATTGCTTTTAAGTGAAAAGACAGCTTCAGGGAACTTTAGAGAAGAAGAAAGCAGAATCTGATCTCTTTGTATCAGTGTTAAGACAAAGCTGGAGTTCAGAGTGTGAACATGAAAGAGAAGTTTAAAGTCCAAAAGCAGGGGAATGCATTACATTACATATATACACGGCCGGGTCTTACTCTTATTACACCAGAAAAGACCTCCAAAATAACAACACTGTTAAACGAAAGGGATACATCTTCCCTATTCAAAACCAAAAACATCCCCGTATATACAAGCTTCAAGATGCCGACTCCAGTACTTGATGATCTGATGAAAAGTTGAAATGTTGCTTCATTTCTTACTTAGGAACACCTTCGTGAGAACTGCATTCGACTGCAACGACGCCTTCAACAATTTCAAACCCTAGCAAGGAAATTAAACAATAATGCTTACTTGATCATAATTCCTTATAAAATGTGAAGAGCAATATTAGATATATAGCATTGGTGCAGAAAAAAAGGAATTAATTGACACAAACCTTATCCATGTCAAGAGGAACCACCCTCTCTTCAAGTGAACGAACATCCGTAACATTGAAGGTGTTGAGCAGAGCCATACTAGAAATGGCAGACAAAGGCTTCACTTGCAAATCATCCATTATCATGTAAGTAAACTCTCTCACAAACCCACCTCCCTCGCCACGGGCCGACGTTTCTCCGGCAGAAACTGACGGCGTAGCAACATAAGTCATGGGTTTGGACATGACGCCACGGCACTGCGGACAAATGGCCTTAGGGTCGTCAGCCACGTAGTACACTTCGCTTCTGTAGAGGTAGCTAGACAGCCGGCATGAAGGACACGTGTACAATTTGTTAGCGTTAGATCCACCGTCGATCAAGAGAGGAAGGACTTGATTGGAGCGACCAAGTGGCTGCTGTTGCTTAGGTTTTATAAGGCATCCTTGTTGAGGTTGGGTTGCATATATGTCTGGTTTAGCTTTTGTACGCTGTCGTAGAGTTTGCCCAAAGAACCGACCATGCCTTTCTCGGAGAGGAGGCTGGTGACAGTGGCAAGGGGTAGAGACAGAAGGGCGAACAGAAAGTCAACAAAGTCCTTGCCAGCTTCAGCAAAGAGAACTTTTTTATGGGTTTTGTCGATTAGGAGCTTCAAACTAACCGTAGACGAAGTAGAGAGAGATTTGGATTTGGAAACGGAAGGCGCCATTTGAGGCAGAGAGTGATGGAGGAAATGCAGGGCACCACAACCATATATGGGTTACCAGATAGAGCGTGAATGCCATGAATATTGTAAAAAAATGCAATGTGGGTGGTGGTGGTGGTAATTTCAACCCTCGGTAGTCGGTGTAGACATGCAATTATGAAGATCAATTAATTTTGATGTTGCTCGAGTATTGTCGTTCCCAAGTGATGACATCATTGCTTTTTTTAAGTGAAAAGACATCATTGCTTTTTTAAGAGAGAAGAAGAAAGCAGAAGAATCTGATCTCTTTGTATTAGAATGATAATGTAGTTATGCCAGTGTTAATACAAAGATAATGTAACTAATTAATAACTAAATCAACTACTTGTGACAACTGGAGGAGTAAATCTTTCCATGCCGGGGGAGAATCCCTCCAACTGCATGCACAACTGATGGAGAAGATCGAGATTGGGACTCTCAGTACCAGCGAAATGATGTTTACTTATTGCAAAAACAATGTACTTTTGAAATCCAGACAATTAGAGGGTTGTTAATTTAGAGGTACTGAACTTATCCCAAATTTTTATTTGGCCCCGAACTTCTTTTTGAGAGAGTTCAGTCCTCCAACTCAACCATCCATGACACATGTACACCTTTTATTATGAGGCAGGCACAATTAATTAGTAGTCACAAGCAATAAGGGTTTTAGGTGGAGAAAAACATTCATGCAACGGACGGGTATCCTGTTAGAAGTTAGTTTTTCTGTATGGGGTGAGTAAGTTAAGATATCTTCATGGGTCCAATACCCAATCAAATTCATTCAGCCAATTAATATTGGTAAAACAAAGGGATACATCATCCATATTCGAAAACAAACATTCCATAGAAGCTTCAAAATGTCAACTTGAAATGCTGCTTGAGTTCGATTCTAACATATACGAGAAGAAAGAAAGCAGAAGAATTTGATCTATTTGTTGATTTCAGTAAAAACAAAAAAAAAAAAAAAAAAAAAAAAAAAAAAACATTAAATTAATACAAAAAAAAAAATACGAGCTGAGTGATGTAATTGTTACTGAGCTGAGCGGCAAGTTTTTGCATCATCCCATCATTTACTTATATCATTTCTCGAAGCTTGGGGGTATATATAGGCGTGCATGCGCTAGCAAATTAATCAAATTTAAGCAAACAGTTTCTTAATTTAAACAGACAGAAGGAAGAGTCATTGCATATCCTTAAATCTCAAATAACGTAAGCTCCAAAATGACATCATAAAGAAATACGAATCTGAGTTCATAATACAGAAAAACGATTTATGCCATCCTTTTACCCAGGAACACTTTTGTAAGAACTGCACTGGTCTCCAACGATGCCTTCAGCAGCTTCAAACCCTACAAAAATATGCAAAAAATATAATAAAATCCAAACAGAAAATACAATTTTAGCTTCCTTATTTTTAATGAAAATACAAGTAAAGAAAATAACATTATGACGTGCAGCAAGCAACATGACTCAAAAGCATGTAGAAATGTGGGAAATAAGTTAGGAATAATTCAAACCTCTTCCATGCCAAGATTAACCACTCTCTCTTCAAGAGCACCAACTTCCTTTACATTGAACTTGTTCAGCATAGCTATGCTTGAAATGGTGGACATTGGCTTCACCTCCAAGTCATCCATGACCATGTATGTCACTACTCCCTTGACATACCCTCCCTCGCTGGGTCTTGCCACGGTAGCAGGTGCTGGTGGAGAAACATAAGTCACCTTATTGGTAATGGAATTGCTGCAATTTGGGCAACGGGTTCCAGACACATCGGAAATACGGGGGTTACTGCAGCCTGTACACATGTAGAACTTTTTAGAATTCGAGTCAACGTTGTTGTTGGTCAGCAAAGGAAGGATATTGGCACCAGCAACTGTTGCCTTTGGTTCCAGCAACATGTCCTTGTTGAGATTTGGTTGCAAGTATGTGTCATCCAGATTTTCAACACTCTCATAAAGCTTTCCCAAGCTACCAACCATGCCGTCTTTGGAGAGGAGTTTGATCACAGTCCCTACAGGCAGAGACAGGAGAGTGAAGAGAAAATCAACGACATCCTTGCTTGCTTCCGCAAACAAAACTTTGCGACCCTTCGTGTCTATCAGGAGCTTCAAGCTCACGGTTGTGGTGTTGGAGGAGGTTGCCATGTTGATGCAATGTTTGAGGCTTAGGAGGATGACCTGTAATTTATAGGCGTACAGAAGAGAAAACCCTATTTAATCATAAAAATATGCAACAAATCTGCTCAAAATTAAAAAATGGGAATGCGTGCATGGCATTTTCCAAACCCTACGGAGAATGGATGAAGGTGGAGGTTGGATGGTCAACAAATGGAGATTCAAGTTAATCCATATTAATTATAACTTGCCATTATCTATGCAAATGTTGACCTATCTTTTAAACGTTACAAGTTGCCATTATGAGCGTGACCTTTCATTTAATTTGAATTATTCAATCGTTTATTAAAAGTTGCAGAGTTTCTTTTTCTCGAACCTTGAGGAGAAGGCGTGCATGCGTTAGCTAGTTGGACTCTAAGGATGCCTTCAGCAGCTTCAAACCCTAAGAGCAACTCCACCCATTTGCCCCTTGCCATGGCAAGGGGGGAGGTAGGGCAGCCACTATTCACCCTTGCAAATAGTATTGTGTGTTTTCATCCGTTGTCATGGAAAAGGGCAATTACTATTTATTTTTTTATTTTTTTCACAAATTTGTTACCTTAACAATTAATTTGGATAATATTTTCGGATAAGATTTTTGGGTTCGTACGTGTCAATATTTATTATAAAATTCATATCTCAATCGGATAAAATTTTGGTATTTATAGAAAAAAAAAATCAGTAATTTTTGGTATTTTTTTATTGCACAAAAACTGGCTGCTGTTGGATTGGAGAAAAAAATCTGATCGAAGAGCCCAGAGCGCGACACGTGGACTTTAGCGGCACTGTATCGTGTAGCACTGTAGCGCACTGTAGCACGTGGGCACTGTAGTGGGACTGTGGTGATGACGTGAACAACAGCCCTCGGGCTGAACTAGCCTGAGGGCCAGCCGACTTCGTGGGACCCACTCCCAGCCGGGCTTGGGCTGTTCGCTGAACACCATTCCCCCCCCCCCCCCCGCCCCCCCAAGCCTTGGGCTCAGCCCTCCGCAGGAACTGCTATAAGAAAAACGAAAGGGCAAAAATATACAAAATTAGTGATAACCTATAATATACTTTAACTGAAGCATCAACATAGCCTAATATTTCAAAACAGAGTCAACTAATAATCTCTTTTTCTATGACAAAACAATATTCTAAACTATTCTAATGTATAGGATGATATCAAATTTGAGAAAGGAACAGACACACTACATTGACTAACTGGCGTAATTGGTCAATTGATTATTAATAAGAAAATTTTTGGTATGAAATTATTAAAATAAAATTAGTAATTAAAATAGGGAAGCATATAGATGATATATATAAGGAATTCAGACCTCCTCCATGCCAAGATTAACCCCTCCCCTTAAGCATAGTTATACCAGAAATGGTAGACACATCGACTTCACTACCAAATTGTCCATGATCATATATGTAACAACACCCTTCGCATACCCACCCTCGCTGGACGTCGCCGTTTCAACAGTGCTACAAGGTGCTTGCGTCAGAGAAACATAATTTACTGGAGTGGAGATAGAATAATAACGTGTGCACTGTGAACAAGCAATTCTTGGAGAGGAGCCTAACCACGGTGCCGACAGGCAAAGAGAGAAGGGTGAAAAGAAATCCACAACCTCCTTGGTCGCTTCAGCAAACAGAACCTTGCGACCCTTTGTGTGGACAAGAAGCTTCAGTGTCACGCTAGTGCTCTTGGAGTGTGCCATTGATGCAAATATTGAAGACAAATAGGCATATGCATATTTCTAAGCCTTAGAAAGACCTAACAATTTATAGCTTTTCAAATTCATTCATATCGAAGCTGAAGAATCACATGATCAATGGAGATTAAACCCCCATTGATCGGAACTGAAGGATGATCATGATTCACATTGACCAAGAAGGCGGAGGGTTAGCAAATTAAACTACTACTGGTATTTATTTTTTCAAATTAATGGTTGACGTTGATGATGAAAACCATGGAAAAACAATTAATATTTGTCATTCATTTCTTTGAAACTAGGCTTTGCCTTTTCGAACTCCTTGTGTTCGAGCTTCACTGGACTATTGTCAAATAAAAAGGTACAATAGAAGAAGACAGAAGAAAAACCTTCAACATGTAGATATGAAGTCATTAAATTCATTATGCATATACGCTCCAAATAAACTCCAAAATAATAATTATTGCATAACAAAACACATCTCGCTTCAGAATAACAAAAAGTTCAGAGTGGCTCCAAAATGTTCATGCCGCCGACTTCAGCAACAACTGACTTGGGTCTGAGCAGGGTGTTCTTGTTGAGATTAGGTTGCAAGTATGTGTAGCTAAGATTTTCAAGGCTTGCGTAGAGCTTGCCTAAGCAACCAACCATGCCATCCCCAGAGAGGAGCCTAATGACGGTGCCAACATGCAAAGACAGCAAGCAAAGGGAAGAAAAAATCAGCAACTTCTTTGCTCACTTCAGCAAACAAAATTTTGTGGCTCTTTGTGTCTATTAGGAGGTTCAAGCTCACACAAACGTCGGAGGTTGCTGCCATATTGAACTAGTGATGAGGAAGACAAAGGAACTATACGGCTATATATTCCTTATATAATAATTGCATGCTAATATTATTTTGTATTGCCTAATTATAGATTCATAATTGAAGCACTCAAACGTTGCCTTTATTGCACTGAAACTCAACATTGTGTATCATAGTACAGGGCACTGTGCCAATGAAACTCAACATTGGAACTTGGTCTTCATCAACATTCATCTAGAGCTTGATCTCTATTTTCTTCTCTCACCCTTTGAGGAATTTAGGGAGCCACTTAGCAGACTCTCCGAGAATGCGCGTGAGTTTGTTTTTGTAATCGATGTAGTAAAGCCCGAATCTTAAGATATAGCCATCACCCCATTCATAGTCATCAAACGGAGCCCAGTGGAAATATCCTGTCAAGTTCACTCCATTCTTCATTGCCCTGTTCATCCAGTACAAATGCCTCAGATTATTTTCAATTCTATGTGGGAGTTAGGCGGCGCATGGGCGCCCGCCTAGGCGGCTTTAGGCGGCCCTAGGTGGCTCTAGGAGGCCCTAGGCAGCTCTAGGCGGCTCTAGGCGGCCCTACGCGGCCCTAGGCGGGTCTGGGCGGGCGTTTTGCTGTTGAGGCGTGGATGAAGGGCGGTTGAAGCGTGCAGGATCTGCTGCTTGTTAGGAAGAAAGACGGAGAGAGAGAGAGATAGAGACATAGAGGAAGGAGAAGGTGACGCTGGGAAGAAGAAGATATCTTACCATTGTATTTTTAATATAACTGACGGGTTAGGTTTTGTTAAATGGCCTTAAACATTGTATTAAAATGGGCCTATTTTTTCTGTGTAAATCAGAAGCTTCAAACTCACGCTAGCGCTGTTGGTAGCTATTGAGGGGATATAAGCTTCATAAAAAAAGTATCTTAAATTCAAATTATTCAAAAATGGCAATGGTGAATGGATCAAGAAGGTGGAGGGTCACCTTGGAGACTCTGCATCATCAGTCGACCACGAAGCAACTCTACATTTACAAATCTGTCATTACCTATACATAGGTAATATAATCTACGGATGAGTGAATAAATATGTATTTATTTATTTCCACTAGTTGGCATTCATTAACTAAACCAACAGCCAGATTTACAATTCGTTTTGTTTTGTATTTGCTTTTTCATATTAGTTGTATTGTATCTTCAGACTTCACTAGTTCAGAGACAAAAGACAGTGAAAAAGCCAACTAACAGGTCTATGCTCCTTCAGCAAACAGAATTTCGTGGCTTTTTTCCATGGACTAGGAGTTTCACCTTGTTTTTGGTGATTGCCATTGATGACGTCAAGAAGACTGATCCATAATTCATGGATGAGTTTATTCTTTGGAATGGATGATGAACTTCATAGATCAAGTAAGAGGAGAGAAATTTGATAGGTAAAGAGAGAAGATAATAGATCACTAGAACATGTATTTTTGTCACACGTACGTGTGAGTATGGATTAATCTGGTGTGAAAAATAGGAGGATCTGTAATGCAAGGCATCAAAAAGCTTTCATAACCTTGCAAACTGCCACTTTAGAAACAAAACTACATTTGATGTGTTTAGAAATTGAAGTAAGAATTTGTGTGACATGACAAGGGTTTGAGTTGCAAGGTGCCCGTGTTAGTTAACCATAGGTTTCATGCAAATGTTAACCACCAATATGCAAAGACAGAAGAGTGAAAAGAAAATCAACAACTTATTTGCTTGCTTGTAATTCTTTGTGCAAAGAGGACAGAGAACTGCCCAAATGGAAAAAAAGCAGAGAACTGTTATAAAAGTAGGTCTCCTGCCAACTGGTTTGAGATTTGATCATGCCGAAAAGAAACTAAGAAATGGAGGCCCAAAACATAAAATCAACAGAAAAACCAAAAACAAAACAGTGCAAATGCCTTAGAGAATCGGTGCTTCATAAAGTCCACAAATATCCCTGCGGAGCAGTGTAGATGAGCAAGTTTACTTCAGCCGCACAATCGGTTCTCCTTGTTCATTTTTGTATCAACGACAGTGCAAAAGGATCATTGGGAAATCAGATTGGTTTCCTTGGACTTGTTGGATATTTTGAGTGAAATGCACGTTGGACAAGTTGTTACAGGACTATCAGAAATATTGCGGTTGCAATTTGCACAGAGGTAGAACCATTTAGGCACATTCGAGTCATTGTTGGCTGGCAAATGAAGGATGTTAGTGCCAGAAATTGTTGTCTTGGGTTTCAGCAGGGAGTCTTTGTTAAGACTGTGTTGCATGTATGTGTCACTGAGATTTTCGAGGCTCTCGTAAAGTTTGCCTAAGCAACCAACCATGCCACCATTAGAGAGAAGGAGCCTAGTCACAATTGCGACATGCAAGGACAGAAGAGTGAAGAGAAAATCCACAACTTCCTTGCTTGCTTCAGCAAACAGTACTTCAGCAAGCAAAAACATGTTTAAATTCATGCACCCTATTAGTTAGTATTTCAGTACAAGATCATCAGACTAGGAAAGTTGATTCACTAGTGACCTGCCTCATGACTATGAAAACAGTGTAATCTTAATTCCACGCCAACCAAAAGCTCATAATCTTTCAATTTCGAACCAACTTAAGTCAGTTCCGATGCACCAAGAGGTACCCTTCCAGGATGTGGCATCCAGGGGTAGGTGGCTTCTGGGCGCCCGCCTAGGCGGCCCTGGAAGGGTCTAGGAGGCTCTAGGCGGCCCTAGGCGGCTCTAGGGGCTCTAGGAGGTCTAGGCGGGTCTAGGCGGCCCTAGGCGGCCTAGGCGGCTCTAGGAGGTCTGGGCGGGCGTTTTGCCGTTGAGGCGTGGACGAAGGGTGCAGGATCCGCTGCTTGTTAGGAAGAAAGACGGAGAGAGAATGATCTAGACAGAGACGAAGGAGAATTCGACGCCGGGAAGAAGAAGATATCGGACCTAATTTTATATTTGTAAAGGATAGCCGCTTGGCTATACTATTAATTTGAAAAGAAAACAAAAAAAACACGGAGTACAAAGGTGTGGCCATACTATTTTTATATATTATATCTAACTAGTATAGCCGCCCGGCTATACCATTCAATGGAATAAAATTTTTTAAAAATGGATTATCGCCGCCTGGCTATACTATTAATTTCAGGGAAAAAAAATAAAAATGGAGTATAACCGCTCGGCTGTACTCTTTTAATATGGGTTTAGATATGCAATTATGAAGATCAATTAATTTGATGTTGCTCGAGCATTACCATTCCCAAGTGATGACATTGCTTTTTTAAGTGAAAAGACATCATTGCTTTTCTAAGAGAGAAGAAGAAAGCAGAAGAATATGATCTCTTTGTATTAGTTTGTAGTCCAATACGTACCCAATCCAATTCATTCAGTCAATTAATTTTGTAAAAGAAAGGATACATCATCCATATTCAAAAACAAACATTCGAAAGTGTGTTAAACGGTGGGCTAATATTTAATTGTAGGGTATTTCTTTTTATATACCTTTAAGATTAAGTTGAAAAATCAGCCCTGGGGCAAAGCCTAGCTGAGCCCCTCTATAGTTCTGCCTTTGAGACGCATAAAAAACTTCATGCATATTAATAAAAAATGTCATATTCACGCTCTAAGAAAAATAATAGGATCCATAAAAAGCTTCATACACACGCATAAAAAGTGCTTTTTTGTTTTTGAGTTTCCATAGTTTATTTTGACCATCAAACAACAACCATCGAGCTTCACTGGATTATTGTTAAATAAAAGGTGCAATAGATGAAGACAGAAGAAAAACCCTCAACATGTAGATATGAAGACATTAAATGCATTATTGCATAACAAAACACATCTCGCTTCAGAATAACAAAAAGTTCAGAGTGGCTCCAAAATGTTCATGCCGCCGACTTCATCCCAAGGAACACATCAGTGAGGACTGTTTTTGACTCTAAAGATGCCTTGAGCAATTTCAAACCCTAATGAAGAAAGCACAAAAACAAGTTAGAATTATGCATTTTAGCATTGGTGCTTTCTTTGAGCAAATTATAAGATGAAATGAGAGAAGCATATTCAAATGGTCAAACCTCTTGCAGGCCAAGCTGAACCACCCTCTCTTCAAGGGCTTCAACATCCTTCGCAACAGCTGACTTGGGCCTGAGCAGGGCAAAATTTCTTAGCTTCTGAATCAGATTTATTGTTGGTCAACAAATGGAAGATATTAGCTCCAGCAACAGCTGACTTGGGCCTGAGCAGGGTGTTCTTGTTGAGATTAGGTTGCAAGTATGTGTAGCTAAGATTTTCAAGGCTTGCGTAGAGCTTGCCTAAGCAACCAACCATGCCATCCCCAGAGAGGAGCCTAATGACGGTGCCAACATGAAAAGACAGCAAAGAGAAGAAAAAATCAACAACTTCTTTGCTCACTTCAGCAAACAAAATTTTGTGGCTCTTAGTGTCTATTAGGAGCTTCAAGCTCACACAAACGTTGGAGGTTGCTGCCATATAGAACTAGTGATGAGGAAGACAGGGGAACTATACGGCTATATATTCCTTATATAATAATTGTATGCCAATGTTATTTTTGTATTGCCTAATTATAGATGTTAATTGAAGCACTCAAACGTACGTTGCCTTTATTGCAATGAAACTCAATATGGTGTATCATAGTACAGGGCATTGTGCCAATGAAGCTCAACATTGGAACTTGGTCTTCATCAACATGCATCTTGAACTTGATCTCTATTCTCTTCTCTCACCCTTTGAGGAATTTAGGGAGCCACTTAGCAGACTCTTTGGGAATGCGTGTGAGATTGTTTTTGTAATCGATGTAGTAAAGCTCGAATCTTAAGGTATAGCCATCATCCCATTCATAGTCATCAAACAGAGCCCAGTGGAAATATCCTTTCAAGTTCACTCCATTCTTCATTGCCCTGTTTATCCAGTACAAATGCCTCAGATTATTTTCAATTCTATGTGGATCCTTCAGTGCAGCATCAAGTCCAAGTTTATTATCCTTTGGCTCAGTAATTCCATTTTCAGTAATGTAGATTATCGGATTCCGATAATTTTTATTCATGAACTCCAACAGTTTCTTCACACCTTGTGGATAAATAATGTAGATGATCGAGTTTCCTTCAGCCAAAGGACCAATAGGATCTCCGTTTTGTTTTCGGTCAGTGTTGAAGCTAAAGGATCGTTGCGGTAGCAGAAGCTCTGTCTTCTGCAGATTCTGAGTAAGGCTCAACATACCGTCCTACAAGACTAATTCCACTTCGTCCACCTTGTTTCTCTTGAAACTTCTCTCTGTAAAGCTCAACAACAGTGGCATGGGCTAGGAGAAGGTTATGGCTCACAATGTAAGGTTCAGTGGCTGAATTGCCGGCGCTATGCAAAGAAGCCCTGCTGAAATAGAACACCTTCCCGGCGCAGCAATTCCAAACTCATATCCAAATTTGGCAATATTCAACTGCTCGTTGATTGTGATCCAATTTTTGACCCTATCTCCGAATGTTCTTAAACAGATTTCAGTGTAAGCCTTGAAATCATCCACAAAAGAACGGTTCAAAGGGCCTAAGTACTTGTTTTCCAAACCTTGTGGTAGGTCAAAGTGCAATAAGGTCACATAGGGTATGATCCCATTATCGACTAATTCATCAATAAGGCTGTTGCAGTGATCAATGAACCCAGTATAGCCGCGCGGGTATTCAAGTTTGAATACGATATATTTAAGACATATCGCCGCCCGGCTATACTATTAATTTAGGAAAAAAATTAAACAATGAAACACGGAGTATAGCCGAGGTTTAATATATTATATTTAAAAGGTATAGCCTATCGGCTGTACTATTAATTGGAATAAAAATTAAAAAAATTAAAAATAAACACGGCGTATAGCCGGTCGTCTACACTATTAATTTAGGAAAAAATAAAAAAGGAAGTATAGGTGCGCGACTATACTCATTTAATATAAATTTACACAAACCAGGCCAAATTGTTTGACTTCAATTCTAAAATATAAGCAGTAGCTGCATTTGATATGTCGTGAAATTAAAGTTAAAATGCAAATCGTAGAGAAATGGCTGCACTCAGATGGCCCTTTGTGTCAATCAGGAGGATAGGCTTCGACAATTCATCAGTTTCTTCAGATGTTTTGAATCAGTATATATAGATGAGCTTGATTTCTTCAACCTCCCTCAGTACAAAATTGGCCTCCTTATTTGTTCTGGATCAACGATAAAGCTGAATGATTGTTGCGATGGCTGATGAGTTTTCTTGAGATATAATGAATGAAACTAATAGAATCAATGGACCAAAGTTTACATGATCCAAAGTAAAATAGAATAGAAATCCCAATCCACAAACCAAAATGAAACCCCAAAAGCTCAATGTCGCTAGAGGACCAAAGTTGAAAAGTTTGTGCTGTTTCTTTCCAAGGAAGACATTGGTAAGAGCGGTATTTGACTCCAATGATGCCTCAACTTCAAACCCTACAAGAGAGAGAAATATACACGTAAGACATTTAGCTCTCTAAATAGATCAACAAGCCACTGATGAGAGTTAGAGACATACATAGGACATGAAACCTCCTTAACTTCAACACTTGATTCGGTGGTCATTGGCTTCACTTCCAAATTATCCATTATCATGTAAATAACACCACCCTTGACATAGTCTGCCCTTATGGAGGTTGCTCCAGTAGGAGCAGATGGAGAAACATAGACACCAGGGTGAAAATGTTACATGATCTGCACTGTGGACAAGGGATTCCGTAGCTCTCAGATATACGGTTACTGCACCTCACACAAATGTAGAACAATTTAGAAAGATTCTAGTCATTGTTGGTCGGCAATGGCAATTGAAAGATATTGGCCGCAGAAATTGTTGTTTTGGGTTTGAGCAGGGTGTCCTTAAGATTGAGTGGCAAGTATGAGTTGACACTAAGACTTTCGGCACTCTGGTAAAGGTTGCCTAAGCAACCAACCATACCATCAGTTGAGAGGAGCCTAGTAACAGTTGCAACATGCAAAGACAGAAAACTGAAACGGAAATCAACAACTTCCTTGCTTGCTTCAGCAAACAGAACTTTGTAGCTTTTTGTGTCAATCAGAAGCTTCAAACTCACGCTAGCGCTGTTGGTGGTAGCCATTGAGGGGATATTAAGGACAGACCTTCACACAAAAAAGTATCCTAAATTCAAAATTATTCAAAAATGGCAATGGTGAACGGATAAAAGAAGGTGGAGGGTTACACAAATAAGTTACACAATAAATCTAAACTCCAACAGCAAACATTACAGATGACAAACTCCACCAAAAAAAACACTGACAGCGTCAAGTAACTCAACAATCACAAGTCAAATCCCTTGAGATGCAAAATAGTAGGAATGGATATAGAAGATAGTAACAGAAACCTTACAGCAAACAGACTAAATTTACAACAAGCTCCATTAACCGAGCCCTAAAAACACAAGCACCAAAAATAATTATGAAATTAAGAAATAGGTCGAAGTAAACTCAAATTTATATCCCAGTCAGTCTCTTCTACATCAGTTCTCTCTCTGCCACTATCTAATTGAATCGGAAAATTACCACAGTGAAAAAATCTTCCTACCCAAAGATACAAAACACTGTCTTCACTTTTTCCAACACCTGTATTTGGTGAGTAAATAGTGAAAGAAGATTTAGAATCTAGTTCCCTCACACCAAATGTAGCAATCTTCTCTAAACTGGGCCAGCGGCATACAAAAGGTTGCATAAATTACATTGTGCTGGACAACTTTCCCCAGTCTCCTTTGAGGCAGATGATCCTGCACCCTTCTTCCAAAGGGAAATTTTTCCAAGGTTCAGCAGAATGTTTGATAAAAGAAGGTTCCTTCTGGCATATGTTGCACTGTTGTCTTGAATATTCTCCTCCCTTTTGAACACCCATCCTTTGGCTCTAATACCTTGTCAATATCATCTATGTGACCTACAGAACAAGTACTGTCATTTATCCTAACACCATCTTCTTTAGTGGAAAGAAATTTTGAGGAAGTACTCATCAACCTCATCTTATCACTCATCACAGGCAACTTGAGAGACAAACTACCTCTGCGCTCTGCAAGAGGAGATAACTTTTTGGATGGTAATGAGGTTGATCGAGAATAGGACTGTGAACTACAATTGGAAACAACGTTTTCTGGACTATTAGACATGGGTTTGATCAGAAGATTTAGATGAGAGGAGAGACATGTCAGAATCATTTGACAATGTTGAAGAGACTGGAAGAGAGCATGAAGCTGCTGATGGAGATCCATAGAGGATTCTGAAAAGTACTTCGAACTAGTGCTTGATTCAGAAGATATGGAATCTGGTGATAGATATAGAGGTGAAGAAGAGGAGGACGATGAAGATGAAGAGGACGCTGATGAATTATTTTTAGCTGTATGAACTAACATCATAGAATCTGAATAGACCCTGGAGAGGGATATCCTGGTGCTAAGACAAACTCCTTCATATTGCCAGAGGCAAACTTACGCCTGAGCATACTCCAGCTACTCTCTCTAGCAGGAAGATGGGTTTCGTGTTCATTCTCGGAGGATGCAAATGGAGGTACAAAACTACCCCTAATAGCTTTCTGGAAAATTTCAAAATCAACATTATATCCGTCTGTTTTCCTTTCACCTGGATGAATCTTAACTGTTGATTCCCCAACCTCCCCTCCATTTCCAGACTTATCCATCAATGGAAAAATGTTTGAGAAAGCATCCCAAGAGTAAGCTGGTTCTTCCCCTTCCTTGATTATAGTTATTGGACCTTGCACTCTCTCATACCGAACAATCTGACAAACAGCCCCTCTTGCATCCCTTTCCATGATGGCCTCACAATTCTTACCAATCCAAACATATATGGCAGACGGTATATGAACAATAAGCAAATACATGTTTAAATGCAGGAGTTGGAACAAAATCAAGTGAAACGGCCTAAGGTTAGTTAACCTAGTATTTCAGTACAAGATCATCAGACTAGGACCCTTCCATATGACCTGCCATATGACTGAAAACAGTGTAATCCTAATTCCACGCCAACCAAAAGCTCATTATCTTTCAATTTCGAACTAACTTAAGTCAGTTCCGGTACACCAAGAGGTACCCTTCCAGGATGTGGCATCCAGGGGTAGGCGCCAGGGAGCTAGGCGGGGTATGGGCGCCCGCCTAGGCCGCTCTAGGAGGGTCTAGGCGGCTCTAGGCGGCTCTAGGCGGCTAGGAGGGTCTGGGTGGGCGTTTTGCCATTGAGATGTGGACGAACGGCGGTTGAAGTGCGCAGGATCCGCTTCTTGTTAGGAAGAAAGACGGAGAGAGAGAGAGAGAGAGATCAAGACAGAGAGAGGAAGGAGAAGGCGACGCTGGGAAGAAGATATCTGACCTAAGTTTTATATTTGAACAGTATAGCCGCCGGGCTGTACTATTCATGGGAATAAAAAAAATTTAAACGGATTATCGCCGCCCGGCTATACTATTAATTTCAGGAAATTTTTTTTAAAAAATGGAGTATAACCGCTCGGCTGTACTCTTTTAATATGGCTTATCAAAAAGAGGGCGAATGCCATGGATATTGTGAAAAAAAAGCCATGTGTGTGTGTGGTGGTGGTGGTGGTAATTTCAACCCTCAGTAGTTGGTATAATATGCAATTATGAAGATCAATTAATTTGATGTTGCTCGAGAATTGCCATTCCCAAGTGATGACATCATTACTTTTTTAAGAGAGAAGAAGAAAGCAGAAGAATCTGATCTCTTTGTATTAGTTTGAAGTCCAATACATACCCAATCCAATTCATTCAGCCAATTAATTTTGTAAAACAAAGGATACATCATCCATATTCAAAAACAAACATTCCAAAAGAAGCTTCAAAATGTCAACTTGAAATGCTGCTTAGAGCATCTCCAACCGATGTGTCAAACGTGCCACATAGACATTTAACAGCTATAAATAACATTTCATATCACTTCAACCGATGTGTCAAAGCTGATGTGGAATGAAGGCTGGAGGTTGATATGTTATTTTTTACATCCCAAAAGCAAGAATATGTCAAATGAATATTTTATTATTATTTTTTCTTTTCTTTTTAACTAAAAATGAATTAACACTAAAATATAATAAAATAATAATTTAATTTGACTTATCGGGTGGAGTGTAAAGCTGTGTAAGATGTCAAATTGCCACATCAGCCATCAAATTTAAATTTGATGTTTAGTATTTGACATCTCCCTCGGAGATGCTCTTAAAGGAACACATTCGTCAGAACTGCATTTGACTGCAATGATGCCTTTCAACAATTTCAAACCCTAACAAGGAAATTAAACAAAAATGCTCTTCATCATAAATTCTTATAGAATATCAAGTCCAATATTTGAATATATAGAATGGTAATTCATCACGTTAGAAAAAATTAATAAACACAAACCTTATCCTTATCGAGAGAAACCACAATCTCTTTTAGTGAACGAACATCCCTAACATCGAAGTTTTTAAGCAGACCGATACTTGAAACGGCAGACATAGGCTTCACTTCCAAATCATCCGTTATCATGCAAGTCACAGCCTCTCTCACAAACCCATCTCCCTTGCCGCCGACTGGAATTGCCGGCCGAGCAACATAAGTCATGTGTTTGAAAATAAAGTTATGGCACTTTGAAGCCTCCATGCAAGGCCTCATAGACTATGAAGCTGCAATTCACCTCTGGAAGGTTGACACGTTTGACTTTGTTGTTTGCCTAAGTGCCTATATTGGCGTCGTTTTTGGCAGCGTTGAAATTGGACTAGTCTTAGCGGTACGTATGACTGTATGTCACACCAGTAAAAAGTTATTGTGTGTGACAATAACACCATATCAACAACTTAACATTACTTATTAGAACTAATATTTCTTTTTTCTTGTGTGTAGGTTGCGATATCTGTTATCAAGGTACTTTTGTTTGTGGCAAGGCCAAGGACTTTTGTTCAAGGAAACCTTCCAAATTCCATGGTTTACAGGAATGTTGAGTAGTATCCCAATGCAAGCAATGTTCCTGGAATTCTCATAATTGAGATTGATGCTCCCATTTACTTTGCAAATACCAACTAGTTAAGAGAAAGGTAGTAATTAATTAAACCTGAACACACTCTTGCATGTTATAAGCTTATTATTGATTGTGTAAACCAAGCTGCTTCCATCCCTTGCAGCATTAAGCTGCTTATTCAGGATATTCTCTTGTTGTGTTCCATTTGTGCGAAAATGGCTTGTAAGCATGTGTTCAGGGAGGCTAATTTTACGGTTAATGTTGTTGCCAACTTGGGGCACGAGCTTATTCCGTTTAAGTTGTGGGAGAATGGGCTACTTTTGAAATATTCTCTTCCGTTTTATTTTGATCTTTTTGCCCCATAGTGCCTGTCAAAATAAAGCACTCTTGTTTGTTTTTTGACTGGGTCATGGTGGAGGGAAAGGACCTCAATCACTGAGCTAAACCCAAGCAAGGACACATGCCATTATTGCTTTTAAGAATAATAAAGCAATGAATCAGTGAATTGTTCTTGTACTTATACCAGTGTTTTAAATTTAATACAAGAATAATGTGACTCAAACTGTAATTTAGTCAACTAAATCTAACTTTAGTCTCAGAAGACCAGTAATCTGAAGTTTCAAAACTTAGACACTTACATTGGCGAAGCCATGAGTTCTGTCAAGCGTGGTCATAAAATACCTACTAATACCAAGAGGTGCAATTCAACGGCATATATACATAGACATAGGTATAAAAAGAGAGATTTTTGTAGGTGGTAACTAAGTAAATTCAATAAGTAAAGAATTATAAATGTAGAACTGTTTGGCATTGGAGTTATTATTGGTCAGCAAATGATGACTTGGGTTTGAGCAACCAAGATTGGGCTGCAAATCATATAAAGTTGGCCTAAGCAGCCAACCATGCCGTTCTTGGAGAAGAGCCTAATGATGGTGCCAACATGCAGAGACAGAATTGTTAAGAAGCAATCAACAATTTCTTTGCTCACTTCAGCAAACAAAACTTTCTGGCTTTTTGTGTCTATAGGAGCTTCAAGCTCACACTAGGGTTGGAGGTTGCTGCCATATTGAACTAGTGATGAAGAAGGCATAGCTTATTGTCTACCAGAATATGCCAATATTTGTTTCGTATTGCCTAATTCTAGATTGATAATTGAAGCACTCAAACGTTGCCTTTATTGCTGTGAACCTCAACATTGTGTATCATGGTACAGGGCATTGTGCCAATGAAAATCAACATTGGAACTTTGTCTTCATCAACATGCATCTAGAGCTTGATCTCTATTTCTCTCACCCTTTCAGGACTTTAGGGAGCCACTTAGCAGACTCTTTGGGAATGCGATTGAGATTGTTTTTGTAATCGATGTAGTAAAGCCCGAATCGTAAGGTATAGACATATCTTGAGGCTTCTTTGGAGCTAAAGGATCGTTGCGGTAGCAGATTGGCTTAATAGACCTGCAGGGTCGTTTTTACCATATCTTGAGGTGTAATAGTTGATGCCAACAAAATCAAAAGGAATACTTCAACAATCTCCTCTCTTCCTTGGTGAAAATGGGCAGCCTTTCCTTGACCAAATGTCTCATGCTCTTTGGATAATCTCCATATACCAATGGCTCCGTGTACCATCCATGTTCTCTTTACTGCAGCTCTGTCTTCTGTTGATTCTGAGTAAGGCTCCACATATTCTCCTATAAGACTAATTCCAATTTGTCCACCTTGTTTCTCTGTAAAGCTCAACAACAGTGGCATGGGCTAGGACTCCTAGGAGAAGGCTATGGCTCACAATGTAAGGTTCAGTGACTGAATTGCCTTCCCTGCACGGAACAGAAACCCTTCCCGGCGCATATATTCCGAGCGGCTATACCATTAACTTAGTAAAAATTAAAAAACAGAGTATAGCCGAGCGTCCATACTCCATGCGGCTATACTATAATTGGAATAAAAATTTAAAAAACATGGTGTATAGCCTGTCGGCTAGACTATTAATTCGGGGAAAAAAAAAATGGAGTCTAGCCGATCGGCTATACTATTAATTGGGAAAAAAATAAAATAAAAACAGAGTATAGCCGCCGGCTATACTATTTATTTAAAAAAATAAAATAAAGGACCCAAGTAGAGCCGACCGACTGTACTGTTTGAATATAATATATTTAAAACGTATAGCCGGTCGGCTATACTATTTATTATTAAATAGAAATATAATATTTAAATAGTATAGCCGTTTTTAAAAAAACATGGAAAAAAAGGCCAAAAAAAGCTATACAGGCTTTACATTCCCCTCTCTGCCTGGCTCGCTTCACTGAATCACACTTCCCATCAAAGTCTTCAAGTTCAAGGCCAAAAAAGAGATGGGCAATTCCTCATTTGAATTTTCATGGAGCCTCCCAAGAAATCAAAGAAAAGCAAGAAAGATAGGAAATTGAAGAAAAACTTAAGTTTGGTTCCAGTCGAGCCTAAAGCCGCAGACTCTAATTGGTGGGATAGTTTCTTCAACCCAAGGTTTTTCTTTTCACTAAGCTCAGTCTCCAATTACTCTGCTTCCTGCTTTTTAGTGGAATGCATTCAGATTACTTGTAGTTTTAACTAAATTACCTTATATTTTGTTTATTTTGGAAAATCTATGATGCAGACATCTAGAACAGGTGGTGGATTTTGTTCTGTAATGTTAAATTCGGTAATGATGTTCATAATTAGAGCTCAAAACCTATAAACTATGCTTTTGTTTAGTTAGGTTGTTGGAAAAATCGGCCTACGCGCTAGGCGGCCGCCTAGGCGGGTCCAATTTTTTTTCTTGACTTTAGCTAAATTATGAACTCGCTTCAATTTCTGATGGCCGCTATAAGAAAACTGGCGTTTGATTATGTGTTTTGCATCCTGAAAACACAAAGATGTGGTCGAAAAGTTATTGCTAGAGAGAGCAATAGAGATTTTAGCCTGTAAAAGTAGTATGTAATTTATAAAAGCTTTTTGTATTTTGTATTTTGGTTTTTACCTATAATGACAATATTTTTAAATTAATGCCCGAAATTTTCTGGTGGATATATATTTTCAGATAGGAAAGCTGAAGAAGGGGCTTAATGCAATGTCCTTTGGAGACCTTGTGTTTGTGTCTGCTTATCTGTGACAACAGCTTTCAAAACTGGAGTCATAGCTCTCGCCATAAGTAATTAACATAATTCTTTAGTTACTGATGTTGTTTAGGCCAGTTGATCACGAGAAAGAACATGTTGTATTGCAAACTGTTCTTAATTATAAAAATTAATGGATTGTGGGTTTTCCTAATTGCTATGTGCAGGAAGGAATAGCAGTAGGGAGAAGCTTTTCCATATACAAGAATTACCACATTGATGGGAACAAAGAAATGATTGCCATTGGTATGATGAACATTGCTGGTTCTTGCACATCTTGCTACCTCACCACAGGTTAATCACTCATCGTACGCATTTAATACTAATTAAATTAAGGGGTTTAATCTAAATTAGATTCATTTCATGTTGCTAATTAAGCAAAAAATTTTCATCAATTTTCAGGGCCATTTTCCAGATCAGCAGTTAACTACAATGCAAGATGCAAGACGGCAATGTCAAACGTTCTCATGGCAATTGCGGTTATGTTCACATTGTTGTTCCTCATTCCTCTATTCCAGTACACTCCCCTGGTTGTGCTGTCTGCTATTATAATAGCTGCCATGCTCGGCCTTATGGACTATGAAGCCGCAATTCACCTCTGGAAGGTTGACTCGTTTGACTTTGTTGTCTGCATGAGTGCCTGTATCGGCGTCGTTTTTGGCAGCATTGAAATCGGCCTAGTGTTAGTGGTACGTACGACTATATGTCACACCAGTAAAAAATTATTGTGTGTGACAATAACACCATATCAACAATCTAACACCACTTCTTAGAACTAATATTTCTTTTTTCTTGTGCGTAGGTTGCAATATCTGTTATCAGGGTACTTTTGTTTGTGGCAAGGCCAAGGACTTTTGTTCAAGGAAACCTTCCAATTCCATATATGGTTTACAGAAATGTTGAGCAGTATCCCAATGCAAGCAATGTTCCTGGAATTCTCATACTTGAGATTGATGCTCCTATTTACTTTACAAATACCAACTACTTAAGAGAAAGGTACTAATGAATTAAACCTGAAGACGCTCTTGCATGTTATAATCAAATTTAAAAATAATAATTTGAAAGTTGACCCAAAGTCCTACCTGTTTTCAGGATTACAAGGTGGATAAATGATGAGGAAGATAGGATCAAATCTGCAGGGGAAAGTAGCTTACAATATGTGATATTGGATATGACTGGTAATTAGGGAAACAAATAGCGCATATATATATAAAGAAAATTAATGTGACATTTTTTACCCTAAAATTAATTTGTTTTCTGGTTTAATTTGCAGCTGTTGGTAACGTAGACACAAGTGGGATAAGCATGTTTGAAGAGGTCATAAAGCTTGTTGACAGAAGGGGGCTCCAGGTTAAAAAATCTGCAACGGTCTCTTTCAATTTATCAAATATTTCCTTCCAAATTTTTATTTCATCTGTTCATATAACTCTGTAATTTTGTTCCCATCTGTGTTTAGCTTGTACTGGCAAACCCAGGAAGCAAGGTGATGAAGAAGATGAACAAGTCAGAGTTGATTGAGAATACATGTCAAGAATGGATTTATCTCACAGTTGCAGAGGCTGTTGCAGCATGCAACCTCATGTTTCACTCCACCAAGCCCAAACCTGGCAAAGATCAAGAACCAGCTGCATGGAACAACGTTTGATGGCTTTCGCTAGCTGCAATGTGAATTTATGTATCAGAAAGCAATATCCACATAAATATGAAGACTCATTTGAATTAAGGCGAGATGAATTTCAGGAAATGACGTTTGATGGCTTTGGCGGCTATACTATAAATCTCAGCAAAATCTGTTTTTTAAAAAGGGAGTATAGCCGAGCAGCTATACTATTTTAATATATTATATTTAAACAGTATAGCCGCTCGGCTATACTATTTACTCCAAAAAAAATTTAAAACAGCATATAGCCGTACAGCTATATGATTAATTTCAAAAACAATTTCAAAACACCTAGTATAGCCGCGCGGTAATACTATTAATTTTATAAAAAAAATAAAGAAAACCAGTGTATAGCGGCGCGGCCTATTCATTGGAATAAAAAAAGGGAGTATAGCCGGTCGGCTATACTATTATTTCAGGAAAAAAATTAAACAACGGGGTATAGCTGTACGGCTATAATCTTTAAATATACTTTATTTAAAGAGTACAGCCGCCCTGCTATACGCTGTGTCTTTGTTTAAACTTTTAGTCCAATTAATAGTACAGCAAAAATGAAGAAAACGATTCATTCAACAGCAAAAGAGTAATACATGAGTCTCAAAAACATCTTAGAGTCAAAAGTTCTAGCAAGTCAGTTCAGCTACCTTAACAGAAGAAACTATCCTCTGAAAAGGAGCATGGTGAAGTCGATTTCATCAATTTACAACTGACTGATTACCACAAAAAACCTCCAAAATAACAGTGTAAGACACTCTTTATGAATCCCTAGCCCGAACTCAGGCGCACAACAGTCAAACTAGCTCCAAAATTCCATTTCCAGAATTGATCAGGCTTAAAGTTGACATGTTTACTCCTCTTTCTTCCCAAGGAAGACACTGGTAAGAACTGCGTTAGACTCCAATGATGCCTTGAGCAATTTCAGACCCTAAAAAATTAATGAAAAGAAAATGATCATTTTGAACAAAATAACAATTCCTCCAACCAAAACCAAAAAACAAAAGAATATAATAGCAGATGAACTGTGGCAAATTAGCTTTGATTAAAAGCCTACATGATAATGTATGATGGTTGTATCGTCTATTGATCGAGTGTGTAGAGTAGAAATCAAAGCATAAAAAGTGTATCTATCCTATCCTTCCCAACTTGAATCAATTAAGAAAAGAATAAAAAGTGGGGTTCGTAATTGATGTGCGTATATATTTTGCATATTCAAGATGCACATATATTCACAGTTCAAAATGTTGAGAGAAGTTTAGGAATGCACACCTCATCCATGCCTAGAAGAACCATCCTCTCTTCAAGGGTACCAACCTCCTTAACATTGAACCTGTTCAACATAGCTATACACGATATGGTAGACATAGGCTTCACTTCCAAATTATCCATTATCATGTATGTAACAACATCTTTCACATACCCTCCGCCACCACCACCACCAGCAGATGATCCTTCGGTGATAGCCTGTGCTGCAACATAAGGCACCTCGGTAGAGAGAGTATATTTGCACTCTGGGCAAATGGCTCTAGGATCGTCAGCTATAAAGCCGTGGTAGCTCCCACACATGTACACCTTTTTAGCCAATGATTCATCATTGGCCAATGATCAAGTCCTTATATAATAATTGTATGCCAATATTATTTTTGTATTGCCTAATTATAGATTCATAATTGAAGCACTCAAACGTTGCCTTTATTGCAGTGAAACTCAACATTGTGTATCATAGTACAGGGCATTGTGCCAATGAAACTCAACTTTGGAACTTGGTCTTCATCAACATGCATCTAGAACTTGATCTCTATTTTCTTCTCTCACCCTTTGAGGAATTTAGTGAGCCACTTAGCAGACTCTCCGGGAATGCGCGTGAGTTTGTTTTTGTAATCGATGTAGTAAAGCCCGAATCTTAAGGTATAGCCATCACCCCATTCATAGTCATCAAACAGAGCCCAGTGGAAATATCCTTTCAAGTTCACTCCATTCTTCATTGCCCTGTTCATCCAGTACAAATGCCTCAGATTATTTTCAATTCTATGTGGGAGTTAGGTGGCGCATGGGCGCCCGCCTAGGTGGCTCTAGGAGGCCCTAGGCGGCTCTAGGCGGCCCTAGGCGGCCCTAGGCGGCTCTAGGAGGCCCTAGGCGGGTCTGGGCGGGGGTTTTGCCGTTGAGGCGTGGACGAAGGGCGGTTGAAGTGCGCCGGATCCGCTGCTTGTTAGGAAGAAAGACGGAGAGAGAGAGATAGAGACATAGAGGAAGGAGAAGGCGACGATGGGAAGAAGAAGATATCTTACCATTGTATTTTTAATATAACTAACGGGTTAGGTTTTGTAAAATGGCCTTAAACATTGTATTAAAATGGGCCTTTTTTCTGTGTAAATCAGATGCTTCAAACTCACGCTAGCGCTGTTGGTAGCCATTGAGGGGATATAAGCTTCATAAAAAAAGCATCGTAAATTCAAAATTATTCAAAAATGGCAATGGTGAATGGATCAAGAAGGTGGAGGGTCACCTTGGAGACTCTGCATCATCAGTCGACCACGAAGCAACTCTACATTTACAAATCTGTCATTACCTATACATAGGTAATATAATCTACGGATGAGTGAATAAATATGTATTTATTTATTTCCACTAGTTGGCATTCATTAACTAAACCAACAGCCAGATTTACAATTCGTTTTGTTTTGTATTTGCTTTTTCATATTAGTTGTATTGTATCTTCAGACTTCACTAGTTCAGAGGCAAAAGACAGTGAAAAAGCCAACTAACAGGTCTATGCTCCTTTCAGCAAACAGAATTTCGTGGCTTTTTTCCATGGACTAGGAGTTTCACCTTGTTTTTGGTGATTGCCATTGATGACGTCAATAAGACTGATCCATAATTACATGGATGAGTTTATTCTTTGGAATGGATGATGAACTTCATAGATCAAGTAAGAGGAGAGAAATTTGATAGGTAAAGAGAGAGAGGATAATAGATCACTAGAACATGTAATTTTGTCACACGTACGCGTGAGTATGGATTAATCTGGTGTGAAAAATAGGAGGAGCTGTAATGCAAGGCATCAAAAAGCTTTTATAAACTTGCAAACTGCCACTTTAGAAACAAAACTACATTTGATGTGTTTAGAAATTGAAGTAAGAATTTGTGTGACATGACAAGGGTTTGAGTTGCAAGGTGTCCGTGTTAGTTAACCATAGGTTTCATGGAAATTTTAACCACCAATATGCAAAGACAAAAGAGTGAAAAGAAAATCAACAACTTATTTGCTTGCTTGTAACTCTTTGTGCAAAGAGGACAGAGAACTGCCCAAATGGATAAAAAACAGAGAACTGTTATAAAAGTTGGTCTCCTGCCAACTGGTTTTAGATTTGATCATGCCGAAAAGAAACTAAGAAATGGAGGCCCAAAACATAAAATCAACAGAAAAACCAAAAACAAAACAGTGCAAATGCCTTAGAGAATCACTGCTTCAGAAAGTCCATATTTCTCCTTGCGGAGCAGTGTAGATGAGCAAGTTTACTTCAGCCGCACGATTGGTTCTCCTTGTTCATTTTTGTATCAACGACAGTGCAAAAGGATCATTGGGAAAGCAGATTGGTTTCTTGGACTTGTTGGACATTTTGAGTGAAATGCACGTTGGACAAGTTGTTACAGGACTATCAGAAATATGGCGGTTGCAATTTGCACAGAGGTAGAGCCATTTAGGCGCATTCGGGTCATTTTTGGCTGACAAATGAAGGATGTTAGCGCCAGAAATTGTTGTCTTGGGTTTCAGCAGGGAGTCTTTGTTAAGATTGTGTTGCATGTATGTGTCACTGAGACTTTCGAGACTCTCGTAAAGTTTGCCTAAGCAACCAACCATGCCAGCATTAGAGAGAAGGAGCCTAGTCACAGTTGCAACATGCAAGGACAGAAGAGTGAAGAGAAAATCCACAACTTCCTTGCTTGCTTCAGCTACTTCTGCAAGCAAAAACATGTTTAAATGCAGGAGATGGAACAAAATCAAGTGAAATGGCCTAAGGTTGCATGCACCCTATTAGTTAGTATTTCAGTACAAGATCATCAGACTAGGAAGGTTGATTCACTGGTGACCTGCCACATGACTGTGAAAACAGTGTAATCTTAATTCCACGCCAACCAAAAGCTCATTATCTTTCAATTTCGTACCAACTTAAGTCAGTTCCGAAACACCAAGAGGTACCCTTCCAGGATGTGGCATCCAGGGGTAGGCGCCAGGGAGCTAGGCGGAGTCTGGGCCCTAGGCGGCTCTAGGCGGCCCTAGGCGGCCTAGGCGGCTCTAGGAGGGTCTGGGCGGGCGTTTTGCCGTTGAGGCGTGGACGAAGGGCGGTTGAAGTGCGCATGATCCGCTGCTTGTTAGGAAGAAAGACGGAGAGACAGAGAGGAAGGAGAGGGCGACGCTGGGAAGAAGAAGATATCTGACCTAATTTTTATATTTGTAAAGGATAGCCGTGCGGCTATACTATTAATTTGAAAAAATACAAAAAACACGGAGTATAAAGGCGTGCCATACTATTTTTATATATAATAGTATAGCCGCTCGGCTATACGATTAATGTCAAGAAATAAAAAATAAAAAATAAAAAATGGAGTATAACCGCTCGGCTGTACTCTTTTAATATGGGTTTAGATATGCAATCATGAAGATCAATTAATTTGATGTTGCTTGAGCATTACCGTTCCCAAGTGATGACATTGCCTTTTTAAGTGAAAAGACATCATTGCTTTTTTAAGAGAGAAGAAGAAAGCAGAAGAATCTGATCTCTTTGTATTAGTTTGAAGTCCAATACGTACCCAATCCAATTCATTCAGCCAATTAATTTTGTAAAACAAAGGATATACATCATCCATATTCAAAAACAAACATTCCAAAAGAAGCTTCAAAATGTCAACTTGAAATGCTGCGTAAAGGAACACATTCGTCTTAACTGCATTTGATTGCAATGATTCCTTTCAACAATTTCAAACCATAACAAGAAAATTAAACAAAAATGCTCTTCATCATAAATTCTTATAGAATATCAAGTGCAATATTTGAATATATAGAATGGTAATTTATCACGTTAGAAAAAAATTAATAAACGCAAACCTTATCCTTATTGAGAGGAACCACAATATCTTCAAGTGAACGAACATCCCTAACATCGAAATTTTTAAGCAGAGCGATACTTGAAATGGCAGACATAGGCTTCACTTCCATATCATCCGTTATCATGTAAGTCACAGCCTCTCTCACAAACCTACCTCCCTTGTCGCCGGCTGCAACTGCTGCCCGAGCAACATAAGTCGTGGGTTTGGAAGTGAAGTTATGGCACTTTGGACAAATGGCCTTAAGGTCGTCAGCCACATAGCATACCTCGCCAAAGTAGGAGTAGCTTGACGGCTGAAATGACCGACACGTGTACGTGTACGAGTTTTTACCTTTTTATTCACCGTCAGTCAAGTAGGAAGAAATTGATGGGCTTCACCAATTGGCATTGGCAGCTTCTTAGGTTTTAGAAGGACATCCTTGTTGAGGTTGGGTTGCAAGTACGTGTGGTTTAAGTTTTTTAAGCTGCCGTAGAGTTTGCCTAAAAACCGACCATGCGTTTTCTAGATAGGAGCCCGATCACAGTGCCGATGGGTAGAGACAGAAGGGAGTAGAGAAAGTCAACAAAGTCCTTGTTTATTTGTAGACCCACTACTTTGAGAAACTGAAACGTTTTCTAATTGTCATTTGGATGGACTTTATCTAAATTATACGTTTAATTGTCATTATGGGGGAAATCTTCTTCTTTTTTGAGATAACCTAGCATGACATTTCATATATATTTATTCATTTACGAGATGTTGCAAATATTCATTTCTCGAACCTTGGCGTGCATGCGCAAGCTAACCAATCAAATTAAGCAAGCTTCTTCATCTTATTCAAAGGGAAACGAGAAAATATTGAAATCCAAAATATAGAAACCTCCAAAATGACATCATAGAGATAGAGCAATTAATACGAATCTCATTTCACATCACAAAGCAGAAACGTTTAGGCCTTCTTATTAGTATTACCCAGGAACACATTGGTAAGGACTGTACTAGTCACCAACGATGCCTTCTGCAGCTTCAAACCCTATGAAGACAGAAACAGAAAATACAATGTCAGAATAATAAGGTTCAATATAAGGAGACAAGAATTAGAAAACATCCTATGGTTATTCATTTGTGTTCATCACTGATCATCAGGTAGGCAAAGTAAAACAAATTTCTTCTTTTTTTGGGTTACATTAAAGGAAAGAAACCCTACAATACTGGGTGCCATGGAGGGGAGGGGGAATCCACCACCATGGTGGGAACCCATTGGAGTACAAAAAAATTATTTACTAATGAGACTATTTTTTTAGGCAAAACGAACTATACATTAGTGTCACACTGAAGCTCTTGGTCGACACAAAGGGTAGTTTCTCTTTTTTAGACATATTATGACATGCAAGAATCCAGATTTCTATATACGATAATTGATTATGCAAATGAACTAAAGTGTTGTCAGATTTCTATATAGGAAACTCGATAAGTCAAAAGTATATAGACATATAGGAGGAATAATTTTCAGACCTCTTGCATGCCAAGATGAACCACCTTCTCTTCAAGAACACCAACCTCCTTGACATTGAACTGGTTAAGTACAGCAATACTTGAAATGGTGGACATTGGCTTCACCACCAAGTTATCCATGACCCTGTATGTCACTACTCCTTTGACATAGCCTCCCTTGCTGCTGGATGTTGCCACGGTCGTAGGTTGTGGACAAACATAAATCACCTGAGTGGAGATGGCATACCTGTTGTAAACACGAAAATCCTGCGACAAATGGGAGAAGAACACGTGTACAATGGAAATTAAAGACTAGGAATTTAAGAGACCAAAGTTCGAAGCTGAAGAATCACGTGATCAATGGAGATTAAACCCCTATTGATCGAAATGAAGGATGATCATGATTCACATGGACCAAGAAGGCGGAGGGTTAGCAAATTAAACTACTGGTATTTATTTTTTCGAATTAATGGTTGACGTTGATGATGAAAATCACGGAAAAACAATTATATTTGTCATTCATTTCTTTGAAACTAGGCTGTGCCTTTTCGACTCCTTGTGCTGCTTTAATTAAGATTTTTTCTGCTTTTTGTTTTTGTTTTTGAGCTTCCATAGTTTATTTTGACCATCAAACAAACAACCATCGAGCTTCACTGGATTATTGTTAAATAAAAAGGTACAATAGATGAAGACAGAAGAAAAACCCTCAACATGTAGATATGAAGACATTAAATGCATTATTGCATAACAAAACACATCTCGCTTCAGAATAACAAAAAGTTCAGAGTGGCTCCAAAATTTTCATGCCGCCGACTTCATCCCAAGGAACACATCAGTGAGGACTGTTTTTGACTCTAAAGATGCCTTGAGCAATTTCAAACCCTAATGAAAAAAACACAAAAACAAGTTAGAATTATGCATTTTAGCATTGGTGCTTTCTTTGAGCAAATTATAAGATGAAATGAGAGAAGCATATTCAAATGATCAAACCTCGTGCAGGCCAAGCTGAACCACCCTCTCTTCAAGGGCTCCAACATCCTTCACATTGAACTTGTTAAGCATGGCAATGCTTGAAATGGTAGACCTAGGCTGCACTTCCAAATCATCCATGATCATATATGTAACAACACCTTTCACATACCTCCCTCGCTTGACAAAATTGTATCTCGTGTAGACGTTGCTGTTGGTGGAGCAACGTAAGTCATCTGCTTGGACATTGTTCTTCCGCACTTTGGACAAAGGGCTCCAACGTCATCCGACACATACCGTGTGCTGCTGTTTTCCGTCACATACCGTGTGCTGCTGTTTTCCGTCACATGGTATGAATGGAAAGAGGATGATGGGTGATTGCAATCACAGTAGTAAAATTTCTTAGCTTCTGAATCAGATTTATTGTTGGTCAACAAATGGAAGATATTAGCTCCAGCAACAGCTGACTTGGGCCTGAGCAGGGTGTTCTTGTTGAGATTAGGTTGCAAGTATGTGTAGTTAAGATTTTCAAGGCTTGCGTAGAGCTTGCCTAAGCAACCAACCATGCCATCCCCAGAGAGGAGCCTAATGACGGTGCCAACATGCAAAGACAGCAAAGAGAAGAAAAAAATCAACAACTTCTTTGCTCACTTCAGCAAACAAAATTTTGTGGCTCTTAGTGTCTATTAGGAGCTTCAAGCTCACACAAACGTTGGAGGTTGCTGCCATATAGAACTAGTGATGAGGAAGACAGGGGAACTATACGGCTATATATTCCTTATATAATAATTGTATGCCAATGTTATTTTTGAATTGCCTAATTATAGATGTTAATTGAAGCACTCAAACGTATGTTGCCTTCATTGCAATGAAACTCAATATGGTGTATCATAGTACAGGGCATTGTGCCAATGAAACTCAACATTGGAACTTGGTCTTCATCAACATGCGTCTAGAACTTGATCTCTATTCTCTTCTCTCACCCTTTGAGGAATTTAGGGAGCCACTTAGCAGACTCTTTGGGAATGCGTGTGAGATTGTTTTTGTAATCGATGTAGTTAAGCTCGAATCTTAAGGTACAGCCATCACCCCATTCATAGTCATCAAACAGAGCCCAGTGGAAATATTCTTTCAAGTTCACTCCATTCTTCATTGCCCTGTTTATCCAGTACAAAATGCCTCAGATTATTTTCAATTCTATGTGGATCCTTCAGTGCAGCATCAAGTCCAAGTTTATTATCCTTTGGCTCAGTAATTCCATTTTCAGTAATGTAGATTATCGGATTCCGATAATTTTTATTCATGAACTCCAACAGTTTCTTCACACCTTGTGGATAAATAATGTAGATGATCGAGTTTCCTTCAGCCAAAGGACCAATAGGATCTCCGTTTTGTTTTTCGGTCAGTGTTGAAGCTAAAGGATCGTTGCGGTAGCAGAAGCTCTGTCTTCCGCAGATTCTGAGTAAGGCTCAACATACCGTCCTACAAGACTAATTCCACTTCGTCCACCTTGTTTCTCTTGAAACTTCTCTCTGTAAAGCTCAACAACAGTGGCATGGGCTAGGAGAAGGTTATGGCTCACAATGTAAGGTTCAGTGGCTGAATTGCCGGCGCTATGCAAAGAAGCCCTGCTGAAATAGAACACCTTCCCGGCGCAGCAATTCCAAACTCATATCCAAATTTGGCAATATTCAACTGCTCGTTGATTGTGATCCAATTTTTGACCCTATCTCCGAATGTTCTTAACAGATTTCAGTGTAAGCCTTGAAATCATCCACAAAAGAACGGTTCAAAGGGCCTAAGTACTTGTTTTCCAAACCTTGTGGTAGGTCAAAGTGCAATAAGGTCACATAGGGTATGATCCCATTATCGACTAATTCATCAATAAGGCTGTTGCAGTGATCAATGAACCCAGTATAGCCGCGCGGGTATTCAAGTTTGAATACGATATATTTAAGACATATCGCCGCCCGGCTATACTATTAATTTAGGAAAAAAATTAAACAAATGAAACACGGAGTATAGCCGAGGTTTAATATATTATATTTAAAAGGTATAGCCTATCGGCTGTACTATTAATTGGAATAAAATTTTTAAAAAAACACGGCGTATACCGGGTCGGCTACACTATTAATTTAGGAAAAAATAAAAAAGGAAGTATAGGCGCGCGGCTATACTCATTTAATATAAATTTACACAAACCAGGCCAAATTGTTTGAGTTCAATTCTAAAATATAAGCAGTAGCTGCATTTGATATGTCGTGAAATTAAAGTTGAAATGCAATCGTAGAGAAATGGCTGCACTCAGATGGCCCTTTGTGTCAATCAGGAGGATAGGCTTCGACAATTCATCAGTTTCTTCAGATGTTTTGAATCAGTATATATAGATGAGCTTGATTTCTTCAACCTCCCTCAGTACAAAATTGGCCTCCTTATTTGTTCTGGATCAACGATAAAGCTGAATGATTGTTGCGATGGCTGATGAGTTTTCTTGAGATATAATGAATGAAACTAATAGAATCAATGGACCAAAGTTTACATGATCCAAAGTAAAAATAGAATAGAAATCCCAATCCACAAACCAAAATGAAACCCCAAAAGCTCAATGTCGCTAGAGGACCAAAGTTGAAAAGTTTGTGCTGTTTCTTTCCAAGGAAGACATTGGTAAGAGCGGTATTTGACTCCAATGATGCCTCAACTTCAAACCCTACAAGAGAGAGAAATATACACGTAAGACATTTAGCTCTCTAAATAGATCAACAAGCCACTGATGAGAGTTAGAGACATACATAGGACATGAAACCTCCTTAACTTCACACTTGATTCGGTGGTCATTGGCTTCACTTCCAAATTATCCATTATCATGTAAATAACACCACCCTTGACATAGTCTGCCTTATGGGAGGTTGCTCCAGTAGGAGCAGATGGAGAAACATAGACACCAGGGGTGAAATGTTACATGATCTGCACTGTGGACAAGGGATTCCATAGCTCTCAGAAATACGGTTACTGCACCTCACACAAATGTAGAACAATTTAGAAAGATTCGAGTCATTGTTGGTCGGCAATGGCAATTGAAGGATATTGGACGCAGAAATTGTTGTTTTGGGTTTGAGCAGGGTGTCCTTAAGATTGAGTGGCAAAGTATGAGTTGACACTAAGACTTTCGGCACTCTGGTAAAGGTTGCCTAAGCAACCAAACCATACCATCAGTTGAGAGGAGCCTAGTAACAGTTGCAACATGAAAAGACAGAAAACTGAAAAGGAAATCAACAACTTCCTTGCTTGCTTCAGCAAACAGAACTTTGTGGCTTGTTGTGTCAATCAGAAGCTTCAAACTCATGCTAGCGCTGTTGGTGGTAGCCATTGAGGGATATTAAGGACAGAGAAGAAGGAGCATGTGCTTAAGCCTTCAAAAAGACCTATTTATAAGCTTCACAAAAAAAAAGTATCCTAAATTCAAAATTATTCAAAATGGCAATGGTGAATGGATCAAGAAGGTGGAGGGTCACCTTGGAGTCTGCATCAACAGTCGACCACAAAGCAACTCTACATATACAAATCTGTCATTACCTATACATAGGGAATATAATCTACAGATGAAATGAATAAATATGTATTTATTATTTCCACCAAAAAATTGTAATTTAAAATATGTACTTATCATTCTTTTTAAGTTGGGAATGCTATTGAAATATAAGCCTGCGTACATCATGAGAGAGAGAGAGAGAGAGAGAGGAGAGAGAGAGAGCACTAAGAATGGAACGTTTTAATTTAATTGCTTGGCCTGAATTGGTCCTTGTATAGTGAATATACAAGAAAATCTGATTATGAGTTACCAGGGCGTTACAGCACTGTACAACCAGTTGATTAGCAACAAGCAGTTAGAGACCAGCATCATCCTCCTCCTCCTGTACACAGCAAAAGTCCAAAACTCATTATGTCAGGATTTGAAGAACACAGCAAAGTAAAGACTCGTCAGGGAAATAAAGGTCAACAATCCTGATTGGAATTAATATGGACCCATCATTCAAAAATCCTTAAATCTTTATTTAATCTTTTTAAATCTTTAACTCATTTATCTCTTTTTTTTTTTTTTTTTTTTTACTTAGGAAGATGACATCAAGGAAAATATTATGAAGCATTTTCAAATGTAACTTTTCCAAGACAACGCTAGCATTTCTCAATTCATTTACCTCAACTCTTTTATTACTTGGTTTCGGTTTTGACGATTTGCTAGCAGTATCAGACACTACCATCCAATCAAAATTCACTTTTAATTGGGGAGATTTTAATATAATGGAGACATTATATAACTTTTCAGGGGCACCTACTACAGCTGCAAATAATAGCAAATAATGTCCTGGTTCCATATAGGAAGTGACTCAGCAACTTCAAAGATCAAAAATGCATACGCAAAAGAACATGTTTAAATGCCAGGAGAGACGAACAAAATCAAGTGAAGATAATCTGCAGGGTGTCATGCGAAGACCCATAGTTGTAGTTCAGTACAAAGAGGTCATTGTCAGTATAGATAGTATTTGATTCACCTAGTCCTGACCACGAGAACTGCGAAAACCATGTATTCTGAATTTCCACGCCCAAACCAAAAAGCATCCTGTTATCTATAGAAAAAAAAAAAAAAAAAAAAAAAAAAAAAAAAAAAAAAAAAAAAAAAAAAAAAAAAAAAAAAAAAAAAAAAAAAAAAAAAAAAAAAAAAAAAAAAAAAAAAAAAAAAAAAAAAAAAAAAAAAAAAAAAAAAAAAAAAAAAAAAAAAAAAAAAAAAAAAAAAAAAAAAAAAAAAAAAAAAAAAAAAAAAAAAAAAAAAAAAAAAAAAAAAAAAAAAAAAAAAAAAAAAAAAAAAAAAAAAAAAAAAAAAAAAAAAAAAAAAAAAAAAAAAAAAAAAAAAAAAAAAAAAAAAAAAAAAAAAAAAAAAAAAAAAAAAAAAAAAAAAAAAAAAAAAAAAAAAAAAAAAAAAAAAAAAAAAAAAAAAAAAAAAAAAAAAAAAAAAAAAAAAAAAAATTTGAAAAATTCAGGTGACAAATTGAAACTAAGATATAAGTTCAGTGACATTTCAATGAATATCCCTTTATTTTTTGCCAAAGTCAGAAAAAGGATAGTAGGAGATTAAGCCTTAAATGAGATCCATCAAAATCTTACAAACAAGGAAAGGATTGTAGGAGATTAAGCATTATCATCAATAACATAATGGAGTATATATGGCTAAAAATAAGAGTAATAAATACATCATCTCAACGACAAGTCATGCAAATATCAGAGCCATCAATTTGGATCTCGATCCAACGTTTTTCTTAATTAAAATTTGATGAACCAATAAGATCCAAATTGGACCATTGAGGGGAGTGATCATTGCTAAATCTCGAGCTCAACTTGTTATTAAGAAATGCTAGGGAAAATTATTTTGGTGGATTAGGGTTTATTCCATAACAAATAAAATGTCTCAGCTTCTAGCCTAGTAGAAAAAGATCTTAACTTGCAGACCACGGTCTCAGGTTCCAACGTCCATGGCATCTTGTACTGAAAAATAAGTCTATTTTAACTTTATTGTTTGGTTATGTGATAATTATTGAGGAGGTGAATTCGAACTTGAGTGCAAAAGGGCATGCACATCAGCCTCAGGCATGTACTGGTCAGTGTCACTAAGGTAATCATTGCTAAATCTCGAGCTCAGCTTGCGTACCTCTTGCGCCTCTTTTGGTTCTCTCCCGCGACATGGTTTCAGTTTCTGTTCAAAGTAAACAAAGATGGTGAACTCAAACTGAAAAAAACACAAAACAAATCCGGGTTGCATATAGGAGTCTCTGCCCGTACCCGTTTGCCCGGCCCATTCGCGTGGGTTGAATAAAACGGGCAATATTTATATGGGTTTATCTGTTTATTCAGGACCCGCTTATAGCAAGCCCAAAAAGTAAGTACATTTTGACCCTGCAACAACCAGAGACCTCTACAGTCTTTCAAATCCTTACTGGCTTCCTCCACAGGTTAGTGGGTTTTTGGGTTTTTCGTTCCGAGTTTTTGTTTCACACTTTTCCCAATTGAATGTGGTCTTTTTGTAAACTTTCTGCATTTACGCTTTTGGCTGGATGAGGTTAGTGTGATATTGGTATATTGCAGACCACCCATATGTGATAATTCCTGAAAGAACTTGCTATAGAATGGTGAAAGCTTATGGTAGATAGTAGTAGCAGCTTGGTTTGCGCCCTTTCTTAATTTGGTTTAGCCATTAGCCTAGAATACGTAGAGCCCTTTTCATGGACACAGGTAGCAGTTGGTATTTGATGGGGCTTTGTTTGTATTGCTGCTCTGTTATCAATTGGTAGCGGCAGCAGCATTTTGGGTTTTTTGCTCTGAAATTATGCAGCCATTCAGTTAGTACTGGCTGTACCTCTCGTCTCTTTTGTCTTTATCCACCGTAAACCTTGCTATATAGACAATACAAGGCACTTTGATGGAAATGACTGAAACTTGCCAGCTAAAAGCTCTTGTTCTATCAGCTTAAGTGAAGTTGTAGTGCCACTCATTTTTATTTTTCATGATTCATGTTGCTTTAACTGTTAAATTATGGCCAAGTTTCATGCTCATTTCCTTTTCACCCAAAACCCCTCTTTCCTAATCAAATCCTTTTTAACGTGCCAGTAGTTGTATTTGGCCTGCCTGTTGCTTCTGTTATATTGACAGCAGCTTAATGTTTCTACTAGTTTTGTATTTTGTTCTTTTTTGTACCTTATGTAGATCTATAAGAGATATTCTTGTTGAATTTATACTTTTTTATTAGCTTTGTTCAATTTTTACCGTCTTTCCCTTATGAATAAGTTTCTCAAATATATGTTTTTGTCATGGAGTTTGCTTCTGATCGTGCATCAAACCTTCAATTCCTGAGGCAGGGTGGTGGAGAAATAGAACAAATTTAGAAGAAGCTCTGACATAAAGGTTGAAAATGAGTGCTGAAGCTTTGCAAGTTGCTAAGGTGTACCGCCACCTTCTCAGGGCTGTCAAGAAACACGTTGCCAAAGAAGACAGGGCGAGGCATTTCAAAGAATACGTAACTGAAGAATTCAGGAACAACTGCAAACTGTCAGATCCATCTTCCATTCAGCAGAAGATTAAGCTTGCCCATAACTACACTTTTCTTCTTAACAGTGTGCACCATCACCAGGTACGGATGTAATTCATTGCTCTGTCCGATCAAAGTTTTTTTCTTTTTGCAAATTGTAAGGTCCCTGTCATGTTCCATTATGTTGGTTTTCTTTTTAATCTCCATCAAGCATCTAACTTTGTATAATGGATGTGCAGGACCTGTTGTTCTCTTACAACATTGCTGTGGATAGATCAGATGAGATGAAAAAAGTACTTGGAAAATCGGCTGCAAGTGTTGGTCTTCAACTTCCTGAGGTTTATCAGCCTTGATATTTAGTCGGCTATAATCTGCTACATCCTATTCTGGCAGAGAAAAGAAAATCAACAACTTATTTGGATAGGTCAGCCACATAGCATACCTCGCCAGAGTAGAAGTAGCTTGACGGCTGACACGACCGACACGTGTACAACTTTTTACCGTTTGATTCACCATTGGTCAAGCAGGAAGAAGTTGATGGGCACCACCAATTGGCATTGGCAGCTTCTTAGAGAGGAGCCCGATCACAATGCTGACGGGTAGAGACAAAAGGGTGAAGAGAAAGTCAACAAAATCCTTGCCAGCTTCGGCGAAGAGAACTTTTTTATGCTTTTTGTCAATGAGGAGCTTCAAACTAACTGGAGAAGCAGAGACTGATTTGGTTTTGGGTTTGGATTTGGAGGGGGCCATTGAGGAAGAGTGAGTAAGAAACAAGATTATTAAGGACCTATTTATTTGTAGACCCACTACTTTGAGAAATTGAAACGTTTTTCAATGGTCATTTGGATGGACCTTATCCAAATTATACGTTTTTTAATTGTCATTTTGGGGGAAATCCTCTTCTTTTTTGGGATAGATTATTCAATTATCTTTATGACATAACCTAGCATGACATTTCATATTTTTATTCATGGGCTTACGAGATGTTGCAGGATATTCATTCTCGTACCTTGGGGGTGAAGGCTAACGAATCAAATTAAGCAAACAATTTCTTCATCCAAAGGGAAATGATCCGAAATAGTCATTACATAAATCCAAAATAAGGAAAACCTCCAAATTGACATCATAGAATACAAATCTCATTTCACGAAGCACAAATGTTTAGGCCTTCTTATTACGAATCTCATCATAGAATACGAATCTCATTAGTAAGGACTGTAATAGAATAGAAATCCCAATCCACAAACCAAAATGAAACCCCAAAAGCTCAATGTCTCTAGAGGACCAAAGTTGAAAAGTTTGTGCTGTTTCTTTCCAAGGAAGACATTGGTAAGAGCGGTATTTGACTCCAGTGATGCCTTCACCAACTTCAAACCCTACAAGAGAGAGAAATATACGCGTAAGACATTTAGCTATCTAAATAGATCAACAAGCCTCTGATAAGAGTTAGAGAAATATATAGGACATGAAACCTCTTGCATGCCAAGATCAACCTCCTTAACTTGAAGTGCATCAATCCCCTTCACGTTGAACTTTTGAAGCACTGCAACATTTGATTCGGTGGTCATTGGCTTCACTTCCAAATTATCCATTATCATGTAAATAACACCACCCTTGACATAGCCAGCCTTAATATTGCTCGAGTCATTGTTGGTCGGCAATGGCAATTGAAGGATATTGGCCGCAGAAATTGTTGTTTTTTGGGTTTGAGCAGGGTGTCCTTAAGATTGAGTGGCAAGTATGAGTCGACACTAAGAGTTTCGGCACTTTCGTAAAGGTTGCCTAAGCAACCAACCATACCATCAGTTGAGAGGAGCCTAGTAACAGTTGCAACATGCAAAGACAGAAAACTGAAAAGGAAATCAACAACTTCCTTGCTTGCTTCAGCTTCAGCAAACAGAACTTTGTGGCTTTTTGTGTCAACCAGAAGCTTCAAACTCGTGCTAGCCCTGTTGGTGGTAGCCATTGAGGGGATATTAAGGACAGAGAAAGAAGGAGCATGTGCTTAAGTGTAACACCCCGACTCCAAATTTATCCCCTGTTTTAATTAATTTGAGTGAAATTAAGAAATTACCCGTGGGATAGGGGTATTTTAGTCATTTTCTTACCCGGAAGGAATTTGGGAATTCCGGTTGTACCGTTGCGTAGAGCACGGTGAGATGAGTCCGTAGACACGTAGTGGGCTCGAATCGGAGTTGTAACGAGAGAGATATGATCAAAAGAAGCTCAGTGGCATAATCGTAAATATTTGGAAAATGGATTTTTGGTTAAAAGACGGAATTGCCCCCGTCTCTCACTCACACTCTCTCTCTCCCGCGCGTCCCTCTCTCTCTCCTCTGGTTCGCGACGCCACCGCAGCCGGCCACGTTTTGGCCGGCCGTTCAGTCATCCGGCCACCACTCGGGTCGGGACCGGTCCCAAAATGACCGGCCTGACTCCGCCGTCCTACCCCACCCATTCTCCGACGTCAGCCGGCAGCGATACCGCCGGAAATTGCAGAAAAACGGCCGGTTTTTACCCAGATTTTCCGGAGCTCGTTCCGGCGATTCCGGCCACCAAATCTTGCGATCAAGGTATGGTTTCTCACCTATTTTCCGAGCTCTAGCTGCCTGTTGGGTAGGAATTGATCGATTTGTAGCGTAGGCAACTCGATTTACGAATTGGGTTTCGGCCGGATTTCGGGATGAGATTCCGGCCACTTCCGGTCAGATTTTGGGGTACGTCCCAAGAACAAAAGTGACTCCAAATTAGGTGTTTTACCTAGGGTAGGAGTCTTGAGCCGTGATTTGGAGTTTTTCCGGCGATGCGATATCGCTTTGGACACCCACGCGCTGCCGGCGCGTGTGGCGGCGCGTGGGCACTGTAGCTGAGGGGCATTTTTGTCCCAATGGATCCTCAGGTTGTCATGAGCGCGTAGGTGTGCTCGGATCTCATTTTGGATACCGTTAGAGTCCCGAACGGATATCGCATATCGCGTATTTTCCGGGTTCGCTAGGTTTGGACCGTTGGATGGTCCTGAGATTATAATATGTTGATCTAGGTATTACCAGGATCGTGTAGGATTCGACGGATCGTAAAACGGAGTCCCGGATACTCCGGAAATGCCAACCCTGGGGTTAGGGTTTTAGTAACCGTCCGATCGTGTGATCGTGAGCGATCCGACCGTCCGATCTGGACCAAACTTGCAGGACATGTGTCCTAGAGCCTGTAGAACCTATAGGAACTTTCGGATCGGAAATTGGAGGTTGTGGGCCCCGCAGGCCCGTTTGACCCTAGGTTGACCGTGAGACTCCCGAGATAGTCTTACCTTCCTGAGGGTTAGGATGACCTTAGTGACAGGTCTTGAGCGTTGTTGAGTAAATGGATATTGTGGGTTTAGGATATAAATTGGTGAATTTAAATGTGGGGAGTTTATGGAATATTTATTGGTTGATGTTATTGTATGATTAGAAATTATGATATATTTAATTGATTGTGTGGATGTATAATGATATATAAGAGATTGAATGTTAGTTTACAGTGCTATACGCACTACTCCACGTACCCCCCATATGGTGATTATGTAGAGGCCCAAGTGAAGTGTGAGGTCGCACGCGTCTTTGGGTTAGCCGGCGTGTTGACAGACCCCGTACGTGGCCGGGTGCGTCCCGACGTATGAGTGGGAGATATGATTGTGTGAGGGCTGGTGAGAATGTAGCCAGGCCCAGTGTGAGGTCGCACGCGTCTTTGGGTTAGCCGGCGTGTTGACAGACCCCGTACGTGGCCGGGTGCGTCCCGACGTATGAGTGGGAGATATGATGTGTGAGGGCTGGTGAGAATGTAGCCAGGCCCAGTGTGAGGTCGCACGCGTCTTTGGGTTAGCCGGCGTGTTGACAGACCCCGTCGTGGCCGGGTGCGTCCCGACGTATGAGTGGGAGATATGATGGTATGAGGGCTGGTGAGAATGTAGCCAGGCCCAGTGTGAGGTCGCACGCTTCTTTGGGTTAGCCGGCGTGTTGACAGACCCCCGTACGTGGCCGGGTGCTCCCGACGTATGAAGTGGGAGATATGATGGCCCCCCCTCTGATGCTGGTGAGAATGTAGCCACGGCCCAGTGTTAGGTCGCACGCGTCTTTGGGTTAGCCGGCGTGTTGACAGACCCCGTACGTGGCCGGGTGCGTCCCGACGTATGAGGGGAGATATGATTGGTATGAGGGCTGGTGAGAATGTAGCCAGCCCAGTGTTGAGGTCGCACGCGTCTTTGGGATTAGCCGGCGTGTTGACAGACCCCGTACGTGGCCGGGTGCGTCCCGACGTATGAGTGGGAGATATGATGGTATGATGGCTGGTGAGAATGTAGCCAGGCCCAGGGTGAGGTCGCACGCGTCTTTGGGTTAGCCGGCGTGTTGACAGACCCCGTACGTGGCCGGGTGCGTCCCGACGTATGAGTGGGAGCTATGTGATTGTGTTTGGTGTGTTGTGATGGATAAACCCGAGAATGTATGAATTTATATGGATGTGATGGTTTAATTGATATCAGGAGCCAGGATTGATAGGAAAGAGCTACGTGTGGCTTGATCCCTTAGTAGGGTACGTAGGCAGCCTGGGATAGCGCCTAGGTGCAGCCACGACTTAGACACCACTTAGGTGGTTTTATTGAGTATGATGCGGACCTCGTGGTTGGTCCCGAAACTTGGTTGAATTGAGGCTTGTCCGGTGGACTGAGTGAGTGAAGGTGTGCATAGATAGATTTTGAATTGGGTTATATGCATGTGTGATGCATGAGTTATTTTAAAACAGTGTGGGCAGTTTGCTAGAATCATTGAAGGCTGGAGGCCATTTATGTAAATTGCATGAGATTATATTGTGCGTGCTGCTGGTTGGGTTATAAAATGTGTTTTATGCAGGTGGAAATTTTGGGGGAATGTTCAATTTACAGGGAGACTCTGCCGAAATTTTGGCAGAAAGTCTCGTGCCCTAAATCCTCTCTGGTAAAAGAGGACATAGTTTTAAGGAGTGAACCCGGCGTGGGTGTGATGCCGGGGTCTCCGCAGGGTTCGTCTCGGGTTTCGGGAAATTCGGGACGGGTCCTGTCATTAAGCATTCAAAGACCTATTTTAAGCTTCACAAAAGAAGTTATCCCAAATTCAAAATTATTCAAAAAGGCAATGGTGAATGGATCCAGAAGGTGGAGGGTCACCTTGGACTCTGCATCATCAGTCGATCAGAAAACAACTCTACATATACAAATCTGTCATTACCTATACATAGGTAATATATTCTACGGATGAGTGAAAAATATGTATTTATTTCCACTAGTTGGCATCCATTAACTAAACCAACAGCCGGATTTACAATTCGTTTTGTTTTGTATTTGCTTTTTCATATTAGTTGTATTGTATCTTCAGGCTTACTAGTTTAGAGGCAAAAGACAGTGAAAAAGCCAACTAACAGGTCTATGCTCCCTTCAGCAAACGGAATTTTGTGGCTTTTTTACATGGACTAGGAGTTTCACCTTAGTTTTGGTGAACGCCATTGATGACTTCAAGAAGACTGATCCATAATTACATGGATGAGTTTATTCTTTGGAATGGATGATGAACTTCATAGATCAAGTAAGAGGAGAGAAATTTGATAGGTAAAGAGAGAGAGAAGATAATAGATCACTAGAACATGTAATTTTGTCACACGTACGCGTGAGTGTGGATTAATCTGGTGTGAAAAGTAGGAGGAGCTGTAATGCAAGGCATCAAAAAGCTTTTATAACCTTGCAAACTGCCACTTTAGAAACAAAACTACATTTGATGTATTTAGAAATTGAAGTAAGAATTTGTGTGACATGACAAGGGTTTGAGTTGCAAGGTGTCCGTTTTAGTTAACCATAGGTTTCATGCAAATGTTAACCACCAACATGCAAAGACAGAAGAGTGAAAAGAAAATCAACAACTTATTTGCTTGCTTGTAACTCTTTGTGCAAAGAGGATAGAGAAGGACGACAGGCGTATAATATGCCTGAAAAGCCTTAGAAAGACCTATTTATAAGCTTAGACAAGCCTTAGAAACGAATGGTACTAAAGCATATGAACTCATAAACCTGCCCAAATGGATAAAAACAGAGAACTGTTATAAAAGTTGATCTCCTGCCAGCTGGTTTGAGATTTGATCATGCCAAAAAGAAACTAAGAAATGGAGGCCCAAAACATAAAATCAACAGAAAAACCAAAAACAAAACAGTGCAAATGCCTTAGAGCAGCGGAGCAGTGTAGATGAGCAAGTTTACTTCAGCCGCACGATCGGTTCTCCTTGTTCATTTTTGTATCAACGACAGTGCAAAAGGATCATTGGGAAAGCAGATTGGTTTCCTTGGACTTGTTGGATCGTTTTTGACCATATCTTGCGGTGTAATATTTGTTACCAATAAGATCAGAGGGCCAAAGTTGAAATAATCCAATGTAAGCCAATACAGTCAATGTCAATATCCACAAACTAAAAGGAACCTCCAAAAGCTCAATTTCTTTAGAGGACCAAAGTTGAAACCTTCATGCACTTTATTACCAAGGAAAACATTTGTAAGAGCGGTTTTTGACTCAAATGATGCCTTCACCAACTTCAAACCCTAAGAAGCAAAAGCAAAAACAAAATATGTTGTATCAATCAATAGACACAGATAGAGAACACTATTTATTGTAAACAAAACAAAACTATTTATTGTTGTCTTGGGGTTTCAGCAGGGAGTCTTTGTTAAGATTGGGTTGCATGTATGTGTCACTGAGATTTTCGAGACTCTCGTAAAGTTTGCCTAAGCAACCAACCATGCCACCATTAGAGAGGAGGAGCCTAGTCACGGTTGCAACATGCAAGGACATAAGAGTGAAGAGAAAATCCACAACTGCCTTGCTTGCTTCAGCAAGCAAAAACATGTTTAAATGCAGGAGATGGAACAAAATCAAGTGAAATGGCCTAAGGTTGCATGCACCCTATTAGTTAGTATTTCGGTACAAGATCATCAGACTAGGAAGGTTGATTCACTAGTGACCTGCCACATGACTGTGAAAACAGTGTAACCCTAATTCCACGCCAACCAAAAGCTCATTATCTTTCAATTTCGAACCAACTTAAGTCAGTTCCGGTACACCCAGAGGTACCCTTCGAGGATGTGGCATCCAGGGAGCTAGGCGGCGTCTGGGCGCCCGCCTAGGCGTCTCTAGGCGGCCCTAGGCGGTCTAGGCAGCTCTAGGCGTCCCTAGGCGGATCTAGGCGGCCCTTGGTGGCTCTAGGCGGTCTAGGCGTCCCTAGGCGGATCTAGGCGGCCCTTGGTGGCTCTAGGCACTCAAGGAAGGTCTAGGCGGCCCTAGGCGGCTCTAGGAGGGTCTGGGCTGGCGTTTTGCAGTCGAGGCGTGAACGAAGGGCGATGGAAGTGTGCAGGATCCGCTGCTTGTTAGGAAGAAAGACGGATAGACGGAGAGAGAGATCGAGACAGAGAGAGGAAGGAGAAGGCGACGCTGGGAAGAAGATATCTGACCTAATTTTAATATTTGAAAAGTATAGCCGATCGGCTAGACTATTAATTTGAAAAAAAAAACCAGAGTATAAAGGCGTGGCCATACTATTTTTATATTTTATATTTAACCAGTATAGCCGCCCGGCTATACAATTAATTTCAGGAAAAAAAAATTGAAAAATGGAGTATAACCGCTAGGCTGTACTCTTTTAATATGGGTTTAGATATGCAATTATGAAGATCAATTAATTTGATATGGGTTTAATAGTTGGTATAGATATGCAATTATGAAGATCAATTAATTTGATGTTGCTTGAGAATTGCCGTTCCTAAGTGATGACATCATTGCTTTTTTAAGTGAAAAGACATCATTGCTTTTTTAAGAGAGAAGAAGAAAGCAGAAGAATCTGATCTCTTTGTATTAGTTTGAAGTCCAATACGTACCCAATCCAATTCATTCATCCATATTCAAAAACAAACATTACAAAAGAAGCTTCAAAATGTCAACTTGAAATGCTGCTTAAAGGAACACATTTGTCATAACTGCATTTGACTGCAATGATGTCCTTCAACAATTTCAAACCCTAACAAGGAAATTAAACAAAAATGCTCTTCACCATAACTTCTTATAGAATACCAAGTGCAATATTTGAATATATAGAATGGTAATTTATCACGTTAGAAAAAATTAATAAACACAAACCTTATCCTTATCGAGAGGAACCACAATCTCTTCAAGTGAACGAACATCCCTAACATCGAAGTTTTGAAGCAGAGCGATACTTGAAATGGCAGACATAGGCTTCACTTCCATATCATCCGTTATCATGTAAGTCACAGCCTCTCTCACAAACCCACCTCCCTTGCCGCTGGTTGCAATTGCCAGCCGAGCAACATAAGTCGTGGGTTTGGAAATGAAGTTATGGCACTTTGGACAAATGGCCTTAGGGTCATCAGCCACATAGCATACCTCCCCAGAGTAGGAGTAGCTTGACGGCTAACATGACCGACACGTATACAACTTTTTACCTTTTGATTCACCGTCAGTCAAGCAGGAAGAAGTTGATGGGCACCACCAATTGGCATTGGCAGCTTCTTAGGTTTTAGAAGGACATCCTTGTTGAGGTTGGGTTGCAAGTATGTGTCATTTAAGTTTTCTAAGCTGCCTTAGAGTTTGCCTAAACAACAGATCATGCGTTTTCTAGAGAGGAGCCCAATCACAGTGCTGACAGGTAGAGACAGAAGGGTGAAGAGAAAGTCAACAAAATCCTTGCCAGCTTCGGCGAAGAGAACTTTTTTATGTTTTTTGTCGATGAGGAGCTTCAAACTAACTGGAGAAGCAGAGATTGAACGGTTTGCAATAAAATTCTTCCGCCCCCTCCCTATACATGAATTGGAGATGAAATGGGGCCAAATTTTGAGATTTTTTTTGGGTTTAGCCCCAAGGTTGGAGAAGGCCTTACAAAAGGTGCAAAGCAACCGCATATATACATAGAGATAGCCATAGAAAGAGAGATTTTTTTAGTTGGTAACTAAGTAAAGAATTATAAATGTAGAACTGTTTGGCATTGGAGTTAGAGTAATGCTACACTTACCACATTTTTATCCCACATTTCTATACCACATGATGTGGCATGTCCATATTATATGCCACATCAATTAAATCAATTAAGTGTATTTTAATTAAGACAATTAGAAAAACAAATACTGGAATAAATCATAAAAGAAAAGAAAATATTAAATAATTTTAATTGATATGGCTGTCCACCTCAGCTGCCACATAAGATGGTATAAGGATGTGGTATACAATGTGATAAGAGTAGCATTATTATTATTGGTCAGCAAATGATGACTTGGGTTTGAGCAACGTGTCCTTGCCAAGATTGGGCTGCAAATCTTATAAAGTTGGCCTAAGCAGCCAACCATGCTGTTCTTGGAGAGGAGCCTAATGATGGTGCCAACATGCAGAGACAGAATAGTTAAGAAACAATCAACAATTTCTTTGCTCACTTCAGCAAACAAAACTTTGTGGCTTTTTGTGTCTATTAGGAGCTTCAACCTCACACTAGGGTTGGAGGTTGCTGCCATATTGAACTAGTGATGAAGAAGACATAGCTTATTGTCTACAGCATATGCCAATATTTGTTTCGTATTGCATAGATTCATAATTGAAGCACTCAGACATTGCCTTTATTGCAGTGAACCTCAACATTTGTATCATGGTACAGGGATTGTGCCAATGAAACTCAACATTGGAACTTGGTCTTCATCAACATGCATCTAGAGCTTGATCTCTATTTCTCTCACCCTTTTAGGACTTTAGGGAGCCACTTAGCAGACTCTTTGGGAATGCGCTTGAGATTGTTTCTGTAATCGATGTAGTAAAGTCCGAATCGTAAGGTATAGACATATCTTGAGGCTTCTTTGGAGCTAAAGGATCATTGCGGTAGCAGATTGGCTTCATTAGACTTGCAGGGTTGTTTTTACCATATCTTGAGGTGTAATAGTTGATGCCAACAAAATCAAAGGAATCCTTCAACAATCTCCTTTCTTCCTTGGTGAAAATGGGCAGCCTTTCCTTGACCAAATGTACTCATGCTCTTTGGATAATCTCCATATACCAATGGCTCTGTGTACCATCCAAGTTCAAAGTCCAAATTTCTCTTTACTGCAGCTCTGTCTTCTGTTGATTCTGAGTAAGGCTCCACATATTCTCCTATAAGACTAATTCCAATTTGTCCACCTTGTTTCTCTGTAAAGCTCAACAACAGTGGCATGGGCTAGGACTCCTAGGAGAGATCTATGGCTCACAATGTAAGGTTCAGTGACTGAATTTCCTTCCCTGCATGGAAACCCTGCTGGAACAGAAAGCCTTCCCAGCGCATAAATTCCAAGGTCATATCCCAATTTGACAATGATCAACGGCTTGTTGTTTGCGATCCAATTTTTTACCCTGTCTCCAAATGTTCTAAAACAGATTTCAGTGTAAGCCTTGAAATCATCCACAAAGGAACTTCAATGGGCTGAAAAGGATATGGTGTTAACTGCCCACAAAGGAACACATTGGTGAGAACTGCATTGGATTCCAATGATGCCTTCAGCAATTTCAGACCCTAAGAATTCATGAAAAGAAAATCATCATTTTGAATAAGATAAAAATACCTCCAAACAAAACAAAAACAAAAAGAACGCAAACCTCATCCATGCCTAGATGAACGATCCTCTCTTCAAGGGTACCAACTTGCTTAACATTGAACTTGCTCAGCATCACGATATGGTAGACATAGGCTATAAGAACTCACTTCAATTTCTGATGGCCTCTATAAGAAAACTGGTGTTTGATTATGTGTTTTGCATCCTGAAAACACAAAGATGTGACCGAAAAGTTATTGCTAGAGAGAGCAATAGAGATTTTAGCCTGTAAAAGTAGTATGTAATTTATAAAAGCTTTTTGTATTTTGTATTTTGGTTTTTACCTATAATGAATTAATGCCTGAATTTTCTGGTGGATATATATTGTCAGATAGGAAAGCTGATGAAGGGGCTTAATCCAATGTCCTTTGGAGTCCTTGTGTTTGTGTCTCCTTATCTGTGACAACAGCTTTCAAAACTGGAGTCGTAGCTCTCGCTGTAAGTAATTAACATAGTTCTTTAATTACTGATGTTGGTTAGGCCTGTTGATCACGAGAAAGAACATGTTGTATTGCAAACCATTCTTAATTATAACAATTAATGGATTGTGGGTTTTCCTAATTGCTATGTGCAGGAAGGAATAGCAGTAGGGACAGGGAGAAGCTTTTCCATGTTCAAGAATTACCACATTGATGGGAACAAAGAAATGATTGCCATTGGGATGATGAACATTGCTGGTTCTTGCACTTCTTGCCACCTCACCACAGGTTAATCACTAATCGTACACATTTAGGGTTTATTCTTAATTAGATTCATTTCATGTTGCTAATTAAGCGAAATTTTTTCATCAATATTCAAGGCCATTTTCCAGATCAGCAGTTGACTACAATGCAGGATGCAAGATGGCAATGTCAAACGTTGTCATGGCAATTGCGGTTATGTTCACATTGTTGTTCCTCACTCCTCTGTTCCATTACACTCCCCTGGTTGTTCTGTCTGCTATTATAATAGCTGCCATGCTTGGCCTCATAGACTATGAAGCCGCAATTCTCCTCTCGAAGGTTGACACGTTTGACTTTGTTCTGCATGAGTGCCTGTATCGGTGTCGTTTTTGGCAGCGTTGAAATCGGCCTAGTCTTAGTGGTACGTACCACTATAGAATGGTGAAAGCTTATGGTATATAGTAGTAGCAGCTTGGTTTGCGCCCTTTCTTAATTTGGTTTAGCCAATAGCCTAGAATACGTAGAGCCCTTTTCATGGACACAGGTAGCAGTTGGTATTTGATGGGGCTTTGTTTGTATTGCTGCTCTGTTATCAATTGGTAGCGGCAGCAGCATTTTGGGTTTTTTGCTCTGAAATTATGCAGCCATTCAGTTAGTACTGGCTGTACCTCTCGTCTCTTTTGTCTTTATCCACCGTAAACCTTGCTATATAGACAATACAAGGCACTTTGATGGAAATGACTGAAACTTGCCAGCTAAAAGCTCTTGTTCTATCAGCTTAAGTGAAGTTGTAGTGCCACTCATTTTTATTTTTCATGATTCATGTTGCTTTAACTGTTAAATTATGGCCAAGTTTCATGCTTATTTCCTTTTCACCCAAAACCCCTCTTTCCTAATCAAATCCTTTTTAACGTGCCAGTAGTTGTATTTGGCCTGCCTGTTGCTTTTGTTATATTGACAGCAGCTTAATGCTTTAACTGTTAAATTACGAAATCTCATCATAGAATACGAATCTCATTAGTAAGGACTGTAATAGAATAGAAATCCCAATCCACAAACCAAAATGAAACCCCAAAAGCTCAATGTCTCTAGAGGACCAAAGTTGAAAAGTTTGTGCTGTTTCTTTCCAAGGAAGACATTGGTAAGAGCGGTATTTGACTCCAGTGATGCCTTCACCAACTTCAAACCCTACAAGAGAGAGAAATATAAACGTAAGACATTTAGCTATCTAAATAGATCAACAAGCCTCTGATAAGAGTTAGAGAAATATATAGGACATGAAACCTCTTGCATGCCAAGATCAACCTCCTTAACTTGAAGTGCATCAATCCCCTTCACGTTGAACTTTTGAAGCACTGCAACATTTTATTCGGTGGTCATTGGCTTCACTTCCAAATTATCCATTATCATGTAAATAACACCACCCTTGACATAGCCAGCCTTAATATTGCTCGAGTCATTGTTGGTCGGCAATGGCAATTGAAGGATATTGGCCGCAGAAATTGTTGTTTTTGGGTTTGAGCAGGGTGTCCTTAAGATTGAGTGGCAAGTATGAGTCGACACTAAGAGTTTCGGCACTTTCGTAAAGGTTGCCTAAGCAACCAACCATACCATCAGTTGAGAGGAGCCTAGTAACAGTTGCAACATGCAAAGACAGAAAACTGAAAAGGAAATCAACAACTTCCTTGCTTGCTTCAGCTTCAGCAAACAGAACTTTGTGGCTTTTTGTGTCAACCAGAAGCTTCAAACTCATGCTAGCCCTGTTGGTGGTAGGGGATATTAAGGACAGAGAAGAAGGAGCATGTGCTTAAGCATTCAAAGACCTATTATAAGCTTCACAAAAGAAGTTATCCCAAATTCAAAATTATTCAAAAAGGCAATGGTGAATGGATCAAGAAGGTGGAGGGTCACCTTGGACTCTGCATCATCAGTCGACCAGAAAACAACTCTACATATACAAATCTGTCATTACCTATACATAGGTAATATATTATACGGATGAGTGAATAAATATGTATTTATTTCCACTAGTTGGCATTCATTAACTAAACCAACAGCCAGATTTACAATTCGTTTTGTTTTGTATTTGCTTTTTCATATTAGTTGTATTGTATCTTCAGGCTTACTAGTTTAGAGGCAAAAGACAGTGAAAAAGCCAACTAACAGGTCTATGCTCCCTTCAGCAAACGGAATTTTGTGGCTTTTTTACATGGACTAGGAGTTTCACCTTAGTTTTGGTGAATGCCATTGATGACTTCAAGAAGACTGATCCATAATTACATGGATGATGAACTTCATAGATCAAGTAAGAGGAGAGAAATTTGATAGGTAAAGAGAGAGAGAAGATAATAGATCACTAGAACATGTAATTTTGTCACACATACGCGTGAGTATGGATTAATCTGGTGTGAAAAGTAGGAGGAGCTGTAATGCAAGGCATCAAAAAGCTTTTATAACCTTGCAAACTGCCACTTTAGAAACAAAACTACATTTGATGTGTTTAGAAATTGAAGTAAGAATTTGTGTGACATGACAAGGGTTTGAGTTGCAAGGTGTCCGTTTTAGTTAACCATAGGTTTCATGCAAATGTTAACCACCAACATGCAAAGACAGAAGAGTGAAAAGAAAATCAACAACTTATTTGCTTGCTTGTAACTCTTTGTGCAAAGAGGATAGAGAAGGACGACAGGCGTATAATATGCCTGAAAAGCCTTAGAAAGACCTATTTATAAGCTTAGACAAGCCTTAGAAACGAATGGTACTAAAGCATATGAACTCATAAACCTGCCCAAATGGATAAAAACAGAGAACTGTTATAAAAGTTGATCTCCTGCCAACTGGTTTGAGATTTGATCATGCCAAAAAGAAACTAAGAAATGGAGGCCCAAAACATAAAATCAACAGAAAAACCAAAAACAAAACAGTGCAAATGCCTTAGAGCAGCGGAGCAGTGTAGATGAGCAAGTTTACTTCAGCCGCACGATCGGTTCTCCTTGTTCATTTTTGTATCAACGACAGTGCAAAAGGATCATTGGGAAAGCAGATTGGTTTCCTTGGACTTGTTGGATCGTTTTTACCATATCTTGCGGTATAATATTTGTTACCAATAAGATCAGAGGGCCAAAGTTGAAATAATCCAATGTAAGCCAATATAGTCAATGTCAATATCCACAAACTAAAAGGAACCTCCAAAAGCTCAATTTCTTTAGAGGACCAAAGTTATTGAAACCTTCATGCACTTTATTACCAAGGAAAACATTTGATGCCTTCACTATTGATTGACTCAAATGATGCCTTCACCAACTTCAAACCCTAAGAAGCAAAAGCAAAAACAAAATATGTTGTATCAATCAATAGACACAGATAGAGAACACTATTTATTGTCAACAAAACAAAACTATTTATTGTTGTCTTGGGTTTCAGTAGGGAGTCTTTGTTAAGATTGGGTTGCATGTATGTGTCACTGAGATTTTCGAGGCTCTCGTAAAGTTTGCCTAAGCAACCAACCATGCCACCATTAGAGAGGAGGAGCCTAGTCACAGTTGCAACATGCAAGGACATAAGAGTGAAGAGAAAATCCACAATTGCCTTGCTTGCTTCTGCAAACAGTACTTCAGCAAGCAAAAACATGTTTAAATGCAGGAGATGGAACAAAATCAAGTGAAATGGCCTAAGGTTGCATGCACCTATTAGTTAGTATTTCAGTACAAGATCATCAGACTAGGAAGGTTGATTCACTAGTGACCTGCCACATGACTGTGAAAACAGTGTAACCCTAATTCCACGCCAACCAAAAGCTCATTATCTTTCAATTTCAAACCAACCTAAGTCAGTTCCGGTACACCAAGAGGTACCCTTCGAGGATGTGGCATCCAGGGAGCTATGCGGCGTCTGGGCGCCCGCCTAGGCGGCTCTAGGCAGCCTAGGCGTCTAGGCGGCCTAGGCGGTTCTAGGCGGCCCTAGAAGGGTCTAGGCGGCTCTAGGCGTCCCTAGGCGGATCTAGGCGGCCCTTGGTGGCTCTAGGCACTCAAGGAAGGTCTAGGCGGCCCTAGGCGGCTCTAGGAGGGTCTGGGCTGGCGATTTTGCCGTCGAGGCGTGAACGAAGGGCAATGGAAGTGCGCAGGATCCGCTGCTTGTTAGGAAGAAAGACGGAGAGACAGAGAGAGAGATCGAGACAGAGAGAGGAAGGAGAAGGTGACGCTGGGAAGAAGATATCTGACCTAATTTTAATATTTGAAAGGTATAGCCGCTCGGCTAGACTATTAATGGATTGTGGGTTTTCCTAATTGCTATGTGCAGGAAGGAATAGTAGTAGGGACAGGGAGAAGCTTTTCCATGTTCAAGAATTACCACATTGATGGGAACAAAGAAATGATTGCCATTGGGATGATGAACATTGCTGGTTCTTGCACGTCTTGCTACCTCACCACAGGTTAATCACTCATTGTACACATTTAGGGTTTATTCTTAATTAGATTCATTTCATGTTGCTAATTAAGCGAAATTTTTTCATCAATATTCAAGGGCCATTTTCCAGATCAGCAGTTAACTACAATGCAGGATGCAAGACGGCAATGTCAAACGTTGTCATGGCAATTGCGGTTATGTTCACATTGTTGTTCCTCACTCCTCTGTTCCATTACACTCCCCTGGTTGTTCTGTCTGCTATTATAATAGCTGCCATGCTTGGCCTCATAGACTATGAAGCCGCAATTCTCCTCTCGAAGGTTGACACGTTTGACTTTGTTCTGCATGAGTGTCTGTATCCGTGTCGTTTTTGGCAGATTTGAAATCGGCCTAGTCTTAGTGGTACGTACGACTATATGTCACACCAGTAAAAAGTTATTGTGTGTGACAATAACACCATATCAACAACTTAACATTACTTATTAGAACTAATATTTCTTTTTTCTTGTGTGTAGGTTGCAATATCTACTTTCGTTTGTGGGATTTTGTTCAAGGAACATACAGAAATGTTGAGCAGTATCCCAATGCAAGCAATGTTCCTGGAATTCTCATACTTGAGATTGATGCTCCCATTTACTTTGCAAATACCAACTACTTAAGAGAAAGGTACTAATTAATTAAACCTGAACACACTCTTGCATGTTATAATCAAATTTAAAAATAATAATTTGAAAGTTGATCCAAAGTCCTACCTGTTTTCAGGATTACAAGGTGGATAAATGATGAGGAAGATGGGACCAAATCTGCAGGGGAAAGTAGCTTGCAATATGTGATATTGGATATGACTGGTAATTAAGGGAAACAAATAGTGCACATATATATATATATATATATAATTATTGTGACATTTTTTACCCTGAAATTATTTTGTTTTCTGGTTTAATTTGGAGCTGTTGGTAACATAGACACAAGTGGGATAAGCATGTTTGAAGTGGTCAAAAAGCTTGTTGACAGAAGGGGGCTCCAGGTTCAAAAATCTGCAACAGTCTCTTTCAATTTATCAAATATTTCCTTCCAAATTTTTATTTCATCTGTTTATATAACTCTGTAATTTTGTTCCCATCTGTGTTTAGCTTGTACTGGCGAACCCGGGAAGCGAGGTGATGAAGAAGATGAACAAGTCAGAGTTGATTGAGAATACATGTCAAGAATGGATTTATCTCACAGTTGCAGAGGCTGTTGCAGCATGCAACCTCATGCTTCACTCCACCAAGCCCAACCCCGGCAAAGATCAAGAACCAGCTGCATGGGAACAACGTTGATGGCTTTGGCTGTGAATTTATGTATCAGAAAGCAATATCCACATAAATATGAAGACTCATTTGAATTAAGGAGAAATGAATTTCAGGAAACGACGTTTGATGGCTTTGGCGGCTATACTATTAATTTCGGGAAAAAAAATTTTAAAAAAATAAAGAGGTATAGCCATTCGGCTATACTATCTTTTAATATATTATATTTAAGCTCTATAGACGATCGGCTATACTATTTACTTAGAAAAAAATTTAAAAACAGCGTATAGCCATTCGGCTATACTATTAATTTCAAAAACACCGAGTATAGCCGGTTGGCCGTACTCTTAAAAAATGTTATATTCAAACAGTATAGCCGGCGGCTATACTCTTTATTTAAAAAAGAGAAAAAATAGTACAGCCGTTCGGCGATACTATTAATTAAAAACTGAGTATAGCCGTGCGGCTATATGATGAATTTAGGAAAAAAATTAAAAAGGGGTATAGCCGTATGGCTATACGCTTTTTATATATTTTATTTCAAGAGTACAGCCGCCCGGCTATACACTGTGTCTTTTTTCAAATTTTTAGTCCAATTAATAGTATAGCAAAAATGAAGAACACGATACATTCAACAGCAAAAGAGCAATACACGAGTCTCAAAAACATCTTGGAGTCACAAGCTCCAAAGTTCTAGCAAAAGTCAGTTCAGCTACCTTAACAGAAGAAACAATCCTCTGAAGGAGCATGGTGAAGTCCATTTCATCAATTTACAACTGACTGATTACCACAAAAAACCTCCAAAATAACAGTGGAAGACACTCTTTATGAATCCCTAGTCCGAACTCAGACGCACAACAGTCAAACAAGCTCTAAAATTCCATTTCCAGAATTGATCTAGTGCAAAGTTGACATGTTTACTCCTCTTTCTTCTCAAGGAAGACATTGGTGAGAACTGCGTTAGACTCGAATGATGCCTTGAGCAATTTCAGACCCTAAAAATTTAATGAAAAGAAAATGATCATTTTGAACAAAATAACAATTCCTCCAACCAAAACAAAAAAACAAAAGAATATAATAGCAGATGAACGGTGGCAAATTAGCTTTGATTAAAAGCCTACATGATAATGTATGATGGTTGTATCGTCTATTGATCGAGTGTGTAGAGTAGAAATCAAAGCATAAAAAGTGTAACTATCCTATCCTTCCCAACTTGAATCAATTAAGAAAATAATAAAAAGTGGGGTTTGTAATTGATGTGCATATATATTTTGCATATTCAAGATGCACATATATTCACAGTTCAAAATGTTGAGAGAAGTTTACGAAATCAACAACTTAAATGGATCCTAGTAACAGTTGCAACATGCAAAGACAGAAAACTTAAAAAGGAAATTAACAACTTCCTTGCTTGCTTCAGCAAACAGAACTTTGTGGCTTTTTGTGTCAATCAGAAGCTTCAAACTCACGCTAGCGCTGCTGGTGGTAGCCATTGAGGGGATATTAAGGACAGACCTTCACAAAAAAGTATCCTGAATTCAAAATTATTCAAAAATGGCAATGGTGAACGGATCTAGAAGGTGGAGGGTCACCTTGGACTCTGCATCATTAGTCGACCACAAAGCAACTCTACACATACAAATCTGTCATTACCTATACAAGAAAAATCTGATTAAGAGTTACCAGGGTGTTACAGCACTGTACAACCAGTTGATTAGCAACAAGGCAGTTAGAGACCAGCATCATCCTCCTCCTGTACACAGTAAAGTCCAAAACACATTATGTCAGGATTTGAAGAACACAGCAAAGTAAAGACTTGTCAAGGAAAATAAAGGTCAACAATCCTGATTGGAATTAATATGGACCCAGCTATTCAAAATCCTTATTTGAAAACTCTATCTTCTTTTTTTAATTTACTGAGGAAAGATGACATCAAGGAAAATATTATGAAGCATTTTCAAATGGAAACTTTTCCAAGACAACGTTAGCATTTCTCAATTCATTTACCTCAGCTCTTTCTATACTGGTTTCGGTTTTGATGATTTGCTAGCAGTATCAGACACTACCATCCAATCAAAATTCACTTCTAATTGGGGATTTTTAATATAAATGGAGACATTAATAGACTTTTCAAGGGGCACCCTACTGCAGCTGGCCCAAAATAATAGCAAATAAGGTCTGGTTCCATAGCAAGTGATTCAGCAACTTCAAAGATAAAAAGTGCAGAAGCAAAAACATGTTTAAATGCAGGAGATGGAACAAAATCAAGTGAAATGGCCTAAGGTTGCATGCACCCTATTAGTTAGTATTTCAGTACAAGATCATCAGACTAGGAAGGTTGATTCACTAGTGACCTGCCACATGACTGAAAACAAAAGCTCATTATCTTTCAGTTTCGAACCAACTTAAGTCAGTTCCGGTACACCAAGAGGTACCCTTCCAGGATGTGGCATCCAGGGGTAGGCGCCAGGGAGCTAGGCGGCGTCTGGGCGCCCGCCTAGGCGGCTCTAGGCGGCCTAGGCGGCTCTAGGCGGTTCTAGGCGGCCCTAGGAGGGTCTAGGCGGCTCTAGGCGTCCCTAGTCGGATCTAGGCGGTCATAGGCGGCTCTAGGCACTCAAGGAAGGTCTAGGCGGCCCTAGGCGGCTCTAGGCACTCAAGGAAGGTCTAGGTAGCCCTAGGCGGCTCTAGGCGGCCTAGGCGGCTCTAGGAGGGTCTGGGCCGGCGTTTTGCCTTTGAGGCCTGGAGGAAGGGCGGTTGAAGTTCGCAGGATCCGCTGCTTGTTCGGAAGAAAGACGGAGAGGGAGACAGAGACAGAGACAGAGAGAGGAAGGAGAAGGCGCTGGGGAGAAGAAGATATCCGACCTAATTTTATATTTGAAAAGGTATAGCCGCGCGGCTAGACTATTAATTTTTTTTTAAAAAAAAGAGAAAAAACACGGAGTATAAAGGCGTGGCCATACTATTTTAGATATTATATTTAACCAGTATAGCCGACCGGCTATACTATTCATTGGAATAATTTAAAAAAAAATGGATTATCGCTGCCCGGCCATACTATCCTTTGATATATCATATTTAAATAGTATAGCCGCGGCGGCTGTACTATTAATTGGAATAAAATTTAAAAAAAACCTCGCGGCTATACTATTAATTTTAAAAGCAATTTAAGAAACACTCATTTAATATGAATTTACACAAACCAGGCCAAATTGTTTGAGTTCAATTCTAAAATATACTCGGTAGCTCCATCATTTGATATGTTGTGAAATTAGAGTTAAAATGCAATCGTAGAGAAACGGCTGCACTCAGATGACCCCTTGTGTTAATCAGCAGGATAGGCTTCGACAATTCATCAGTTTCTTCCGATGTTTTGAATCAGTATATATAGATGAGCTTGATTTCTTCAACCTCCCTCAGTACAAAATTGGCCTCCTTATTTGTTTTGGATCAACGATAAAGTTGAATGATTGTTGCGATGGCGGATGAGTTTTCTTGAGATATAATGAATGAAACCAAAAGAATCAATGGACCAAAGTTTACATGATCCAGAGTAATAGAATAGAAATCCCAATCCACAAACCAAAATGAAACCCCAAAAGCTCAATGTCTCTAGAGGACCAAAGTTGAAAAGTTTTTGCTGTTTCTTTCCAAGGAAGACATTGGTAAGAGCGGTATTTGACTCCAATGATCGATGCCTTCACCAACTTCAAACCCTACAAGAGAGAGAGAAATATACAAGTAAGACATTTAGCTCTATCAACAAGCCATTGATAAGAGTTAGAGAAATATATAGGATATGAAACCTCCTTAACTTGAAGTGCATCAATCCCCTTCACATTGAACTTTTGTAGCAGCCTTGAGAATTAGTTGGGTATAATCTACAACATCCTATTCAGGCAGAGAAAATATGCCTCCAGGGAAAATATGCCGGCATACTATTTCTGCCTTCAATGCAGTTAAATTTGCAGGAACTAGTCAATTCAACAATCTACGATGGTTATACAGGACGGGTATCGAAAATAGGAACAAGATGAAATAAATCAGACTATCAGAGCCATCAAGTTTCCTCAAGAAGCAAGGGATATAAAGACAAAGAGGCAAATATTGAGAGAATCGTCAAATTTTCATAGAGAAATGTATTACTAAGGACATAAAGAAGATTAGGCATTGTGAATCATATCATACGATGATGGGAGTAATAGATCATTTAGACAATTTAAATCCCAAATCCCTGATTAAGAACAATGTATCGTTAATGAAATTATTTAATAATTTTGATGTTCATGAGGCTAAAAAGAACCTCTGCTACAGATCTAGAACATAACATATAGTAGCTGGCTGGACTCTCTCTATAACTCTCTCTAAAAATAAAAGAAGTAAACTTTTGAACCGAGCAATCACAAGCCACCTTAGAAATCTCTGCCTTTGAATTCATCTTTCTACTGCTGAACGACCAAAACAACTGTGACAATCTGCGTCCCCTTTCTCTCTCTTCATCTGCAAAATCATCATAATTAGATATATATATATATATATATATACACACACACACAATACACAATAACGAGATGCTTTAGTTTATGATTACAAATACACAGACAGGAATCTATACCTTCACGGAAAACAGCTAAATCTCTCTGTCCAAATCCAAAGCTTTCATGGCATCCCCGACTTCTTCCATCTTCCTCTTATGTTTTTTTTGCCCCAGCTGAAATGGGAATACAAGTATAAATATATGAATTGAGTACAAGGCAATCTAAAACCTGATATATATACAAGTGCAAATTTAAGGTAAGGCATCTACATGTGCGCCTCTATTCATTGGAATAATTTAAAAATAAAAATGGATTATCGCTGCCCGGCTATACTATCTTTTGATATATCATATTTAAATAGTATAGCCGCACGGCTGTACGATTAATTGGAATAAATTTAATAAAAACACCTCGCGGCTATACTATTAATTTTAAAAGCAATTTAAAAAACACTCATTTAATATGAATTTACACAAACCAGGCCAAATTGTTTGAGTTCAATTCTAAAATATACTCAGTAGCTGCATCATTTGATATGTTGTCAAAATCTTACAAACAAGGAAAGGATTGTAGGAGATTAAGCATTATCATCAATAACATAATGGAGTATATATGGCTAAAAATAAGAGTAATAAATACATCATCTCAACGACAAGTCATGCAAATATCAGAGCCATCAATTTGGATCCCAATCCAACGTTTTTCTTAATTAAAATTTGATGAACCAATAAGATCCAAATTGGACCATTGAGGGGAGTGATCATTGCTAAATCTTGAGCTCAACTTGTTATTAAGAAAATGCTAGGGAAAATCATTTTGGTGGATTAGGGTTTATTCCGTAACAAATAAAATGTCTCAGCTTCTAGCCTAGGAGAAAAAGATCTTAACTTGCAGACCACGGTCTCAGGTTCGAACGTCCATGGCATCTTAATTGTGTGTGCAACTATCTCTTGTACTAAAAAATAAGTCTATTTTAACTTTATTGTTTGGTTATGTGATAATTATTAAGGAGGTGAATTCGAATTTGAGTGCAAAAGGGCATGAACATCAGCCTCAGGCATGTACTGGTCAGTGTCACTAAGGTAATCATTGCTAAATCTCGAGCTCAGCTTAAGTACCTCTTGCGCCTCTTTTGGTTCTCTCCCGCGACATGGTTTCAGTTTCTGTTAAAAGTAAACAAAGATGGTGAACAACTGAAAAAAACACAAAACAAATCCGGGTTGCATATAGGAGTCTCTGCCCGTACCCGTTTGCCTGGCCCATTCGCGTGGGTTGAATAAAACGGGCAATATTTATATGGGTTTATCTGTTTATTCAGGACCCGCTTATAGCAAGCCCAAAAAGTAAGTACATTTTGACCCTGCAACAACCAGAGACCTCTACAGTCTTTCAAATCCTTACTGGCTTCCTCCACAGGTTAGTGGGTTTTTGGGTTTTTCGTTCCGAGTTTTTGTTTCACACTTTTCCCAATTGAATGTGGTCTTTTTGTAAACTTTCTGCATTTACGCTTTTGGCTGGATGAGGTTAGTGTGATATTGGTATATTGCAGACCACCCATATGTGATAATTCCTGAAAGAACTTGCTATAGAATGGTGAAAGCTTATGGTAGATAGTAGTAGCAGCTTGGTTTGCGCCCTTTCTTAATTTGGTTTAGCCATTAGCCTAGAATACGTAGAGCCCTTTTCATGGACACAGGTAGCAGTTGGTATTTGATGGGGCTTTGTTTGTATTGCTGCTCTGTTATCAATTGGTAGCGGCAGCAGCATTTTGGGTTTTTTTGCTCTGAAATTATGCAGCCATTCAGTTAGTACTGGCTGTACCTCTCGTCTCTTTTGTCTTTATCCACCGTAAACCTTGCTATAGACAATACAAGGCACTTTGATGGAAATGACTGAAACTTGCCAGCTAAAAGCTCTTGTTCTATCAGCTTAAGTGAAGTTGTAGTGCCACTCATTTTTATTTTTCATGATTCATGTTGCTTTAACTGTTAAATTATGGCCAAGTTTCATGCTCATTTCCTGTTCACCCAAAACCCCTCTTTCCTAATCAAATCCTTTTTAACGTGCCAGTAGTTGTATTTGGCCTGCCTGTTGCTTCTGTTATATTGACAGCAGCTTAATGTTTCTACTAGTTTTGTATTTTGTTCTTTTTTGTACCTTATGTAGATCTATAAGAGATATTCTTGTTGAATTTATACTTTTTTATTAGCTTTGTTCAATTTTTACCTTCTTTCCCTTATGAATAAGTTTCTCAAATATATGTTTTTGTCATGGAGTTTGCTTCTGATCGTGCATCAAACCTTCAATTCCTGAGGCAGGGTGGTGGAGAAATAGAACAAATTTAGAAGAAGCTCTGACATAAAGGTTGAAAATGAGTGCTGAAGCTTTGCAAGTTGCCCCCACTTGACATGGTCATTGATTCATTACCACCACTCTCCCCACCACCACCATTAATGCAATTATCATCCCCACCACCATCATCTCTACTACCATCACTGCCATCATTATTTCGAATTTATAGAATTTGATAAAAATCTAACAAACTTTATTTGCCTTGCCTGTTGCTTCTATAGCTTGTGTGTTATATTGTCAACAACTTAAAGGTTCTGCTACTTCTGTGATTTTTATATATTTATAATCTCAAGTAGATCTTTAAGCAATGATCTTGTTGAATTTATACTTTGTTTACTAGCTTTGTTCAATTTTTACCTCCTTCCCTTGTGAATAAGTTTCAAATATATGTTTTTGTCATGGAGATTGCAAGATTTGCTTCTGATCATACATTAAACATTCAATTATTCCTGAGGCAGGATGGAGAAATAGGGGGAAAAAGCTTGAGATAAAGGTTGAAAATGAGTGTTGAAGCTTTGCAAGTAGCTAAGGTGTACCGCCACCTTCTCAGGGCTGTCAAGAAACACGTTGCCAAAGAAGACAGGGCGAGGCATTTCAAAGAATACGTAACTGAAGAATTCAGGAACAACTGCAAACTGTCAGATCCATCTTCCATTCAGCAGAAGATTAAGCTTGCCCATAACTACACTTTTCTTCTTAACAGTGTGCACCATCACCAGGTACGGATGTAATTCATTGCTCTGTCCGATCAAAGTTTTTTTCTTTTTGCAAATTGTAAGGTCCCTGTCATGTTCCATTATGTTGGTTTTCTTTTTAATCTCCATCAAGCATCTAACTTTGTATAATGGATGTGCAGGACCTGTTGTTCTCTTACAACATTGCTGTGGATAGATCAGATGAGATGAAAAAAGTACTTGGAAAATCGGCTGCAAGTGTTGGTCTTCAACTTCCTGAGGTTTATCAGCCTTGATATTTAGTCGGCTATAATCTGCTACATCCTATTCTGGCAGAGAAAATTTGCCCCCACCGAACAGTGTAGCCTGTGGAATTTTGGATTTTTATTCATAAATATTCAGTTGTATTTGTTTGCTGCCAACAATGGCAAAGAATAATTTGTTTGACTGGTTATCTATTTTGACCAACAAAAAAACAAGTTCTGCTACTGCGGCTGAATTGATCAATTGTTCTTTTTTCCCGATAAACAAACTGAAAAATAAAACATATTGATATGCACGGAACTACCAAACAGCAAGGCTAAATCTGACACGTGTCAATCCGCACCCCACTTGGCATTACCAAAATTTGCAGTGTGACACCTATGTAACTGATAAGGGTTCTTTCTTCTCTTATATATCCTCTACTTCTTCTCTTTCACTGAAAGTAAATCTAATTATCCTTAGCACAAAACATAAGATCCTCAACCAAATTTAGCACAACTGGTCTCATCATCTTCATCATCTTCATCATCTTCATCATCATGGGTTCAGAAACGTTTCTAGAAGTGATATTGGCAATTATCCTGCCACCTGTTGGGGTCTTCCTCCGCTATGGCTGTGGAGTAAATTCTTTTACCCTAATGCCCAAATGCCATTCTATTTCTGTTCTTTTTTGGGTTTTGAGTTAATTGTTAAATCATATTGTGGAAAATGCAGGTGGAGTTCTGGATTTGTTTGTTGCTGACACTGTTGGGATATATTCCCGGAATTATATATGCGTTATATGTACTGGTCGGATGATCAAGGTTTTCTGGAGGTGAAAGAATAATAATATGGCAAGCGACATGTGTGGTGTGGGTTAGTTTGGTTAATGTCACTTTGACTTTGTAATTCAGGATCATAATTTAGTTTCCTTATAAATTTCCTTGTTTTCTATGTTCTTGTTCTTACTTTTTCTTTTTCTTTTTTTGTTGAAGCAATTGCACACTGTAATTACCTCCACTTATGCTAATTGACACTAATGTAGAAAGTGGAAAGTCTGAAAAAATCAAGTATAATGTTCTAGTCTCGAAAACAGAAAACAGAAAACAAAAATGTTCTAGTGTGAAAACACAAAACATATGAACACAAGTCATGGATTTATACCTTGAAATAATACTGATCAATTTGCATGATGAGTTTCAATAAAATACAACTTTCAATGCGGTATGTTTTATATTAGGAAAGGAAAATGTTCATAATTGATTTGAACATTTTGACTTATGTGGTATTGGAGCAAACTAAACAAGCTTCTTCAAAGTAGTTCATTTGTCAGCTGTGTGTGCATGATATAAAGGGAATACTTTTTATTTACGGCTGCATATATCCTAATTCCTTCATGTCTTAGTTATTATCAAGAACAAATGAGAATGCAAAATTATTGGCAGGTTTGAGTTGTGGAATGGTTGATTTTGGAAGAATATTAACTGTATTGAATAATTGTAAGCTGGACGTCTAAAACAAATTGTTAGCTATCATAATGATTGCAAATTAGTAATATTGTATATTGCTAGTGTGAAAACACAAAACATGTGAACACAATGTGAAAGATAATACAAGTCATGGCTTTATACCTTGAAATAATGATGATCAGTTTGCATGATGAGTTACAGGATTAGAACATTTCGACTTATGTGAGATGTTTATATTATCTAAAAACATTTTTACTTACATGTTTATATTATCTAAATACAACTTGTCGATAAAATGCAATACCAATTGAATTGTAATGATCCTTCATTTTCAATATTCTATCTTCCTTGGATACATCCAATTGAATTGTGAATTGGAGTTGCTAGTTGGATACTCGATGATAATTAGGGTTTCGAGTTCTGAAGAAATAATGGGAACAAACATGTGTGGAGGTTTAGTTTGGTCAATGTCACTTTAACCTTGTGATCTTAATTTAATTTCCTTCCATTTTCCTTGCACGTGTGATATGTCACTGTGATTATTTCAGGGTTTTTTTTTATATGAAATTTTTTGTCAAATTAAATATTAAGTGAACAATCCACAGAGCAAGCCCTTATTAGGCTATTTGATTCTTGACTTGAGAAGTATTTCGTCTAGCTCTTGTCACTTCCATTCCATTCCATACCACAGTGGTTGAAACTTGAAGGTTGTTTTCACAAAAAGATAAAAAGAAGGTTAATTAGTAATAAATTGATCATGTTAAAAAAAAATATATATATATATATATATATATATATATGAAAACCTTAAAAAGTCCAAGTACCATGTTTATGTTCTAGTCTCGGAAACACAAAAAATATGAACACAAGTCATAATTTTTTCCCCTGAAATACTGAAGGATCGGTTTGCATGGTATGGTACAATAAATAAAAGATTTGTTGTAATAGGTATGTCGGAGTGAAATAGAACTTGTGCTTGTTTATGTAAGGGAAAAATAAATTATTTTAAAAAAAAAAGCATTTTTGGAAATAATAAAACTTTAAACATATGTTTATTTACTTCAATTCGTCGATTTATGTAAGATATTGGAGTGAACTAAATATGTTCGACAAATAGTGAAGGAGGGGTGATTTGTTGGACTGCGAAAGATTATCAAAGCTTGTGGTAAGGTCTATGATTAGTTGATGAAAGACAAAGAATTCAATTAAAAACAAGCAGTGGGGTAGTGTATATGGAATATGGAATTGCAACAACTTTGTTGTTGTACAGGTTTCAAGTGTTGACATAGCCTGGGATTGCATCAGTTTCCTTTGTTTTTGTTGCATGGAATAACAACTATGATTTTGTTGTAAGAAATTATTTACTAATTACAATTACACTGGTGTTTGTTCTGTCGACATACAAAATTATTTACCATTATTTCCTTCGAAGAGCAAGCCTTTCCTTAAGGTGGTGGCCTAAGCCTAAACGAATAGTATAACTGTTTCTGTTAACCTTTTCTTAAATGTTAAAATAAAGTAAAAAACTGTACAATAATAAGCTTAAGCTTAATTAGTAATATGTTGATAACATTTAACGATAGAGAGTGAAAGTACAAAGTTGAGTTTCAACTTCTTAATGATACAAGAATTCAATGGTCTAGCCTAGTAAAAGAGTCGTTAACTTGAATTCCCAACTACGTAATATATGCGGTCGAGACCCTTGTAAATAGTAAACCAACCCATGTAAATGTAATTTATGGGACTTTTTCATTGAGCCTTGAGCTAAGCTGCATGCTGTTCATATTGTCTTTTTTTTGGTTAATAAGAAAATGTGAGCTTTTATTGGTTAATAACCAAGTAGGAGCAATACTCGTCAAAAAATACGAAAAAGATTTTACAAAGAACTATGATAGTACCATATTATGACATCACTGAGATCACAACCAGAACATCACCATAGATAAATACCAATTGAATTTGATAATCCTACATTTTCAAAATTTTGTCGTCCTTGTCTAGATTGGGATAAGAAACTGTTTTCACCAAAAGTCACTGATAAGTTGAAACAACGATCATCTAAATGAAAAACAAAGCTACATGACTGAGATTTGAGGATGAGCTCACTCAACAAGCTTAAGACCTTGGCTTTTCCTTTTTCTCCTTAAAGAGCGCCAACAAAGACACGCCAGATACCTTCACAACCTTGAATCTGACTCCAGGAATATCTCCCACGGCATGCCCCTTCCGACCAAATCCAGCAATCAACACCTCATCCTGCACCAAACGCAACAAATATATCATTAACTTGAGAAAATATAGGAGATGAAAGCAAGCACAAACAAAGGATTCCTTGACTCTATAAAAGATTTAAAACTCTTCACTATGGTTTCCTTCCTTTTTTTTTGTCAAATTCACCAAGGTTTCCTTGAAATCTAACATGCTGAAAGATGAAACTTACATTTTCCTCAATGTAGTTTAAGCAACCATCGTTGGGCACAAAAGCTGCAATCTTCTTCCCATTTTTGATCAGCTGAACACGAGCACATTTTCTAATGGCAGAGTTCGGCTGCTTAGCTTCAATTCCACTGCATTAACAGTCCACAATTTGTGACAATTCAGTTTAGACCTAAACGTAGCATTAGTTATAATATCCCATGTTTTAGAGCAAGAGAGGAAGAGTATCAATAATCTCACATCTTTTCTAGGACAATGCCCTTGGCATGAGATGAGCCAGCAAATGGCTTTTTCCATTCATTCCCAAGGTGAGACTTCTTGTATGACTTGTCAGCCCACCTTTGCCTTCTGCGGTGGTCCTTCAGCTTACGAGCAGCTCCCATACCACGTGTCTTCCTGCAAAATAACCACAATCTCTTCATTTCAAAATAATTTCACTCAAAACCAGTATACAAGAGCAAAAAAATGCAATCCAATCTCTAGGCATGAGTAATATTTGGCAACTGTTAAATTCAATGCAATCACAGAAGCATCACCGAAATGAACAATGTAAAGCCAGTTGCACAGAGTAACAAGACAAGCTTCAGCTTTCTTGTATTTGAAAAAAACAGTCGAACTCCAAGTTCCCATGCCTGTTTTGTCAGTCAAATAATACATGCCTCTTGGGCATAATTTGACATTGATACCCGCTTACCATCAGTTATAAGAATGGGGCTACCTAGAAGCCAGAAGTAATCCAACGTTGCTTTAACATCAGTTATAAGAATAGGGCTTGAAACACAATGATTAAGTTTAGCTAATTCAGACCCTATAAATACGCATGAACTAATATCATCATCCCCTTAAGCCATGTCTAAGCTTAAGACTCGTTAGAAACCTAACAGAGCCCTACTGAAACTAATATGCATCTCTTTTAAACCTAAAATTCAATCCTTTTTTTTTCAGATGCTTTCTAGGCAACCAAGAAGATAATTTTTATATAAAAGAATAAATATTACATAGCAATTTCGTTGCAAAAATATGAACCCAAATTCAAATGCTTTAAAGATTTGAAATTTATCATGAAACCCCTCATTGAGATTGTAGAAATAGCCATAAACCAGATCTGAACCACTAAACTTAGACAAAGTAAAACAATGAGACCGTAGAAAGAGAAGAAAGCAGGTACCCCATGGCGGCTGAGAGGGGAGAGTCCTGGACTTCTGCAGCAAAGGGACCGAGAGCACTGAGGCGGAGAGGAAATGCCGGCTGCTGGAAAACCCTAACCTTGGTTTTTCAATTCATAGGTGGGAGATTTTATATATAGCTCTGTATTGCTTCTTTGGTTTTCAGCAGGTCAAAACGGTGTCGTACCGGAAAATTACATATATGACCTCGTGAGTGTATTATATTTAGTTTGGATTTCCTTTCTTATTATTTAATTTCAGTTTATGACATATCTTACTTGTGTTTTTATATATAATATAATCCTACAATAGAAAATGTTGGAAAATAAACCAAGTTTTTTTATGAGGGAGGAAAATTAACAAGACAATTAGTGTTAAAAATCTAAAAATCATGAGAAAGCCTACGTTTATTTACGTCTTGAATCAAAACCCATAATATTGATCGTGTTATAAATGTCAAAATCAGTTAGTTACAAGAGAGAACAAATTTTCACAAAATTATTAGAACAATAGGAATTTTATTCACAGAAGGATTTCAAACCCAATGAGAATTGGCCTTCTCGGAATTTTGTTGAGGCCAAATTACAAGCCAAGATCAATGGCACCAACATGTTTAGTTAAAGCATCAATTTGGTCTTTGAAGTAATCATTTTGAAGGGTGCAAAGGTTATTTCCAGGACAGGGCATGTTGGGATCTTCATTCTCTTTGGTATCTTGGCTGTTCACCTTCTTGAGGACCACCATCCCAATATGATCTTCAGTTCTCAAGCATTTTTTAGTGTTCACTTTGTGAGGCAAGTCTTTCTCAACTTCTGAAGTCATGGCAGCATGAGTCTTAATGGCCCCCTTCATGTCAAGCTCATTAAGGGAAGCATTTTGAACTCCAATGTGTGCTGGACGCCGAGGACTGATGCCGAAAGCAGGGCATGGAGATCCAGTTTTACGCGATGCAAGCTTTGTATTCCTTGTCCCATGGCTCCCATCTAAAGTTCTAGGAGTTTGAAGCTTGCCATATTGACTTGTAGCTCCATTGTTGTTACTTTTGCCAGTTGCACTTTGTACACCAGAATGGCACAGCATGCTGCCACTTGATCGCACGAAGGAAGTCTCCTGTCAAAGGAAGGAATATTGTACAATTAGGTATTCACTCAGCACCATGTAGGAAAATTGGAACATCAAACATTGAACTCAAAAGCAAGCTTTCATTCAGCACTAGAATGGCCCATAGATATAAACCAACCTCATCGAAAAAACCAATCTTCGGTGATGGCACTCGGAGACACGAGGGCTTGATATGTTTACAAACACTGCTAGAAACAGAGCCACTTCCCACTGACATCTTTGCTTCACGTTGATTTAGGAGCCTTGTTTTCTGATTTCCATGTCCAGTGCAGGGTTTTTCATGCGAATGGCTCTCCACATCTGATGCCTGAGAGACATCACTCTCAAAAGAAACCTGCCTGCAGAGTGTTTCTAGACTGACCTCAGAGTTCTTAGATCTTTGATTCACAGAAGTTGATGATGATACTGAAGAACATCCATCAAGGGAACTAGCAGGTGATGCGTGAGAGGAAGACTTCGGAGTGAAAAATAAACTGGAAGGGTGAGAAGAATTTTCCAGTTCATCCTTGTTTGTCTTTGTGGATCGCAGAGGAGTTCCCATGGTAAAACCTTTGGAAGCCGAATTGACAAGTGACGGATCAACTTGTCTTCTTGAATTGAAGGGAGATTTACCAGTAGTGTCTACTGAAGCATTCCAGAAGCCTTTATAGGGGGAACAATAAACCCCAGACTCATGTGTGATAGTGGGAGAATGTGATGAAAGAGATTCAGGGGATGGTGTAAAACTATCAGTGACACTGCAGGATACCCCCATGCAAGGCTTCTTTGACAAAGTCATAGATTGCCCTGTAAGTATACCATATGGACTGTAGTTTGAGTTGCAATCCATAACTAATGTAAAAAATAAGAAACACTGCATGGTAAGTTTTACATTCTTGGTCATCTTCCGTCTTACCAGGTGCAGCTTTTGCAGTTCCCATTTTGGCATAATTTCCACCCAAACAAGCCCTTTTGGCTGCAGCTGTTGAAGATTCGTTAACCCGACTTGATATCTTCGGTGGTTTACGAGATGCAGATGAATTCAATTTCTCACATCCAGCAGCAACCTTCAATTTATCAGAACTCAGTCGGTTAACACATTTTTGAAAAGTTTGTTCCCACATACTCACTTAAGTTATGCATCAACTAATAATTAAAGAACAGCTCATTCTACTTGATTTAGGCATACCTGTTTTTGTGAAGAAACAGAAGCCTCCTTTAAGATCCTCTGCGGTCTATGCACATTGAGACTTTGCCTTTGGGATGCCGGCATGGATTTCAACTGAGTTTCAAAATACACACACACATTATGGAAAGACCACAGAAATATGATAAATTATGACAAAATTATAGCAAAAGCTTACCCTCATCCGAGAGGAAGCATCAGGTTTCTTTGAAGCTGAAAGTTATTAACTTAACAAGGTTATGTTTACAAAAAGAACACAACGGATAAAAAGGTGAAGTATTTCATGCAAAACCGTGGTGTTTACTTGTTGCTAGAAAGGCAGTATACTTACCGTACATATTTTGCATACCTCCTCCTCTTTTCAATTTGAGACTTGATGTTGGTTTTTGCACAGATGATCTGTTATCTTCAAAAAGTTCAAACTCAAGGCTTGCCAAAGAGGAACAGCCACTATTTATTGTAGAGATTGACTCGGTAGACCTCCAAACTTCTTCAATCCCAGGAAGTTGATTTGCTTTACATTTCCTGAACCCTCTGTTCACTATAGACAATTCCTTAGAATCCAAAACCCCTGAGAACAACAAGTAACCAACCAGAAACTTATGCAGTGAGAAAATGCTGATAACAGGCACATGTGCAATGAGTTTCTACCAGACAACACATACCTGCACTGGTGAAAAAGGCATTATCCCAAGCCAAACTTTTGCGAAAATTGTAGTTGTCGGGTTTTCTTGTTCTTTCAGGTTCCAGAGACTCAGAAGGCAATAGTATCTCTTCCTCTTGTCCAAGAAAGTTAAATGCATTGCCGGTATTTCGAGAATTCATAGTCTGAAGCAGCTCCTCAGGGTCCAAAACTCCTGAAAAAATGCGCAGAACGTAAAATTTATGCAGAGAGAAAATAGCAAGAACGAAAGACCCTATAATATAATTTACAAATATAAATATGTTGCATCTCATAAAGAAGACCTGGACTTGTGAAGAAGGCACTGTCCCAAGCCAAACTGTTGCGGACATTAAAATTGGTATAATTTGCTGCATTCTTGGCGTCCTGTGGGCTCCCAGAGTTGAACAGCCTAAACCCATCAAGCTTCTCTCTGTCATCTGAATTGGGTACATACAAGGCAGAAGCTTGTTTTAGAAACACTAGCATGCATGAATGTGTATCAAAGAAAAACCCTTTAGACACCCAAGAAGAGCATACTGAATTCAAAGAATCGTATTTTAACACTTCAAAAATTCAAGCATGATCATCAACAGTTGATATGAGAGAGAGAGAGAGAGAGAGAGAGGACCTGGAAAGCCAAGTTCTTGAATATCTCCACAGGAGGACATGGTATTGATGGGGAGCTTCTTCAACTACAAGTCAAATATTACTGGGTTCTTGTCTTCTTGGAGAGAGGGAGAGAGGGAGACAGAGTTGTAGTGGGAAAAAATTCAAAGTGAAAAATAATGTGAAAGATTACGTTTTGGGGAATTGATTAAAGAGAGATCACTGGCGATGCCGAAACTGAAACGGCTGATTTAATATTGGGTTTTAGTTTGCGTACAAACTCATTGAAATGGAGCGCAAGTTCTGATCCCCTGTCCTTTCTTTGTCCCACAAACTTATGATTACATTTTTTTTTCCTTTTTTGGGTAAAAACTATCAGTGAGAATCTCTCCGACTTGACTATCAGTGGCTCCTCTCGACGTTTTTATACTTTCCAGAACGATCAACCATTAATTATGCATGCAATTGCGACTTTCATTATAGTCAACCAATTATTTACCACAAAATTGGGGTCTTTCCAATTTATCTTCTTTCATTTTTGGGGTAAACAATTTCTTTTCTTTTATAACATGCATGATCATGATTTTTTTTTTTCCCTTTTGCTCGGATCATGAATTATGATATGCATTTTTGGTGCAGATTAGATCCCAACAAATTCCTTCTTAAGCATTCAATTTCCAAGACATAACAATAGGGTTCCTCAGCTTTCCGTAGTAATAAGGAATTAATCTGTACTTTCTTTTTTGTGAAGACCAAAACAAACAAAAGAAAACTACGACAAGAAACCAATACCACAAGTATCAAATATAACTTTCCTAGCAACATCAGACGGAATTTGCAAATTTCTGACCAAGATTAGCTCATCTGCTACAAAATTAGCTTCCTGAAAAATATGCCGAAAGCTCTGAACTGGCACGGTTGCACCTGCATACTTGGTTGCATGGATTATAATTTACTCTTTAACAGCTTTCATGTAATGTTTCCAAATTATCAAACAGACGGCGTTTAATGAATTGAGGATTCTAATGATTAGATTAAACAAATCCTTTTAGATTTGATCCCATCATCCATCTGGGTGCGTAATATCATTCCAGAAAAAATAAATAAACAAAAGGCTGCCATGTTCAAGAACCAGAAAAGAGGACAGCTCTTCAGCTTTCACACACAAATTGGAATCGCCATTTCAATGGGATATGAACATGAAAAAATTTATTCACTTTCTTCTGATTAAAAATCCTTTCTTCATGACATCAATGCATCCCATGGCAACATAAGACCAACTGATGGTGATGAAGAAAGAATGGACTTGGCCCACAGCCTGCTTTGCATCCAGGGGAAAACAAGCAAAGGTCAACATATTATATCACATTCACATGGCAAAAGCATATGCACTTCTCCCAAGCATTAAAACTTATTCCAAAACAGTGCTTGCAACTCTGATTGAGGGGCAAAACGACCCTCAAACCTCCAGCATGGTTTTAGAAAAGTTCTGAGTCACTGTTATTCTGGCATGCACAATCAAATAGGATTTGTTCACCCATTCAAGGACAGAAAATGATGCCGTAATCAAGTCTTGCGGCCATCAAAGAAGGGTCAGCTATCTCTGCTATATATCAGATCAGACTAAGAACCGCACATAAGTGTACAGAAGCAAGAAAAAACAGGCATCTTCGTAAAAAGAAAACAGATAGAACCCTGGCACGGATTAAATTCACGACGAGCAGATGCATAACCAGTCAGGTTACCTCCTCCAGCATCCGATTCAGCTGTGCATGTCCTATGGCATCTTTACCAGCACCATATCTGCTTTTTCTTCAGCATTTGCTCTCCCTGCAGTAAACATGTGTAAAAGAAAAGTTAAATATCAGAAGACTATAAAACCTACGATGTGAAATTTAAGAAATTTTAAAAAATAAATACATCAGATAATTGCATAGCAATCAAACAAGCAGGATATTGAGTAAAATCTGCTCATCATTTTTTACGCCACATAGTAAAACCTTTTTCCCATACATCAGTCCAAGTGCCTAGGCTCATAACTGTAAGATCAAATTCACTTGAAATTGTACGATATCCATAGCCATCTCCCTCTCAATCCCACCCACCCCTCATTAGTTTTTTTATTAAAAAAAACATGAGATAAAGAAATGCAATATGCTGTGATAAATATATAAATAAATAAAACATCCTGAAGTTTAAATATTTGAGACTCCCCAAACCCGATTAATGGTTCACTTAATTTGACTTTTTAATTTTTGTTTCAAAATAAACTTCAAATATACCACCTCATATGGAATTAACAGAACTAGTGGAAAATTTGTAACAAGCAAACTTAAAAAGCAGAATTTCAACCATCAATGAGATGAAATTTAATCCATGACCATCATATATACCTGACGGCTTCAAACCAGGTTTTCAAAGGTGGAGAGATCAAGTTGCATCTGGTCGTGGGTGGAAAGATCAAGTTGCATCTGGTCATGGGCGGAAAGATCAAGTTGCATCTGGTCATGGGTGGAAAGATCAAGTTGCATCTGGTCATGAGTAGAAAGATCAAGTTGTATCTGGTCATGGGCAGAGAGATCAAGGTGCATCTCATGGTCATGGGGGGAGAGAACAAGTTGCATCTCCTGATCCTGGGTTGTAGCGCTGGGAGAAGCACTAAACTGAATAGACGGAGTATAGTTGAGCTGGGATAGAGTATAGTTGAGCTGGTAATTTACAAGTATTGGTCCAAAGATGTTGAATTTTCCAGCACTATTGCAAGCAACTTCTGCATCAGAAGATCTCTTAAAAACAACTCTAGCACGACTGCTTTCCCTATCAACTTCTGTTTCAGATTCCCTCAAAGGTCCAAAGCGCCTAAACATTTTATTTAGCTTTGTTTCTGAAGGAACAGAATTCACCTCAGAGAAGTTCAAAACAAGTTCTGCTGGAGCATTCTCGTCCACATAGCCAACAGGCTTCTCTGCTGGCAAAGCGTTATTTCCTTGAGAATACCGCCTCCTGGAGTATGGCCTGCGACCCTCTTGAGGGGATTTTTCTGGTTGGGCAAGGACGACAGGTTGAAAATTAATCTTTCTGCCCCTTCGTGACGCATGCTCTTCAGCACCATTTTGAATTACCCTGTCTGTCCAATAAGTGTCATTCATATCATCAAATTCAAAAGTTTCGGGCAACCCTAATCCAGAATTTGATGACTTCCTCCTTTTACCACTGACTTTGTCCACAGCTAAAAGCTCTACCCCAGCTTGCTGACCTACAGCTACTGAATTCCTAAAATCAGTGAAGAAACTAACAATAGTGTTCAAGAAATGGTATTCGTTCCGTGGATCTTCTGCTGCCGACTGAAGTTGTGACAGCAATTCACCTAATGATGAGTACTCTGTTGGATCAATTGCTCTCCCTCTATGGCCATCACCAGAACTCTGGAAAGCAACATCAGATCCATCCCCAGCAGGTCTGTCACTGTTGGACTTCACTATGGGAGACCCTGTCAGTTGGCTTGCAACTCTCTGGATACATTCACCAATCTTAAAAGATTGCTTTGGGATATGTGTGGTATTAGAAACTTTTGCAACAGAAAGACCTTTCCTTCCATCTTGCACTGTTAAGTCATCAGCATGATACTCGAAACCCTTCCGTCTCTTTCCAGAGGATGGTGAAACCAAACCACCACTATCCTTCCCATCCAACCAATCATCCCCATCTAGAGAATCTATGCCACCTTCCATTAATTCTGACAGGCTTCTTTCTTTTATCTTAGAATACACTCCATCTCTCAAATTATGTTTACGCTTATTAGAATTGCTACTCTGGACTTTTACCATGTCCGGGCCAGAAAAAGTCACCTTTTCAATCGTATGCTCATCCCTTTCACCTAGATTTATTTTGTCCTCGGAAAGGGAACTATCTGTGCTATTTTCCAATAAATCTCCACAAAATTGGAATTCGGGCAAGCTGCAGTAACCCTTCAAGCGGTAAAATGCCAGCAAACGAGCCTTAGCTATCACAAGTTCCAATTGGTCACTTCCACTAGATGGGAACCGTGCTAAAGCTTTTATGTATTCAAGCAGTTTATTACATTCAAGAGAACTGGCACTTGCAGATTCATCCACTTCATCTCTTCTACTTGATTCCTGGCAGATCCCAGCGTTTTCAACAATCTGGAACCTAATCTTCTCATAGACATCTTTTGGTATGCAAGAGCATGCTAGTCCCAATTCGACACGTCTTGAAACTTCTTCCAGAGCACAATTGACAGCATTCTGAAACGCTTCTGAACTGCACTGCTTCTCTGACTGGGGAAAGTAAGATCGAAAAGGCTTCAAACTAGATGGTTCATTCCAAGCAAACGTTCGGTCCCCAAAATATGCTACCAAAAAGCAGTCCTTCTTATGATATTTCATTGCCTTCTCAGATGCAACCGTATAATCAAAAATCTGTCCAGGCCACCATGGATGGCTCTTTACTTTACCCCAAACTAAATCAGACGCAGAAAACAAGCCTTCATTTTCTGGTGGCAGCTCATATCTTGGTTGAAGCAAAATATCTGAGCTACCAGGCTGCATAGCTTCTTCCATAATAATTTCCTCTTCACTGAATTTTGGTTGCTCAGTAGCTTCTGTTTCGACTTCCGTGTATTGCCCTCCATGTAAACCATCCAGCTCAGCATCAGTAACTTGTTCCTTAAGTCCAGCCTCATGCACAACATTAGTCTCAGCCACACTGGCATAATTGAAAACCTCCTCAGTGTCCATAGGAGCAATATCCCCACTATCAGTGACTTCGATATCAGTTTGTGAGCTCCTGTACAGAGTCTCAGTTTTCAAGTTCTGACCATTTGGATGCAAGAGAACATTATTATCTGCTGCTGCAATTTCAGTGTTTCCGCCTATTGTGTATTGGCCTTTATCTTCTATCTGTTCCCCTCCATATAATACACCCTCGGCATCAGTAACTTGTTCCTTGACTCCCTCCATGTCCATATTAGAATGAACTGGAGCAACATAAGCAGTCTCAGTCTTTTCTAAGGACTCTTCAGACTTCAGGAGTTGCTCTTTTTCAGCTGGCTCTGGAACATCATTGTTAGACATCAAATGTTCTCCATGCCCTCCATCTAACCCAACCTGTCCAGCATCATTAACTTGGCTGTCCACTTCCATCTCTTGCCCGGTATTTGATTCAATCTGTGCAATATCATGGGCCATGTTCTTGTCTATGCTCTCTTCATGTTTCGAGTGCTGATCTTTTACAGAATTCGAAGGGCTGCCTCCATCTGTAACAGAAACTACACCTCCTGGAACTACTTCTGTTGGCAGAGATACGGAAGTTGATTCAACCAGGGAAATATCATGAACCATGTTCTCTACGCTCTCTTCAGGTTTCAAGAACTGGTCTTTCTCAAAAGTCAGAAGATCATGTGCACCTTTTACTGCAATTTCACCTCCATGAACTACTTGAGCTGGAAGAGATGAAGACACTGAATGTGCAGGTCCATTGCTGCTACTGTGGGTGCTAACACCTACTGGCTCAATCTTAACTAGCTTTTCTTCTACTGAATGACTCGAATTTTCATCAATTTTATCAGTTTCCTTGCCTGCCACTTGGGAAGTCAAAGTATCTACTCTGTCCTCCCCAGCAACATCACCAGTAGCAGCAGGAACTTGGGTTTGCTCACTCAAGGGCTTGGGATTCGAACCTTCTTCATTGATAATCACTGCAGCTTTTTCAATCCCAGGATTCCATACTTCATCATCTGAAACACCAGCTTTCTGTGTCTTCAAATCATGGAGTGCATCAGCCCCACCAACAACCGACTTCGTTTCTTGTTCCACAACCTCCACCAATCCTCTCCCTGAAACTTCTACACTTTCGATAACAGTAACTTCATTCTCCACAACTTGTGTTTCACTACATAGAGCTCCATCCGAGGAACCTCCAATTCCATTTTCAGCTGTAGAATCATCTTCTTTTTCATCTGAAGCAATAACTTCCTGTGAATTCACAACCTCCCTTGCAACCACCTCAGCTTCCTCAATATGAAGAACCTGGGTTTCTCCACCTATTGAACCTTCCACTGAATCCGGTTCACCCACTCCACCAACATCTCCACCCAAGGACCCAACATTTCTCTCCGAACCCATATCAACTTCATCCGACTCATCACGACCCACCTCATCATCTGATTTCTCCCCATCCCCACTAGTGCAAACTCCACCAACATAAACATTAGACCCCAGAACCTCCACCATTATATCATCCCCATTACAAGAACCACCATCATCTTCACCCACATCCTCAGTGAAAGACCCCTCAACCTGACCCTCACTCACACAAGCCTCGGACCCCGCTAGGGTTTCACCAGCTACATGCCCACCGGCAGTCACCGTGGACTCTGAGCCAGTACCAACAGGAGGAACATCCTTCTCCTTTTGTTCATCCATTGAGATATTATCTGGGTATTTTTCAAAATCATCAAAGAAAGCTTCTTTTCATTTTTATTTTTATTTATAATAAAAAATAACGAAATCGATAAACCCTAGAGACAAAACTGAGCAAATCTAAGCACGCAATCGAGAAATTTACCGAACGGGGAAAGCATAGCATATAAGAAACAAACAGATTTTGAAAGTTGAAAGCTTAAGGAGAGTGATTTTTGAGTTTACCTCCAGATCTTCTCGAGAAAGTGAAAGCCTTCGAGGTTTGGGGGTTTAGAAGAGAGAGAGAGTTTGTGAGTTCGTGTATTATTTGGGTATAAGGGTAAGTGTCCTTTTGGAGATCTAAGAAAATAAATTGCGCAGACGCCGAACAAATTGCTTTATTGTCCCTTTTCAAACTTTACAGTGATTGGTTACCTCAGCCTTCTTTAATTTTATGGAAGGTAAACGTTCACAGGTCAATTGTGAAAGTCTAATCAACTGGAGACACGTGTGCGCAGTAAATCTCTCGCTTTTCATTTTACTACGTGTCACTTTCTAATATGACGTTCGGGAGCATTAGGTGCGTGCGTCCTTTGTTATCTATTAATGATTTTATTTAATCTCAATCCCCTTGCTAATGTGACACCTTATGTGATACTAATACCAAGTGAGGCAAAATCAAATCAGAAAAGGTTTCATAATAGAAGTATGGTTTTGCAATATAAACAATTTTAATGGGTTCATTTGAAGTAGAAAGATAGGAGATACAACTATTTTCTAAATACTAAAAGTGTTCGACTCTATGTAGAATTTTACGTTAATAATTAGTTAAGAATCAAAGTCGATTTGCCTTATTTAAAAAATATATATTTATCAATGAATTTCTATGAAATGATTTCACGGAATTCATCCAATTATTTTATCGTGGAATATCATTGAGAAATAGGAAAATTTTATTCAATCCACTAACATCTAATAGATAACTCTTAACCAAAAGTCCTTACTAGAAAAATAAAAATTGCAGCAAAAAAAAATAATATGTTTATAGAGGTAACTGTAGTAAATTAAATGAATTTGGTCCAATCCAATAATAATTGAAGTGGTCACAGCTGGCTGGACAGTGGCCCTGACAAACTCACACGTGGGTCCAAGACAACCATACCACGTACTTGAATTTTTACCTTGTACAAGAAAAGATTACGGTACTTTTACTCGCAGACGCCACACATGACCTAACCTAAGTACGCACACACCGTGGTGTCAGCTATACCTTACATAAAATACCGCACATGAGGTGAATAAACAAAATGATATTTCTTTCTTTTTTTGGTATGTAAGGTTTATATGTAATTTTGACTCTTCTACCTTTGACTAAATTTAATGGGTTAAATTTGCTACTGGAAAAAAAAATTAATATCAAATAATTGTACTTACCTTCAAAAGAAAAATGCATATCCAATGCTTCACATGGACAAAAATTAATTTCAAATGTTTGTGTTTTATGTAAATGGAAAATATCAGCGTCAATCATCGATAAATGTATAGTTTAATTATTATTCTTTTAAAATTGTACGGTTCATAAATTAAACAAATTATTTCGAGATACGTTATTACATCTTGTTTGAAAATCACTTGTATTTAAAACTCTATTGTTAGGATCAATAGTCCACGTGCACGTGAGAATATTAGTTGCGTGGTTATGTACATCACAATAGTATGCATTAGTACTATTCCCTATATGTAATGCAAGAAGTTGCATTATTCACTCATAATTCGTGTGCAACATTTTTATGCAGATTCTTGAATCGTGCATCACTGAAAACCGAAGAAACTTTTAATGCTTCAAATTGACAATATTGCTTGAGAGGTACAAAATTTATTCATCATTTAGGATACACTATATAATTGTGGGTTTGTACAACTCTCAAACTCACTCAACTTCATTCTTACAGAACGAAAGACTCTTAAAGCCAAAACCAATTACTTAAACTGAAGTTACAGGTGAACTTGGTTCTCCTGGTGATTTTGATTTACGCACGTATTTCCTTGCCCAAACATGTTTCCCATTGATGGAGAATTTGGCCTTGTTTTTCCCATCAAGAACAATTGGAATGGAGGAAGTAGAACGAACCACAAGACGGGCATACAATGGTTGCTCCTCAGCAGGCACTTCTTGCATAAAAACATCATCAATAAAGTCTCCAAATTTCCTGTCCACAAAACAAAATAAAACAACAAAAAAAAATTAATTTATAATTATATAAAAGAACTAACATACCAAAAAAAAAAATTGTTATATAAACCTAGAGAAGAACTCTCTGACTTCAACTTCAGAAATGGGATAGCCCTTAGAAAATGTCAAGAAAATAGTCCTCTCATCAGCAGACACATCCTCTACCTCCTGTTGATCATCATTTATATTCAAATGGCTCAAAACGTCCCCCATCTCCTCATTCAAAATATGGCGTTGAGCAGCAAGATCATAAGGATCAAAAACACCACGCAGGTAGTCTAGGGCAGCATCCCCCCTCGTTGCAGCCCTGGCCAAGAGATGAATATGTTGATAAGGCCCCAAAAATGGTGGATTATTATTCACATCCCCACCATACATTCTTTGATTTGGAAAAAGTCCCATGTTTGATACCCCGACCATGTCATAGGCGGCAACTGCAGCATTGTGAAATGATGGATTGTAAGGACGAAACATGTCGGCATTCAACATCATTTGTTCAGCTCGGTTTGGTTGTGGTTTAGGGAACAAGTTGTCAAAGGCTTTTATGCAAACCTCGTTGAACAACTTGGTGATGCCCCGAATGATGCCGAGGCGATTTTGGTGGAAGAATTCGAGGGTGACACAGCTTTTGGTTAAGGCATTGAATAAGGGAATGTCTTGGTTGTGGTTGGTGATGTCAACATGGAAGTCGTCTTGTTGAATGCAGTTCAAGGCCATGACAGACTCATCTGCAATGCCATTAAGAATGGTGTCGGGTAAAGTGACACATAATTTGTGCACAAAGTTGTACTCCTTAGCCGCGTGTTCAAGCCACATCCACAAGGCCATGACCTGGGCAGACTCAGCCGGATCACGGCCTAGGGGAAAGATGAGGCGAGAGAAGAGCTTGCGGTCAATGTTGTGAAAAAGGGCGAACTCTTCTTGGGAGATTGAGACAAGGGTTTGGGGTACGCCGGAGGAGGTAAAGAAAGTGGAGGAAGATGGGGCATCCATTGTTGTTGGTGATGCTGTGGAAATGAGTGAGAGAGTGATTTGGGTTTTGATAGGATTGTGTTGGGTAGAGAGTGAGGTTTGAATTTATAGGGAGGAAAATTTGTAGCGTTTGGGAGTGAAAGGGTACACTTGTTTGTGAAAGGTGATGACCATTCTTCATTCGCAGAAATGGAAAGGGCTTTAATTTGGGAGTAAAGGGGTACGCTTGTTTGTGAAAGGTGATGACCATTCTTCATTTGCAGAAATGGAGATGGCTTTAATTTGTAACAGTTACTATATGTGTACATATATATTTCTTTTGTTGTCTGAATCTGGTCAAAAGTAAATCTACGATAGGTCATTTAAATGTCACTTACCAAAATGCCTATTAATCGAATTTGTTTTCTTTAATAGGTAACCACGTGAGTTATCCATGCACGTTGGGACAAATTAGGGTTTTTTGCTATACGTGATTTTTTGATGCTTTTGAACACACAAACCATAAATGAGAAAAATTAATCTATAATATTAATGAACTATATATGGACTTTCTTTTGAATAATTAAGGATATGTGTGCATATCATAACACAATTTATGTTTGTTTTTGAGATAGGGATACTAAATAAATTAAATGCATCGTTTTGTTGATACCGTTGATATTGAATGTCATTACCCTACTTTCTCTATTAAAGAGTAAGGAAGTTAAAATACACTTACAAGCGATAAGCAAACAACAAGCTTCACCCCAAAATGATGATCTAGAAATATCCAAAAACAACAACAAAATTATACAATAGCATTGCCCCAAAACACACCTCTATCATATATGTTCGTATAAAAGTATATTTTTAGTGGTGTGTAATATATCTTTAGTTTCCTCCAATATCTTATTTTAGAATTTTGTTAATTCAACATATATAATCAATATGTGTATAAATATTTTCTTATGTATATTTATGGTTTATTATCATGTTGAGGGCAGACATATTCATGTTAAATTGAAGCAAAAACAAATAAAATGCGTGTCCATTTTCACATATTCAATATTGAAAACTAGTAATGCATGATGCGGTTCGTCATACATATTTTTTTGTCATTTATTTATCTTTACAATTTGTTGTTCTGAAAACGAGAGTTTCGTACTGTCCTGTATTTCATTACAAATGAACGACACTATACTGGCAGTCAACCTCTTCGATCATTTTCACTACTACAAACCCAGAACCTCAACGATTAAAAATCGATGGCGACCATCAGCAACTAAATCAATGGCGACTTTAAGCCCCAGGTTCTTGTTCAGCAAGGGCGTCGTTTCACAGCCGGCCAACACTCCACCGGTTACAAGCTTCCTCGAAACGCATCCAGGTACACCATTCTCTCTGTTTCTCTGTTTGAAAATCAAATTCAATTTTTCCAAAAACACGTATGAAAAAATCCAATTTCGCGGCTGCTCCGATCACACCAGGGGCGTACACGACGTCTCGCACTCACAAAGACGCGTCGTTCGTGCTGTTCTGGGAACGACACTTGAAGAGACTGCTGGACTCAGTAGCAATTCTATACAATTCGAATCCTCGGCTTCTGTTCGGACCCAACAAAACGACGTCGCTTTCGTTGCCGTCGCTCTCCTCCAACTCCCCTTTGCTCCAGTCAGAGGTTCACGAGCTCGTGAACCGTTCGATGAAACGAGTGTTGCCGATTGCTTTGAAAGAGAGGAGTGAGGGAGAGGAACTGTCAATTACAGCTCTGGTCAGTGGCAATTTGGAGAAATTGAGTGAGAATGAGAGTGAGGGCTTGGACCATGAAAGGTTTGGCAATGGGGTTTTTGATGTGAGTATTTACATTGGGACTTATGTGCCAACTGTGTTTGGTATCGAAGGAAACGGTGCGCATTTGGCTGTGGTGGGTCGTGGGAGAGACGATGCTTCTGCTAAGTATTCGGATTGGGTGAGGTTGGTCATCTCTGACCACTTGTCAGTGTGTGAATGAGTTAAAAAATTAAAAATTAAAATTGAAAAGGATTGATATGCAGGATTTTTCTTACTTGGGTTTTAAGTATTTTCAGCAGTTTTGATTGCTGGGTTGCTTAACTTGCAGGATTAGGAAGTCTTTGGAGAGGTTGAGGCCGCCCAATGGGACCGAGCTCTTGTTGTCTAATGATGGTGACCAGATTCTTGAGGGGACGGTCTCAAACTTCTTTGTCGTCTGCCGGAAGGTTAGAGGCTCTTGGATTTTGAAATTTTTTTTAACTACATTAGATTAACTCAGTTTTAAGTGAGACTTCTTTGTCAGTTTGCTGATTAGGAGAGTATGTTTATGACCAAGTGATATGTCTTAGACTCTCCTAGTTATAGATAGCTGTTTAATTGGAAAAGAATGTGAAAGGTGCTTTCAGGATAACGATGAAGCTAAGGGGCAAAGTATGCACTGTTTTGAAGTACAGACAGCTCCTATTATTGATCATGTCCTTCCAGGAATTATACGCCAATTGGTCATTGAGTGAGTCCCCCCTTCTACTGTTGAACCCCTGACTATATTTTTTTCAAATATATTTACTATGTAGATTAGCACCATCGCCACAGTTTGTGTTGTCTGGTGTCTGGTTATTTCTTTACACATGGAAGTCTTATTTTCTTTAGTATCCACAGTTTGTGTTGAATGGTGTATGTGGTTTAAAAAGGGAAGTTCTGATTAGCCTTTTCTAGTGTCCACTGGTTCTGTTGAATGTTTGAAAAAGTTAAATAAACTGTTTTGCAAGGTTTTCTCCATAGGGTTATTGAGCTCTTATGAATGACCTTGGAGGAAGTATTAACTTGGAAATTCTGGTCCAAGATACATATTGTGTTTGAATGCACTCGGGTCACTTTATATTAAGTGATTCCCAATTTGGTAGCTGATCAGTTGATTGCGCTTCTTGTAATTTATGTAGAGTATGCTTGAGCAAGGGAATCCCCTTTCGAGAAGTTGCACCATCGTGGTCAGCGAGTGAATTTTGGGCAGAGGCGTTCATTACAAGTAAGCCTCTACTTATCTCTTCCTACTTTAAATTTGGGCTGAGGAAACACTTTCCTAGATTCTTAGAATATTTTATCATAAGATTTAAAGAGATTTACATTGCAGGTAGCTTGAGACTTCTGCAGCACGCGGAGACAATTAGTTTTCCAAGTTCATGGGAATCACTAAATTCCAAATCTTGGGAGGAGATCTCATGGAAAGACAAACATTTTGAGGTGTGTGCATCTAGAGTTTTAAGATGCTGCAACTGTTCTGCGCATTTTCTTTGTTCTTTTCTTCACTATTTATTTGTTTTGCAATTATAACCAGGAGGGTCCTGGGATGGTCACAACAATAATCCAGGTAAATCTATATATTCTTCTCTGGCACCAAAAGTGTCAAAATTGTTGCACACATGATGAAAGAAGAGTCAATTCCCCATAAATCTGATAATGAACATTGGAAGAGTTGACTCTTATTTAACTTATTTTGAGCAGAAAGAGGTCATGGAGAAAGCAGCTTCAGAAGGGTACTTTCTCACTCAGTTTGTATAAAAGGTGGAGGTATCTTCTTTCTTGCATAGGATGTTAATACTTATGTCTATCATCTTGTGCTTCCATCGGATACTGGGACGTATAACCAAGCTGGACTTTATGTTATTTGGCCGTTAAGCTCTCTATGATTCTGTTGCTCCAGTTCAAGCGAACCAAGGATCATAAAATAAATGGATGTACTCTGTTTCGTATGTAAACCATCCTAGGTTCTTATATGATCATTAAGCCTCTTGTCATACATAGAAATTAGTTTGATCTCTTTGGGTACCATTTACGCATATTATGCAAAATAATTCTTGTAATTGTACCCTCTATCACCAGATATGGTTTTGTTCAAGGTAATATGCGCTGTCGTTTTGGACCCTCGGATTTCTTTAGTTGATTTTTGCAGAAACATGTTTTTTGTTAATATGTTGTTTATAATTCTCCACGAAACCATATATATTCTCCAACCAGGTATGATTTTGCTCAAACATTTTTCTCCCGAATTTATTAGAAGAATTAATCTGTGCAGGAAATGCAGCTTGATGGCACCCTTAATTGTTAGGTACCAAGTAGCAACTTTTGCTTTCTCTAGGGCACCCCTAGGCATTCTAGGGCATTCTGATTAAGACGTGAACCTAAAGAATCCAAGGAAGTTAAAGGAGCATTGATTGTTTGTGAACCCCCAAAGTGTAAAGAGCTTGAATGCATTCTTGTACTTAAGTTTTCAGTTGGAATAATATATGTTTGACAGCCAAACAAGCATCTTCCCAAATGAAGTAGCTAATTAGTGATTTGTGGCCTAACAAATGTCTAATTTTTCTTTTTTCCATTTTGTTTCATTTATTAATTTGGACCTTGGCATTTTATAAATTCATTTTTCCTTGATCGGCTGGGTTTTGTTTGATGATAATATTAAGAGTGATCAGATTAGCTTAGAGATTTGACCAAAAGACTAGCTTAGTTTTTCAACACGATAAGACTGATTAGCATGTTGATTAAAGGATTCAACTTAAGACCAAATGTGTTAGTTTTTCAACACGATAAGACTGATTAGCAGGTTGGTTAAAGGATTCAACTTAAGATGAATACTTTATATAAAATTGAAACGATATGGCCCGATCAAGGACTCGGTTAACATTCAAGTGAAAAAATATTTGAGCTTGGCTGTCACTATGTCGCTTAGTGTTATACATCCATAATTTCAGTCCAATAAAAAAATTATCATCACCTACACAAATTAACATGTCTTGTTGTGAACAATGAGTGCAAAAGTGCAACTTAGGCACATAGCTCATAATAATAATTCGTCACAACGACCATTGTTCAATTTGAATGGATAAGGATGACCATATTTGTATGCGCCAGCTTAACCTAACCTTGAGACCCACCATAAATTATATTAGTGCTTAATAATGCCTAGTCATTGTGTCGTTGGAGGTGGCAACCGAGTCGTGTCATGTTGCCCTCATTTTCAAATTAAAACCTATCATTTATATACCTATCATAAAATAAAATAATATTCATATTATCCTAATATAGCAAAATAATAAATAACAAACCTATAATTTTATAAAGATTCATATTAAAAAATAATAACTTTTTTTTGGGGCCAAAATTAGAAAGGGAAGAAGGGAAAACTCACACACACACACATAATATGAGAGTTTGAATCCAAGATCACTTAAGAGCATGCCAATCCAAATAACACTCAATTGGTCACTTTCTTTGCGTAATACCTAGTTAAACTTTCAATCATGTCAAAATTAAATTATTAGAATTTAATAGTAACCCTGACTTATTTATTTATTTATTTTATATACAAGTGATATTAGGGGAGGGACACTCGAACACAAGACTTCTAGTATATGAGTAAATATTCTTACAGTGCGTTTGAATGAGGAAATTTAAAAGTACAAAGGATTTCATAAATGACGGAATTTAAAATGAAGGAAATTAATGTTCTAGAATTTGTAAAATTTCTTGTTTGGGTGACTGATTAAAAATATGGAATTTAACATTTATTTGTAAAGTTATCTTTTTTAAAACTCAATCTCTCTTGAGGTTTTAGAAATGACGACTTTTACATAGAATTTAAACTTGGGATTTATGATCTCCAAATTCCATGTTTTTTTCCACGCAGAATTTCTAAATTTCTATATTTTTTTATCTAAACACCAGAATTGGTTCATGTCAATTTAATAAAGCCCTTAATCCGACCTTTTATTATCCATGATAGCGAGTCGTGTTCTAAATAAAAATCGAATCGTGTTGAAAATTGCGAAACCCTTTTTCAGACTCGAGTTTTTGATAAATGATTCAAAGGCTCAAAGCTTTTTTAGGCCCCTTATGTTGTATGGAGCCCAAGATCAAGAGGCCCGCGTCCCTGTAATTCTGGCAAAAGAAGCAAAACAAAACCACAACGAACGGTGTTGATAAATGATAAGCATAAAGCCAAAACCTTCTTCATTCCATCTCTCTCCATCGTCAGATCTCCTCTCCCAGCGCGCCAAATACAAACACACCATTTCTTCCTCTCTTTTCTCTCTCCATCCCTCTATACATACCTACAGGTACGAAAAGGGCCACCTCCCTCTCTCCCTCTCTCCCTCTCTCTCCTTCACTCTCTTTCTCTAAGCTTGCGCAATAATGGCAAACCTAATGGGCCGACCTAGGGCTCCAATTTCAATTCCGATGAAAAAACTATTTTATTTCTATTATACGAGCAAAAGAATGAAGATGAATTGTTTGATGAAATGCAGTGATCGATTGTGATAATGGCGGAGGCACCGACGAGCCCGGCAGGCGGGAGCCATGAAAGCGGCGGCGAGCAGAGCCCTCAGGGAGGCGGCGGTGGCGGCGGCAGCGGCGTGCGCGAGCAGGACAGGTATCTGCCCATCGCCAACATCAGTCGCATCATGAAGAAGGCTTTGCCGCAAAACGGCAAGATCGCCAAGGACGCCAAGGACACCGTCCAGGAATGCGTCTCCGAATTCATCAGCTTCGTCACCAGCGAGTATTTTTTTTTCAGCTCCTTCTCTCTCTCCATTGATTTTGTTCTTGCTTTTTCGTTTTTCGCTGTTCAATCGCACTGCCTTTGTGTTCATTCTTTTGGGGGTTTTGGGTGTTTAGGGCCAGCGACAAGTGCCAAAAGGAGAAGCGTAAGACCATCAACGGTGATGATTTGTTGTGGGCGATGGCCACGTTAGGGTTTGAGGACTATATTGAGCCCCTCAGGATTTACTTGGCTAGGTACAGGGAGGTAATTATTGTTCAACTTTTGCCCTTTATTCTTTCTGTTGTAGTGTTCATGTTGATTTTAAATGTTAACTTTTGGCTGTAGCATTTATTTGAGTTCTATTGTAGATTTTAATAATGGAGGAGCCTCAATTGAATGAGGTTTTTTTCCATCTTGCTTTCAATTCATGCAACGGGTTTACTCCTTATCAGTTCAATCTAACAATTCTCTTTCTTTTTGTTTGTTTTGGCCCTTCGTTTGATTTGTGGGATCATTGCATTGTCACAGTTGGAGGTAACTAAACGTTCTTTAGTTATGTTTAATATCTTTTTTTATCTTTGATTGAACTACTTTTGAATTGTTTAGTCTTTTCGTTCATATCTCTTTTGGGGGTGTTAGAAATAATTTTCTTGCCAAACTTTGAACAGGGTGATGCGAAGGGATCTGCTAGGGGCGGAGATGGATCTGCTAAAGGGAATGCTGTTGGAGCCATGCCTGGCCCAAGTTCACAGGTCTGATTGGCTTTAGAGTTGTTGTTGTTGTTGTTTTTTAAAATTCCATTAAAATAACTTAAACTTTGGATTATGACCTGACCCCATTCTCTTTTATTGCTGGTGGTGAATGAATACAGCAGTTTGTTCATCAGGGATCATTGAACTATGTCAATCCTCAAGTAACTCTCTCTTTCTCTCACTCTCTCTATCTATGTACATATATAATTATATAAATATATATATGTATGTATGTATGTGTAACCCTTTGAAAAGAATGCAATCCCAACCAACAAGATTGCACAATGGGCATATTTACCCTATGTTGCTTTAAGATGGCATGATTTATTTGACGTTTTAGTGCTCATGGGAAACATTATAAATAATTATTGAGCATTTGATGTATTCTTAGAATTTGGTAAAATATTTACTAGAAGGCACTGGTTTTATAGAAGTGCTTCCAATCCGCGTAGTCCATTTAAGCCACCAAACTGCTCTTATGCCCAAATATAATATAGAATTGCATGTTTTTTTTTGGTCTCTCGGTGAAGATGTAGTAATTCTAGGAAACATGAATTTGAGTTAAGTTGTGTATAGCAAAACTTCAGTATATGTACAGTAAATCATTTGATTGATAGTAACTCGGAGAAATCTAATTTTCCCACAGGAGGAAAGAAAAATAAATTAGAATGTGCAGCTGTTTTTAGAGTTCATATCTCCAACAAATCTCCCCCTTCCTATGAAAATATAATAGTAACAATTTAAAACTCTAAACCAAGACTAGAGATTGTCCGTCACTTATGCAATGCTATATAGATATATAAGTTTTTTAGTAACTTTATGCATGAACTAATCTTTTAATTCTTGTATGCTTGGGAGGGATTTGATGCTTGCAATGCCAAACTGCCTTCTATTTTTGTCTTGTCGGCGAAGGTTATTGGTAGGACTTAGATTATCCAAGGAGACAATCTGAAGTTAAGAAGAGATAGCTTAGGCTTTACTATCTATAGGCTGGAGGTAGTTGTCAACATGTCAATGTAAATTCTAAGGCAGTTTGCAGTTGTTGTCTGTTTGAGTTTTGGGAAAAGATAGTTTAGATTTTCCCCGGCTATAAGCTCTGGATTTCTTGAAGATGCTAATAAGATGTAGCATTTAGTCATCTCAAGCAGACTTCACATTATGAACTGATTTAAAATAGTCTTCAAATAGACACATGTCATATATAAATTTCGTAGTTCTTACTAATATTCTGTCTATTACAGTGATAATGCCAATGCATATCAAGAACCTGTTTAAAGATGTTTTTTGAAGCCATTTTATGACTGTTACTTAAAAGTGTTCGAGTAGCACTATAATATGTGTTTCTTTAGAATGCTTATTGATGCACCGCATTGCTATGTGCTTTAGAAAAATGATCCATTCATCTTTTATAATATCGTGTATTTGGTTAAAACATGATGTGTGACACTGACGTCTTTACATTTATTTTATTGCTTTTTTATAAGGGATATGATTTCTTACTGCTTTATTTGGCTATTTTAGTTAAGAGAATGAATTCATTTGCCTTATTTTTTTCCTTCTCAATTGTAGGAGGAATATTATGTGCCTTTGAACAATATGGGAAATGGAAATTGATGCTTTTGTTTATGATATGACGAAGAAGAGAGGACACGTGTTCCTCAATATCTTGCAATTCAGGCACATCATGCGGTTGTTGATTCCGTGCGAAGCAACAACTGGAAGTTTTAATTTGTCATATATCAATTTTTAAGAACTCGAAGGTGGTAAAGTTGTTAAGTTTCCAATATTGATAGTGTCATTTATGTGAATCTGAGTTAAATCAAAGAACCAAGTGTTTCTGGGGTTTCTGTTTTTGGTTGGGTTAGGAGAGTTTTGTATTTCGCAGATGCTCTCATTAGCTGGAGTTGTTTGTAAATTTTGCTTTGGCCTTGTGTCTAGTTTAGTTGCCTGACCGTGTGAAGAAATACTGTTTGATAAGATTGGATGCTTTTCGAGAATCCCCGTGAAAGAAAAAGTTGAAATATATGAAGATTTTCATATGAAAAGTTTGGTTATCCATCTTATGATGTATAGTAAATTTCCTTGGCAATGGAGGGCATGGAGTTTTGGCTGCTATCCTTTCTTGTTCTTAGCATGCATGAATAATTAGTTGTTAGTGTTTTAGACTCGACTCTACTAGCACCACAACATGTCCATGTACTCTTTATCTTGTTCACAGGCCACGTGCCAGCACGTGATGCATGTCACCAAAGGTTTGGATTTTTGAAGGGTAGTTGTCACGTTGCATGCACGTGAGCTATGATAATAATAGACTCTGAGAGAGAGAGAGAGAGGACGCATCATAATCATATTGATCTGGTCTCTTTTTCTGTCTGAAATAAATTGAGTCTGAAATTTGCTTTGCAAAGGCAAAAATCAAAACAAGAAAACGCAGCATGAACAAGAAGTAGCTGTTATAAAATAATCTCATCCCACTGCCCCCCCCCCTCCCCTCCCCTACCCCCACGACGTGACCATCATTTCTTGCCTGCACGAGGCTGCCAACTCAACCCCCCTCTCATACTCTCCACCACTATAAATTTTGGACCAAGTTGTCTCTACCCTGTTGGATAACAACTTAATGCACCTGGCTATTTCTAATTCCCCATTTCTTTGTTCAAAATTTTTCTTTTTTACTTATAATATTTATCTAGTCAAACAGTCTGATATGCTATGTTATGCCAGTAGATCGTAAATCTAATTCGTTGTTCACTTACATTTATACAGTCCTAATTTATAATCTAAGCGCTCAACATTGTTATATGTAATATATATATAAATATATATATCACAAGAGAATATTCTCGTGATTTGCATATGGTTGTACGGATTCAGGCTCGATTTAAGTAATGGAACCTTCAAATTTTGTATGGACCCCTCTTTTCAATCATGTGTGTGTGCGGCAACTTTTGAATTGCTGCATGCCAGCACTCATCCTGTTATATATGTATACAGTATATGCTTATTTTCCTTGTAAATGAACAAAGCTTTTTATTGCTGTACTTGTCACGCAAACATTTTGATTCCATTTCCTTCTCCAATTATATAATGCAAATGCAGATGACAATTCTTGGATGTAGACATGGAAATATTCTTTTGGTATGGTGGAGAGAAATCAAGGCCACGTAGGATTCTATACGGTCTATGTTATTTGTTCATGAAGAGAAAAATCTCATGGAATGTGATTCCAATTTCCATCTAGCTATTATCACCAAAACAAATACATGCACAAATAAGATTCCCAAATAGAACATCATCATGTTTATGGAATCATATTGATAAGAGATAGAGGCATGTGGCCGCTTAGGCCAACTCACACCCTCACGACGTCCAGCTCACACCGGTAGCACCCCTTGTTGATGCCTCTCTTTATTATTATTATTTCTTATTTTTTTATTTAATTTGTGACAGACCAGTACACCTCAAATCTCACCTTACCATACCCACTACCCCCAAAAGTCCCAGTCTCCTAGACCCTTTTGTGGGTCAAGGTCAAAACCCATGTTTTGCAATTACGAAAATACCCCGTTTGGTATACAGCTGGCCACGTTATAAACTTATAATCCACAGAGAAAGAGAGAAAGGGTTGGGGTGGTTTTGGGAGATTCAGCACATCTGGCAGTTCCTTCTTCCCTCACGTGGCCCAAAGTGCTTTGCCAAGAGAAGAGATGACAGAGCCACCCCAACGCCATGCTCTGTATATTCTCATGCCCTCACTCGCTCGCTCAACCTCTCCTCTTGTATTCTTCTCACATTTTCGTACCCATATTTTGTCCATACATACATTTGAAGATGCACAAACCTACACAACATATACAACTTAACTTAGTGTATCCGTTTTTCCTACGTCGTTGGCATGTTTATGTAACGACAATGGATATAGCAAAGTACCCACTAGTGTAGTAGTTTGGAATAAATGTTCGTCCATGAAAGGTTCTGTGTTCCAATCCTAGCATCCATATAGTGTATATGAGTTTAGCATCTTATCACCCCTAAAACAAATACAATAGATATATAAAGGAAATGAATGATTTCAAGTCTTGACTTTCCCATGTTTATTAACGCACAAGGAATGAAAAAACATGTCCCATCTTAAAATCCGTAATCACATATTTTGGGAAAAAAAAATTATATCGACTAAAGAGGGACAATTGATCTAATTCTCATTCATGTTCTCCCTTACTGCTTCCAAAAATAACCTTATAACTTTACAATTCTTATTCATATGCTAATTTCATATGATTATTAAAGAACTTATCCATATCAATTTCTTATTTACCCCATTCTTTTTAAGTAAATATGTCAAAGTTGGATGTCCCCACTCTACATTAGAGTAAATATCTTCATAAGTCAGGATTTTGAGTCTTGTCTTTATCTTTTCCTTAATTCCTCAAACACTTCTGATTACACGACTACTTTTTCCCAATTCCTTCACATTAATTTGTGAAGACATGTTTTCACATCAAAGTGCATGATTAGTCTCTAGAATGTCGTATTCTCTCTCTCTCTCTCTCTCTCTCCTCTCTCTCTCTCTCTCTCTCTCTCTCTCTCATTTGATGATTGGGGCTTTGGAGGGAGACAAGCAGCTGTATCACAATGAAAAACAAAGCTCTTATTTCGCCGGATGAAGTGTTTTTCATGGCGAGGCATTTTGGTCCCATTTGCCTAATTGGCTCTTTATAACAAGAAAAATGTAGAGGCCTCCTTCATTCACGCCTATAATTTTTCTTCTTGCCCATTTTTCCAATGGAATCTCTGAAAGCCAATCCTTGTGATCGCACATAAATAGCAAAGAGAGTTGTGAGACAGAATACGTGCACCCTATCATCTTTGATTCCCATTTAAAGGGAACTATACAAATAATATTGTGTAATTTTCACCTTTACTACGGTAAAGTTCATTGACTTTTAAAGTTTCGATACATCAAATTTTTTTCATCTCAGTTGCATATACAATTGATTTTCTTACAACTTTCATACATGTCGTTAGTCTTTCTGTTAACTGCTAACGTGGCAACAAATGTACCACGTAGACTCACTCATATGATGTCATGTGGTCCACATATATTTTTAATAAATAAATAAACATTATTTAGTTAAATAAATAAATAAATAAAAACTTAAAATTCAAAATTCATATATATATATATATCTCTTTCTCTCTCTATGTGCAAATTCAAAAATTGAAAATAAAATAAAATAATCGAACACTTTGCATTTGGGGGGTGGGGTTGCAGGTGGTTTATGGGTTATGTAGGTTCAGGGGTGGGGGTATCATATGAGTGGGTCTACGTGGCATATTTGTTGTCATGCTAGCAATTAACAGACTTTGTAACAGAAAGACTGACAGCATATATGAAAGTGATAAAAAAATCAACTTTGTGTATGCGAGTGAGACGAAAAAAATTTGATGTATCGAACTCTAAAAGTCAGTAAACTTTACTATAGTAAAGTGAAAATTATCCAATAATATTCTTGTGTTTCTATGACCCAAAAAAAACAAAACAAAACAAGTGTTTCAATCCAAATAATTTAAACGATAAAGTTTAGATGAGAAATTCTTACATATTGCGTGTGTGTTTTGTTTTCATCGTCTAACTAACATGTGAGTAATGTAAGTAAAATCTAAAATGAGAGATGCATCGACCCATTACCGGGAAGTTTCTCCATTACGTGAAGATGGGAAGCAAAATATATTTTCAAAACAAATACTTAAAGAACACCAATTGGAATTAAAATCCTTGACGAACTGTTGGAATAATTAGGTTTTGCTCTTATCAGTTGTCATAATTAGAATATTTATGTTAGTGCTACTCTTATTAATCTCGCTTAAAAACCATGAGTTGTTGAAGCTGCCCCAGCTACCAAAATTAAGGAAATTTAACGAGGACAGATTAATTCTAATACATTATTTATTTCCCCTAATTTTTAGGCGAATATCACAAAGCCCATGACAAAGTGTATTCTCACTTGCTTGAGTTGGGCTGCAGATTGGCAATGCCTGCATTTGATTGACCATCAGTTTACTGCAGGAGCTTCGAGACATAGAACTCAGAGGTGGGGTCCACAACAGACCCCTGGCCACACTGTGGAGTGGTGGGTCCACGTGATCAAGCTCAGTTAGCGCGCAGAGAGAGAGAGAGAGAGAGAGAGCATGCATGATCTTCTTGATGCTGATGCACATCCGACGTTTCTGATTTTGACCGTTTCGTTGCTTACAAAAGTATTCACCACATGATTGTCAATGTCATATGCATCTAGACAGACTGCTGCATGCATACACGCAGCCAATAGTTTCTTTTTCTCTCCAACACCACCATATGGCCGTTTGGTACATTTCTTATTACTAATTATAATTACTTAATTTTTTAGGAGAAAAAAGCCAAACTAAATGAAGCTAACACCCAAGTCCATTTGGATTAAGGACAATGGTATCAAACAAATCAATTTGCTTGTTCTATCTATAAACAAGCATTATAGCTACAAAACAGTACGCAACAAATGCAAGCATCAAATTCTCATCTACAAAGTTCGAACACATTATTCTCGTGAACGAAGTCACGATTAATGGCATTAAATGAAATTACCATATTTCTTTGTAAGGGTAATTTACGTTCCACTAACACTAACAAGGGATGGGATTATTTTATTTTTTCAATGGCATTGGCATGGCAAATCGAGCCTGGGAGATATAGCTTGCATACGGGTGCAGGTTATTATGGGCTCAAGAAAACTACACAGAAATGCATGTCGTTTTTCTATCCTGTGTGCTGCGTGAAGGCCCTTTGGCCGTATCGTATTCGTCTACTGTCTTTCTAGGACTGCACGTCATGTACGTCCGTTTCGTTTAAAATACGTGGGACCCATCGCGTAACGTACGGCGTTTAGCTGTCTTTCTGATAACTGTTGTTCCAATTTCTAGAGTGTTCCTACGCGTCTACTAGATAGGTGAGGCCACGCGCGAGTAACTAGTAAATGTTTTACCGTATATATTTTTAAGAAAAAAGGAAATCCAGAAAGTGAATATTATCGCAATAAAAGATATTCTACCCCCCTTGTCTCTTGGTTCATGCCTGAGTCAATGTATTGTCAACCATATTAGCAAGGTGAAATTAATGTGCAATGTTGATTTTGTGGCATACAATTTGAGATTTAGTTTTTACCAAAATCATGGAAGAGCCAATTAGTCAAAATACAACTTTGGGAAACACAACTTTACCTTATCAAATGACTATCCAAGGTGATTTGAGCTGTATAATTGAAGAAATACTTAGATGTACTATCGTTACACACACGTTCTTTTATCGTGCCTTTCTCTCTTCACGTGATTTGTCACAAAAAAAGAGTAGTAAATCCAACAAATACACATAAGGACACTCCTAGTTATTAATGCCAACACTCTATCACTCGGGCCAATCAAATAGTACAAAAATTTACCATCTATTTTCTTATCGAGTACAAAATCTTAAGATAAAATGGAATACTCTTAGCGTTATTATACACATAAAAATTCAAAAAAATTATATTTACAGCTCGTTTCACATTCACTCTCAATAAAAATAGTGATTCACTTGCTCTAACCACGAGAGTAACACATGAAATACCCACCCACACAATCCACCAAGGAGAGATGAGTTTTTATGGCTTATGAGCGTGTGCTCAGTCAGGCCTCAGCATAGTCTATCTGTCTTTTGCCTCTCTGTTTTTCTCCAAATATTTTATTATTGCCACCCCACCCCCTACAATCCTTCCACTCCTTCCCCCCTTATATACCCTCCCTCTCCTCTCTCCCCCAAAAAGCCCCTCCCCCACCTCTCTCTCTCTCTCTCTCTCTCTCTCTCTCTCTCTCTCTCAAGCTTGAGTTTTTTTTTTCTTCTTCATAAACACAAACACATTAAGCACACAAGATTAAGCTTGTTGAGCTTAATTAGTGTTCTGTTAATACCAGAAGAAGGAAGATTTGGTTGATATTATTGGGTGATTTTTCTGGGGCAAACAATTGAAATGACAATGAGCAACAACGTAATTAATGGGCAGTTTGGAGACACCACGCTGACCAAAGTGTTCGTCGGAGGGCTGGCTTGGGAGACTCCCAAGGAGGCCTTAAGAGAGCACTTTGACAAGTACGGTGAGATCTTGGAGGCCGTCATCATCTCTGATAAGCTCACCGGCAGATCCAAGGGCTACGGTTTCGTAAGTCTTTCCTTACTGTTTTTGCAACTTTTATATTTTGCTGGTGGTGGTGATGCTTTGAGTCCTGGTTTTTATTTGGTGTTTGTTAATGTACATTGTAGGTCACATTCAAGGAGGCTGAGGCTGCTAAGAAGGCTTGCGAGGACGCGACGCCCTTCATCAACGGCCGCCGCGCCAACTGCAATCTGGCTTCCCTCGGGGCTCGCCGCCCCAGGTCAGCTTCAACCACCACCCCTCCTCCTCCTCCTCCTCAACGAGGTATATAAACTAGCCAATCACTGTCGTGCTACATACATTGCACTTTGTAAATTGTAAATTGCGACAAATTTAGGATTAAATGTCTAACATTGCATCCAAATGATGATATATATATATATATATATATATATATGAAGGATCAAACGGTGGTGGAGCAAGATCCATGTCACCTGCACCTGCACCTGCAAATCACGTGCAGTGGTACTATCCAGCACCAGCAGGTACTCCAGCAACCCCATTCCATCACCAGCATCACCAGCCTGTTCCATTCTATGGGTACGTCTATTTTAATCACATTTTTCCCTTTTATTTCTTCTAGGTCTATATATATTTAATATAAATCATGTAAATATTTTTTCTTGTTTTCAGGTACTCCCCAACCTACATTGCTGCTGATATGGGTTATAACCATGTAAGTAACCTAGTTTTCGCGTTGAATTTTAGCGTTGTCAGCCGTTGATGCATCGTGAGATTTGTCTGATTTGATATTTATTCTTTGTGATACACAGAAGCTAGGCTACACAGGTGGGGCCTACATGAATGGGCATTACTCTCCTCAAGTGTACCCAGGCCAGCCTATGGTGGGGCCAAACACATTGATGCCAATGTACCCTCTTTACCACTACCACCATCAATCACATACAATGGGCTTACCTGCTCACATCTTTCCACCAACCACAGCGGGACACGTGGCAGCAGTCCCAAGCATCATGTCCAAACCTGCGTCAATCGCTCCCAACACAGGTAGACATATACGCGACACTGATTTTTCATGGTCTACTTGCTCACATGCTAACATATGCTCTACCTAGTCAATGTCCCAAAATGGGAACATAGAAAGAAAAAAAAAGGCAAAACAAAATCATTCTGTCACGTGAGGTTGTGATTTTGCCAACTCTCATTTTTGCAGAACCACACGTGAACATTGAACATTGAAATTTGTTCAGACATTTAAAAAAAAAATAAAAAAAAAAAAAAAAAAAAAAAAAAAAAAATAATGTTTAAATACTCTTTCACATTATGTTCAAAATTATGCAAATATATATCAGGTGAGTTGGTTAAGAAAGTAAGTTCACGTCATTGTATTCAAGTTTGAGTCTCTCTCTACGTATTAGATTAATTTAGAATGCTTTAAACTATCGCTTGTATAGAAAAATTATATCGAAATCATTGAATCAAAATGGCAAAGACAAGTAAGGCATATGTAATTTGCCTATGAGGTTTCTTTCCCTCTTTGTGTTGTTTTTTCTGAATTAATCCGAGTATATATGGTAAGATTTCTTGTAAAGTTGTAGGAGTTGAAGGCAAATGAATTTGGTTTGATTTATTTATGTAAATGTAAACTGATACTAGAAAAAACAGTGTGCTTGGCTGTGGAATAGCAGGGACAGTTGGCACAGAGGAAGAGAGCTTTACAAAAGTTGGCTAAAAAGAGGCTGCACTTATTTAATTAGTTGGCAATAACAAAGGGGAAACGTGGTGGCTGCACAGAGCAACATTATTATCTGATCTCTTGTGCCTCTTCTCTCCTATTTTTTCTTTTCTTTTCTTCTTTTAATTTACTTCTTTAATTTAATTCATATTCTTAGGTGTTTGATAAGATTCTTTCATTCTCTCTCTCTCTCTCTCTCTCTCTCTCTCTCTCTCTCTAACATCCATCTCAGCTTGAGCTGTGAACCATTATTCAAGAAAAGGAAGAAAGAAAAAAACAATGTAACAGAAGAAGTCATTGTATCATGCTGCATGTTCTGAATTGCCCACTTATTGTGGGTTGCTTTTCATGGCTTCTTTCTACTTTTCTCTGCACAAAGACTGCCTCTCTCTTTCACATATATATTTGTTTTGGGCTGGATTGTTTTTTTGGGAGAAATCAACCCACTTCACCAAACCGAAACTGATTAAGAGTATTTATCCATGAATCCGAGGTTTTACATTCGACGCTTTCCTTCCTCACTATCCCTTAAACCAAAATTCTTGCCCTTGATGACATTTATTGGTAAGTAGAAATGAGAAATAAAAGTCATCGTCAACATATTGAATATAATGACAGAGCGGCAATTTCCATCAATTAAAAGAACCGCAAGTAGCTTATGAAATGTCTCCAATTTCATCAAACAACTTGCCCATGTGCTTCGAAGAAAGATTCAGGAATTTGGCCACTAGTTGTGATTCAACCAACCGTACATACCTTCTTGTCTCAAGGAATTTGATTGTCTCCATACGTACGCAAACATGGGCTGTTGGGCCTTCCAGCTCTTCCATTTCTTTCATCATCAATCACAAGGCATGTACACAACCATAGAATCTTCAACTGATGTTTTGTTCTTGTGTTCAAAATTACGTAGTTTCAAAGTTCATGGTTAAGTGGTCTAGGATTCAATAGGGTATTAAACAGTGGTTCTAAAATGACGTAACTTTGGACACACACACCATTAGGAATTCTATGTGCAACACATCCGTCTTTTATCGATCGACTAGTTTTGTACCGATAACATGTCGCTACATTTGTTATTAAGAAAAATTTAGTTATGCTCAATAAAAGGTAAAATATTAAGGATATAATCAATGGGCTAGTTTTGTTTTAGACGTAGTCAATTGTATTTGGGTATGTTTGGGTGATTACCATGTGCTTTTGGGTATCTTTAATTTGAATTTGAACTGAAGTTTATGATTTCTGAAGTTAGTGAAAATTATGAATTTTTCTCATCAACGGATATGTCTTTTTTATGAATTACTTGGCTTCATTGCTGTTTGATATGAAAAGTCTTTGGGATTATTGTCATGTGTAATTCTTGAGGAACTTAAACCAAAGAGGTTCTAGTTGCAGTTGGCTCCAAATTAAATAGAATTATCTTTGTTTAGATGCATGGTACTTGATGGTGAGTTTTTATATATTTTTTTTCTCTTGATGGTGATGTGGCGATACCTTGGCCTATGAAATATGACTTATATCATTATCTCTCGGCCTTCTTCTTGAAAGTGGGGTTTGATTCCACAACCTTGGCAGTCTTCAAGGTTTGGGCCTCTCGATTGCTCTTCTTCATGAACTTATTTTTTTAGACAGATGTTCACATTGCAGTTTCCATTTAATAATAATTGGCTAAATTGTTTTCTCATTGTATATTAGTATGATTTTTCAAGTTAATAGAAATGCATTTTTTGACTTTGCTTATTTGCTTGTTTTCATGATGACTTTTGTTTGTTTGTTTTCTTTTTTGTTATTGTGGTTCCAACTTAATCAGCAATTGCAATGCAGTTTCTGATTGTTTAAGTTGAATTTATAAAGGCCCAATGATGATTGGATTTTAGAAAGAAGTCTATATGATTTTGAAGCTAAATGTTCTTTTGACTTAGTTTTAGTACTTTGATCATGGGTATTTGCCTTATTTTGCTATGCACTCACGAATTTATAGTTTTAATTGGGGTTCTTCAATTTGATGAATTATTGGTATCCGATAAATCATACTTTTGAATGCACCTTGTATTAAGGGCGTAAATAGTCCAAGGTTCCCAATAATGGAAAACAAATTTTTTAATTTAGAACCCCATTGAATCAAACCCACGAACTTAGTTCTTGGAAATATCATTTTGTTTATTCACCTTAGGTGCGGTATTTTATGTAAGGTATAGCTGACACCATGGTGTATATACAAAGAGAAGTTTGTTTGCTTTGTGGTGAACAAAATATTCTAGGTTAAGCACTCAAGTCAAGTGTTTCTTTTCAATCCTTCTGCGTGTAGACATTCAATATCAACAGTATCAACAAAACGATGGATTTTAATTTATTTAGTATCCCTATCTAAAAAACAAACATAAATTTTATTATGATATGCACACATATCCTTAATTTTTGAAAAGAAAGTCCATATATAGTTCATTAATATTATAGATTTATTTTTGTCATTTATGGTTTGTATGTTCAAAAGCATCAAAAAACCATGTATAGCAGAAAACCCTAATTTGTCCTAACATGCATGGATAACTCATGTGGTTACCTATTAAAGAAAAAAATTCAATCAATAGGTCTTTTGGTAAGTGACATTTAAACGACCTGTCATAGATTTACTTTTGACCAGATTCAGAAAACAAAAGAAATATATATATAGTAACCGTTGCAAATTAAAGCCCTATCGATTTTTGCAAATGAAGAATGGTCATCACCTTTCAAAAACAAATGTACCCATTCACTCCCAAACACCACTAATGCTCCTTCCTATAAATTCAAACCCCACTCTCCACCTAACACAATCCTATCAAAATCCTAATCACTCTCGTACTCATTTCCATAGTACCACCAACAATAATGGATGCCTCATCTTCCTCAATTTTCTTTACCTCCTGTAGCGTAACCCAAGCCCCCATCTCAATCTCCTAAGAAGAGTTCGTCATTTTTCACAACATTGACCACAAGCTCTTCTCTCGCCTCGTCTTTACCTGGGCAGTAACCTAGCCGAGTATGTCCAAGTCATGGCCCTATGGATGTGGCTCGAACATGCGGCCAAGTCTGTCGTGGCCTTGAACTGCATTTAACAAGACAACTTCCATGTCGACACCACTAATCGCAACCAAGACATTCCCCTACTCAATGCCTTAACCAAAACTGGCGCCATGTTTTTGTCGGATCAGTTGCGCCAAAATTGATTCAACTGCATCCTCAACTTGTGATACTTGTAAGTGCAAGAGCCATTCGGTAGTATAGCATATGTAAGTGCGAGGTCGATCCCACGAGGATTGATGATAGATTGATTCAATTCAATTCCCTGTACAAAACAGAAATAGAAACAAGATTTAAAGATGATTGTGAAAAGTACAAGGATTGAAAACAAGAAAGAAAGAAAATAACCAACTCAAGCACATTAGTTAACAAGTTCAATTCATATTCATGTATTGATTCTAGCTAAAGTATGATTAAGTCATGGTGTCTGGTCCTAACCTTGTATTCCTAATTCCCTAATTTGATCCTATGTTGTTGAACCTAAATTAAGCATTAGAAATCCATTAAGCATAGAAGAATGTTTTAAACAACTAAGCATGTATCTAATCCCTATTGTCGAATGTCCATACATACTCTTTCTATCTATAGTTCAATTCGAATTAAAGCATATGGTGTCTACTCTTAATTCCAACCAAGATAGCTAACATACAAGTTTTAATGGAGATCAATCATTCAAACAAGCATATTAACTTATAAGCATAATGAATAAAAACAAGAACTGTAATTGAAACTTGGAAACTAAATAAACTTGAAAACTTAAAATAAGAAATTACATTAAAATGAGAAAAAAGTAAAGGAAAATTTAGCAAAATAGTTTTGTTACAACAATTGAGAACTTAAAAGAAAATCTAAGAGAATTTGAGGGAGAGAAGGGAAAGGAGCCCTAGAGACATGTTTGAAAGCTCCCCCCATTGGGGTGTGTTTGTAAGTTTAGGGAACCTCACTATTTATAGGCCTAAGGGAAATAAAAATATGATCAATTGAGTATTGCTTCTACCTACAACAGCCACTTCACCAACTTTACCTAACTTCCCCACAAAAAACAATTAGCTCATGCATATGTCATGCATGACAATGTAATGCAGTCTGATTGTAGGCTCGTTTTGGGCTTGTTCCTTCTTTGATAAAATTTTGGAAAAATATGGGTCTTGAAGCTCTTGTCTTATCTTTCCAACCATATTAGCCCAGCTCAAGGAAAAATCGGAAAGGTCTTCAAATGTCATTTTTGGCACAGTAACGCATATGCTACCAAAACTTGCACAACTTCCTTTAGAAGACTCGGTATCACGAACCGTAAAATGCTCCAGAAACTAGATTTCCACATATTTCCAATGATGTATGGCTCATTATATGGGTCTTCCTGAGCATGTATAGTCCAATCCTTGAAGTTGATTGATCTGTAGATACAGTTTTGAGCTAACTTGACTCCAAAATGTATTAAATGAGTCCTTAAGCTTAATACATTGAAACAAACACAAAAGGAATTAAAAGCACAAGTTTAACTAAAAAAAATTACGAAATTATAAGCTAGAATGGTACAAAATGATATGTAATTATGCACTGATCACGCCACCCTCTAATTCTTCCACCAAAACCGCCTTGGCATGATTCGGGGCGTCACCAAGTATAGCATATGTTCCCTAAACCACAACCATACCCGACTAAACAAATGATGTTGAATGCCGTCATGTTTCGTCTTTATAATCCATCATTTCACAATGTTGTGGCCGTCGCCTATAACATGGCCAGGGCATCGAACATGGGACCTTTTCCAAATAAAAGAATGTATGGTGGGGATGTGAATAATAATCCACCATCTTTGTGGCCTTATTAGCATATTCATATCCTGGCCAAGGCTGTGACGAGGGGGGATTCTGCCCTAGACTACCTGCGTGGTGTTTTTGATCCCTATGATCTTGCTACTCAATGCCAGATTTTAAATGAGAAGACGGAGAATGTTTTGAGCCGTTTGAATCTAAATAATGATCAGCAGGAGGCAGAGGATGTGCCTGCTGATGAGAGGACTATTTTCTTGACATTTTCTAAGGGTTATCCCATTTCTAAAGTTGAAGTCAGAGAGTTCTCTAGGTTTATATAACACTTTTTTTTTTGTATGTTAATTCTTTTTATAAAATTATAAATTAAAATTATTTTTTGTTTTGTTTTGTTTTGTGGACAGGAAATGTGGAGTCTTTATTGATGGTGTCTTTATGCAAGAAGTGCCTGCTGATAAGCAACCATTGTATGCGCATCTTGTGGTTCGTTCTACTTCCTCCATTCTAATGTTCTTAAAGGGAAAAACAAGGCCAAATTCTTCATCAATGGGAAGCATGTTTGGGCAAGGAAATACGTGCGTAAATCAAAATCACCAGCAAAACCAAGTTCACTTGCAACTTCAATTTAAGTAATCAGTTTTGGCTTTAAGAGTCTTTCGTTCTGTAAAAATGAAGTTGAGTGAGTCTGAGAAGTGTACATACCCGCAATTATATATTTTATCCCAGATGATAAATAAATTTCGTACCTCTCCAGCAGTATTGTCAATTTGAAGCATTAAAAGTTATACATTTTGGTTTTGAAACTTGAAAAACTTGGCACAAATTAAATAGTACATAAAATTCACCACTCCAATCACAGCTGACATCCAAAATACATTATCTAGACGCCCTTGATTTATATTATTCGGTAACCACCCCGTTGTCTGCTTTACCAAATGCGTGATTGCAGTGCTGAGATAAAACCCAATTCCAATCAGCAATGACATCATAGCCGTGGAAGTACTTTTCAGAGGTTTTGGAAATTGTTCATAGTACAATGCAACTTGTCCAGGGAACTGGAATGCCTCACCAATTCCCATAATCAACATTGGTGCCACGAGCCATAGGGCTGACATGGGCACCACTGTCCCGGGCTGATTTGTGAGGTTATGTGATCTTACCACTCCTAATCGTCCCCTTTCGAGTAGAGCTGACCCGACCAATCCAACAATGTTGATCACATGACCAATCCCTACTCGTTGGAGGGGTCTTAACTTGTGTAGTATGAAGCGATCAACTATGAAAATGGAGATGGCTGTGGCTAAGAGGTTGAAAACTGGGAATGAACCAGCAGGGATTATGAAGTGTGGGCCAAGGTGCCTGTCCATAGATAGGGCTTGGAGTACAACAAGGCTACCAGAAATAGCTATTGTAATGCTTAAAAAGATGCCAGTAGACCATAGTGGCATGATTTTGATAAGGGTTTTAAGGTCTTCCACTTCTTTGACAGTGCACAACTTCCATGATTTTGTATATGAGCCATCAAATTGCTTGTCTTTTTCGGTTTTCAGTGCTGCACGATTCAAGAATCTACATAAAAATGTTGCAAGCGAATTATGGGTGAATAATGCAACTTCTTGTATTACATAGGGAAGAGTTAATGCATACTATTATGATGTACGTAACCATGCAAACAATATTCTCATGCGCACATGGACTACTGATCCTAACAATAGATTTTTAAATGCAAGTGATTTTCAAAATGCAATAACGTATCTCAAACTAATATTGTTTAATTTGTGAACCATGCCATTTTAAAAGAACGATAATTAAACTATACATTTTTTTGAAGGAATTAGTGGATATGCATTTTTCTTTTGAAGGTAAGTACAATGATTTGATATTAATTTTTTTTCCAATAGCAAATTTAAACCATTAAATTTAGTCAAGGGTAGAAAAGTCAAAATTACATATAAACCTTACATACCAAAAAATAAAAGAAAATTTTAGTTATACTCAATAAATGGTAAAATATTAAGGATATAGGCTATAGCCAAGGTTCTCAATGATGGAAAACAAAAAATTTAGTTTCGAACCCCACTGGATGTAATTAGACTATTATATATATATATATGTGTGTGTGTGTGTGTGTGTGTAATTAGACTCTAATTAACTATATAATTATGATCATAAGCATACCTGAAAGATTTAGTTGGGACTGTATTGTCAGCAAAAACCTCATCTGCATAAAAGTAGTCTGAGTCTTTTGAAGTTGCCAATGATGTCTTCATTTTCCGAATCGATGCAACCAAAACTCGTGCTATGCTCATGAAGGGGCTACCCATTGGTTTAACTCGCCTGTAAAATCGCTTCCCCAACAAAAACACCAGTATCCCAATAGCATTTGCAATGAAGCAAATCCCAAACCCTAATCCCCATCCCACGTTGTCCTCGACATAGATGATGGCGGTGGAGCTGATGAGATTGGCAACATACAAGGCCATGAAATACCAATTGAAGAAAACCCCTTGGTCCTTGGGGTTTTTAAATTGGTCAGCTCCCATGGTTGCAATTGTGAAGCTAGTTCCTCCAAGCCCTAGTGAAGCTAGGGCTAATGCTGCATAGAGGACTGAGTATTGAAAGTTTGATGGACCTTCACATGTGAGTGAGCCAGGTCGACATGATGATGGCCTCAAGGAATGCATTGTAGCTATTAGGGTTAACATGGTCATACCCTGATGAAGGTTCAAGATGATGATCAATATATGATATTGACGTGTCATTTTATTATTTGTGCACTGTCTATTCTTTTCTACCGTATTATTCTATAATATCTTATGGTATATATATGTAGTTATGCAACTAAAAGATTTTCTTTTGCCACAATCATTCATATAAAGGTACATCATTATAAACTCACAAAGCAACAAGGTAAATATATTCTTACCCTCCGCAAAAAAGTGTCACTATTTAAGTAATTTGGTTCTTTTGATTCATCATGACAAAAATGAATAATATATATCATGAACTATGGTGACTCTTGCGTCATAAAAAATCATTACGACAAAAAATGTCCCTGAAATAAAATAAATAAAGACAAGCACATACAATCTTTTGCGCACACTAGAAAATCTTTATGACGTGTGATTAAGGAAAAAGCTTCTTCTTGTAGTACAAAATAAACTAAAAAATCGTTATGATGTATGATTAAGAAAAAAGCATCTCACAAACAAACGTGTGAAGAGACTAGTAATTCAAGATTAGACAGACTAGCATTGAGAAATAATATAGAAACTTAATTATAAATTACCAGTAGAGAAAGGAAGGAAAAAATGACGACGACAGAGAAAGATCCCAAGAAGGAATCGGCAATGAAGGCTCCGACAATGGGGAGGAGATTGTTGGTGCCAAAGATGATGTTAGTGATCTGTGTTGCGCTTATGCTCTTCACATTGAATTTTGTTATCAGAAATACTATCAAGTTGGACCCCCACCCGCCACCTGCTATCGACAGACCCAACATACTTCCTGATATATAGTGTGCATCATTTCATCATCAAATTCATTAACCCATTCAAAACACATAATAATGAAAAATGTTCTTTTGTCAGACTGTCTAACGAAATAAAAAAAACTAATCGAGCGAGAAATTAAGGGAGAGACCTGTAACGAAGGGGAAGGTTATCCAACCTCCTCGTTTAGGATGATCCTCTCCATCTTCACTAAATGTTTCAACTTCTTCTACTTCTTTGGGTTTGGACTCCATTCTCTCTCTCTCTCTCTCTCTCTCTTCAAATGTTACATATATGCTCTTCACATGTTGCATATATATAGTGTGGATTAATATTTTAATATTTTAGAATGTAATTTTGATTAATTAGTCCACCCACGTAGTATATAGTTTGCAAACTTAGTATAAAACTCACTTACGTACAAAAATTGTGGAACCCCACGAAGAGACATATACCGACTCCTTTCCACAAATTGTAGACACAGCACCTAATGTTAGCCACGAAATGGGCAAAAATTGTTATATTACCGATCATGTTTCTCTCACTCTGTTTGTTTATGCAAAAAAGGTAACGGTAGGTAAAGTCTAAACTAAACGCATATTCATAGTCATAGTGGTTTGGTTTGTAAAAAGAAATGCATATATATACTCTTCTATTGAGGGATCCCTCAAATAATTTTATTTGAAGGACACTATTTAGGGTACCATATGATTTTTTTTCCAACGATCCAAATCATCTATTTTTTAAGTCTACATTCATAGATCATCCTAGCAAAAAATTAGATAAATCGGAAACCGTTTCGACATCGTATCTTACAAAATCAATGAACACGGTGCTTCAAGAAAGTACTAAAATTTCTATAATACAATTGAGTAGTCAAACGATATTGGATTCAAATGATTTTCTTATGGAGATGATCTTTGAATGATTATCTAAAACATAGATGGTCGGTTTAGATTAGTGAAATACAATACGGAGTGAGCCCTACATGGGTGTCCCTCAAATAAGTTAATTTGAGGGATCTCTCAATAGAATCTCTCTGTATATATAATGTATGTATGTATTAGTCCATCAATGTGACATCATTTGTGCGCAAGCTATGCTATGTGAGGTTTATACGCTAACCCTGCTGCACACATTTGTTATTTTTCTTCCAAAAAGTCAATGATCCATGTTTTTAATTTGGCACATTTGCCTTGCGGCCTTATTTATTTGTTATTTTCATTATTATTATTTATAATATTTTATGGGTCGCATTGCACCAAAAGAAAAGAGAAACAACGAATCTAATGCTAGATTGTGGACTTGTCTGAAAGAGGAATGAGTCCCTATAGGTAAGGAGCCAAATATATTTCAATTTGTGATGCAGAATCTCTTTAGTTAACAGAAGCGTGTCACTGGTTGTAGCAGTGTGTCCATTTCCTTGCATCCGAGTTTGAATTCACTAATATCTTGTCAGTCTCCCAACTAAAATTTGCCCTCTGTTTCACAACGTTTGACCGCAAGCTCTTTTCCCACTTCATATTCGCCCTGGGCTGTGACCCGGGCGAGTCTACCAAGGTCATGATCGTGTGGATGTGGCTTGAGCATGCGCCCAAGGAGTACAACTTTGTGCACAAAAATGCGTGACTCTCCACCTTGAACCGCATTCAAAAGGAGGACTTCCATGTCGACACCACCAACTGCAACTAGGACATTCCCCATTCCACGTTCTATATTAAAATTGGAAAAAAAAATTTGGTGGATATTGAATTTGGGAACTTCATTGATGGTGTCTTTATAAAAGAAGTGCCTACTGAGGAGCAACCTCTGTACAGCCGTCTTGTGGTTCATTCTGCTTCCCCCATTCCAGTTGTTCTTAACGGAAAAAGCAAGGCCAATTTTCATCAATGGGAAGCATGTTTGGGCAACGCAATACGTGCGTAAATCAAAATCACCATGAGAACCAAGTTCACCAAGGACTGGAGCGCAACTCCAGTTTAAGTAATTTATTTTGGCTTTAAGAGTATTATTCCTTGCTTTCTAATAATGAAGTGAATTAGTCTGAGAGAGCTTGTACCCACAGTGTTATAAGTTCCTAGATGATTAATAAATTTTGCACCTCTCAAGCAAATATATTGTCATTTTGAAGCATGAAGTTATACATTTTGGTTTTGATACTTGAAAAACTTGGCACAAATTAAATAGTACACAAAATTCACCACTCCAATCACAGCCAGCATCCAAAACACATTATCCAGCCGCCCTTGATTTATATCATTTGGTAACCATCCTGTTGTCCGGTCTACCAAATCCGTGATTGCAGTGCTGAGATAATACCCAATTCCAATCAACAATGAGCTCATAGCCGTGGAAGTACTTTTCAGAGGTTTTGGAAATTCTTCATAGTAAAGTGCAACTTGTCCAGGGAAATGGAATGCCTCACCAATTCCCACAACCGACAGTGGTGCCACGAGCCATAAGGCTGACATGGGCACCACCATCCCGGGCTGATTCGTGAGGTTATGTGCTCTTACCACTTCTAATCGTCTCCTTTCGATTAGGGCTGATCCAACCAGTGCAACAATGTTGATCACATGACCAATTCCTATTCGTTGGAGGGCTCTAAATTTGTGTAGTATGAAGCGATCAACTATGAAAATGGAGATGGTTGTGGCTAGGAGGTTGAAAACTAAGAATGAACCAGCAGGGATTGTGAAATGTGGGCCAAGGTGCCTGTCCATAGTTAGGGCTTGGAGTATAGTGAGGCTACTAGAAATACCTATTGGAGTGCTTAGAAAGATGCCAGTAGACCATAGTGGCATGATTTTGATTAGGGTTTTAAGGTCTTCCACTTCTTTGACAGTGCACAACTTCCATGTTTTTTCATATGAGCCATCAAATTGCTTGTTTTCTTCAATTTTTAGCGCTGCACGATTCAAGAATCTGCATGAATATAATGTGTTATTTTATATATACACAAAATATGGGTAAAATGCAACTTCTTGTATTACATAGGAAGAGAGAAAGAGTACTAATACATATATTATTATAATGTACGTAAGCATCCAAACAAAATTCTTACGTGCACCTGGACGACTGACTTTAATAAGGCTTTCAATACTATTGCTTAATTTATGAACTACACAATTTTAAAAGAATGGTAATTAAACTATACATTTATCAACAATTTACGATATCATTTTCCATTTACACAAAGTACGTACAAATATCTGAAATTAATTTTTGTACTGGATGCATTTTTCTTTTGAAGGTAAGTACAATTATTTGTTATTAACTTTGACTGAACCTTTAAATTCAGTCAACATAGAAGAGTGAAAAATAAACTGACGTACCTCGAATAAATCAAAAATTAGATTGACATGGATTTCATAACCTATATCTCCCAGTTACATATTCCATTTAAATGAGAAATTTTTGGATTTGACTATATCAATCGACCCATATATCGCATACCTGAAAGCTTTAGTTGGAACTGTATTGTCAGCCAAAGCCCCATCTCCATAAAAGTAGTCCGAGTCTCTTGAAGCAGCCAATGATATCTTCATTTTCCAAACTGATGCAACCAAAACTCGTGCTATGCTCATGAAGGGGCTACCCTTTGGTTTAACCTGCCTGTAAAATCGTTTCCCCAACAAAAACACCAATAACCCAATAACATTTGCGATGAAGCAAATCCCAAACCCTAATCCCCATCCCACGTTGTCCTGCACATAGATGATGGCGGTGAAGCTGATGACGTTGGCAACATACAGGGCCATGAAATACCAATTGAAGAAAACCCCTTGGTCTTGGGGCTTTCTAAACTGGTCAGCTCCCATGGTTGCAATTGTAAAGCGAGTTCCTCCAAGCCCTAGGGAAGCTAGGGTTAATGCTGCGTAGAGGACTGAGTATTGAAACTTCGATGGACCTTCACATGTAAGTGAGCCAGGTGGACATGATGAAGGCCTCAAGGAATGTATTGTAGCTATGAGGGTTAACATGATCATGCCCTGATCAAGGTCAATGGGATGATCAATATATCATCTTATTATTGATGCACTTTATATGTCAATTTTTTTATGTCACCTTTTTTGGTCACCTATTCCCTATTATTTTAGATAGTGGACAGCAAAATAGTAACAAGGGAAATATATTCCCACCCTAAAAAAAAGGAGTGATGCTCTTTAGACATACAAGATAGATCACATTAGTTGACTACCTTATGTGGCAGCTGATGTGATCATGCCATTTTCATATTGAATACTGCATATACACACGCATACCAATATCTCAGAAGAGCTAGTATTGAGTATTGTCAGTAGAGAAAATATTAATTACCAGCAGAGAAATGAAGGAAAAAATGGAGACGACAGAGAAAGACCCCAAGAAGGAATCGGCAATGAAGGCTCCGGCAATGGGTAAGAGATTGTTGGTACCAAGGATGATGTTATTGATCTGTGTTGCGCTTAAGCTCTTCACGTTGAATTTTGTTATCAGAAATACTATCAAGTTCGATGCCCACCCGCCAGCTGCTACGGACAGACCCAGCACACTTCCTGAGCGTTCATCATTTCATCATTAAATTCATTAATTTATTCAAAACACACACACACACACACACATATATATATATATATAATAAAATGAAAATATTCTTCTGTCAAACTCTCTAACGAAAAAAATTACTAATGGAGCGAGAGATGAAGGGAGAGACCCGAAATGAAGGGGAAGGTTTTCCAGCCTCCTCGTTGAGGATGATCCTCTGCATCTTCACTGCATGTTTCAACTTCTTCTACTTCTTTGGGTTTGGCCTCCATTATCTCTCTCTCTCTCTCTCTCTCTCTCTCTCTCTCTCTCTCTCTTCAAAAGTTACATAATACATATATAGAAGGGTCCATGTGGATTAATGTTTGATGTGTATAATTTTGATTAATTAGTCCACCCATTCTAACTCCCACGAATATTCTTGTCCTTATTGTCTAGGTTTGCTTGCCCTCTTAGTATAAAATTCACTTAGGTACAAAAATTGTGGAACCCTACAGAGAGACATATATACCTACTTCATCAAATGTAGACATAGCACCTACAAATTTAGCCACTGAATAAAACTAACTATATAAAACCTCCATGGTTAGCAGGATAATGTTATATAATTGATCACGTTTCTCTCACTCTGTTTATTTATGCAAAAAGGTAAAGCCTAAACTCAACGCATATTCATACTGGTATATTTTTTAAGAAAATGTATACGTATATGCATCATCCATCAGTCTGACATCATTTGTGCACAAGCTACGCTATGTGAGGTTTATAGCCGAACACTGCTACGCACATTTTTTTTCCAAAAGGCCAATGATCCTTTTTTCCAATGAGGAAAACATAATTATAGCAAACAAAAGCCTCTAGGACATGCAGCGCAGGCCCTGCAAGGTCGAAGAAAAAAGGAATAGAACAGCTTAACGGCAGGCCATGCTCCCACAACCGAGATGGGAAAACCGATGACCCACGGAAGCCAGAAAATCAGCAGTGAAATTCACCTCTCTCAAGATTTTAATTTGGCACATTTGCCTTTCGGCCTTATTTATTTTATTATTGTAACAATAATTAATTATATTTAGTATGTTTTGACTGACGCATGGCACCAAAGAAAAAAGAGACGAGGAATCTAGAAGGAGCTCGACTGTGGTGGACTAGACTATTCAAAGTGCGCACACACAGCGTCCAATTCTATACTGCAATAGTTGGGAGCACTTTAATCTGTCGCCGACAATGTCTTCAAATTGATCTGTCAATTTGATTACAGGTAAAGAGCACATATACTTGTTAGTGTTTTAGGATTCTAGCTGGTTTATAGGATTCACAAGCAGAGAGAAACAATGGAAGAATGAAGAAGGAAAAATGCAGAGTGTTGATAATGCTCTCTTACTCACCAAGAAGGTGAGGTAAGGAATGTATATTCTTTATCTCTGTAAAAAGTGACTACACACAACGTGCACTATATGACTGTTAGCCTTAGCTGGATGCACACAAGCAACATTGCATATCAGCCATTCACCTAGCTATATTCTAGGATCATTACATGTGGCTTATTTCAGCCTTACACTTGTCATTCTTTAAGACTAAGTGCATACACAATTAATATTCTAGGCTTATACCATACCTATCAGCTCATCACTTACAATTCTACACTCCCTTTTAAGTTTTGAGTTGATTTCACACCAAGCTTATCTCTGAGGTAGTAGAATCGATCTTTAGCCAAAGCTTTTGTGAAGATATATGCTAGTTGCTCATTTGTAGTGTAGTAAATCAAATCAATGATTCCTTCTTATAGAGCATCCTTGATGAAGTGATATCTTTGATCAATGTGCTTGGTTTTCTGGTGAAACACAGGATTCTTTGTGATGGCAATTCAGCAGTATTGTCACACTGAAGTAGAGTAGCCTCAGCCTGAAATTCACCAAAGTCTTCCAACACAAACCTGAGCCAAATTGCTTGTGCAGTTGCCTCTAATGCACTGATATACTCTGCCTCTGTAGTAGAGAGGGCAACACAGTTTTGTTTGACTGAGGCCCAAGCAAAAACTCCACTGCCAAAGGAGAAAACATACCTTGAGGTGCTTTTACTGTCATCAACTGAGCCACCCCAGTCACTATCACAGTAGCCAATTAAGACTGCATTCCTTCCTTTCACATACTCCAAACCATAGTCAAGTGTTCCTTGGACATACTTGAGAACTCTTTTTGCAGTCCCATAGTGCTTATTAGTGGGGCAGTGCATGAATCTAGCAAGTAGACTAGCTACATACATCACATCAGGTCTTGTGGTTGTGAGATACAATAGACTTCCCACAATCTTCCTATATTGTTCTTTATTTTTTGGACCACTGCCATCATCTTTGCTTAGCTTTTCAGTTGTAACTAAGGGTATAGAAACAGGTTTACACTCACTCAAGCCAAATTTGCTCAACAAAGATGTTGCATACTTTATTTGATGAATAAAAATACTTGTATGTATTTGAATGACTCCCATTCCTAGAAAGTGATGCAAAAGCCCCAAGTCTGTCATTTCATACTTTACCATCATGTCTTTCTTGAATTCCTTTAGCATTGACTGACTATTCCCTGTGTACACAATGTCATCTACATAGATGGACACAATCAGAATTTCTGCTTCTCCTCTAGTATTGGTATAAAGAGTGGCCTCACTTTGACTCTTTGCAAGTCGACATTGAGCAAAGTAAGTGCCAATTTCACCATACCAAGGTCTTAGTGCCTGTTTTAGGCCTTACATAGCTTTATGAAGCTTGTACACCTTGTCTTCACTCATCTTGACCACAAACCCATTTGGTTGATCTACATACACATCTTCTTCTAAAACACCATTTAGAAAAGCAGATTTAACATTTAATTGATACAATTTCCAACTCTTCTGTGCTGCCAATGCAACTAGTGTTCGAATTGTGTCAAGTCTAGCTACTAGTGCAAAGGTCTCATTATAGTCTACACCTGGTTTCTGAGATTAACCTTTGGCTACCAGCCTTGCCTTGTTCTTTTGTACTGAGCTATCAAGATTTAACTTGGTTTTGAACACCCACTTAACTCCAATTATAGGCTTATCAATTGGTCTGTCCACCAGCTCTCATGTTGCATTTTTCTCAATCATTGACAGTTCATCTTCCATAGCCTTCATCCATGATTCATCTTTAGTAGCTTCATTAAAATTTTCAGGTTCCATAATGCAAAGATTGCATTGTGCTAGAACATCATCCAGATTTCTCCATTTTAGTGGAGTATGATCAAAGGCTTGAGTATTTCTCATGCTACTACTTATGTCACCTGATAGTTCATAAGGAGATGACAACCTTAGTGATTGAATGTGATCATGGCTTCCAAGAGGTGCCATTGGTGATGTAGTTTCAGATATATAGAATTGCTCTTCATGATATGTCATAGTTACTTGTTTCTCAGACATTTCCTTCCAATCTCAAGCTGCATTTTCATCAAACACAACATCCCTTGAGAGTAGAAGCTTCTTAGTGATAGAATCATCACTCTGTAACCTCTTTCACAAGTTGCATAACCCATAAATATATCCCTGGTACTCTTTGCATCTAACTTCTGTCTCACTTCACTTGGTATGTGCACATAACACAAACAACCAAATATTTTAAAATAAGCAATCCCTGGTTTTCTCTTATTGTATACTTCAAATGGAGTTTTATCTCCAAGTGCTCTAGTAGGACACCTATTTAGTATGTAGACAGCTATGTGTACAGCTTCTGCCCACAAATAATAAGGTAATCCTTTCTCATGAAGCATGGCTTTTGCCATTTCAACCACAGTTTTATTCTTCCTTTCCACTACTCCATTTTGTTGTGGAGTATAGGCCATAGAGAGTTGTCTTTGAATGCTTTCTTCTTCTTCACACAATTTGTTGAATTCACAGGATGTGAATTCACCACCTCTGTCACTTCTCAAACACGTCACTCTAAAACCACTTTGCAATTCTACCATGGACTTGAACTTTTGAAAACAATTCAATGCATCAGACTTGTATCTGAGAAAATAGACCCAGACCATCCTTGTATAGTCATTTATAAGAAGCATGAAATACTTGTTACCAGCAGTGGATTCATTTTGCATAGGTCCACACAAATCCACATGAACTAGCTCAAGATGATTTCTTGCTCTCCATGCTTGGTTCTTTGGAAACCACTCTCTATGCTGCTTTCCAAGTTGACACCTTTCACAGACTTCATCAACCTCTTCTAAGTGTGGAAATCCACGGATCATTTCCTTTTATTTGAGTTGCTACTACCCCCTTAGATGTAGGTGACCTAGCCTTTTGTGTCAAGTCCAAGTAGAGTAAGATACACTTATTTTCAGTGCAATATGATCATTAGGTAATAGAGCCAAAGGATAGCATCTATTCCTTTTCATTTCCACTTTGATGACAAGATTCTCTAGTTAAGCACTGTCAAAAATACTGCACATTTTGCCTCCAAATAGCAGATAATAACCATGCTCATCCATCTGTCCCACACTTAGCAAGTTCTCCTTCAACCCAGGTAGGTACATCACTTCTTTGATGTACTTTCTACCTTTGCTAGTGTCAATCACCTGATTAGATCTTCCAACTACATTTACAAGCTCTCCAGTTGGCATTTGTACCTTGCCTATTACATTTGTTCTTATGTCAACTAGCAGCTTTCTATCCTCAGTCATATGATTGCTGCAGCCACTATCTATGTACCACTCACCATTAACACCTGTTTCAGAGATGGTACTATTGGCATAGAACAAATTTCGTGTTACTCCCACTTGATATGCACAGTTAGCTTTCTGCACAGTTTTATTTGCAGTACATTCTCTATCCCAATGTCCAAATCTATCACAATTGTAACACTTAGGCTTTCCTTTATACATGCATTCACCAAAATGAAACTTAAGCACACTTTGCATTGTGGTTTTGAACCTTATTGAATCACTGATTGTGATGAATTCTGTGCAGAGCTAGTCTGTTGATCTTTAGATTTTGATTCCTATGGCTTGCCCTTTGGATTCCAATTCTTCTGGAATTTTGATGAACCAAATTGGTTGCTTTCTTTGTTCTGATTTTTTGGACTAACTGAGAATAAGGCAAATGCCTTCTCAGTTGTATCAACATTATGCAGCTCAAAATGTTGCTATTGGCTTTTCAGGATTGCAATAACTTCCTGCAATTCTACAGTATCTAGACTTTTTGTGTTCTCAATCACCAAACAAATAGGATCATAAACTTTACTAAGACTGATCAAAACCTTTTGAACAAGCCTCTCATTAAAGAGTCTCTCCAAATGTTTTCATATGGTTAATCAGCTCATTCAATCGAGTAAGATACACAGATAGAGGTTCATTATCACGCATTCTAGTGTATTCAAATTCACATATGAGGTTTTGAAGTTTTACCGATCTGACATGGTCACCACCATGATATTCTCCATACAACAACTCCCATGCCATCTTAGCTGAATCTACATTGGCAATACGAGGGAAGATTTGATCGGAAAATGCATTTTGAATAATCCCCAGAGCTTTTGCATCTTTCATAAGGATCGCAGCCATTTTCTCATCGTCTTGTTCTGCTTATAGTTCCTCAGTTGACTTCTTCTTCTTTGAATTTGGAATCGTGATTCCTTTCTCCACCAGAGTCCACAAGTATGACTTGAATATAGTTACCATCTTGATTCTCCAGAACTCGTAGTTCTCATCGGAGAAGATCGGAGTTCTTGCTTATGAACTTTTAGATCCAGACATTTCTAATCTCGGGTAACCAAAAACAGCTTGTTTCATATTTCAATTGAGCTCCAACGATCGTCACGAACTTGAGTGAGCACAAATGTAGCTCGATTTCACAATTTTGAAAAACGCTCAGATTCAATTGACCCAACCTGGCTCTAAGGCCATGTTAGTGTTTTGGGATTCCAGCTGAGTTATGGGATTCACAAGCAAAGAGAAACAAGGGAAGAATGAAGAAGGAAAAATGCATAGTGTTGATAATGCTCTCTTACTCACTAAGAAGGTAAGGTAAGGAGTGTATATTCTCTATCTCTGTAAAAAGTGAGCACACACAGCGTGCACTATATGACCGTTAGCCTTAGCTGGATGCACACAAGCAACATTGCATCTCACCCATTCATCTAGCTATATTTTAGGATCATTACATGTGGCTTATTTCAACCTTACACTTGTCATTCTCTAAGACTAAGTGCATACACAATTAATATTCTAGGCGTATACTATACCTATCAGCTCATCACTTACAATTCTATAATACTGAAGTAGCATAAGCGGATTAGGTCAATTGGTTAGGGGAGTAAGTCCGGTTTCTTGCACTCATTTTCAAATTTGTTAATCCATAACAAGAAGAGCACTTCCACTCCATTTTTGCCAAATGGAGCTTAAGCTCTAAAAACAACCCCAACGAAGGATAAGTTGCTATGGTAAGAAGTGGGCACACGAAACTAGGCAAGCCAGAAAGCAAGACTTGCATGGGCTGCTGCCTGGGCAAGTTGACATGCTGACGTCAGAGGCCAATTTAAATACCCAAAAAATCATATTTTTCTATAAATACCTAGCCATGTTCCTCACTTCCCACACCAAAATCCATACAAATTTCTCTCATCATATCTCATGTAATTAGTGGTTGTTCTTAGGTTGCCATGATAATGGGTAGGAATGCATCAAAAAATTAATGGGACAGTCACTATTCATGTGAATATTGTTTGTCCTTACTTACAATTACCCTTTGCCATGACACAATTGGATAGAAGTGCTCTAAATCAAAGTACCTTGAATCACGGGAACTTCTACTTTTTGGTTGACAACCTTTAGAACATTACCCTGTCAAGAAAATAAAATAAAAATCTCCAGCCAGTTGCCACTCTCTCAACCTAATTCAAAGGATGTTTTGAAAGTGTTCGACGGAGCCAAACACGTTTTTCACATGCTTCAAATAATGTGTGTTGCATTTAGGTGAAGTAGATAAAGGAACTTATTGAGTTTTAGAGTGCTTCAAGCAGATTCAATTGAATGTTTTACATGTTTCACATGTGTTTCACATGAAACAGTTGAACAAGGAAACTATTTGCTGAGTGGAAGCTTTTCCAAGCTCAATGAGAATATTTACAAACTTGACAAAACGAAGATAACATTCAATGATCATCAAATTATAAGATCAACTTAATTACATAAATTGAACTGGTATGTATGAGAAGTGTAAACCGCAGCAGCAAAATTGAAGGGGACAGTAAAATATACAAAGACCAGGACATTCAATAAGGGCATGTTTGACCTCACAGGTCACTGATCGTCAGTGCTAAAGCGTAGCAAGTGCCGATCGGTGGACAATGTCATACACAGAGAGAAGAATTTCGGCACCTATCAGCGCAATGATGAGCCATTCCAAAAAATCGGACTTCCTATTTTGAAGAATTTCCTGAAGAAAGCGAATGTTGTGCTGCAAAGAAGAAAAAAACAATGTCACCACCACATCAAACATTAGCTGAAAAGCAGTTCTCCAGATTTAGTAACCAGTATTGAGCAATAAAATGTTTCTTGTACCTCCACAAACTTCAACTTAAAATCAAGACTTGCAAATCTCTGTGTTAACTCAAATTCATCTCTGAGATACTCCCATATCTGGGCATATTTGGCATCCTTCCAGGCAATGTCTGATCTGTAAAATCAGTTTTATGAGTTAGACTAAACATGCATGGAAACTAAAATATCTTAAAAGAGTGAAAAACTGAATCTTGAAATCACTGTTGCTCAATGCTATTTGATAGAGCTGAGTGGTAATAAGACCCTCAAAGAAACATCACACAGAGAAAACAGTTGGTTCCCGGATGGACAGTCTGAACCACAACTTAACAAATATAAGCCATAGAGTATTTATGGAATTGCACACCACAAGTTTAAATCATATATTAATAGAATTTTCTATTATATAGTCAGAAAAAACATAAAATAACAGATCATAACAATATTTGATATTGCAACTCCCAACGCCTCGAAAGACAACTAACAGCTGGAATATGGTAGCATCTGAAATTTCAAATAACAATAATCTTGGACACAATTGTTTAAGAAAAGAATTCATCTCCGACAAAGCTTTCTACACAAGCCCCATTACAAAATATGGCCACAGCACAGTATCGAGTAATAAAATTTCTGGATAAATGAAAACTTCTAAGATCAACACTTTCATCCTATACCAACTCACAAAAGAACAGGGGAAAGATGTTTTTTTGTCTTTTCCCACTCACTTTTCCAGCCAATTGCAATCATACATACAGATAACTACTTCCATGCTATGGAGGATCAATGTAATCCAAAAACAAGTTTCAGATTAATAACTATAATATTGAATTTAAAATCATTACCTCTCAAAAAGTCCGAGCTTAAGAATCACATCAGCAAGATTAGAATTTGCCTTTCCCACTAACTGAAATAGTTTTTTCCTCTTCATTTTAAACTTTCCCGTAGTTTCCATTTCACGATTAATGTCAGTAAATTCTGCAACCATTCCATCAACCTATACAAAGAAATAAAGTTCTGAGGATCAATCATCAAGTTATATTTTCACAAAGTTGAACCTCCAAAGCTTACGTGAAGCGTACCTGGCGCACATAGTAATCAAGAGCAATACTTTGACCAAGAACACTACCAATGGTACGGATTCCATCAACATTCAAGTACTGCAACATTATGTAATCCAATCCACCTTCCATCCAAGTGTGCAAAGCTGGCTTCTCCCTCACCTCATACTCTATGATTTCATAACACAATAAAGTTCAGATTTGAAAACTTTCCCAAAAATGTAACCCTCGCCCATTGGAGCAACAACCATGAAGCAGAAAACAAAAGATATGCCACTGCAACATTAAAAAATAATGAAGGTAATGGTCTAACAGTATTGATTTCACTTGGAAAAATCAACAATTGAAAAGGGTAGATGCTTTGATCTGCAGCAAGCTACTCATGCAGGACATACATATAGGTGGGGTACAGTAAATAATCATCAAGACTGATATGAACATATCTTTTACCATCCCAAAATTTGTCTAATAGTAGGTACCATTACAAACTTCAAGTTATTCTAATATCAATAAAATCAATTTATCTATGAACAGTTATGCTCTTTCATATTATATGAATAAAGAATAACTCGTGTGAAATGTTTTCAGAACAGAAATATCATGAATCCAAATAATTTAAGTAATGGAGAATTGATGAACTGCATTGTTAAACAGATATATTTGATATATAGGGTCTCACCATCCTTTCTCATTTCAGGTAGCAATCCTGATGCATGTTTTTCCACGATTTTCAAATACCCATCGATCTCGTGTTCACGAACATTAAACAAGACAATGGAGCCATACTGAAAAACTACCATGTAGCAACAGTCACTCCCACTTAAACTAAGACCCAAACCCTGAAACAAAGAAAGCATTCAACTTATTGTATCATTTGCAGGCAGATACCGATCATTTGCGTAAATTGCAGGAAAGCAATAGAAGCAAGCCACTATGGAAGAAATCAGCTTAAAAAGTTACCATATTATATTATTATCCACTCTGTGGTAAAGGTATCATGATCCTTTTCTTTGCAAAACTAAAATCACTGCAAACCAAGAAAACATGGTAAACTTACATTGTTAGAATCCGACGGCTCGCCGAACCTAAACACAACGTAATTAGTCATACGCGATGTTGGTGGGATAAAATTCAGCCTGTTCTGTTCCACTAAGCTTCTCAAATCCACACTATTACATGTTAAAAAACAAATAGAAACCATTAATAAACCAAAAGAAATTAAAATCATCCACTCATCATAAACAATATGAACACCTAATCAGTGCAATTCTTTGTCTTTACATTTCCCCAAACATTTTCGAGGACACTTTCAAAACAAATTTACTAAATTTAAAAAATAAAAGCTAAAAACAAACCTGGTAGAGAAGAAGTAGGCTCTAACAGGGATAGAGGGCATAGCATTTTCGTCCACCATCGCTTTGTGGCCATCGCCGACCTCCGAGCACGAGAGCGGCTCGTTCCACTCCAATGTGTCTGCATGCGGGACAGATGAAACGCAGCGTACGACAAGGACGTTGAAATTGGAGCCGATTTGGGGTTGGCTTCTGAGACTTGGAATCGAGGAACACAAAGACGTGGTGATTGAGTGGAGGTTTAGGGTTTTGGAAATGGAAGGATTTTGAGGATGGGGTAAGGTTAGGATTGTACGGACGGAGAGGAGAGGTGTAGGCGAAGAAGACGAAGACGAAGAAAGAGAAGAGAGAGAGGGAAAGAGACGGGTGGCCTTGAGGTGGGCGTCTATGGCGCGCCGCATTTTTGGTTTGGGCTTTTGGGAGAAGACGACTGAGTTCTCACTGAGTCACTGATAGCTACTCGGGGATTATCGAGTGGCAATTTTAACTACAAATTTTCTACATATGAAAATCTTCTGACCTTATTTATTTCCCTATTTCAAGAATTACAAATTAGTTTAAATGAAATATAAATTGAAGAGTTTTGTAAGCCAATATTATGATTGACAATGGAATTTTTTTTGTGTGTTCAAATTGACAATCATAATATTGGCTTTTATATTCGAAATATTATAGGAAGAACAATTCAATTGTCAATCATAATAATACTGGCTTTTATGAATCAACTAACTTTTAGTCTAATCGTATTTTCTTTATTCAATATTGAAATATATCCTAAATTTGACTCCATGTGTTCATTACTTACCAAAAAAAAAACAAATTGAGAACATAAAACCCTTAGTACGTTTATTGTTCATGGAGTAATGCTACACTTACCATATTTTTATCCCACATTTCTATACCACATGATGTGGCATGTCCATATCATATTCCACATCAATTAAATGAATGAAGTGTATTTTAATAAATAAAATTAGAAAAACATAAATTAGTATTTTACATGATGTGATATGTACACATCAGCTGCCACATCATGTGGTATGAAAATGTGGTATAAAAAATGTGGTAAGACTAGTATTATTCCTCTATAATTAAACATTTTAATAGACGTAAATGTAAAATATAAAAGAAATGTTAGAGAAAATTATTTTGATTTTATAATATATTAAACATAACTCCAACAAATAAGCATGAAACTAACTACATTGGATTAGATTGGATCCTCACAAGTAAATCCGCCAATTGATCCAATCATGTCGGTTTTGGAAATTAGGGATCCAATTCAATATGCCAAATTATCGAAACCAATTAAACTTGGATTGTATTGAATTGAATTAGTTGATTTAGGCAGATTAGATTGGATCTTGCACACCCCTACATAATATGACTTAAATTTAATACAAAGTTAACGCCTTTAGATGCAATTTTTATTTTACATGAACAATAAACCTACATGGAGTTTTACATTCTTAGCACATCAAATTTGATACGAAACCAACAAGGTAACATGAACAAGAGTAATGCTACTCTTACCCCATTTGTATACCACATTCTCATACTACCTTATGTGACAGATGAAGTGGAGAACCACATCAATTAAAAAGTGTCAATAAATCATAAAAGAAAGGAAAATGTTAAATTCATTTACTTGATGTGGTTGTCTACCTCATTTGCCATATAATGTGGTAAGGGAATGTAGTATACAAATGTGGTAAAAGTAGCATTATTCTTGATGATATTAAACTTAACGATAAATGTTTCAAATTTCATTATTATTGTTTTTCATTATGAAAACCGATTATCCAATCCAATCCAATTCAATATCAATTGGATCGGATCAAATTGGATTGAATTGGAAAAATTATAATACAATCCATATTGAATTAGATGCAAATTGGTGAAATTGTATTGGTTTCAAATCGATGTACACCACAAATGTTATGCAATATTGAGGCTACTACGAAGTATTTACTCATGGGTAGGGCAAGCTCTTCTATTCTGGTTCATGGTTTCTCTTGGCTATATGGTTCATCTGGGGGAGAGATCCGGGAATAGCGACATGAACTAAATGTCCTGTCCAAGCTAAGGAACTCACTCCGAATAGTCCTGACAAATGATGATTTGACAAAGGTGGAGTGTTAGAGTATTTCTATTGATTTGTCATGTCATATAGCCTATAGGCCTGAGTCGAACATCCAATTGCTTCTATTAGAGGCAAGGAAGGGCTTAGTAAGCGACGAAATGCTTCGGGTAGTTGAAAATAAGCGTAGATCCGGAGATTCTGAATAGGTTAACCATAGTCAGATTACAAGTTGGGGTCTTGGAGGTAGGTTGACGGGCTAGGACTTTCTTTTGGTGGACTTATTAGCCGGCCTTAGCCAGGAGCCAACCTATGCTTCTATGCCCCTAGTGTTATTGTGGTGTTTTGCAATTCATTGCCCCAACAAGAAAAATTGTCTCGTCCTTAGAAAAAAATATAGGTAGCGTTGTTATAAAAACTAAGGAGTCTAGCTTAGTCGAGAGCAGGGACGCCCAGGTTGAAACCCCAAGGAGTTTCTTTCCTCCCAATGTAACCCAAAAAAAGAAAGAGTTTTGTTTTGAAGACCAATGATCTCAATTTCGAATCGAATCGCACCTTGACAGTGGGTGTATGAGAAAACTACCTTCCTCAATATTGTTTGTATCAAAAGAAGGCACACAACATATCTAGAGACTTTTTATTTTTCCTCTACAAGTCAAATAAAGTTAGGTTGATTCGGTTATGGGTTGAAGGTTGAGTGAGCATCAGCATCTACTACCATCTTTCTTCTCTCTATCATGCAACTTAGATGGCTTGAAGTTGACCCAACGCCACATATTAACAAAATTGAATAATTCAAGCTTTTTGTCACAACTGAGTATTTCATACACGGACACAGGAGAAAAAATTATTGTGTATCACCTGTGGCATGTCACGTAGTGTATCGAATCCACATGATAATTTACGCGAACAATGTGCTTTGCATACGTTAATGTTTTTCCACTGCAATTGCAAATATAAGAACCCTTTTACTTGATTGACAACCCTCATTTGGATAATGAAGCTCATATACAACAGTTACAAGGGAAATGTTACAGAGCTAATATATAGCAATCTATGTTTGATAATATGAGACAACATACAAAACGAAAACATCTCTGCACATTACAGACTATTGTGTCTTTGTCAAGTTCTGCACACCTAGCCTTTCAAAAGCACAATTACATGGTGGATGGGGTAGGAAAAGGAAGGCGGCTGACGTTGTAGGAGGCAGAAGCACTGCCTTGGAAGTTTGGTGGAAAATAATTAGCTGCTGGAGGAGCTGTAGAAGCCATAGAAGATGGGAATCCTGATGATGCTGCAATAGAAAACACTTGCACTGGGCTAACACTCTGGCTGTTTCCATGCACTTGCCATGCCCAGTTTGTATATCTCGGTGAAGAAACAGCTTGGGCTCTGTTGTGATCTGAATCCATTTCCTGCAAGCAAAAGTTTATTCAACATCATTAATTTTCTGTACAGATTTGAAATGAATAGATTGAAACTTTGGATCAATATCCATCAAGTGAGGTGCTTCCTATAGTTTCATGGTTCTGTAAGAATGCAATGCAAAGGAAATTCAATCTAGTGATCACAAGGAGGGGGTTCAAAATTATCTGACCAAATCTGTTAAAGTTGAAAAATTACTACTACTCTGTACTTTTTAACCAGAGGACAATGGAAATTACTGTGTTTCATTGCAGAAGCAATAGCAGTAATTGGCATGCATATATAAATTAAGTTTCGAAACTTCTAGAAGCTAGAATTAATTACCATTCATCTATCTCCAAAACAAAACAAACAATTTGGTGCTGAAAAAGACGAGAAGTAAAAGTACCTCATGTTTTTGTAAGAAACCTGGATACATCCCAGAATATAAGGCAGGATGCTTGGCTAACATTGTTAGAACATGAGGGGTTTGCCCCACAGCTGCAGAAGCAGCAGAGCCATTAACCTGCAGAAGAGGAAACCTATTAATTAACAACAGCTAGGAGGCTAAAGTTACAAAAGGGCTGCTGACAATAGCCACATGCATTAAAAAATATCTAAACAAAATGAAAATGATTTGCATATAAACCTACAAAAACAAAAACACATACAAAAATTACTAAAATTAGGAAACAAAAACACACCATTGGCCTCTCTTTGTAACGAAATTGAAAATCCCCCAGATTGCCATTGCCCTTTTGACCAGAAGAAGGCTGAGAAATCCCAAGGCTGAGATCAAGGTTATGGCCACTGCCTGCATTTACAGCAAAACCAAATTCATTGCATTCCATGAGTTGGTGGGGGCTTGTTTTGTCATCTTGTACTAAGACACAAAACCAATATGAGAAAACAGACATGGGTTTCATTTAGTACCTTCAATGCTTGCATCTAAAACCACCTCCCCTTCATAGATGCTAGGATCAACAAAGTTGGTAACTGCTGCTGCTTCTCTTCCTGTGTTGCATTTGATGCCCTCCTTCTCAAAGACCCTGAAATTCAGCAAAATCAAATACACATTTATATCAGATTTTTTTTTTAAATGCCATAGATTCAGCTGAAAGTTAGCTTCAGTTAAAGGGGGCTTTGGTTCTCACTTTTTCTCAGGAAATTGTGCCATCCTAGCTTCCCATCTACCACCAGCACCACCACATTTGGGCAGAGCTACACCTCTGTATTTTGAATTCCCACGCGAGGCTCCGGTGCTTTGGCGACGAAGCACGTGCACAAATTCTTCTTTATTCAGATGCCCCAGCTGCAAATTTAGTAAGCAATGTAAAATTAATCCAAACCCCACCAAAAAAAAATTCATGTAGTTAACCAGTCATTAAACATAGGCACATTCTATGTACCTGTTTCATATCTTCCTCATAATCACCTAAAGTAAAATTGATATCAGCATCAACTCCCCTAAACTTGATTGCAGCCCGATCATATGCTCTGAAATCATTAAATTAAACCCAATTTAGCAAAAAACTAAACAAACCATAAACCAAGCAAATATGTTCTTCACAGAAAGGAAAATATGCACTCACCTAGCTGCAGAATGAGCAGTATCAAATCCACCTACAACAAAACCAAGCAAAACCCAATTCAATTTAGATCCAAGACCACAAAACCATGAATTTAATTTGCTCAAAAAATCATGTTATGATCATCTGCTCACCTAAATATACCTGCTTCCCACAATCCCTACACACCAGAAAAGAAACGAAATTTATTAAACAAGATTAACCGCTTAACTAATGATGATCAATCTAGTCATTGCTCAGAAGAACACACCATATATGCGATTCCCACCGCCCTGTTCTCCGGTAAAACGTGACGCCGCGGTACTGAGAGCTCCGAGATCTCGGCCCCCTTCTGCTTTTCCGAGGCTGCGGTTTTTTCTGTTGCATAATTCTCAGCTCAGCCTGAGCTTGGCCACCAGACTCAGCAAACGACAAGTTCAGCCACTGAGGCCTTGCCGTCAACGACGCCGAAGACAATCCCAACCCACACTCTGCCTCCTTGCCTCCTCCGCCGTCTCCGGTCACCGGAAAAAGCGACCTTGTCACGAATTGTAGAGATGGGTTTTGGTCTTTGGCCTCACCGTAATAGGTAGTGTTGCAGAGACCGTCTTTGTCTTTCTTCAAGATATCAAAGATGAAGGATGAGGTAGTGTTGTTAGTTGAGTCTTCCTCGCCGGCATTGCTCGGAGTCGGAGCTTCTTCGGCATTGACAACGGAGGAGTTTGAGGTCCCGGAGTCTTCCATTTGGGTCCTTGAGCCCTGTGGAAGCTCCTCGACCTCCATATCTTTTGCCTTCTCATAATCAAGACTGGCATCAGTGGTGAGAGTGATGTTAACATTAAGATCCAACATAATTTCTGTGTTCTTTTATCTCTGTTTCAGAAGGAAAAAAAAAATGTAGCTATTGATTTTGGGAGCAGGGTTGCTTTTGCATTAGCTAGCTTAGAATCTTTGATGCCAAGAACCCAGTTGCACAACCCAATTTTGATTCAAGAAAATCAAACCAACATGGAAAAATGAAGTAAATTTTGTTGGGGAGTCTGAGAGAGAGAGAGAGAGAGAGAGAAGCAAATAGTGGTTTGATGAGAGGCTGAGAGAGGTAGGCTAGCTATATGGGCATAAGAAACTGGTTGAGGAAAAACTCTTTCAAGGGGCTAAAAAAAAGAGATGGGGGACGTGTTAGCTAGCTGTGCGAAGGAAGTGAACAGTTACACTTGGAATCGGTGTTGCACTTTGGCATATTATATTATTATTTGTCTATTATTTATTTATACCATTTTGGTTTTTTCTCTCTTGTTATATCATTTTCCACCTCCATAATTATTGAAAGGAGTCAAAGCAAATTTAAGGAAGTTAAAAAGTAAACTCCCCCCCACAGTCGATTTTCTTGGTATGAATGTTAATGTGAATCAAGGCAGATCAAATCAGGTAGGTTTGATTACCACTTCAACAGTAAACTGACTTGACCTAACCTAAAAAGAACCACAAGAGGAATAGCATAAAGGTACCGGATTGTTCATACATATATTTTCATATAATATTTATAAAAAAAAATGTACCTGATAAAATATTTACATTCGTAGACTATAAAGACGAATCATTGTTGGAGTTGTTTCTATCATTAATGTAGAGTGCTGTTAAACGAACCCTAAAATTAACTAAGTACATCCTACTACCAAATTATTTATTGAATTACTAATTTACCTAATATAAAATGACCAAAAAGTATATATTGAATTGTGAAACAAATAAAATTTTAAATAAGTACACCTTATTCACTATATTCAACCCTTATCATACGTAGAAAAGTCTTCGTATTACTTGGTGCTCACGAATAACGCAGCGAGTATTAGTTTAGTTTAGAATTGATATTACGAAATTAAAGATTTTGATAAAACCCAAAATATGAAAAGATGGTACAAATTCATGTAAAAAGAGAAAGCTGGTTTAGGATTGGTATTAGAGTGTTGTACCATGACTATTTTTGGTAGTTAAATAGGATGTACTTAGTTAATTTTATATTTTGATTAAAATATTAGGGTTAACTTAGATTATAGGGTGTACTCAAAAAATTTTAGGGTTTGTTTAGCAACACTCTTAATGTATGACTTACATTCGCATTCTGACAGTATGATTCTACCTAACAATACAAGTTTAGAAAAGAAAATGACTCCCTATATCCCTAGATTTCACTTCAAATATATGAACACATGAGAATTTTTTGCATGAATAATTTTTTTTGTAGTGACGTTTTTGACTGAATTATGAACGCAATCTCAATTTTTTTTTTAAAAAAAAGAAAAAGGTCGGCACGATTCATGCTTAAGACAGCCGATTAGATCAAAGGATTGATGTTTCTTTCTTTTCCAAAAAGGGACATGCACTAGAAAATGAAAATTGATTTATGAATGATTTAAAATGGATCTTAGCTATCCATTTTAGTGCCTTGTACAAAATTTGGAATCACATTAATTTTTGGCATTGTAAATGGTCATGTGATGTCATTTTCACTCACCACCATCGTCCAATCCAAAGACAGCAAAAAATTTGTTGGAATTTTGGGATTTTTTGTGTCTTATAATTTATAAATCAATTGATACAATAACAGCTACACAATTTCAATTAGTACCACTCAACATATATAGAGTTATTCTCTCATCCGAATGTTTGCACGTTGTTATCGTACGAATGCTATTGTAAATAAAGAGGAAAGTAGAGAGGAGTAGTAGAAAATACACGGTGACCGCACACACGATAATAACATCTGAATATCCATATAAGAGAATTTATATATATATATATATGTATATTGTGTACATCCAACATAGCACACTACGCCCAATTCATATACAAATTTATTGTCGAAGAAAAAGAAAAGAATGATTGAACTTAGAACAAACAAATATTGTGTAACCAAAGTAATTAAACAAAACATAAATCTGTGTTGTACAAAGAGCCATCCAAAATTAGAAAGCCTCGCATGAATATTTTTGTACTTGATTGTTTTTAGATTACAATGTTAGAAAAGGGCAGGCAATTTCCCCTTTCCTAAAACAGGAAAAGTCGCAGGTTTGACTTTCAACAGTTTTTGGACGGTCACACAGACAAGTCGGCATATGTGAATTCTCACGCGAAGATCAAATTACAGCAACATTCATATATCCGTGGGGACCACGAGGTACGCGGCTACACGTGACTGGCTCAAAACCTCTCCAAAAGGATGGACGGAGGTATCAGAGTATTGGTGCCTGCCAAAAATAATAATGAAATTTGATAGGCGACTTGACAATATATTTCATTAACCATAGATCCATCCATAGGTCCATAGGTCCATAGGTCCATAGGTATACCCTTTATTTGGAGGACCACTCTTTTATAATATTTATTTATTTTTATAGCAAAAATTAAATTATTTGTTTGTTTTTAAAAGGGTCTTGATTTATTTCTCAATTGGGTTATATGATGGTCCCCATATATAGAGAAGGGTTTCATTAAATCTAAAAGTAGGGCTTGATAATCACCTAAAATAGCTAGCCTAGCTAGCTCCGGCCTCCCTCCTCCTCACAACTAAAGAAAAAATGTGACAAAAACTATATAATTTCTAGCATAGCAATGTTCTTGGCATTTTACCCAAAATAAACAATGTTTTTACGGCTTTAGTTGTGTTTTGTTTAGAGCATAATGCTTGTGCAAATATAGATCTTTGTGGACGTGGCAAATGGAGTATGTCATGAAGGATGTCATTTGGATTCATAAAATATTGTATTTGTTTAGATATTCTTATTTGTTTCATGAAGTACGGGTAAGAACATTGACACACATGTGATACATATTAGAATATGAGTAATAATATAGGCATCACAATATCAGTTTTTTAATACCAACTAAAGCGATATATGGTATGATAGTTGTTTATTAATTGTAAACGAATGAGGTTCATAGTACAAACTGATTTGACAGAAAATAAGTTGGTTATGATAATGAAATTAGAAAAAGAAAACACGTATTTTATCCAAAAAGTTGAAATTTTAATTATAAAAGTGATATTTACACGATGATCTTAGCTGTTTTTTGTTCGTCAACTTATTTATTATTATTTAGAAATAATTGAATTCACTAAAACATTTCAGGTACGGATTGAACATTACAATATGTTCTTAAAAACTAAAGCATAAAAAATTAATCCACAAATTTTTAATTTCCATTTTTTACGCATTTTTATCTTGTTGAAGTGGTCTTTGCCTGTTGGGGGGAGGAAAGGACAAGGAAACGGACGATGAACGGTCATTTATACGGATTTGTCCTTTCCTTAAAAACATGACTGACGGTTTACAAAAGCAAAGGTTTATCTTTTTTTCTTTCTTTTAGAAAAAGCAAATATTCTCTTGTGTACTCTACTCATACCAGAGGTTTTGGGTCTATCGGGATGAGGTGGGATTGATTTTTATTTTTTTATTTTTGTTTAAAAAAAAAAAAAAAAAAATAATTATCTTTATTATACATGAAGGGACTAGAAAGAAAGAGAATCACATGTTTGATATGGTTGAGTCCGGCTTTAAGTTGCACTGAAAAAAAAAGTTGTATATGTTTTTGTCTTCGTGGACCACAATTTTGGTGTTGTGGCTTGAAAATTTAAATTGCATCTTATATGATATCATACAATATTAATTTCATTTTGGACATAAAAGTTCCTAATTTAGCAGTTACTATGGCTCTATTCGGGAGTGTTGGTCATGCTTCTTAGTTTGTTTATGTCTAATAATTTTCAGAAACTCTTTAGGAGTTTGATGTGTTTTATATTCTCTTTATAATATATATATATTTTTTTTTACATATAAGAGAGATTTTATTAATAATGAATAGTAAAGTTTGCATTTTTAGCTAGAGTATCAAAAAGCCAATCGGTGCTCACCTCATCTTATAGATGAACACCCCCTACTTGAGATACAAAAGATGCAACCAAATTGGGCAGTTTGCTAGTTTAATCTAGTCTAGGTTAGTCTAATCCTGCCTAACAAATGAGACCCTAATATCTTAAAGTTTAACTATCAGTCTATATTTTTATTTTATTTTTATAAATCTATATATATATATATATATATAAAGTGGAAGGCAGACGAGTATAATAAAAGGAGCCAACTGCTTCCTTGTTTATTTATTTATTTATTTGGAGGCAAGCCATAGCCAACCACATATGTAGTCTGATAACTCGATAAAGAAAAACAGATGGTGATCGAGAGAGAAACCTTAATGAAGACAGACAAGGGCTCTTATCAGTTGTCAGTTGTCATGGCAGTGGCCTTTATTAATAATATTATTAATTAAATTAATCAAGCCAACCACCAATGAACTGGACCCAAGAAATAAAAATATGAGTAGAAGAAGACGACCAAATCTGAGCCGTACATTGGCTTGATAAGGAAACAAAATGTTTGACAGAAGCAGGAGAATCATTCATACCCACGCACGCGTAGGACGAACCTTTCCTCTTCTGGTAATCCTCTTCCTTCTACCTTAAAATCCCTTGTAAAATATCTTATTTAATGGGTGTCCCTCGTAACTTTCTTCTAGTAAATATCTTAAACTGTCCATCTATCAATACCTTTCTTTTCGTTTGGTCCAATCAACCCATCAAATACTAGAACAAACCATTGAATAATGATACCTCTTGTTTTCTTGTTTTCTTGTTTTCTTGTTTTTTGTTTTTTGTTTTTGTTTTGTTTTTCGCTGCATGATTGATGACGATAATGATGTAATATTTCCGCCCGCCTTGCATAATGATCTCTAGAACCTCCCATATTCAAATGTGTAGGGTACTACATCTTATATACGTTATGAATATGGAAAAAATA